ATCTCATATGAGAAATTTTGTTAATTCTGTAATATCAGAAGGACACGTACACCCAGTTTGAAATATCAGAAGGATACAAAATCACTTTCTAGGGCGTCAGAAATCCAGTTATTGGGTTTCTCAAAAATCGTATGAACGCCTAAAAAAGGTCTGAAAATCAGACAAACATACGGATTTTGTCTGATGTCGAGGACCCTGCGAATGTGTCATATCTTTTGCACTACCTTGAGATGTGATTTCTCCAAAGATCTTGTTGTCAAATTATGTATATTATATATATATATGTATATTTGTGTAGGCTTGGTAGATGTGCTACATTACTGGATCCTACTGTAGAGGGGACAACCCCCCCTTCTTGTATCTCCTCCTCTTCCTAGTCGACTCTCTTTTCTCTCATCAATTTCTCTCTCTAGCTAAAACCTCTCGCCCTCTCATGGCTACCTAGCGCCTAAACTCATTCTAACATGGTACTAGAGCAGGCCGATCCTCATGCTCCCGCAGAGTCCTCTCGCCCCACCCGTCACTTACGCGCTGCCGTGGCGGTCACGTCGTGCTGCCACGGCGGCCTTTCTTCGCTGTCGTGCTAGCCCCGATGCGCTGCCGGCATCGACGCCACGCCGTGGCGACGTCGACGCTGCAGCGCACAGGCCGTAGCGGGCCGCGCATCGATTTAGGCGCCAGCCATGATGCCCGCATGCAAGCCAGCGCCGCGCCAGTCATGGCGCCTTGCTGAAGACTCGCCCCCACCCCCCTCCTCTATATTCCCCCCTCCTCCCCACCGCAGCTGCTGGAGGTCTCGTGCCGTCCTCCCCCCCTGTCGTCACAGTGTGTGCCACGCCGTCGGGTGCCTCGGAAGCCGCCGCCGCCGCCGCAGGAGCTGCAGGCCCTGCCACCGCCGCCGCCACCGCCGCAGTCGCCGACGCTGCCACCGCCGCTGCGACCCGCCGATGACGTCGTCGCCTTGATCGCCGAGGGGTCGACCCGCTGGTAGATGCCACAGCTGCTGTAGGACATAGGGTTGCAAAGGTTTGGGGGTGTTGCATGTTGGCTGGGCTTGTGACTACCAAGCCTAAGGGGTTTATCAAATTATATATTATATATATATATTTGTGTAGGCTTGGTAGATGTGCTATATTGTTGGATCCTACTGTAGAGGGGACAACCCCCCCCCCTTGTATCTCCTCTTCCTAATCGACTCTCTTTTCTCTCGTCAATTTCTCTCCCTAGCTAAGACCTCTCGCCCTCTCATGGCTACCTAGCGCCTAAACTCATCCTAACACTTGTAGCTTATTACACTAATGATATTTTCATCACTAGAATGGATATAAGAAGCAGTTTCCCAGAAAATATCACTTATGATGCACTATGGTACACCTTCGCTCAAGTACGCATGTGGTCTGGTACCGAATGTGTCATATCTTTTGGGTGTTGGTTCTGGGGGTGCTGCTGTTGAGGGTTCCGCCGACAGTCGTCCTGCCTCTGCCGGTCCGAGGGTTCCGGCCCAGCTGTCGCAGCAGCCGCCGCAGCCGTCGTTGCTGGTCTCCGCTCTCCGCCTGCTCGGCCTTCCCTCCATGGACCGCGCGCCGGTGTCTCCCCCACCGCCTGCTGACCTTCCTGTCTACGGTCCTGTGTTCCCGCCGCCGGACTCGTCTCCGGCCCGTCTTCCTCCTCGTTCCCCTCCTGTGTCCCCTCTACTTTCCCCTGACCCTACACCCCCGTCTCACGTTTGGGTTCGCCGTCACTCACGTGCTCGTCCCGTCTCTCCTGTCCTGCCCACCCACCCTATGTTGCTCCGTTCCCGCTCGTCTCATCCTCCCCTCCTCCCGTCCCCTCCTCCCTCGTCCCTTGCTGTTGCACCTCCTCCGTTCTCTGACTACCTCCGTGCCGCTCGTCCCCTTGTCCTTCGGCTCCTTGCCTCTCTTGTTACCGACCCTGCTATTCCTGTCTCGCGCCTTGACGCGCTTGTCGCTGCTGTCGCTGACTTCGCCTCTACCCGCCGCCTTGACTACGCTACCGCTCTGGTCTCTGACCCTGCCCGTCCTCCGTCCGTCGGGGGTGCTCCTGCCCTTGGCAGTGACGTCCTAGAGGACAGGCAGTACGAGCTTGCTTTCCTTTCCGAGGCTGCTCCCCATCTCTGCTCCATGCTGTTAGTCCCTGAGGGTGACCCAGACGCCTTCGACATCCCGACCCCTCGCACCTACGCTGAGGCCACCTCGGGACCTTGGGCCTCTCAGTGGATAGCTGCCATGGAGCAGGAGATGGCATCTTGGAGATCCACCGGCACTTACGTCGACGCAGTTCCCCCGCCTAGGGTGAACGTAGTCGATGGTCGGTGGCTCTTCAAGGTGAAGCGCCCCCCTGGAGAGTCGTCTGTCTTCAAGGCGCGCTACGTGGCCAGAGGTTTCAGTCAGCGCGAGGGGGTTGACTTCTTCCAGACCTTCGCCCCGACCCCGAAGATGACCACCTCTTCAGGCGGTGCTACGCGTAGCAGCACAGCGCGACTACGAGCTTCACTCCCTCGACTTCTCTACTGCCTTTCTTCAGGGCAGCCTACACGAGCAGGTCTACCTGCGCCGACCACAGGGCTTCACTGGTACCTTCCCCCCTGGGACGCAGTGGCTTCTCAGGCGCCCCGTCTACGGCCTGCGTCAGGCTCCTCGCGAGTGGCACGACACGCTGCGGGCCACGTTAGCAGACCAATAGTTCTTTCCGTCCTCTGCCGACCCCTCGCTGTTTGTGCGTTCCGGCCAGACTCCGTTCTACATCCTTGTCTACGTAGACGATCTGGTCTTCGCTACTGCTGACAGGAACGCACTGGCCTCTGTGAAGGCCGAGCTTCTGAAGAGACACACCTGCACTGATCTTGGAGAGCTGCGTTGCTATCTTGGCCTGCAGATCTCTAGGGACAGAGCAGCACGCACCATCACTCTGACACAGTCACACTTGGTGCGTCAGGTCTTTCAGAGGTTCGGTCTTCAGTTCTCCTCCGCACAGCCCACACCTCTACCTGTAGACCATGGGCTTTCCGCTCCCATTCCTGAGGAGCCCGTAGAGCCCAGTGGCCCCAACGCAGAGCTGGTGGGTTGCCTCATATACCTGATGACTTGCACTCGCCCAGATCTCGCATACCCTCTCAGCATCCTGGCTCACTTTGTGGCTACAGGCAGACACCGACCTCAGCACTGGTCTACCGCTAAGAGGGTTTTGCGTTATCTTGCTAGTACATCGGGCATGGGGTAAGTGCTAGGAGGACGCAGGCCAGTGGTCCTTACTGGGCACACAGACGCTTCTTGGGCAGACGACGTCGAGACCCTCAGGTCCTCGCAGGGCTACTGTTTTAGCCTTGGTTCGGGTGCTATCTCTTGGAGATCCACTCGCTCATCGTCTGTGGCTCAGTCTAGCTGTGAGGCTGAGATCTACGCTGGTGCCATGGCGGCACAGGAGCTCCGCTGGCTGACCTTCTTGCTCACAGACTTAGGTGAGCGACCTAGCTCTGCCCCGGTCCTGTACGCTGGCAACAGGGCCATGATACTCCTGTGTCAGGAGCCTCGGCTTGAGGGCAGAGCGAAGCACATCCAGCTGCGGTACTTCCTCCTGCGCGAGCTACAGCAGCGCCGCCAGGCCCGCGTAGTTCACTTGGCCTCATGTGCCAACACAGCTGATATCTTTACTAAGGCGCTTGCGCCTAAAGATCATCAGCGGCACTGTGTACAGCTTGGTCTTGTTCCTGTAACTACTCACCTGTTAGGATCCTGATTGTGTACTCTCTATTATATATGCCTGTCAGCCTGGCCTTGTGGCCTTACCTCCAGTGGCTGGACTAGTAGTGCCGCCCTGGCTTGCTTTAGTTTTGTTTGTATTCTTGCTGACTGGTCTCCAGATCCCTGTCTCAGTGGTTGGACTAATAGTGCCCCCCTGAGCTGTTTGCTTCTTGCTTAGCTTCACCCGTTGTCTAGCCTAGGGGGTATGTTAACTTATACATATTAGCTATGTAGAAGTTATAGGCTAGACTGAGGTATGCTTCTAGTGAGTACAACCAACTAGTACTTGTTCTAGGTTTCCACTTCTAGTCAATCATTCAGTTCTTACTTAACATGTTTCCCTGACGTAGATGTCATCCGCAGGTGGACCTGTTCTGTAGGCATGTCGACGTAACTAGGTTCGTGTACGTTGTGCCAGGTTTGGACGAAAATTTGCGGGCTGACCTCGATCCGAAGCAAAAAATCTCGCTTTCGGAAGGTGCTCTGATGTAATCTGCACTTTCCTTTTTTGCCTGCAGAACGCAGCCAATGCATTATGGTCTGCTTTCGCTCAAATATACATATGGTCTGATGCGGAATGTGTCATATCATTTGCCGTAACTTGAGATGCGATTTCTCCAAATGCAATGTAGGTCATGAGACTATTCACAAGGTATCGATGCCAATAGAATGGACTTGAGAAACAATTTCCCAACTTGCATTTTAAATTATAGCTTTCTAGATCTTTCACGCATAACAACAGCTTCTCCCTCTTTTTACCGAGGACAACTTCGACACATCCAGCGTCAATCACGTCGCAATGCAGCACTGTACTGCATCCAGAGCTCATCGAACCGTGCTGCTGGCCTCCAGCCGCCGGCGCGAAATTAGGAGCAGTTTGGGGGAGGTCAGACAGACTGCATTCGGAGTGCACTCATTCCCTCTGACAGAAAGGACTGCAAATCCACGTCGTACCGCACTCTCGTTAAAGTCACTTCTGTTCTGACGCTTTTGCGAAACGACTGGCATCGCATCAAACCAGCTGCCCGAAATTTGACGAAATTTGAGAGACTTGTAACCGTGCGTCAAAATGGTCGTGACGCCGTCGCGAGGGCCCTGGCTTTTGTAGGGCACCCCACACCTCGCAAGCATCGCCGAGGAGGCAATTTCCCTGACCTGCCACCACCACACCGAACCAGCCCTCGAGTGTGGTTTGAGGTCTTGGCTTCTAGTTCCAGCATCTCCCTACGTTATGTGAAGCCCTAGCTCCTCCCTGGCGCATCCACCTCATTTACCGCCCTCCAGCTTCGCCTTGCAGCCTGCCATTGTGCTTCCTCACAAAACTTTATAATATCGGTGACTACGACTGAACACGTTGCCGCTCTCGGCTCCCCATGCCCTGCGTTTGCTCCACCTCATCTTCCCTCAGATACCTCCGCTCACGCTCACAGCAATCGTTGTCCTGCATCTCGCACAAGTCTCTGTCTCATCCCGAGCTAGCGACCTCTCGCGTCTTCAGTTCATTTCAACGACGGCCTCGTTCCCCTCGTTCTACGAACACCTCGCCCACCCGACCGTCTTTTCTTGAAAAAACTCTCGATTGTCGCGTATGGAGATGCTATTTCAAGTCAGCAGGCTAAAAGTTGCAGGATAATAGTCGCAGGCTGAAAGTTGCAGCTCTCCCTTCGCTATTATTGTTTCCCGCATTCCTGCTCTTCCCAGCACTCCGCCGTGTCCGCCGCCGAGCAGCAGCACCGGATCTTTCCCATAGAACCTCCTACCTCGCTATGCCCCCCGCGCTCAACCGCTCGTCGTCAGCGGCAGCGGCGGCAGCGCCGGCGAACGCGAAGATGTATTCAGCGCAGGGGCCGCACGTGGTGGGGCTGGAGGAGATCGAGGCGCTCAAGGCGTCGGCCAACAACCTCTTCGTCGAGGGCAAGTTCGGCCAGGCCATCATCGGTGAGTGCCAGGCCGTCATCGGTGAGTGCCAGGCCGTCATCGGTGAGTGCCAGGCCGTCATCGGTGAGTGCTGCGCGCCGCAATGCGTGCTGCGTGCGGACGGCAGCCTTTGAAGTCGAAGCGTTCATTCTCGGACGGTTCCTCGTTCCGCTGGTGTGTGGTCTGTGGAGAGGTGGGTGGCCGTCAACGACAGGATATCTCCGTATACGTTCCAAAGCACGCGAGTCCGCCGATACCTGGGACTCGTGGGTTAGGGAAGCGAGGGCGAGAAGCCATTACCGCTAAGGCTTTCACGCGCACTGATGGAATCCTGCCACGTGTGCTCGCCGCCTCACCGCGCTCTCTCGGCAAGGCAGCGATCCGCGCGAGGCAGGTGCATGGCATGAAGCCGCGCGCTCTCAAGCGCGGTGTGAACGCCACCTCCCTCCAGCCCGGGACGGGAGGTACAACCCCAGCAACTCCCCTCCTCGTCTCTAGCCCCCATCCTTCCCTTGTCGTCCCCGTCTGCCTTTTGCCCATCCGCTTTGCTTTTCTAACCCCCACACCACCTTCTACCCTGGGCTGCTGTGCCCTTGCGTCGCTTCCTTCCTTCCTTCCTTCCGCCCGTCCGCCCGTCCGCCCGTCCGCCCGTCCGCCCGCGCGTCCGCCAGGCTACAGCTACGCCATCAAGCAGATGGCGGGGCTCATCGTGCCGTCGGCGCGCCGCGCCAGCACCAATCTCGACAGCCCCTCGGCCGTCGCCAGCGCCGTGCGCGACGCCAAGCCCGACCCGCGCACCGCGCAGCTCGCCGCCATTCTGTACAGCAATCGCGCTGCGGCCTATTTGAAGCTTGAAAAATACGACAAGGTGAGTTGCTGCTAAGCGCGCGAGACGGACTACGAAGGTTTTTATTTTTCGGGAGACTGATGTGGTGAATGCGTCTCTTTGACGGCGCGCGGGGGAAAGAAGCGACGAAGCGCGCTCGTCTCGAGCTGCAAGGTCGTGTCACCGCGCAACGGTTACTCGTCCATCTCCCCACGCCGCTGTGACCCACCTCACCATCAACCAGCTTCGCGCCTCCTATCCCGTTCCTCCTATTCCGTGCCTCCTATCCCGTGCCTATTCCGCGCCTCCTATCCCGCGCCTCCTATTCCGAGCGCCTCATATTCCGAGCCTCATTGGGCGGCGGCACGAGTGTAACCCAGTCTCAATATCGCGCCCTCAATCGCCCCTCTTGCTCACCTTCCCTCCCGCACCTCCTGGCATGCATCCAAATGAGCACGCTGCATCCGAGTGGGAGGCTCCCAAGCCCATCCGTGCAACCGTCGTGTGTCAAAGACGAATAGCCCCCTCTCTTCCCCAAATCCTGCCCATTCTTCCCTGTCTTCCTCCCTCGCTGCCTTCCCCCGGTTCGCCACCTTGCCTTGCCTCCCTCCTGATCCGTCCCTCTTCTCATTCCTGCCGCCCCGGCCTTCCCCCCCCCACCAGGCGGCGCTGGATGCGGGAGCAGCGTCGGTGATAGACGGCAGTAACTTCAAGGCGTGGCTGCGCAAGGCCATGGCGCACAAGGAGGTGGGGCAGTGGTACGAGTGCCACATGGCGTGCAAGGCCGCCACGCGCCTGGAACCGGGCAACGAGGACGCGAGGAGCCTGTTTGAGGAGTCGCAGTACAAGATGGGGTCCGTGCCGCACGCGCCCGCCCCGCAGCCACAGCCCGTGCTGGAGTCACAGCCCTCAAAGAAGAAGTTTGGCTTGTTTGGGAGAAGATGAGCCAGGGTGCAGGAGGGTGTGTTGGAGGGTGGGTTGCAGGCTTGATGCCACGCACCCACACAAGGCCATGAGCGCGCAACGGCCAAGGAGTGGGAAAGGTGATTGGAAGGTGATGAGTTGAGGGTGGTGGAGTGACAGGGACGGTGAGAGGGGGGATGCAAAACAGCTGGGGGCATGGATGGGAGGTGATGACACGGCTGGGGGCATGGATGGGAGGTGATGACACTGCTGGGGGCATGGATGGGAGGTGATGACACTGCTGGGGGCATGGATGGGAGGTGATGACACTGCTGGGGGCATGGATGGGAGGTGATGACACTGCTGGGGGCATGGATGGGAGGTGATGACACGGCTGGGGGCATGGATGGGAGGTGATGACACGGCTGGGGGCATGGATGGGAGGTGATGACATGGCTGGGGGCATGGGATGATAGTCCTAAAGAGTGCAGCTAGGATTGCTTTTTCTTATCAAGGTTTTCTCCTACCAAGAGAAAGGCCAGCAATGGCAGGAGATAACTGTTATTTCCCGGTCCAAAGGCCCTAGGACTTTATGAAGCTGGGGCATGGAGGTGGGAAGTAGATACCCTTACCCGTGCACTCTCTTCTACCTGTACAATTTCAGTTGTGCAAACTAGTTAGGTAAGGTAATCTTTTCCCAGAAAAGCTAACCTTGTTGACTGTACACGTGGTGGAAGCTTCTAGAACGCCACATGTTATCCAGGGGGCATGTGCGCCACGTCTTCTGACTGGAGGCGAGTCTGACTGGTGGCCTTGGCACGGCTCATGGGGTGTGAGGCTGTGAGCATAAGTCTGTTCCTTTGGCAGTTTTCTGTGAAAGCTAAATAGACATGGATATGCTTGGAGAGTTGACTTGGCATGGCGCCACTACAAGACTGCATATTTGTCACCCCCAGTATTGTGTGGATTTGGTGGTTCACGATTCTTGGTACAGATCTTGCAGTTATAAATCTACAGAGCATACAAGGCATGTGCAATGTGCATGCAATGCAAGCCATTTGCTTTCAGTTGTATCTTGTCCAACCCATAGATACACAGCCACGAGGTGGCCTTCACTAGTTGCCTCGCTGGGCTCCCCGAATGCATCCAGGTCGGAGGTCAGCTGTCCTGTGCGGTAGCGGGTGCAGCAGGGGCAGTGGGGGGCACGAGGTCGGAGCAGAAGCGCTGGGTGACGGCGGACTGGTACTCGAGGGGCACGTTGGCGCAGAAGCGCGCTGCCTGCTCTGACTGGATGGAGGGCGCCACCAGCGGGATGAGCGCCTGCAGCCGCTCCACCGACCCCTGCTGCGCTGCCACCACCTCCTCCAGCGTCTGCACCGCACTCAGCGCCGCGCGCTTGCTCGCGTCCGCCTTCACTGCCGCACTCTCCAGCTCCTTCTGACTGCCCGTCACCGCCGCCAGGCGCGACCGCAGCATCTCCACCTGCCGGGGGCCACAGTGAGGAAGAACACAGGCAGCATGCAGAATCAGTGGTGCTTGGCATGCGAGGCATACCTGCGTGGCATGTGAGTCATACCTGCGTGGCATGTGAGGCATACCTGCGTGGCATGTGAGGCATACCTGCATGGCATGTGAGGCATACCTGCGTGGCATGTGAGGCATACCTGGGTGGCATGTGAGGCATACCTGCGTGGCATGTGAGGCATACCTGGGTGGCATGTGAGGCATACCTGGGTGGCATGTGAGGCATACCTGGGTGGCATGTGAGGCATACCTGGGTGGCATGTGAGGCATACCTGCGTGGCATGTGAGGCATACCTGGGTGGCATGTGAGGCATACCTGCGTGGCATGTGAGGCATACCTGGGTGGCATGTGAGGCATACCTGCGTGGCATGTGAGGCATACCTGGGTGGCATGTGAGGCATACCTGGGTGGCATGTGAGGCATACCTGGGTGGCATGTGAGGCATACCTGGGTGGCATGTGAGGCATACCTGGGTGGCATGTGAGGCATACCTGGGTGGCATGTGAGGCATACCTGGGTGGCATGTGAGGCATACCTGGGTGGCATGTGAGGCATACCTGGGTGGCATGTGAGGCATACCTGGGTGGCATGTGAGGCATACCTGGGTGGCATGTGAGGCATACCTGGGTGGCATGTGAGGCATACCTGGGTGGCATGTGAGGCATACCTGGGTGGCATGTGAGGCATACCTGGGTGGCATGTGAGGCATACCTGGGTGGCATGTGAGGCATACCTGGGTGGCATGTGAGGCATACCTGGGTGGCATGTGAGGCATACCTGGGTGGCATGTGAGGCATACCTGGGTGGCATGTGAGGCATACCTGGGTGGCATGTGAGGCATACCTGGGTGGCATGTGAGGCATACCTGGGTGGCATGTGAGGCATACCTGGGTGGCATGTGAGGCATACCTGGGTGGCATGTGAGGCATACCTGGGTGGCATGTGAGGCATACCTGGGTGGCATGTGAGGCATACCTGGGTGGCATGTGAGTCGTCGGTGAAGAAGGAGTAGAAGGCGGTGGCGGGGATGATGACGGCCAGCGCGATGGTGGCGCCCAGCACCCACTGCAGAGACTGCACGCGCTCCACCAGCCGCTGCTTCTGCTCCACCGCCATTGCCTCCGCCGCCTCCACATACTCCCGTAGCCGCGCCTCCGCCCCCTCCCCGCCCCCAACTGCCTCCTCCTGCACCTGCTGCCCGCCGTGCCATTTGCACGCACACACACACCCGGAGCACAGCACATTCAGGTGTGGGGATGGAGAGGCGCGGGTGGAGGGGAGTGGGTGGAGGGGAGTGGGTGGAGGGGAGTGGGTGGAGGGGTGGAGAGCAATGGGGGAGAAAGGTGAGCAGACGAGGTGGGCCGTGGCGAAATTCAGGGAGGGGAGGGCGCAGAGCAGCACAATGCATGATGTGAGCGCGATGGTGGCACCTGGTTGCGAGCGGCGTCCAGCTGCTGCCTCATGTGGTGGGTGTCCTCTATCAGCCGCGCGCTGCGCTCCCTCACCGCCGCCGCCTCGCTGCTCACCCGCTGCATCAGCACCCTGCAGGGAGCGCGGGGGGAAGGGGGCGCGCAGGGGTGGGGCACACAGAGCCATGGCACGTGAGAGTAGCAGCATCAAGGGGGAACGAGCAGACGGCACTTGCGTGAGGGTTCAAGATAACAGCATGAGGGATGGGCATGTCTCGCGCAGCTGGCAGTGCGCCCCCCCACCCGCCAGAGAGGGCACTCGCCTGAGCACCTCCCCCGGCTGCCCCTCCGCCTGCTCCATCTCCATCTCCACGCCCCTCTCCGCTGCCAGCGCCGCCGCCTCGGGCCCCATGGCGCCCATCACGTCGCTGGCCGCCCCCAGCTGTGCGCGCCACGCCTCCTGCACCTCGCCCTCACGCCCCTCCGCGAACGCCAGCTCCGCGTTCAGCCGCGCCAGCTGGCAGCGCAGCAGGGCGGGCACGGGCACACAGGGGAAGGGGGGAGGGGGCGGAGGAGGGAGATGTTAAAGCCCCAGGCAACAGTTGCCTCTATTGCATGCCACCATGCCTCATGTCCCATGTGTCATGCCTCCCCTCCTCCACCTCCCCCATCTCCCTCCTCCTCACCTGGCGCGCCATCTGCTCCATCTGGCTGGAGAACACGGCGGCGCGGGACGCCAGGTCCGAGTCCTGGTCGCGCAGCGCCGCCAGCTTCGCCTCCACCTGCTCCGCGCGCGTCCGCTGCCGCGCCTCGCGCTCCGACAGGTCTTTGACGAGCGCCATCAGCTGCTTTGCACGCTCGCCGCTCGCCACGCTCTCCGCCGCGCGCTCCGCCTCGCGCACGCGCAGCTTCTCCAGCTCACCGCTCAGCTGCCCCACGCGCGCACTGGCCTCCGCCGCGCTGCCCTCCAGCGCCTTCACCTGATCCGTCAGCAGCCCCGCCGCGCGCGCCGACACCGCCTCCTGCTCCTCCGCCTGCCGCGCGCGCGCCTCCAGCTGCGCCACCTGTCTCTCCAGCACGTCCGCACGCCCCGTCGCCTTCTCCGCCACGCCCGTGGCCGCCTTGAGCCGCTCGCCCAGCTGCTGCACCTGAGCCGCCAGCGCCGCCATGCGCTCGCGCGCCTCCGCCGACTCAGCCACGCTCTCCCCCTTAGCGCCCTCCAGCTCCCTCAGCGCGCGCCTCTTGTCCTCCTCCGCTGCCAGCGCCGCCGCCTCCGCCCGCTGCGCGCGCTGCTCCTCCTCCTTCACGCGCGCGCTCAGCGCGCCGATGCTCTTCTCGGCACGCGCGACAGCCGCCCACTGCTCCTTGACCTCGTCCTTGGCGGCCTGCAGCTCCATGCGCAGCCCCTGGATCACTGTCGCCGCACGGCCCCCGCGCTGCTCGTCCGCCTGCATGCGCGCCGTCAGCGCGCGCACCTCGCCCTCCAGGCGCTCCTTGTCGCCGCGCGCCTGCTGCTCCACGGCGCGCATGCGCTCCCCCAGCAGCTCCATGCGCTCGTTGGCCTGCCCCAGTGCCTCCGTGTACAGCCGCTCCTTGCGCTGCAGCGCCTCCACCTGCCCCGTCAGCTCCGCCACCTGCCGCCCCGCACGCTGCAGCGTAGCCGCCTGCTCGTCCGCCGCGCGCGTCACGCTCTCCAGCTCCGCCACCAGCGCCGCCACGCGCCGGTTTGCCGCTGCCACCGCCTCGCTACCGCCCGCCGCCACCGCGGGTGGGGAGGCTGGCGGCAGCGCGGATGGGTTGGAGGCGCTCCAGCGGATGGGCGTCAGCAGGCGCTGCGAGGGGCAGGCAGGCAGGCAGGGGGACAACGGGGGGTGAGCGCAGAGCAACGGGTGCGGGCAGTGCGGGTGCGGACAATATGGGAGGAGGCGGAAGTGTGATGACGTGGCATGTGCTGTGATCATTCAGCGCCCTCACCAATCGCCATGCCTAGCCGCCTCACCTTGGCCGGCTCGTTGGCCCTCCTCTCTGCCTCCTCTGCTGCCTGCTGCTCTCTCGCCTTACGCTCCGCCGCCTGCACCCGGGACACGCAGGGGTGGAAGGAGGCGCCATGAGATGCAGTGCGGTGAGGGGAAGCAGTGGATGGCATGGAAGAGCACCGGCGAGCAGGCAGCGGCAGCTGGGAGGAAACGGCACGGGGCAGCACAGGTGGGGGTAGCGGCAGAGGGGGCGCACGGGGAGCGGCAGAGGGCACTGCTGCCAGGCGCAGCTGGGCGGTGGACGCACCTGGGCGATAGACTCTGCGAAGCTGACGTCAGCAGCCAGCCACTTGGCGAAGGCCTCGTTGATGTAGGCGCGCTGGGCTTGCTGCACGGGGCACGGGGCACGGGGAGGAAGGAGGAAGGGGGAGCCGAGGTGCAGGGGAAGGCGAAGGCGGGGGGTGCGAAATGAGGGCAATAGCAGGGTTGGGGGGAGAGCAGGCAAGTGAGCGTGGAGGGGCAGGTTGGGGCAGAGCGAGGGAGAGCAGGGGCAGAGCGAGGGAGAGCAGGGGCAGAGCGAGGGAGAGCAGGGGCAGAGCGAGGGAGAGCAGGGGCGCGCACCACCCAGTCGGAGTTGGAGTCGCCCGCCTGCCCCGTCCTCACGCGCTGGCGGTAGATGCTCTCCGCTATCTCAATCACCCGCGCCGTCGCGCCCGCCAACACCTTCTCCATCGCCTGCCCGCCGTATGGGGGAGGGGGGACAGCAGGCAGTGAGAGGGAGGGATTGCATGGTGTCAAGATGCAGGCGGGTGATGGCATGCAGGGGGGTGATGGCATGCAGGCAGCAGGCAGTGCAGGGACTACTGTGAGAGCCCATCGTGCGAGTGTCCATGCTCCCTCTACGGAACCCGCAAGCCCACCATTTCTCTCCACTCTGCACCACGTCCCACCGTTCACCACTGCCCATGCGTGTCGTGTGACACCACCACCACTCTGCCCCCCCCCCCCCACCCTTCTCACCAGCCCCCCCCGCGCACCTCCGTGAGCACGCCCATGGGCGGGCTGATGCCGGCCCTCCTCTCCGCCACCAGCGCCGACGCCGCGTCGCACGGCATGCCGCGCACGAACATCAGGTACCTGCCGCCGGGGGGGCGGGCAGGGGAGGGGAGGCGGGCGGGAGGGCATGCGAACATCAGGCACTTGCACGTGGCCGCAACTCGGGGTGGTGCAGGGGAGGGCGTGAGAGCAGTGGCGGCACTCACGCCCGTGTTACCGTTTGTTACTCGGCTCTCGCCTCCCGTGCGCTCGCGCTGCTCCACCAGCGCGTCTCACCCAGCGCGCCCTCCGCCACAGCATCCCCGCTCAGCCCCTTCCATGCCATTCGCGGCCCCCTTTTCCCTCACCCGATGGCGATGAGCGGCGATACGCGGTCGCCCGCCGAGCACTGCAGCAGCACCGTGTGCCCCGCCGCCACCAGCGCCGCCACCACGCGCACCACCTGCGGCAGCATCAGCGCCTGCCCGTGGAGGGGGGGGGGGGGAGAGAGAGCCAAGGGGACAAGGGGAAGAGGGGAGGGGCGGTTGAGAGAGGGGAAAGAGGAGGGAGAGGAGGGAGAGGAGGGAGAGGAGGACGCAAGGCATGAGAGGCATCGTTGCCGTCTATCCTGCCGCCATCCGCGCCTCACCTGCTCCGTGGCGTCGTGCCTCACCTGCTCCGTGGCGTCGTGCTCCTTCACCGGCACCCACACGGCCACCACGCCCTGCTCCTCCAGCCGCTGTCTCTCCTCCTCCCAGCTGCTGCCGCGCGCCTTCATCGCGCTCTCCTCCTGCCGACCGGGGGGGAAGGGGGAAGGGATGTGAGGAAGGCGAGTAGATGCGAGGAGGACGAGTGGAAAGGAGGCTGCTCGCCTAAGCTTATGGCATCGGAGAAAGTCGAGCGGGCGGAGGGCGCATGCACGGGCGGGGTTGAGCGCGGATCACGGCGTGGGGTGGGCGTGGCGCACCTCGACGTTGACGACGGCCGTCATGCCGAAGCCCGTCTGCAGCGCGCGCACGGCGTCCGCGCCCGCCGTCGTCACGCTCGCGCCGATCGCCACCTGCTCCGTCACCGCCGACCACAGCGGGTCCGCGCGCAGCACTGCGCGCACCGCGCAAGCGCCGGAGGGGCGGCGAGGAACGAGACGGAGAGGAGACAATACAGGGGTGGTCGGGGAGGGAGGGGGATGGGCGGAGGGGGAGAGGGGAGGCGGAGGAAACAATGAGAGAGGGGGATGGGTAGTGGCGGGGGATGTATGGAATAGCGGAGAGCGGGGTTCTGGAATCGCAGCAACTTCAATTGGGCGACAGTGCGCACGCGTGCCCAAGTCCATGCCGTGCCGTGCCGTGCCATGCCGTGCCATGCCGTGCCATGCCGTGCCATGCCGTGCCATGCCGTGCCGTGCCGTGCCATGCCTGCCATGCCATGCCCATGCCATGCCCATGCCATGCCCATGCCATGCCCATGCCATGCCCATGCCATGCCCATGCCATGCCCATGCCATGCCCATGCCGTGCCCATGCCATGCCCATGCCGTGCCCATGCCATGCCCATGCCATGCCCATGCCGTGCCCATGCCGTGCCCATGCCGTGCCCATGCCATGCCCATGCCATGCCCATGCCATGCCCATGCCGTGCCCATGCCGTGCCCATGCCGTGCCCATGCCATGCCCATGCCATGCCCATGCCATGCCCATGCCGTGCCCATACCATTCCCCTTACTCGAGCCATTCAATTGCAGCCGCTCGCTCTGCGGTGTCTCCGCTTCGGCGCTCGCGCGAACAGCCACGGACTTGCGCCCCCTGTCTGCGCGGCCCCCGGGTGAAGGGAAGAGCGCGGCGGAGGAGGACCTGAGCGCGCGCAGATGGTGCGGTAGTGGGGCGGTGGAATGAGAGAGCAGCGCGGTTGCTGGGAGGTGGTGCGCGGAGTCAACGCGGTGAGCGAGGCATGGCGCGCACGGCTGCACGTCCGCGCGCAACGCGGCCTTGGCGCTAGCGCCGAACGCGGACAGCATGGTGGCGGGCGAGGGCTGCAAACAGCACACCTCGATGCTGTGGCGCTACTGTTGCACCCGAAGAGGGATAGGCACGCTGTTTCTTGCAGCCCTTAGCAGCGTGGCGTGAGGCAGCACACGAAACGGCGTTGTGGTGAAGACGACAGACTTGAGTGGAGTAGAGCTTTGAAATCAGTCGTTGCTGAAGCAGATTGTTTGATTTCGGGAAAGAATCAACGGAGCCTTTTTGCTCCCAAGGGAGCGCGGAGGAAGAGACGAGGGGGGATTGCAGGGAGTGAATGTGGCGGGGGAGGGGGTGGCGTGGGGGCGGGAATGAGGGTGGACGGAATTGAGGGACATGGGGGGCTAGTGCTGTCAGCAAGGGAGCGAGTAATTCGCGCCCTCGACACATTGTTGGAAAACCAGTCGCGGATGTCAGCTGCTAGCAGAGGCTCACGACGAGAAGCAGCTGCGCGGGCAGATATTGACGGAAAATCGTCCGCCACGTTGGCGGTCTAGCTGTTTACGTCCCCCAAAGCGGTGGGTTCAGGAACATGCCACATATGCCGTCGATCTCCCCTGCTCCTCGTCAAATCGTGTGGCCTGCCCAGCACAAGTGGAGCATCATTGGCTCTCCTCTCCTGCCCGTGAGCCGCGTCGCGTAGACAAGCAGCCCACCAATAGGGTAATAAATAGGTCAAGGAAGAGAGATGAAACAAGTGGTTATGAAACGATGGGAACGCCGCACCAAACAATCGGCATCCCCGCCAAGGCCCCCCGATACTCTCCAGAGTCAAGTACATGCATGTTGCTCAATTGCAACGGGACAAGATAATACACATTGATTGTTGTTGACAAAACCCTGTATTTCCCTAATAGGGGTGACTAACTAGCCTACATACATCACTTCCAAGGTCATGAGTCTTCATTAGACTTTCCTTGCGGTGGCAGCTTCCTTCGCTTTAGCATGCTCTTATCCTGATGGAGAGTGGTCAGTAGACAGGTCAACAGGATGGATTAATCTTGTGCTTTATGAACGTAACAACTATATGCACATCCACACACCGTGCAAGCTCCCTCAGATCGTACACATGCAAGCCTGCATGGGCACGCTACAGCAGGCGCATACCAGGGAAGGGAAGGTGGTGCCTTTGAGTGCGGAGACGAACTCCTCCTGCAGTGCTGCCAGGCGCTGCTCCTTGGCGCGCGCCTCCTCCTGCATCCAGTCCATCTGCTCCTTCATGCTCCGCAGCGCCTGCCCCATGCCACATGCCACATGCCACATGCCACATGCCACATGCCCCGTGCCACATGCCGCATGCCACATGCCCCATCCCCCATGCCCCATGCCACATGCCACATGCCACATGCCACATGCCGCATGCCACATGCCACAAGCCGCATGCCACATGCCACATGCCACATGCCACATGCCACGTGCCCTATGCCCCATGCCCCATGCCCCATGCCCCATGCCACATGCCACATGCCACATGTCACATGCCACATGCCACATGCCACGCGCCCTATGCCCCATGCCCCATGCCCCATGCCACATGCCACATGCCACATGCCACATGCCACATGCCACATGCCACATGCCCCATGCCCCATGCCCCATGCCACATGCCACATGCCCCATGCCCCATGCCCCATGCCCCATGCCACATGCCACATGCAGTCAGCGGGAAAGGGGGTGGCCATGAGGGTGGTGGTACCAGCAAAGGCAGGGGGGTCATTGTCACCCCATGGCATCAGCGTTGGAGCGTCACACTAACTCGTCCAGCAGCAGCAGCTCACCTGGCGCGTGTCAGCAGCAGCGGAGAGCATGTGGGCGCTGCGCTCCAGCTCGCGCTTCATGAGGCCCAGCGCCTGGTCCCTCTTCGCCACGCCCCGCCGCAGCGACTCCCGCTCCATCTCCAGCTCCCGCGCCCGCCGCTCCGCCTCGCGCAGCGCCTGCCGCCACCCAACATCAGCAACAGCAGCAGCAGCACGCCGGGAGAGACGTAGGGGTAGCGAGAGGTGGAAGGAAACGTGGGGCAGAGGTAGCGATGGCCATTGGGAGAAACTGCAGAGACACATGGGCAACCGCCAGCTGCGCCCCTCACACTCACCAGCTCTGCCCCTAGCACCCGCCAGCTGCGCCCCTAGCACCCACCAGCTCTGCGCGCTGGGCGCGGATGTTCTCAGTGGTGTCGCGCCGCAGGCCCTCGATCTCCGCCTCGCGCTGCTCCAGCTCCTCCACCAGCTCTGCCTCGCGCTCCCGAGCCGCATTCAGGTCCTGGAGGCCGGTCAATGCACAGCACGCACGCACACACACAGCATAGGGAGGCGCATTGGGTGCAACACATTCCCCCCAACGACACTGACAGCAGCAAAGAGGGAATTCCACTTTACCCACGCGTCTGGAACTCCCGTGCTCTCTTGTATTTCCCGTGCTCTCTTGTATTTCCCGTGCTCTCTTGTATTTCCCGTGCTCTCTTGTATTTCCCGTGCTCTCTTGTATTTCCCGTGCTCTCTTGTATTTCCCGTGCTCTCTTGTATTTCCCGTGCTCTCTTGTATTTCCCGTGCTCTCTTGTATTTCCCGTGCTCTCATGTATTTCCCGTGCTCTCTTGTATTTCCCGTGCTCTCTTGTATTTCCCGTGCTCTCTTGTATTTCCCGTGCTCTCTAGTATTTCCCGTGCTCTCTAGTATTTCCTGTGCTCTCTTGTATTTCCCGTGCTCTCTTGTATTTCCCGTGCTCTCTTGTATTTCCCGTGCTCTCTTGTATTTCCCGTGCTCTCTTGTATTTCCCGTGCTCTCTTGTATTTCCCGTGCTCTCTTGTATTTCCCGTGCTCTCTTGTATTTCCCGTGCTCTCATGTATTTCCCGTGCTCTCTTGTATTTCCCGTGCTCTCTTGTATTTCCCGTGCTCTCTTGTATTTCCCGTGCTCTCTAGTATTTCCCGTGCTCTCTTGTATTTCCTGTGCTCTCTTGTATTTCCCGTGCTCTCTTGTATTTCCCGTGCTCTGCCCCGTGCCCCACCTGGTTGATCTGGGCGGCGGTGCGCAGGGCATCGGCGCTGGAGACGGCGTCCGCGCGGATGTCGTTGAGCAGCTGGTCCTGCTGCCGCACCTCCGCCTCCAGCCCCGCCACCGCGCCCTGCAGCGCCAATATGCGCGCCTCCGCGCCCGCCAGCTCCTGAGGGGGGGGCGCATGCGGACGTGTGGGAGCGGATGGGCAGGGGGAGCGAGTGGTGCAGTGTGGGGCACAGGCGGAGAGCAAGGCTTGCAAGCGGCGGGCAGACAGCGGGTGCTGGGAGAACGCTCTCCTTGCAGCTCTCTCACTCTCCTCGTGCCTGCGCGCGTCTGACCTTGCGTGTGGTGGCGGCGGCGAGCAGCATGTCTGCATTGCGCATCGTCTCGTCCTTCACGGCCGCCATCAGCGAGTCCTTCTCCTCCACCACGCCCTGCCATGCCACGCCATGCCCAGCCCACCCCCATGTGCAGTGCGTGGGATGCAGGGGCATGTCGGACACCTTGGTTTTTCTTGGTGCTTTTAACGACGATTTTCTTAACAAGCAGGCAACTCCTGCTCAGTTTAACGCTCTCAAGAATCAGGCTGTTTCCGATTTCAAGAAGCATTTTTCTCAAGCATCGGACCCTGATGCAACAGCACGCCTTCATGGAGGATCAGAAGAAAAATGGCATTATTCCGCATTCTATTCGGATCTAGCCGTTTACTTTTGTCTGCAATACCGAAGATCTTCGCCTCCAAGCCGACAAGGACCTCGAAGCCGCTCGACTGAAGTATTGTCAGAATGCTCAAGAAATTCTGATTTCGATGAAGAAGAAGACTGCTGACCAAGCTTACGGCGAGGCTACTGCTGTTCTTCAGTTGCTACAGAACAACCTCGACCATTTCATCAATCTTAACAAGAAGACGGACCTCGGAATCAAGCATTCTAAGCTTTTCGAAAACTTGGATTTTTTCAAGGGTCGCGTGATTCTGGAGTATCAGAATTCGATTTCGATGTTCTACTTGGATACTAATATGGCTGAAACAGTGTTGAAGCAGAGAAAGGAGGACCTTGACGCAAAGTTGGCTGCTGCGACTGCTGAAGCAGAGACCCTCCCGGTGGGTACCTCCGTTCGCGAGATTACCCACCAGGAAGTAGCGAAGATTTTGAACCAGCGTTCTAATTCGACGGCTGTTGGCAACAACAAGAACCAGCGCGGTGCCAGGAAGATGAATACTCCGAAGTGCAAGAACGGGGTTTCTGTCAAGTAGAGAACCGTCGCTGATCTTAAGTTCCGAAAGCATGGCAACAACAACAAGCGCGATAGCAAGAAGCCGAAGCAGACGGACCCCAAGAAGCAGTTTTCTCCTGAGAAGCATGCTGAGAAGACAGTGGGAAAGTCTTATGCGAAGACTTCGCAGCGCACCCCTGGCACCCGCAACGATCATGCAGCAAAAAACGGGGGAGGTGGAGGCCGCGGAAAAACTGTTCGACACTAGCCGAGGTATGCACTGATACTCTTCGGTCGACTGACAGAATACCAGCTGCAGTGTCGAGTCACCAACCGCGGAATCCACAGCTACAGTGATCATATTTTCTCACGTCGCGAGCTGAATCTGCTGAGTTTAGGATTGAAGTATATACCCGTACCTTTCGTCCGTAGCATCCAGAGCTTCGAAGCTGAAATCACGTCTTTTTTCCGCAGTGTTCGTACGATGTACCTGCTTAATGGAGCTGACTCTTTTTCTGATCGTTCAGGGTACAAGATACCCAGGCGAACTAACTGGAATCCGCCACCAGCCTCTTCTGAAATCGAGACGGCTTTGGCTTGCAGCTATAAAAGAAGCCGCTGAACAGGATTTCTCAACGCTTACCCGGAAGTCGTCGAATGCCTACGCTTTGACGTCTTGCGAAGAATCCAGATCTAATCTTTAAACCGGCGGATAAGAACCTGGGTCTAACCGTTATGAGCAGGGAATACTATCGAGCGAAATGTTTCGAACACCTACTTAATGGCCAAGTCTACAGGGAATTTTCTTCTATCCCGATTAAAGATATTCTAAGAGATCTACAGGGGATTCGCGGGGATTTTCATCCGCTTTTACCGGCTAGAACCTGGGATTCTTTCTTCACGAAGCATACAATTGGTTGGAAAGTTCCTGCCTTCTACGTGCTCCTGAAGATTCATAAAAAAGTCCCTGCTGGTCGATTGATCGCGGCCTCGCATTCTTGGGTTACTACTCACGCCTCCCGTTGGCTTGACTCAGTCCTCAGGCCTATCGTTCTGAAGTAGTCGACTTATGCTAAGGACTCTCAGAGCCTTATCTTGCAACCGGAGCAGCGTGTTTTCTCTAAAAGCCTTCTTCTAGCATCGTATGACGTGGAGTCACTCTACCCGTCAATCCCGCTCTGGGATGGCATCGATGCAGTCGCTTATTTTCTTCAGAAAGAACGACATCCTTTGGCTCCGCTCATTATTCATCTACTTCCGCTCGTGATGTCTCTTTTAACGGCCGATTTTTCCGACAAATTCAAGGAACTGCTATGGGGACATCCGTTGCAGTTTGTTTCGCGGTTCTGTTTCTGAGTTTTCTGGATCTTCAACTGCACGCCTCGCTCGGATCTTCTCCCGCTCTTCACCTTCGCTTCATTGACGATGGTTTGATTTTGTGGGAAGGAACGAGGGAGGATTTCAGCTGCATGAAACGACGATTCGACACCCTTCATCCTTCAATTCGGTTGACCTGGGTGATTTCATAAACTTCTACGGAATTTTTGGATCTTACAGTGTGTAAAGGACAAAGGTTTCAAGACTCCGGCGTGCTGGAAATGAAGCTGTTTCAGAAGCCGATGAATCGGTACCTTTACCTACCGTTCAAGTCTTATCACACTCGGTCTACCAAACTGGGTTTTATCCGGTGTGAGCTACGAAGATTTCTTTTGCACTCCTCTTCGCGAGCTGACTTCTTTAATTCCCGCGCACTTTTCTTTGCTCGCCATAGAGCTCGTGGGTACCCAGAAAAGTTTTTACTGCCGGTGTTTAAGTCGGTTTCCTTCGCTAACCGTGGGGAATTTCATCAACGCGCCTCTTCAATTCAATCTTCTGCGAACCGTGGCCCCCTGGAGCTGAAACTTCTTCTCAACCCTCTGGTTGACCGTTCGCGCCTGAGGAATATTTTGAGTCGACTCAGAAGTCATCTCGTTACAACGTCACACGGAACTTTCGCTTCAAGAAGAACCATTCTCGCTTGGAGGCTGACGAAGAGAGTTGGAAATTTTCTAATTTCTGCTCATAAGTGTTAGAACTACAGTAGATTCTTTACAGTTCGTTTTATCTTTCTTTTCCCTTGCCTCGTCGAGACCCCGCACAGGAATGCCTCGCGAGGAGTCCTCGAGATTGGCATTTATAGGCTAGCTAGCTTGCTTATTTCTTTGTGGTCTGAAGAAGGCTCTCGAGCCGAAACCGGTTACCATCAATTTTCACAAGAGTTTTCAAGCAAGCTCTCTACTCAATTTTACTTAAGCGTTTCTAGTTGCTGCCACGTAAAGACCTATGGCACCCAAGTGGTGTTCACTCGTTCCTTGGTTTGCAAGCCTGGTCTGATCCCTTCCGCCTCTCCCACCCAACCCCCCCCCCCTTCTCACTCACCTTGAGCGAGGTCACCTCCAGGGCCAGCTGCTGCACACGACCCTCTGCCTCTCTCAGCCTCTCCTCCGCGCTCGCCTGCGCCTCCAACGCTGCTGCCGCCGCCGCCCTCTCCTGTCCCACCGCCGCCTCCGCCTGCTGCCTCCGCGCCTCCGCCTCCTCCGCCTGCCGCGCCGCCTCCTCCAGCGCCTGGGGGGCAACAGGGGGTTGGGGGGGGGAGAGGAGAGGCGGGTGGCGCCGTGGAGGGATGGAGCAAGTGGGGCGGGGAAGCTCCTCTGTCCTCTGACACAGCCCACGCCACTCACCCATGCCCTCCCGCTCGCGCCCACTGACCCTCCCACCCACCCACCCCCTCCCTGACCTGCTGTGTGGCTGCGAGCTGCGCCCTGACGGCGTCCGCCTCCTGCTGCGTGCGCTCCACCGCGCGGTCGCGCTCAAGCAGGTCGCCCTCCAGCCGCCCCACGCGCCCCGCCATCTCCTCCGCCACCATGCGCGCCTCCGCCAGCTCCTGGGGGCGCCACACACACAGCACACGGCCAGCAGCCACGGAGACGGACCAGGGGGTCAGATGAGGAAAGAGCGGCAGGGGGAGGGTGCCAAGTGAGGCGATGAAGAGTGATGGCAGGCGTAGAAGCTCACACACGCCCTCAACATGAGTGATGTGGAGTCTAAAAGCCCCTGCACCCCATTCATCCCTCCCACCTCCGCCTACCAGCATTCCCGGCACGCACCCCTGTTCCCCTGGCACGCACCCCTGTTCCCCTGGCAAGCACCCCTGTTCCCCTGGCAAGCACCCCTGTTCCCCTGGCAAGCACCCCTGTTCCCCTGGCAAGCACCCCTGTTCCCCTGGCAAGCACCCCTGTTCCCCTGGCAAGCACCCCTGTTCCCCTGGCACGCACCCCTGTTCCCCTGGCAAGCACCCCTGTTCCCCTGGCAAGCACCCCTGTTCCCCTGGCAAGCACCCCTGTTCCCCTGGCAAGCACCCCTGTTCCCCTGGCAAGCACCCATGTTCCCCTGGCAAGCACCCCTGTTCCCCTGGCAAGCACCCCTGTTCCCCTGGCAAGCACCCCTGTTCCCCTGGCAAGCACCCCTGTTCCCCTGGCACGCACCCCTGTTCCCCTGGCAAGCACCCCTGTTCCCCTGGCAAGCACCCCTGTTCCCCTGGCAAGCACCCCTGTTCCCCTGGCAAGCACCCATGTTCCCCTGGCAAGCACCCCTGTTCCCCTGGCAAGCACCCCTGTTCCCCTGGCAAGCACCCCTGTTCCCCTGGCAAGCACCCCTGTTCCCCTGGCAAGCACCCCTGTTCCCCTGGCAAGCACCCCTGTTCCCCTGGCAAGCACCCCTGTTCCCCTGGCAAGCACCCCTGTTCCCCTGGCAAGCACCCCTGTTCCCCTGGCAAGCACCCCTGTTCCCCTGGCAAGCACCCCTGTTCCCCTGGCAAGCACCCCTGTTCCCCTGGCAAGCACCCCTGTTCCCCTGGCAAGCACCCCTGTTCCCCTGGCAAGCACCCCTGTTCCCCTGGCAAGCACCCCTGTTCCCCTGGCAAGCACCCCTGTTCCCCTGGCAAGCACCCCTGTTCCCCTGGCAAGCACCCCTGTTCCCCTGGCAAGCACCCCTGTTCCCCTGGCAAGCACCCCTGTTCCCCTGGCAAGCACCCCTGTTCCCCTGGCAAGCACCCATGTTCCCCTGGCAAGCACCCCTGTTCCCCTGGCAAGCACCCCTGTTCCCCTGGCAAGCACCCCTGTTCCCCTGGCAAGCACCCCTGTTCCCCTGGCACGCACCCCTGTTCCCCTGGCAAGCACCCCTGTTCCCCTGGCAAGCACCCCTGTTCCCCTGGCAAGCACCCCTGTTCCCCTGGCAAGCACCCATGTTCCCCTGGCAAGCACCCCTGTTCCCCTGGCAAGCACCCCTGTTCCCCTGGCAAGCACCCCTGTTCCCCTGGCAAGCACCCCTGTTCCCCTGGCACGCACCCCTGTTCCCCTGGCAAGCACCCCTGTTCCCCTGGCAAGCACCCCTGTTCCCCTGGCAAGCACCCCTGTTCCCCTGGCAAGCACCCCTGTTCCCCTGGCAAGCACCCCTGTTCCCCTGGCAAGCACCCCTGTTCCCCTGGCAAGCACCCCTGTTCCCCTGGCAAGCACCCCTGTTCCCCTGGCAAGCACCCCTGTTCCCCTGGCAAGCACCCCTGTTCCCCTGGCAAGCACCCCTGTTCCCCTGGCAAGCACCCCTGTTCCCCTGGCAAGCACCCCTGTTCCCCTGGCAAGCACCCCTGTTCCCCTGGCAAGCACCCCTGTTCCCCTGGCAAGCACCCCTGTTCCCCTGGCAAGCACCCCTGTTCCCCTGGCAAGCACCCCTGTTCCCCTGGCAAGCACCCCCGTTCCCCTGGCAAGCACCCATGTTCCCCTGGCAAGCACCCCTGTTCCCGTGGCAAGCACCCCTGTTCCCCTGGCAAGCACCCCTGTTCCCCTGGCAAGCACCCCTGTTCCCCTGGCAAGCACCCCTGTTCCCCTGGCAAGCACCCCTGTTCCCCTGGCAAGCACCCCTGTTCCCCTGGCAAGCACCCCCGTTCCCCTGGCACGCACCCCTGTTCCCCTGGCAAGCACCCCTGTTCCCCTGGCAAGCACCCCTGTTCCCCTGGCAAGCACCCCTGTTCCCCTGGCAAGCACCCATGTTCCCCTGGCAAGCACCCCTGTTCCCGTGGCAAGCACCCCTGTTCCCCTGGCAAGCACCCCTGTTCCCCTGGCAAGCACCCCTGTTCCCGTGGCAAGCACCCCCTGTTCCCCTGGCAAGCACCCCTGTTCCCCTGGCAAGCACCCCTGTTCCCCTGGCAAGCACCCCTGTTCCCCTGGCAAGCACCCCTGTTCCCCTGGCAAGCACCCCTGTTCCCCTGGCAAGCACCCATGTTCCCCTGGCAAGCACCCCTGTTCCCCTGGCAAGCACCCCTGTTCCCCTGGCAAGCACCCCTGTTCCCCTGGCAAGCACCCATGTTCCCCTGGCAAGCACCCCTGTTCCCCTGGCAAGCACCCCTGTTCCCCTGGCAAGCACCCCTGTTCCCCTGGCAAGCACCCCTGTTCCCCTGGCACGCACCCCTGTTCCCCTGGCAAGCACCCCTGTTCCCCTGGCAAGCACCCCTGTTCCCCTGGCAAGCACCCCTGTTCCCCTGGCAAGCACCCATGTTCCCCTGGCAAGCACCCCTGTTCCCCTGGCAAGCACCCCTGTTCCCCTGGCAAGCACCCCTGTTCCCCTGGCAAGCACCCATGTTCCCCTGGCAAGCACCCCTGTTCCCCTGGCAAGCACCCCTGTTCCCCTGGCAAGCACCCCTGTTCCCCTGGCAAGCACCCCTGTTCCCCTGGCAAGCACCCCTGTTCCCCTGGCACGCACCCCTGTTCCCCTGGCAAGCACCCCTGTTCCCCTGGCAAGCACCCATGTTCCCCTGGCAAGCACCCCTGTTCCCCTGGCAAGCACCCCTGTTTCCCTGGCAAGCACCCCTGTTCCCCTGGCAAGCACCCCTGTTCCCCTGGCAAGCACCCATGTTCCCCTGGCAAGCACCCCTGTTCCCCTGGCAAGCACCCCTGTTCCCCTGGCAAGCACCCCTGTTCCCCTGGCAAGCACCCCTGTTCCCCTGGCACGCACCCCTGTTCCCCTGGCAAGCACCCCTGTTCCCCTGGCAAGCACCCATGTTCCCCTGGCAAGCACCCCTGTTCCCCTGGCAAGCACCCCTGTTCCCCTGGCAAGCACCCCTGTTCCCCTGGCAAGCACCCCTGTTCCCCTGGCACGCACCCCTGTTCCCCTGGCAAGCACCCCTGTTCCCCTGGCAAGCACCCCTGTTCCCCTGGCAAGCACCCCTGTTCCCCTGGCAAGCACCCATGTTCCCCTGGCAAGCACCCCTGTTCCCCTGGCAAGCACCCCTGTTCCCCTGGCAAGCACCCCTGTTCCCCTGGCAAGCACCCCTGTTCCCCTGGCACGCACCCCTGTTCCCCTGGCAAGCACCCCTGTTCCCCTGGCAAGCACCCCTGTTCCCCTGGCAAGCACCCCTGTTCCCCTGGCAAGCACCCCTGTTCCCCTGGCAAGCACCCCTGTTCCCCTGGCAAGCACCCCTGTTCCCCTGGCAAGCACCCCTGTTCCCCTGGCAAGCACCCCTGTTCCCCTGGCAAGCACCCCTGTTCCCCTGGCAAGCACCCCTGTTCCCCTGGCAAGCACCCCTGTTCCCCTGGCAAGCACCCCTGTTCCCCTGGCAAGCACCCCTGTTCCCCTGGCAAGCACCCCTGTTCCCCTGGCAAGCACCCCTGTTCCCCTGGCAAGCACCCCTGTTCCCCTGGCAAGCACCCCTGTTCCCCTGGCAAGCACCCCTGTTCCCCTGGCAAGCACCCCCGTTCCCCTGGCAAGCACCCATGTTCCCCTGGCAAGCACCCCTGTTCCCGTGGCAAGCACCCCTGTTCCCCTGGCAAGCACCCCTGTTCCCCTGGCAAGCACCCCTGTTCCCCTGGCAAGGACCCCTGTTCCCCTGGCAAGCACCCCTGTTCCCCTGGCAAGCACCCCTGTTCCCCTGGCAAGCACCCCCGTTCCCCTGGCACGCACCCCTGTTCCCCTGGCAAGCACCCCTGTTCCCCTGGCAAGCACCCCTGTTCCCCTGGCAAGCACCCCTGTTCCCCTGGCAAGCACCCATGTTCCCCTGGCAAGCACCCCTGTTCCCGTGGCAAGCACCCCTGTTCCCCTGGCAAGCACCCCTGTTCCCCTGGCAAGCACCCCTGTTCCCGTGGCAAGCACCCCTGTTCCCCTGGCAAGCACCCCTGTTCCCCTGGCAAGCACCCCTGTTCCCCTGGCAAGCACCCCTGTTCCCCTGGCAAGCACCCCTGTTCCCCTGGCAAGCACCCCTGTTCCCCTGGCAAGCACCCATGTTCCCCTGGCAAGCACCCCTGTTCCCCTGGCAAGCACCCCTGTTCCCCTGGCAAGCACCCCTGTTCCCCTGGCAAGCACCCATGTTCCCCTGGCAAGCACCCCTGTTCCCCTGGCAAGCACCCCTGTTCCCCTGGCAAGCACCCCTGTTCCCCTGGCAAGCACCCCTGTTCCCCTGGCACGCACCCCTGTTCCCCTGGCAAGCACCCCTGTTCCCCTGGCAAGCACCCCTGTTCCCCTGGCAAGCACCCCTGTTCCCCTGGCAAGCACCCATGTTCCCCTGGCAAGCACCCCTGTTCCCCTGGCAAGCACCCCTGTTCCCCTGGCAAGCACCCCTGTTCCCCTGGCAAGCACCCATGTTCCCCTGGCAAGCACCCCTGTTCCCCTGGCAAGCACCCCTGTTCCCCTGGCAAGCACCCCTGTTCCCCTGGCAAGCACCCCTGTTCCCCTGGCAAGCACCCCTGTTCCCCTGGCACGCACCCCTGTTCCCCTGGCAAGCACCCCTGTTCCCCTGGCAAGCACCCCTGTTCCCCTGGCAAGCACCCCTGTTCCCCTGGCAAGCACCCATGTTCCCCTGGCAAGCACCCCTGTTCCCCTGGCAAGCACCCCTGTTCCCCTGGCAAGCACCCCTGTTCCCCTGGCAAGCACCCATGTTCCCCTGGCAAGCACCCCTGTTCCCCTGGCAAGCACCCATGTTCCCCTGGCAAGCACCCCTGTTCCCCTGGCAAGCACCCCTGTTCCCCTGGCAAGAACCCCTGTTCCCCTGGCAAGCACCCATGTTCCCCTGGCAAGCACCCCTGTTCCCCTGGCAAGCACCCCTGTTCCCCTGGCAAGCACCCCTGTTCCCCTGGCACGCACCCCTGTTCCCCTGGCAAGCACCCCTGTTCCCCTGGCAAGCACCCCTGTTCCCCTGGCAAGCACCCCTGTTCCCCTGGCAAGCACCCATGTTCCCCTGGCAAGCACCCCTGTTCCCCTGGCAAGCACCCCTGTTCCCCTGGCAAGCACCCCTGTTCCCCTGGCAAGCACCCCTGTTCCCCTGGCAAGCACCCCTGTTCCCCTGGCAAGCACCCCTGTTCCCCTGGCAAGCACCCCTGTTCCCCTGGCAAGCACCCCTGTTCCCCTGGCAAGCACCCCTGTTCCCCTGGCACGCACCCCTGTTCCCCTGGCAAGCACCCCTGTTCCCCTGGCAAGCACCCCTGTTCCCCTGGCAAGCACCCCTGTTCCCCTGGCAAGCACCCATGTTCCCCTGGCAAGCACCCCTGTTCCCCTGGCAAGCACCCCTGTTCCCCTGGCAAGCACCCCTGTTCCCCTGGCAAGCACCCATGTTCCCCTGGCAAGCACCCCTGTTCCCCTGGCAAGCACCCCTGTTCCCCTGGCACGCACCCCTGTTCCCCTGGCAAGCACCCCTGTTCCCCTGGCAAGCACCCCTGTTCCCCTGGCAAGCACCCCTGTTCCCCTGGCACGCACCCCTGTTCCCCTGGCAAGCACCCCTGTTCCCCTGGCAAGCACCCCTGTTCCCCTGGCAAGCACCCCTGTTCCCCTGGCAAGCACCCCTGTTCCCCTGGCAAGCACCCCTGTTCCCCTGGCAAGCACCCCTGTTCCCCTGGCAAGCACCCCTGTTCCCCTGGCAAGCACCCCTGTTCCCCTGGCAAGCACCCCTGTTCCCCTGGCAAGCACCCCTGTTCCCCTGGCAAGCACCCCTGTTCCCCTGGCAAGCACCCCTGTTCCCCTGGCAAGCACCCCTGTTCCCCTGGCAAGCACCCCTGTTCCCCTGGCAAGCACCCCTGTTCCCCTGGCAAGCACCCCTGTTCCCCTGGCAAGCACCCCCGTTCCCCTGGCAAGCACCCATGTTCCCCTGGCAAGCACCCCTGTTCCCGTGGCAAGCACCCCTGTTCCCCTGGCAAGCACCCCTGTTCCCCTGGCAAGCACCCCTGTTCCCCTGGCAAGCACCCCTGTTCCCCTGGCAAGCACCCCTGTTCCCCTGGCAAGCACCCCCGTTCCCCTGGCAAGCACCCCTGTTCCCCTGGCAAGCACCCCTGTTCCCCTGGCAAGCACCCCTGTTCCCCTGGCAAGCACCCCTGTTCCCCTGGCAAGCACCCCTGTTCCCCTGGCAAGCACCCCTGTTCCCCTGGCAAGCACCCCTGTTCCCCTGGCAAGCACCCCTGTTCCCCTGGCAAGCACCCCTGTTCCCCTGGCAAGCACCCCTGTTCCCCTGGCAAGCACCCCTGTTCCCCTGGCAAGCACCCCTGTTCCCCTGGCAAGCACCCCTGTTCCCCTGGCAAGCACCCCTGTTCCCCTGGCAAGCACCCCTGTTCTGTTCCCCTGGCAAGCACCCCTGTTCCCCTGGCAAGCACCCCTGTTCCCCTGGCAAGCACCCCTGTTCCCCTGGCAAGCACCCCTGTTCCCCTGGCAAGCACCCCTGTTCCCCTGGCAAGCACCCCTGTTCCCCTGGCAAGCACCCCTGTTCCCCTGGCAAGCACCCCTGTTCCCCTGGCAAGCACCCCTGTTCCCCTGGCAAGCACCCCTGTTCCCCTGGCAAGCACCCCTGTTCCCCTGGCAAGCACCCCTGTTCCCCTGGCAAGCACCCCTGTTCCCCTGGCAAGCACCCCTGTTCCCCTGGCAAGCACCCCTGTTCCCCTGGCAAGCACCCCTGTTCCCCTGGCAAGCACCCCTGTTCCCCTGGCAAGCACCCCTGTTCCCCTGGCAAGCACCCCTGTTCCCCTGGCAAGCACCCCTGTTCCCCTGGCAAGCACCCCTGTTCCCCTGGCAAGCACCCCTGTTCCCCTGGCAAGCACCCCTGTTCCCCTGGCAAGCACCCCTGTTCCCCTGGCAAGCACCCCTGTTCCCCTGGCAAGCACCCCTGTTCCCCTGGCAAGCACCCCTGTTCCCCTGGCACGCACCCCTGTTCCCCTGGCAAGCACCCCTGTTCCCCTGGCAAGCACCCCTGTTCCCCTGGCAAGCACCCCTGTTCCCCTGGCAAGCACCCCTGTTCCCCTGGCAAGCACCCCTGTTCCCCTGGCAAGCACCCCTGTTCCCCTGGCAAGCACCCCTGTTCCCCTGGCAAGCACCCCTGTTCCCCTGGCAAGCACCCCTGTTCCCCTGGCAAGCACCCCTGTTCCCCTGGCAAGCACCCCTGTTCCCCTGGCAAGCACCCCTGTTTCCCCTGGCAAGCACCCCTGTTCCCCTGGCAAGCACCCCTGTTCCCCTGGCAAGCACCCCTGTTCCCCTGGCAAGCACCCCTGTTCCCCTGGCAAGCACCCCTGTTCCCCTGGCAAGCACCCCTGTTCCCCTGGCAAGCACCCCTGTTCCCCTGGCAAGCACCCCTGTTCCCCTGGCAAGCACCCTTGTTCCCCTGGCAAGCACCCCTGTTCCCCTGGCAAGCACCCCATTCCCCCTGCCAAGCACCCCATTCCCCCTGCCAAGCACCCCATTCCCCCTGCCAAGCACACCATTCCCCCTGCCAAGCACCCCATTCCCCCTGCCAAGCACCCCATTCCCCCTGCCAAGCCCCCCATTCCCCCTGCCAAGCACCCCATTCCCCCTGCCAAGCACCCCATTCCCCCTGCCAAGCACCCCATTCCCCCTGCCAAGCACCCCATTCCCCCTGCCAAGCACCCCATTCCCCCTGCCAAGCACACCATTCCCCCTGCCAAGCACCCCATTCCCCCTGCCAAGCACCCCATTCCCCCTGCCAAGCACCCCATTCCCCCTGCCAAGCACCCCATTCCCCCTGCCAAGCACACCATTCCCCCTGCCAAGCACCCCATTCCCCCTGCCAAGCACCCCATTCCCCCTGCCAACCACCCCATTCCCCCTGCCAACCACCCCATTCCCCCTGCCAAGCACCCCATTCCCCCTGCCAAGCACCCCATTCCCCCTGCCAAGCACCCCATTCCCCCTGCCAAGCACCCCATTTCCCCTGCCAAGCACCCCATTCCCCCTGCCAAGCACACCATTCCCCCTGCCAAGCACCCCATTCCCCCTGCCAAGCACCCCATTCCCCCTGCCAAGCACCCCATTCCCCCTGCCAAGCACCCCATTCCCCCTGGCACGCACGGCAGTGACGCGTGCGGTGTTCTCCCTCTCTCGCCTCGTCTTGGCGCGCTCCTTGGCCAGCTGGTCGCCCATCGACTCCAGCTGCTCCTCGATGCGCAGCGTGCGGTCGCGCGCCGCCACCATCGCCTGCCAGCAGCGCGGAGTGGGGGAAGGAGAGGGGTTGAGGGGAGGGATGGAAGGAAAGCAGGCATGGCGGATTGGGAATCTTTTTTGAGTTCGATGCACGCCAGGAGCACCAATGCCGGAATCCAAGTGCCTGCTTGCTCCCAACGCCATCCCCCCCTCTCCTCTCCCCCTCCTCCTCCTGCGCGGCACAGCCCTTCCCTCTTCCCTCCCGCCCCCCTCCACCCACCCGCGCGGCCTGTTTGAGCGCAGAGGCGGAGAGCGCGGCCTCCTCCTGCAGCTGCTGCAGGAAGGCGTCGCGGTGCGCTATGCCCTCCTGCGCCTCCATCAGCTGCCGCCGCATCCTCTCCTCCCGCCCCGCCGCCCCCTCCAGCTCCTACCACAGAGGGGAGAGGGGGGGAGGAGATAGGGAGAGGGTGAGGAAGAGGAGCCAGAGATGGGTTGGGGGACGGGAAAGGTAAGGGAGAGACGGGAAGGGAGGAGAGTGAATAGGAGATCAGATGATCAGATGCGCACTGCACGCAGTACGAGGTGCATGGTGTGAGGAGTGGAGGGAACGGTCCTTGAATAGAGCTTGCACGCTAGATGCAGTGCGCTGCACCCCCTTATCTGCCCCATGCAATGCGCACTGCACCCCCTTATCTGCCGCATGCAGTGCGCCCCCTCACCCCCCCACCCCCTGACCTGCTGCATGCAGTGCGCCCCCTCACCCCCCCACCCCCTGACCTGCTGCATGCAGCGCGCCCCTCACCCCCTGACCCCCCCACCTGCTGCATGCGCTGCTGCTGGTGGGTCATCTGCTGCCTGAGCTCGTCCTTCTCCACACGCGACCGCTCCTCCACCGCCCGCAGTTGCTGCAACCACCACGCAGCAAGCATCACAGCGGGCGCACAATGAGGCAAGGACAGCGGCACGGAATGAGGGAGAGACGAAGGCACATGACGAAGCGCGCGGTGCATGGTGCTTCACGCAGTGGCCGACTGACCTTCTTGGTGGACTTGGCATGCGCCAGCAGCCTCTCGAGCACGGAGTCCTTCTGCGCGGCCTCCGTCTCCATGGCCTTGAACTGCTGCTGCATGCGCGCCACCATCTCCTCCGCTCGCCGCACCACCGCGCCCTGCCATAGCCATGCCCATCAGTGCATTGCGTAGGGGATGCATGGCTTGCCCACGCGCGCATACATGATGCCCGGCACCCCCATATGCACACACGTTGCCACTACCGTTACCACATCCGACCCCTCTTGTCATTCCCACTACCATGCCACTCCCCATAGAGAACGGCAGCGCACGTCAGCAGCTGTCACATTGCAATCAAGCACATGCACTCCCTGCCACCCCCACCTGCCGTGCCATCCCCACCTGGCCAGCAGCGGGGTCGCTGGTGCGAATGCCGCGGATGAAGTGCGTCGACTCGCCCATCTCCTGCTCGCACACACGGGGCAGCATGGGGAGCAGCACGAGGATATGTGAATGCACACCAAGTGACCAGGACGCTCGCCGTGCTTGTACTCCGCAGCAGGGAGGGGCAGCAGGGGGGGGCAACAGGGGGGGGCAACAGGGGGGGGAAACAGGGGGGGGCAACATGGGCAGTCAGAAGTAGCTAATCACTAGAGCATAAGTATCCCAGCACCATCCATCTCTCCTCCGGCCAACAGCAAACCCTGTGTGCACAGTACAAGCGGCATGCACCCTGTATGGCCCACCTTGTGTCGGGCGGTGAGTCCGCTCTCCAGCTGCTCCATGCTCTTCGCCATGCTCGACAGCAGCTGCCGCGCCTGCAGATACGACCCGCTGCCCGCTCCCCCGCTCTCACCAACCCCCGCCCCCTCCCCGCTCCCTCCCTCTCCCCCTGACCTGTCCCCTCCCCCTACTCCCGCCCCCTCCCACTTGGCCCCTGCCACGTGCACGCCGCGCCACAGCTCCGGCCTGCCCCCCAGCTGCTCCCGCACCACCGACCCCTCCGGCACCTCCTGCTCCCCCGCCCCTCCGCCCTCCCCCTCTCCCTCCCCCTGCTCCTGCCGTGTCTCGCTTCGACGCGCGTCCTCACTCCCCTCATCACCCCCCCCATCTCTCTCCCCATCACTCCCCCCATCGCCGCCGGCAGCAGCGGGTGCTGCAGTGGCGGCGGGAAGGTCCGCAAGCGAGCCAGTGGAAAGCGCGGAGAAGGGCACGGGCAGGCTGCTGCAGGAGGGGGAAAGGGGAAGAAGGGCAGCGGGGCGCAAGACCATGGGCGGAGCAAAGGGAAAGTGGGTGGGGTAGTTCGCTTGGTTCACTTTATGGTCCATCTTAGCTGTTTAACTTACCTGTATTCCGCGCCTCTCCTCGCCCACCTGTATTCCTTTCCGCCTTGTTCGGTCGCGATTTCCTCCCATGGCCCTTGCTCCGCCTCCGCCTCATCTTCCGCCTCCGCCCCCCCCTGCGCCCCCGTCCGCCGCTGCTCCTCCGCCTGCAGCAGCTCCAGCAGCAGCTGCTCCCCCGGTTCCTGCGCCGCCTTGCCCTCGCTCCCCATGCTCCGCATGATCGCCGCGCGCCCGTCCAACTTGGCGCGGGTGGCCTCCGCCATCTCCTCGTGCACGCGCGCCAGGATGTCCGCCAGCTCCGCGCTCTCCGCCTTCTCGCGCACCCCTCCAGCCTTATCCCCGACATTATCTGCCTCGTTTGGCGCAATTCCATTGACGTCCCCGCTGCTCGCAGCGCCGATGAAGCGGCTGAGGTGGCCGCCGCTCCACGCGAGGCTCGCGCTCTGCCGACCGGGTAACCGCTGCGGCCGTAGCGATACAGAGTGACGGAGAAGCTGATAGCGAGACGGCGGGACGAACGGCCGCCATTGCAGGTTTGAAGGAGCGGGGAAGCGCAAGGCGGTTTCAATGTGCGAAGGCGCGTGCAGGTGGTGGCGCGAAGCAGGATACCCCTCCATGCGCCCGCGCTGCACGCTGGGCACCAGGCGAACGGCCAGCCCCCCTGCTTCCTGATACTACTTCCGATACTGTCACGTAGCACGCGTGCGCTCACAATTAAAAGTCATAGCGCTCATATAAGGGCAACGAGAAACGATCCCGTTCAGCCAGCTGTGACGGAAACTATACCGAGCTGTGCTGGATGCGAATACTCCCCAGGCGGTGTGGCTCGGCGAGAGATGCTATAGAGTTGGTGTTGGTGGGACTGTGGGATCGCCTGCATGCGCGCATGGGGAGCGAGGCAAAGGAGCCGTTGGCGTTAGCAACTTCGAAATGGCGCACGCTATCTGGAAGAGTGCGTGGCTCGTTGGCGACGCTGGTAACTCAAGTGTGGATAGAGGAGAGGAACCTGGCCACGAATGAGTGCCTTCGCGACGTAGTGCGAAGCGGCTCTGCGATGGAATGTTCATCCCCGTTACTCGTTGCACTCATGAAAAATAATTTCCCACAAGTACCTTCACTCACTCAATTACTGGAATTTCAATAGTACGTGCTTGTATCAGACCCATAAGATGAAAAACAAAATCTTTCATATCAATAATGAACGTTTTAATGAGTCTTCGTTCCGTTTCCCTTCTTCCCCGGTTTTCTTCGTATGGGAGCTATAGGCTACACGATTTTGATATTTCGTAATGTACATAATTGTGTTTGCTTGTTGAGATCGTGCCTACCAGACAGCAACAGCCAAGCCGCGAGCTCTCAGGGATTGCGCGACATGGGCATCGCGCGCTTCGGTGATCGGGTCAGCCCTGGGTTGCGGTTGTGGGTTGGCATGTGCTTGCTCTGCTCCCCGCCCCTCACATTTCTGGTCGCCCCGCTTGCGTTGCGTGCCCCGCTTCTCCATTTCACCTCTTTCTTCACCCGCACGCACGGGACGCACTTCACCCTCTTTCTTCACCCGCATCTGCATTCTGTTGCCCCGCCTTGCACTGCCGCATCACTCGAGCCCGAACCATTCAGCCATTCCTCGACCATGGCCTTTTCGCACCTCTTACATCCACCTCGACTGCTTTTGCGGAGATAAACTTAAGCCCAGCATCGATCCTTCTCCTCCATACGCGGATCCCTTTCCCCAGCTCGCACAATTTTAGGCGACCGAGCCCCAGGACGCGGCTGCGCGTCATGCACCCCTCCGCCGAGCGCACCGCCGCTGCGAGTGTGCCCCTCTCCCGCGCCACCATTCCCTCCTCCCGCCCGCGTCTCCCCCGCCTAGCCCTCGCGCCGTGCCTGCTGCTGCAGCTGCTGCAGCTGCTACCCCCCCGCATCCCCGCCGCCACCGCCTTCGCGCCCGACGTCATTCGCAGCCTGCCGGGCCAGCCGCGCGGAGCCCCGCCCTTTGGCCAGTGGGCTGGATACATCCCCGTAGGCCCCGCGGGCAGAAAGAAACTTTTCTATTGGCTGACCGAGTCCGTGGCCGCCCCTCAAACTAAGCCCCTAGTTCTGTGGCTCAATGGAGGTGGGGCGGGGGGAGGTGGGGCGGGGGGAGGTGGGAGGGCCGGAACGGGGTGCGTGAGGCATGGCATGGCGAATGAGGATGCGGTGGGGGACGCCATGCGGATGCGGCGTGATATCAGCTGACGGTGGCTGGCCTCGGGGTTCGCGAGAGTGTGACCGAATCTCGATGCGGTGCTGCGCTGCGTCGCCTCACCGCAAGTGTTGTGCCCTTGCTGCATTTCTGCCTTGCTGCCGTGGTGCCGTGGTGCCGTGGTGTGGTGCGCAGGTCCGGGGTGTTCGTCCATCGGCTACGGTCTCTTCGAGGAGCTCGGGCCCTGGTGAGTGCACGCTGGGGCACTCGAGGCTGGCATGTCCCGCCCTGCCGCTTTTCCGCCCGTTCACTTCACCGCCGCCCCTTGAGCCTGTGTTGCTGGCGGCTGTGTGCAGGCGCGTGGCGAACGATGCGGGTCGGCAGCTGCAGTTCAACCCCTTCGCCTGGAACAAGCGTAACCCCCTTCTGCCCCCGCGCCCCCACGCCTTTGCCTCTTTGCCTCTTTGCCTCTTTGCCTCTTTGCCATGTGCTGCAAAGCAGGCCTCGCTGCATCCTCGCTGCGTCACCACGCATCAACACCTGCCGCCGTTCCCCTTCCCTCTCCCCCTTCCCTCCCCCCATCCCCGCAGTGGCGAACGTGCTGTTCGTGGACTCGCCGGCGGGCACGGGCTTCTCGTACTCGCTGGACCCCAGCGACCTCAGCACGGGCGACAACCAAACAGGTGCCTGCGTGGCCGCTCTCTCCTTTGCCTCTCTCCCGCTTCCTGTTCTGCCCCTTCCACGTGCCGCCTCCTCTTCCGTCTTCTCTCTTACCCCCGCCCCGCCTCCTCTTCCGTCCTCGTGTCCCCCTCCCATCGCCCCCGCGTCCTCTCTCCCCTCCCATCGCCCCCGCGTCCTCTCCCCCCTCCCAGCGCTGGACACAGTGCAGTTGCTACGAGCCTTCCTCCGCCGCCACCCGCGCTACAACGGGCGCACGCTGCTGCTGGCGGGGGAGAGCTATGCAGGTGAGGGGGAGAGGTGCGCAGGTGAGGGGGAGAGGTGCGCAGGTGAGGGGGAGAGGTGCGCAGGTGAGGGGGAGAGGTGCGCAGGTGAGGGGGAGAGGTGCGCAGGTGAGGAGGGGAGCTGCGCAGGTGAGGGGGGGGCAGGCGGCGTGGCGGGCAATGGGTGCAGGGAGAGCATGCTCCCGCAGTATCCACCATGCGCCTCCCTCTGCCTGCCCACCCTCTCGCCCCACCTCCCATCCTCTCGCCTCCCACTACCCCTCCTCGCCCTCCATCCCCACGCCGTCTCCCCCTTCCCCCACATTCTCCCCTTCCCCATCCCCCCACCCCCAGGCCATTACATCCCGCAGGTGGCGGCGCTGCTGCTCTCCCTGGCGGCGCGCCCTGCGCAGCGAGTGCGGGTGCGGGTGGGGGGCGTGCTGCTGGGCAACCCCTTCGTGCACGCCACCATAGACACCAATGCGCGCACGCAGTTCTTCTACGACCACGGGCTCGTCTCGCCACAGCTCTTCTCCCGCGCTGCCCAGGCACGCCTTCCCGCCCTGCCGTGCCCCCCAGCCGCCCTTGTGTGCCCCCCTGCCGCCCTCGCTGGCTATTCGGCTGCTCCTGACACCCCTGAGCCTCCTCTCCCTCACCCTGTGGCGCCCTTGCATTCACCCCCTCATCCATCGTAAGAATCACCCCATCCTGTGTCACCTAGCCTTCTACTGTGCTCGCGTGTCCCATGTACCGCCCCATATGCCCCATGCCCCATATGCCCCATGCCCCACATGCCCCATGCCCCATATGCCCCATGCCCCACATGCCCCATGCCCCATATGCCCCATGCCCCACATGCCCCATGCCCCATATGCCCATGCCCCATGCCCCATATGCCCCATGCCCCACATGCCCCATGCCCCATATGCCCCATGCCCCACATGCCCCATGCCCCATATGCCCATGCCCCATGCCCCATATTCCCCATGCCCCATGCCCCATGCCCCATGTCCCATGCCCCATGCCCCATGCCGCCAGTGCCACTTCTCTGCCGACTCGGTGCTGCCCGGTGTGTCATGCGACGCCATCATGCGCGCCGTCGCTACCGCTGACGTGAGCGCTGCACCCCTACCCCATGGCCCATGCCCCGTGGCCCATGCCCCGTGCCCCGTGCCCCGTGCCCCATGGCTCTCTCATGCCTCATTTGTCACTTCGCTGGCTATCAACTGCTAACCGGTGTCTTCGACTCTTGCCGTGCCTGTGTCCCTGTGGGTGTGTGTGGGTGTGTTGGCACGTGTGTGTTGGCACGTGTGTGTTGGCACGTGTGTGTTGGCACGTGTGTGTTGGCATGTGTGTTCCAATGGACGTGCATCCCCGCCAACCGTCTCACATCATCCCGCACAGAGTGGCATCGACCCCTATGGTAATCACATCCACCATGTCATCACATCCACCGTGTCATCACATCCACCATGTCATCACATCCACCGTGTCATCACATCCACCATGTCATCACATCCACCGTGTCATCACATCCACCATGTCATCACATCCACCATGTCATCCCATCCACCATGACACCACACTCACTCATGTGTGTGCTGCACGTTTCCTCGTTCTCTTGCTGAAGAACCCATCTCCCCTCCCCTCTCGTCGCCTCTCCCCGCCCCTCCCTCAGACATCTATGCGCCCGTGTGCCTGTCCCCCGCGTACCTCTCGCTGGGCCTCACCACGCAGCGCCTGCGCCTCGCTCGCCTCGTGTCCTCCTCCTCGCCCTCACACGCACCAGGGGCGCGAGGGGCGCGAGGGGCGCGAGGGGGAGAGGGGGCAGCAGAGGGGCAGGGTGCAAGTGTGAAGGGGGGAGGGGGGAAGGGCGGAGTGGAAGGGGCAGGGGCAGTGAGGGGAGTGGATGGAGCGGCAGGGGCAGGGAGCGGCGAGGAGGGAGGGGGGGTGGCAGGGGCAGCGGACCCGTACGTGGCGAGCCGAGCGTGCATGGACGTGTGGGTGCGGCGCTACCTGCAGCGCGCCGCCGTGCAGCGCGCCATCCATGCCATGCCGTCCACACCGGGGGCACGACCGCAGCAGTGGATGGCGTGCAGGTGAGCGGCAGCAGTGCATGGCGTGCAGGTGAGGGGCAGCAGTGCATGGCGTGCAGGTGAGCGGCAGCAGTGCATGGCGTGCAGGTGAGTGGCAGCAGTGCATGGCGTGCAGGTGAGGGGCAGCAGTGCATGGCGTGCAGGTGAGCGGCAGCAGTGCATGGTGTGCAGGTGAGGGGCAGCAGACCCGCAATCATGCTCTCACTCCATATCCCTTTTCCCCTCACTCTACACTCGCTCCTGACGTCGCTCTCTCTGCCCTCTCCCTCCCTCCCTGCCTGCCCCCTCCTCCCCATGCATGCGCCCATCAGCGCCATGCTGCAGTACGCCAGCGATGACATGGCGGCCAGCATGCTGCCACTGCTGCGCCGAATCATGCAGGCGCACGTGCCACTCTGGATCATGTCGTGAGTGCTGCGCGTGGCATGTGAGAGTGCTGCGCGTGGCATTTGAGAGTGCTGCGCGTGGCATGTGTGATTGGTAGGCATGGCATGTGCTGTGCGTGGCATGCGGTGAGCTGAGATGCGTGTCTTTCCAATCTCATGTCAGAACAAGTCAACCCCTCAGCGCCTCGTGCCTGTCACACGCTTTGCTGCGTTCACTTACTGCGTTGATTAAAAGCACATGCCACCATCTGCACACCTTTGCACCCCTCTTTCCCCTGCCCCCCCCCAGTGGCGACACTGACTCGGTGGTGCCATTCACGGGCACGCGGCAGTGGATAGCGGCTCTCAACCTCCCGCTGATCTCACCCCTCCTGCCCTGGACGCTCCCTCCCACCCGCCAGGTGGGTGTGCCATGCCAGGTGGGGGTGCCATGCCAGGTGGGGGTGCCATGCCAGGTGGGTGTGCCATGCCAGGTGGGTGTGCCATGCCAGGTGGGGGTGTCATGCCAGGTGGGTGTGCCATGCCAGGTGGGTGTGCCATGCCAGGTGGTGAGGTTTTTCTCAGTCGCATGTGTGGCAGGCACAACACGGCAACTTCAATGACTGCCTCGCATTCTTCGTTCCTCCTGTGCCCTTTTCCCAAGCCCTCACGCATGCTTGCCAGCTCCCACTCCTCTCCCCCCTCCTCCCAGGTGGGCGGGTGGGTGACGAGCTACAAGGGGCTCACGTTTGTGACTGTAAGGGGGGCGGGCCATGCCGTGCCTCTGTCACGGCCCGCGTCGGCCTTCACCATCTTCGGCCACTTCCTCAGGGGACTCGCCCTCCCAACGGACTAGCGCCAACGGAAAGGGGCGTGCCCTGCCAGCGCTCCGCTCACACCTCACACGCACGCCCCTGCAGCGCGGGGCTGCTGGCAAGGCCTTGCACTCTGTACAGACTGGGGTCACTTGCTGTGCTCCCCTGCTGCATTTGCAATGGGAGTAGCAACAGCTCCTTTGGGGATATACGCTCCTTTGTCATGCCTTTGTACCATACTAGCTTGTACAATATATACTGTCAACGAACTCGTCAAGAAACCATTCTTTTCAATCTACGGTATAAGCCTTTACTTTTATACTTTGAATTCGTGAATGGCTATTATGTAGGACCTCCAAATTAGAGGTCAAGAGTAGTATCTGAACTCCCATGCCTTGCAGAGTTGTACCAAGTCCCCCTGATCTCATTGATGAAACAAACAACACACCAGGACCGATGATGCACCCATGATCGCCTCACCAGGACTTGAGCACCACATGCCTGTTCCTGGTGGCCTATCCCCTACCCCACTTCCTCCACAGCGCATCCCACCATCCCTTGCACGTCCCCCTTCCTGCGAGCACCCACTGCCACCACCCCTTCACCCTCTCCCCTTCACCCTCTCCCCTTCACCCTCTCCCCTTCACGTCTGTGCGCGCACGGCGCTCACAGTGCTGCAGAAGCGCTCAGCCTGGGTGGACCGGCTGCCGGGCTTGATGGCATCGCAGAACATGGCGGCCCGGTCGGCACGCGTGGCGTCGTCGAGATCCGGGGCGATGAGCGGCACCAGCGCCTGCAGCTCTGCCAGCGACGATGATTCCGCCGCCAGCAGCGACTGCAGCAGCACCGCCGTCTCCGCCGCCAGCTGGGGGGGCGCCTGCACTCACGCGGGGGAAAAGGTGGGGGGGGGGGGGGGGGGTTGATTCTGTGGGTCATGGATGGGGTGAGGGCGATCAAGATGGATGGGGTGAGGGCGATCAAGATGGATGAGACTGTGGTTTAGAGTAGCTGGCAGCCGCACCTGAGGGGTGGGTGGCAGCCGTACCTGATGGACGGGTGGCAGCCATACCTGAGGGTCAGGTGGCAGCCATACCTGAGGGACAGGTGGCGATGGGCGGAGGTTGGAGATGAGGGCGGGCAGCAGCAGTGGCAGCAATGCCAGCCCCACGCCCCCGATGACGGCGCTGCGCACATACTTGCTGCGCCGCTCCTCCTCGCTCTCCCCCCGCACCCGCCTCGCCTCCTCCTCCACCTCGCCCCTCATCCCCGCCACTGCCTCCCGCAGCCGTGACACCTCCCCCGCCACCTCCTCCGGCTGGAAGGGGGGGAGAAGAGGACGGACACGGACGAGGCACGAGGGGCAGAGGGGAGGGGGGAGGGGGGATGAGGGTGGGAGAGGAGAGGATAGAAAGAGCCGGGTGTGGAGCCGTGGGAAGGTTGCTGCGTGGCCAAGGGGACTTGTACAGGGAGTGATTTCAGGTGTTGCCACTCTGGCTCGCAGCACTCAGTGGCTGGCAGCACTCAGTGGCTGGCAGCACTTAGTGGCTGGCAGCACTCAGTGGCTGGCAGCACTCAGTGGCTGGCAGCACTTAGTGGCTGGCAGCACTTAGTGGCTGGCAGCACTCAGTGGCTGGCAGCACTCACGGTGGCTGGCAGCACGGGTGCAGGCGAGGGGGTGTCGGGAGCAGCGATGGACTGGAAGGGAGGGAGCCCGCCCTCTGCTGCCACCTCCCCGTCTCTCTTCTCTTCTCCTGCTGCTGCACCCGCCACATCAGATTGTTTCTCTGCCTTCTCCGCCACGGCCTCCTCGCCACTACCAGCGCCGTCAGCAGCAGCGGCGGCAGCAGCGCCGTCATCGCTGTCTTTGGGTGGCGCGCGGAACTTGGGCATGCGGCGGCGGCGAGGGGCGGAGGGCGAGGGCAGCCCGATGAAGCCGAGCGTGGGAGGGGGGCCCTCGCTGCAGGGGGGGTGCGGGTGGAGGGGGTGGGGCGATAGTGAGGAGAGAGTAGGAGATTGGAAGACGTGGAAGGCTGCCATTAGGGGAGGCATGGCACAAGGTACGAAATGAGTGGGCGGAGAAATGCAGGAGGCAAGGGGAGGAGGAGAAGAGCTCGCATGTGTGCAACTCACGCGAGCGCCTTGACGAGTTCGTCTTTGGTGTCGCCCTTGAGCCCCCTCTCCCTCGCCAGGTACCGCAGCTCGCCCATCTCCATCGCCTCCAGCGCCCTCTCCGCCTCCGACTTTTCCGCCTTCACCTCCGCCTTGCCCTCCCCACCTGCACCCGCTGCAGGCTTGGGGGCTGCAGGCTTGGGAGCTGCAGGCTTGGGAGCTGCAGGCGTGGGAGAAGGTTTGGGGGCCACAACAGTAGCAGAGGCAGCAGCAGCAGCAGGCGCGGCAGGCGGAGGGGTGGGTGGCTTCGCCTTGACTGGGGTGGATGCCTCCTTGGCTCTGGGGGGGGAGACAGGGGGGAGTGGCAGGCAGAGGGGTGGGGGTGAGGAGAATGAGGGATAGAGGGAGGGCGGGCGAGGGCCAAGGGAAGCGGTGCAGGTCGGGCAGCAACGAGTCCAAGGAAACAACAGCTCCTCGCCCCCTGCCCTCCCCCGCTTGTCCCCTCAACTCTCCCCCCCACTACTACCTCCCCCACCCATAACCCCCCCCTACTGACAGCAGCGCCGCCACGATCTGCGCCTTGGTGTCGCCCCGCACCCCCTGCGCGCGCGCCATCTGTCTCAGCTCTGCCAGCCCCCGCCCCAGCAGCTCCCTCTCCCGCTGCGCGCCCGCCCCCCCCCCTGCTGCTGTGGGGGGCGGGGCAGCTGCAGGCGCGCGTGCTACAGGTGCGGGCGGGGTGGTTGGCGTGGCGGGCGAGGGGGAAGGCGGGGGAACGATAGGCGCGGGTGGCGGGGGGGGCTTGGGCAGCGGTTGTCCGGCCATCAGGCTGGGGGGGAGATGAGAAGGGGACGGGAGCGGAGGAAGGGGGAAAGAACGGGAGAGGAGGCGTGGGAGAGAAAAGGGGGAGGCAAGGCAGCGAGCGAGTTGAGTGTGGCGCGAGTAACGCAGTGGCACGACTGCATGATGCTGTCCTTGAACACGCAACCGCATTGCCCCTCCACTCTCCATTCTCTCCCCCAAACCCCCAGCTTCCGCCCCCAAGTGCGTACAGGCGCAGGTCTCTTAGGATCTCCGCGCGCGTGGACGCCCGCGAGCCCCGCTCGCGCGCCAGCTCGCGCAGCTGCGGAAGCGGCATTTGCTCCAGCAGTTGCGCCATCGCGTCGGGACCCCCCGGCACCACGGCAGGCGGGGCGGGTGGTTGTGGGGAAGCGGAGTAAGCGAGAGAGGCCGCGCCCGAGCTGCAGGGGCGGGGAGGGGGGAGGGGGGAGGGGAGAAGGGGGAATGGAGCGAGGGCAGTGGGCATTGGAACGGGAGGCGGGTGCTGAATGCGGATGGAGGATGCGCGAGGTGCACCGCCCACCGACAGCACGGCACGGCACGGAACGACACGGCACGCGGCGACTCACAGCAGCAGCTGCTCCACGAGCTCCGCCTTGGTATCTCCGCGCAGCCCGCGCGCCTTGGCCAGCGCGCGCAGCTCCGCCATCGACTTGCGCTGCAGCTCGCGCTCCGCTTCGTCCAGCACGCTCACGGACGCGCGCACCACGCCGCTTCCGCGCGCGCGGCCGCGAGGAACTTGCGCCAAGGGCTTGGGGGAAAGCAGCACCCGCGCGGCGCCATTGAGTTTGGCGGGCAGCAAGAGAGACTGGGGGAAGGCAGTGGGGGAAGATACGTGGGTCGGAGGAAAGGGGAGGCACCGCGAAGCAGAGTGAGGCGACGGAAACACTTGGCGACGCGCGAATGGCTGACAGTGGGTGGACGTGCGCGCGGCCTCATTGATAGATGGTGGTCGACCTCCGACAGAAGCGCATTCTGCATTGGGCAGGCTGGCGGGCGATAGCGACGTTGGAGGCAGCTTGCTGAACGCCAGTCATGTGCGACGTACCTGCGACACATACGGCGACGCCATTGCAGTCCCGCTGTGCGACGAATGAGACACAGGAAATATAGCTTCGTAACAATGCGCGTTACGGCAACTCAAGAAAGCGATAGAAGACTATTCCTGTGACCAACTGCTTCTGATATGGGAGCCTGCGACTGACACTATCGCGATGATCGCTCCTCTATTGTCGCGCAACCACTTGCTCGCGCCAGATCTGCGGCTGATTGGGAGGGAAGTGGCCACAAGGTGCCGCCACGTGGCGACGAGGTGACTCAACGTACACGTGGTATCGCTTTTGTTTTTGCTTTCAGATAAACACCTTGGTAACTGTGGGGCGTATTTACTGTCTCGGTTGAAACCTTCCAAGTCACGCAACTATTACTGCTTCCACGATCGGGCCACGAACTATTTCCGTAAAGCATGGTGTTTCTGCTGCTTTGTAACTGAACCGAAGACGGATTGAAATCTCAAGGTCTTGTGTTGCGAAAGTTCACCTCGAATGGATCGATCCTGTTTTGCGGGCAGGGGGGCAACCAGCCACACTGAGGTGGAATGAGCCGGAAATTGCTGACGTGGCGACTACGGCTTTACACCCTGCCCGCGGTGGATCCTGGCGGCTGGGCTCATCCATCGGGAAAGTGTGGCTCCAAATCGCCACGCTGCCAAATGAGAAAGGATCTTGAGCTGATCAAAGGCTGACACCTTAGCCACGTCAGCATGTGCTTTTCCCATCGGGAACATTCACACTAGTCACGTCTTGAACCATGCGGCTTCGGTGTCGTTTGAAACTACACCTCCGCCTTTCCCTCCCACCGACTATCCAACTTACCACTCTGCTTCGCTTCGGTCTGCATCACTGCTTTTCATCTCGCGTTTTAGCAGCCGCTGGCAGCAGCGCAAGAGGCGTTTAGCCGCGTAAACGCGAGTTGGAGACGGTCGTGGTGGGCCCAGTGCACTTGGAGTCGGAGTCTGTTCGCTATTTAAGCGTGTCCTCGGGCAACTTCGAGTAGTTGCGTCGCTGATCCGTCATTCGGAACAGCTTATGCTGCTTCTCGATCGTGCCTTTACAGCCTTAGCGTGGCGGCCGCTGCACCCGAGTCGTTGGCATTAACAGGGCGATGCGAAGCCGTCTCCTCGCCACCATGTGCCCCTCGTGCATTTCGTGACGCGCTGCTCTCCGCCATTCCTCACTTTCTTCCCCACATCCCCTACGCGCTGTCCGCACCACACCACACGCGCACTCCACATGGCGGCCGCCGCGTTAACCCCATCCACGTCGTTACTCCGGCGTGACACCGTCTGCGCCCTCGTGTCCCCAGAGCTCTGTATCCCCGCCGTCGCTGGTAACCAGACCAACCTCCTGTCGCGCGACCCCCAACTGCGATTTCGCTTCAGAACGTCGCCCAACAAGTGTCGCCTACGTGTGTCGCATCGATCGCGCATAACGCGGCATGACCGGAGAGGCCATGGCCCGACACGGCTCATCGTGGCACAATTTGCATCAAGTGGCAGCGGAGGGACAGGTGAGTTTCCTTGCGGAATACGCAAAGAAGAAGACTCTAAGATTGATTCCGCTTTGCCAGTTATGTTAATGGCTGTGCGACGCGGTGTAAAGTTCGTCCTCTGCTACCTTCCTTACTGCGACTGCGTTGCGGCGGTGAACAGGCGGCGTGGAGTGGAACGCGGTTTCGAGGAACGTTCTCATCGGCACGAGTCCGCGCGACCAGGCGCAGCTAGAGGCGCTCGCCACGCGGGCCGGGGTGAACGCCGTGCTGTGCCTCGAGGTCAGTCGTCTCACTGCTGCTGCTGCTGCTGCTGCTGCCCCAGATCCATCACCCTCTGTGATTCCCTCGACGTCTTTCCCCCTCCGCCGTTGTGTGCGCAGGAGGGCGCGGGGCGGCAGGCGGAGTGGGCGGGGGTGGCGGAGCGCGCGCAGGAGATGGGGATGGTGGCCGTGAGGCTGCCGCTGGCGGACGCCAACCACGACGAGCAGGTGGGGGAAAGGGATTGGCGGTAGGGTTATGCGGTGTTGTACCAGAAAAGGGGAGGCAGTGTGGGCACATAGCAGGAGTGATGAGGCGAAGGAGGAATGAATAGTCAACGGGCTGCATGAGGAAGGAACGGCAATAAACGCATGCTGGATGAAACACGACCTCCTTTGTGCGCTTGCTCCGTGAAAGCCGAAGCGACTATCAATGTGGGGTGAGGTGGGGGATTCGTGGTGGGAGAGGTGAGAAGCGAGCCATGCCAGCAGGGAGAGCACGAGAGGAGGGGCGCAGCGCCTCTCTGCCTCCACAATGATAACTGAACCTGCACTCTCATGCATGACAGCACCGCATTCACGCCCGTCTGCGTGCGCGTTGCCTGCCATGCATCCCCCAGGCCATGGCTCTGCCTCGAGCGATCTCGGCCGTTGATCTGCTGCTGTCCCGTGGCTACACGGTGCACGTGTGCTGCTCCACCGGCAACGACAAGGCGCCTCTCGTCGCCCTCGGGTAGGCGTGCCATTCTGTGTGCATGCTGCCATGCGTGCATGCTGCCATGCGTGCATGCTGCCATGCGTGCATGCTGCCATGCGTGCATGCTGCCATGCGTGCATGCTGCCATGCGTGCATGCTGCCATGCGTGCATCTCAGGCGTAGTGCAGCCTGCACTCCGACTGCCCGTGGGCCTCGCGCATTCCACCATGGTTAACCCTGAGCTTTCGAGCTTTTTCAGAACCGCTGCCTCGCAAGGCCTTTTCCACCATGGTTAACCCTTGAAATATGGGTCCATTGGTCTTGCCCGTGGGCCTCGCGCATTCCAATCACCGCCCACTGTCGCAGCATGCTGCCATGCCATGCGCCATGCGGGCACCGCACCCCACCTCACCTCTCCTTGCACCCTGAATTCCTGCTCACGCACATTCCAACCCCCCTCTTTCCTCCCCGTCCTCGCCCTCGCCCTCCCCCTGCCCCCGCCGCCTGCGTGCGCGCCCGCCCGCAGCTACCTGACGCTGGTGCACGGCCAGTCGCTGGACGCGGCTCTCGCGGCGCTCAAGGCCGCGCGCCCCTCCATCAAGCCCTACCTGCTGCCCTGGGAAAAGGTACCTGCTGCCCTGGGAAAAGGTGCCTGCTGCCCTGGGGAAAGGTACCTGCTGCCCTGGGAAAAGGTACCTGCTGCCCTGGGAAAAGGTACCTGCTGCCCTGGGAAAAGGTACCTGCTGCCCTGGGAAAAGGTACCTGCTGCCCTGGAAAAAGGTACCTGCTGCCCTGGGAAAAGGTACCTGCTGCCCTGGGAAAAGGTGCCTGCTGCCCTGGGAAAAGGTGCCTGCTGCCCTGGGAAAAGGTACCTGCTGCCCTGGGAAAAGGTGCCTGCTGCCCTGGGAAAAGGTGCCTGCTGCCCTGGGAAAAGGTACCTGCTGCCCTGGGAAAAGGTACCTGCTGCCCTGGGAAAAGGTACCTGCTGCCCTGGGAAAAGGTGCCTGCTGCCGTGAGAAAAGGTGCCTGCTGCCCTGGGAAAAGGTGCCTGCTGCCCTGGGAAAAGGTGCCTGCTGCCCTGGGGAAAGGTGCCTGCTGCCGTGGGAAAAGGTGCCTGCTGCCCTGGGAAAAGGTACCTGCTGCCCTGGGAAAAGGTACCTGCTGCCCTGGAAAAAGGTACCTGCTGCCCTGGGAAAAGGTACCTGCTGCCCTGGGAAAAGGTGCCTGCTGCCCTGGGAAAAGGTGCCTGCTGCCCTGGGAAAAGGTACCTGCTGCCCTGGGAAAAGGTGCCTGCTGCCCTGGGAAAAGGTGCCTGCTGCCCTGGGAAAAGGTACCTGCTGCCCTGGGAAAAGGTACCTGCTGCCCTGGGAAAAGGTACCTGCTGCCCTGGGAAAAGGTGCCTGCTGCCGTGAGAAAAGGTGCCTGCTGCCCTGGGAAAAGGTGCCTGCTGCCCTGGGAAAAGGTGCCTGCTGCCCTGGGGAAAGGTGCCTGCTGCCGTGGGAAAAGGTGCCTGCTGCCCTGGGAAAAGGTGCCTGCTGCCGTGGGAAAAGGTGCCTGCTGCCGTGGGAAAAGGTGCGGTCTGGGCCCCCCTCCCAAACCTTATTCTCCGTTCTCCACCCAGCCCGCCACGGATCCTACTGCCACTCACGCTACCTGAGAGCACAGAGCTCACCTGGGCCTCATGCCCGCTGCGCCTCATGGTACCCCCAAATGAGCGATTGGGCATCCTTGCCTCACGCCTGCCGTGTGCCCAAGTGTGGCGTCACCTCCCCTCAATCCACCGCCCTCCCTTCTCCCGCCCCCCTCTGCTCTGCACCATGTAGTCGCGCCACACGCTCCTGCTCTGCACCATGTAGTCGCCCCACACGCTCCTGCTCTGCCAATGTGTCCCCCTCCCACCCCCATCCCCTCCCCACCTTGCTTACTAGCTGTCCTCCCGTTGTATCCATGTGCTATTCGTACCCACTCCAACTTCCCCCCCTTCCCCCCTCCCCCCCCAGCTGCGCGACAGCCTGTCAGCGGGCGACAGCAAGCGCGTGCTGCAGCTGACGCAGGAGGAGTTCAGGCGGCGCCTGGCGGGCAAGGAGCCGGGCACGCACGCCCACGACTGGCAGGTCGCGTTGGGGCGGGTGGCTTCCGACCGCTTCAGAGAGCGGCTCGCCGCCGACAACGCGCTCGTGCAGCAGCTGTGCCAGGTGGGGGGGGGAGGGGGGTGAGGCTGTGGCACGTGGGGGGTTGTGTGCGTCATGTGGAGGGTGTAGAGTGCCAGATGGGCGTGCACAGGCAGCATATAGCTGATAGAGGGCACTGCAGAGCTGGGCCTTGGGCCTTGGGATGAGCATGTTCCTTGCTCTGGTCCGTTACAGCCTCCTCTCTGCCTCTCACCCACTCATTTCTCCCACGTGGCCCTTTGCTCTGCTCTGGCGCTCTGCTGTGCCCGTGTGGTGCTGTGCGGTGCAGGCAGCAGCAGAGGCAGCAGGAGGGACGAGAGGAGGAGGTGGTGGTGGGAGTGGCGATGAAGTCAAGTCGCTCAAGGTGCGTACCACATCGTTCACTGTAGTTCACTGCAGGAGAGACAGAAAGAACACAGGCATCTCCCGCCTCTCGCGCTCGCCCTTGCACGCCTTTCTCGCCACTTACCCATCATTCACCACCCCTCATCTCATCCCCACACCCACCCCTGCTCATTCGCCAGACGCTACTGCAGGGGGCCAACACGCGGGCAGCCACGGCGGACGCGGCAGCAGCGGCGGCGAGGGACCGCATCGACTTCTTCTTCCGCCAGGTCACGTCGCTCAAGGCGCGCGAGGAGGCGGCGCGCAAGCAGGCGCGCGTGGCGGAGCGGCGCGTGGAGGGGCTGCTGCGCGAGCTGGAGGAGCAGCGCCGCCACGTGGCGGAGGAGGCGGAGCGCCGCGCCGAGGAGCGGCGCCAGGAGGTGCAAGACGGGCGCGTGCAGGCGCTCACCGCCGCAGAGGCGGGCGAGCTGGTGGGCCGCGTGGTGGAGCTGGAGGGGCTGCTGAGCCAGACGCGGGCGGCGCTGCAGGCGGCGACGGACCGCAACGACTTCTTCCTGCGCCAGCTCAGTGCCATCCGCGACAGCGAGAAGAAATCTCGGGCCTCGGCCCGCGCGGCGGACCGGCGGTACTTTGCCATCCTGCGGCGTGTGGAGGAGCTGGGGCGCAAGGAAGCTTCCGCGAAGCAGGTGGCAGAGGAGGCGCAGCGGCGGTACGAGAGCATGGCGACGGAGCTGCAGGGGCTGGGGTCGGTGGGCGACATCAAGGAGCGGCTGGAGGAGCTCAACGCCAAGGTGGCGGACCTCAAGCGCAAGGAGGCGCAGGCGGAGGCCGCCACACGCGCAGCCCTGGAGCGTGTGGCCGTGCTGTCGGAGCAGCTGGACGAAGCAGCGGCGCGTGAGGCGGACATCCGCGCCAGCGAGAGAAGTGCGCGCGAGCGGGCGGACTCCCTGGAGGTGCGCGTGGAGGCGCTGGTGAGCGACCTGCAGGCGGCCAAGGAGGCGGCGGCCACGGCGGAGCGATCGGTGGGGGAGATATCGGAGGAGGTGGCTAAGCTGAGGGAGCGCGAGGCGGCGGCGGACGAGGCGATCCGGCGGTACGAGGCGGTGAGCGGGCAGATGAGCGCACTGCAGGCCAAGGACGCCAACACACGGCAGGAGATCGACGCGGCGAACCGGCGCATCGGGCTGCTGTCGGAGCAGATCGTGCGGCTGACAAAGCGCGAGACGGAGCTGCAGGAGGCGCTGGCGACGGCCAACGACCACATCTCGTTCCTCTCCACGCGCGTGTCGGAGCTGATCGAGCGCGAGGAGGAGGCCAAGGCGCAGGCAGAGCGCGCCGACGCACGTGTGGCGGAGATGCACAGCGAGGTGGCGGCGGTGCAGCAGCGCGAGGCCGTGGCGCTGCGCGAAGCGGAGGCGGCCAGCCGCAAGCTGGCGCTGGTGGAGGAGAGCGAGGCGGCGGCGGTGGAGGCGGCGATGCGGGCCAACGCGCGCGTGGAGGAGCTGTTCCGCCAGGTGGAGGACGTGGAGCAGCGGGAGGCCGCCGCTAAGGCGGCTGCCAAGGCGGCATATGAAAGGCTGGCGGAGATGAGCGAGCGGCTGGCCGCCGCTGAGGAGAGGAGCCAGGTGGCAGCGCAGGCGCTGGAGCGAAGCAGAGAGATGCAGGCGCAGGGCGGAGGGGACAGTGCGGCGCCGTGGGATGCAGCTGTGGTGTTTGACTCGCGCACTGCTGACCCCGTTCCTGTGAGTGGGTGATGATGGGTGCCTTGATGGAATCGTGACCATCCATGTGCCATGCCACCCACGTGCATAACCATGCCACCCACGTGCATAACCATGCCACCCACGTGCATAACCATGCCACCCACGTGCATAACCATGCCACACACCCTACCCTGGCACCTGGTAACTCAAACTCACACCACCCTCCCACTCTCATACCCCCTCCCTCAATCCCTCACTCCCATGCCCCCTCTCAGGTGCGCTCATCCCCCTCCTCGTCCTCGTCTGTCAACGGCACAGCCCTCCCCCCCTCCTCCTTCATCGCGCAACAACTCTCCTCCTCCTCCTCCTCCTCCGCGCCCCCCTCCGTCCCGCAATCGCCGCAAGAGCGCGAGGAGCAGCGGCGGGTGGAGGAGGAGGTGGAGGAGACGCGGAGGGCGCTGGGCGCGACGGTGGACGAGTGCGTGGGGCTGTTCCTGGGGCAGGTGGCGGCGCTCAGGGAGCGCGAGCAGGCGTCCAAGCAGGCGCTGGGGGCGGCCAACCAGCGCATCGAGGAGCTCAGCACGCAGGTCGCGCTGCTCGCCAACCGCGAGGACGCTGCCAACGCCGAGGCCGAGGCGTTCGCTGGCCAGGTGAGGGGGGGTGGGCAGGGGGGAGGGCAGGAGTTATTCTAGAGTTGAGGGGAGGCAGGTGCTTCGATGGATAATTGCTGTTTTTGAGGTGCCTCAAAAATAGACTCCTCACGGATGGATGATTGCTGTGCATCCCTGGGACGCGCATGGGTGAAGTGAAGTCTCGTCCCTTGCCTGGTGTTCCCTCCCTGCGTTCCAACATGTCTCTCCCTGGTGACACCCCCGCCCCTGTGTCTGTGTGTGTGTGTGTGTGTGTGTGTGTGTGTGTGTGTGTGTGTGTGTGTGTGTGTGTGCGTGCGTGCGTGCGTGTGTGTGTGTGCGCGCAGGTGACCGGCCTGGTGATGCGCATCGCAGATCTGAACGAGGAGCTGGAGGCTGCAGAGAGGCGTGAGGCCGAGCTCGCTGACGCCCTCACTGCCGGGGGGTCGGGAGGCGGGCTGCCGGGACTGCTCAAGTGAGTGCCGTGGGAGGGGTGGGAGGATTGTGTGAGGAGGGATTGCCCTGGTGATGCCAGTCCAGAGAGGGCTGCATGACCACATGCATGTAGCTAGTCTAGTCAGGCACTTGACATGGTCAGATGCACTGTTTTAACCACCACCTACTGTCTTCTTCTTCGAGTCCGTCAGAGCTGAGAACCTCAGCTGCTCCCATGTCTGCTCTCTCTCCATCGCGCCCTCTCCCCCTTGTCCCCTCTCCCCCCCCCCCCCCCCACCGCCACCGGAGCAGGCAGGACCCGCAGAAGCTGATAGCTGAGCTGGAGGCGGCGCGGCGGCGTGCGGATGAGCTGGCAGCGGAGGTGGAGGAGGCGCGGCGCACAGCGGAGGACATCAGCGAGAGCATCTTCAACGCGCGCAAGAAGTCCCTGCAGGAGCAGCAGGTGGGCAAGGGTGCTGCTGGCGCAGGTTCTGGGAATGGGAGGGCCATTTGGCGTGCACTTGAGGTTGAGGAGGCAGTTTGGATGCTGACTTGTTCCCTCATTCTCGCCTTCCCTACTTTTTGCTTCCTTCCCGCCATGTCCTACCCTCGTCCATCGTCCCTCGTCCCTCGTCCCTGCCTGGTGAACCCTGCCCTGGCAGCAACGGGAGGAGCTGGTGGCGGAGGTGCTGTCGCTCAAGGAGGCGATGGAGGCGATGCGGGAGAGGGACGAGGCCATCGCCGTGTGGAAGCAGCAGCTGGCGGAGCAGGCAGAGTACCTCGACTCGCTCATGGTCAGTGTGTCTCCACAGGCAGCCGCCCGTATACCTTAAACTTGTCGCATGACACCCATCTGTGCTGCTGCATGCTTTGGTAAGTTCACTTTCGTTCGAATGTCAACCTCCCTCTGCTCTGCTCTTGTTTGTGGTTGATTGGAAGCAGGCGGAGGGACAGGTGGACCAATCACAGAGGGACATGTTGCGGGCTGCAGTGAGGGAGATTCAGTTAGGATCTGGTGACCAGGCATTCTCTGCTGTGTGATACTAGGCATGGCTATCCCCACCCCAGCCCCCGTATGGTTCTCTGCAAGGGGAATGTTCGCCCTTCGTTATCATGGGTGTACTTTGCCCTAGGCTCGTGGCATGTGAATTGAGTTATTCTTGCTCACCCTTAATGGCCAATGTTGAGTTGAGTGTACCTGAATATTGCAAAAATGTTTCTGGCATGTTTGTATTGGCTGCTGATGTAAGGCTGTTGAACAGGCCCCTAGATTGCAGGAAAATTTTCCTGATTCAGGAAAAAAAACAGAGTTGTTGCTGGTACCAGTCCTGATTGTCCAGGATTTTTCGAAAGGCATTTCCTGTTTTTTCAGCATTTTTTGGGGGGTCAACTCTGATTGCTAAGCAAAGTTTTCTTAACGAATCCTGAAATTTCAGCTTTGCAACGAAACTGTACTTGTTTCCGTCCATGCGTGACCTGGGGGCCAGCAGAGATTTCCGAGGTTCTGGCCCGCCCTCCAGGCTCTGTGAGGGCGCTTATTGGCCCTTCACCAAATTCGTGGCTCGACGCGTGGGGGCAGTGTGAGGGAGGGCACTTGGTCCTTAGCCAAATTTTGGGCCCGATGTGTTCCTTAGAGCATTGTATGGGCGAAATTTCCCTCAGCCCCTGCAATCTCGCCCACCTGACCCGATTCACCCTGCAAGCATAAATTCGCTACTAAAGCATGCGCTAAGAACCTCTAAGAAATCAGGAAAAACTCCATAAGTAACTCTGTCTGCTCAGGAAAAAAATATTTAGGAGTCCTGATTCACGAGGAATTTTTTTGGGACCAACCCTGAAAAATCAGAGAAAAACTCAGGGGGGATCCTGAGCGATCAGGGCTCCTAAAAACCAATCTAGGGGCCTGCTGTTGAACCTTGTGCACTTCATTCTGTGGAAGCCTGAGTAGGTATATGCACGGTCGCTGGAGCAATGTTGATGCAAGCTGAGCTGTCTCAGTGCGGAGCAGTCCCTATTTTTCACGAGTAAATTACTCTGATTCTCTGATTTTCAGAGTTGATTTTGTGTACCACCCTTACACCTCTGGGTAAATTTTTTAGATTTTATGTTTTCTCTGATAAGCCAGGGTTTTTTTTTGTACCACCCTGAGGGGTTTACTGCAAGGGGGATACCCCCGTATTTTCGTGTACCCCCCCTGTCCACATACATGCCCCCATTTCCTCGCCTTGTTCACGCAGACCGCCGAGCTGGCCCACGTCATATGTTGCCAGACCCACCCTTGCTGGCAGATAACCTTCTCTCCTATTGGACACTAGTGTATTTTTTACGCAGGTTTCGGTGCCACACCCGAGTTTACCACGTCGACTGTTGCCACACTTGTACTCGCTGTACGTGTATGTGCCTCTGATTGGCCCCTTCGTCATTTTTTGCAGCCACGCACATCGACAGGCATGCAACACTGCGGGAATCTTTCCCCGCACGCGCAGGCATATGCCCTTCTCGAATGTTCAGGATGGCTCAGGAAGGCACCCAACCTTCATGTCGATGGCGCCACGGGCATCAAGAACAGGCGAGAAAAGCCTCGTCTTCTTCACCCTGTTCTTCTCCCCCTGTTATACATCGGCAGTAGGCGCTAGTGTACTAGTTTAGCAACCCTCTCTCACATCTCGTCGAACGTGATCTATTCCGCCAGCCTCGAATCCTCTCGTCGTCCCGCCTCGCCAGCTATGGCTGGCCTGGGCGATGCCGACGATGGCGGGGAGGATGAGGATGACGCCCCACCCCCACGTAGCTCGACCCCACTCAGCGGTTTAGACTTTTTGCGTCGCACAAACGCCTCCCCAGTAGACCCTCCTCCGTTCCCGAAGCGTCGACTTACCGCCCCCCCAGTAGAGCCTCTGCCGCTCCCAAGTCTAAGCAGCGACGAATGGGAGCGTGAAATGGAAGAGGCGGATCTGACGGTTGACAAGCCGGCAGATCCTCCACCTCCGGATCCTGTGCCCTCGTCGCCGGCATCTGCATCAACATCGTCGGCTAAGAAGAGACGACGATACCAGCAGAGACATCTGCCCTTCGCGCCTCCTCCCAAGATAACGCCGCCAGCAACCCCTGCCCCCGTCGTTGAAGCAGAGCGACCCCTCGCACCAACGTCGGCCGAGATGAAGGCCAAAGCTTATCTTGCTGCTCAGAAGAAATATACCTCAGATTGGCATGGAAGGTTTCCTTGGCTCGTCTTGGATAAAACTGACGATGGCTCACCCTGTTTACGTTGCAGTGTGTGCATGCAGCATGGCAAGCCGACAGCCCGCTACGGTCGCGATGGGCCTGGCGGCAGGGACTTACAGATTGGCAGCATGTGGTGGCACGAGGAGAGCACCAAGCATGAGGCGTGCGTGCAGAAGCAAGCTCACCTTGACAACGAAATCGAGAGCCAGAAGCGCATGGACGACTTCGCCAAGAACGACCCCGATGCCGCCCGCGTCATCAGACTTCTACGCTCCATGCTATTCATCTGTAAGGAAGATGCTCCGATTTCAATGTTCACACGTCTAATCGGTCACCTGTCGCAGGAGGGGGTGAAGGACATACCCAAGCAGACTTACGGCGCGTACATCACGAAGTAAGCGCACTGTTTTCGTGTTTGTATAGTGTATTGAATACGGGACTGATGTCTAATCTGATGTCTTATTGTACGGTGTTTGTCGCAGGTATGGATTCAGGGAGATGGTGAAAGCCATGGTGGCTTTCTTGAAGGCACAGCAGATGGAGCACATCCACTCCTCCCCGTTCATCGGCATCAGCTGCGACGAGAGTACCGACCGCACCCGCGGAAAGCACCTCATCGTCTTCGGCACCTTCTTAAAGAAGCGGCGCGTCGTCACTGAGTTCTTGAGCCTGCTCACCATCGACAAGTGTGATGCTGCGTCGCTCCAGTCTGTCCTGCTGGGTCACCTGGAAGGGAGTGGCATTGAGCTTCAAAAGATCGCCGGTATTAGCACCGATGGGGCATCGGTGATGACCGGCGAGAAGAACGGGCTCGTCGCTCGACTCCGACTGCGTATCCCGCACCTTGTCGGTTGCCATTGCATCGCACATCGGTAAGACTGCCGTCGCAGTACCCTCCTGTCCATGTCTCTATGATTATCCATGCATGTTTCTAATCTCACTTGTGCCTTGGTGCCATCGCAGAGAAGCGCCGGCGGTCAAAGACGCCTCCAACTCCTTCCCCGACCTGTTCATCGTCGACGTTATCATCCGAGCTTTCGGGGAAATCGTCGGTCGCTCGACTCCGTGGTACGAAAGGTTCAAGGCTCTGCAGCTTGTCATCCACGACACGAACCTCGAACATCAGGGGCTCTACGCCATAAGGTGGCTTGCACGTGGTGACGCTGTGCGGCGACTCTGCAGGATTCTCGGCGCAGTCATCGTCGTCTTCATCGAGTACAAGCACAAGCACGTTGCGCTTCTGAAGTCCTTCAAGTTCCACTTCTGCCTCAACTTCCTCGCCGACATCCTCGCTGAGCTCAACACTCTGAACAGGTTTTTCCAGCGCCGCACGGTAAGTTGAATCTTTTTCGTTCCTGTCGCAACTCATTGAGTTCATTCATATCTTGGGCGTGTGTCTAGCGTGTAACTTGTTCTAACATCCTGTCCTTTGCCCTTGCCCTCCCGCCCCAACCTTCAGGTGGACATCACGCTCGTCACCCAAGAGGTCGACCGCACTGTCACCTACATCAAGCACCGATACATCGAGTACGGGGAGCGGTTCGGCGGCGGGCTCAGCAAGCAGCTCGACAAGTTCCTCGCCCGCTACAAGGAGGGCAAGGGGTCGCTCGAGGTGCACGGCATCGCGGCGGATGGCTCTCCCTGCACGCACAAGTTCGAGCTCACGTTATCGCGCATCCCGGGACATGCGTTCGGCGGCACTCCTTCCGACTGCGAAGACCTTTGCACGGCGTTCGCCAAGGAGACAGTGGGGTGCTTGGAGGGGCGGCTGTGGGACATGAAGCGGATGGAGGGGTCAAAGCTCTACAAGGTGGACCAGTGGCCCAAGAAGACAGAGGTGCGGGAGCGCCGGTGCCGCAAGTGGGCTGAACAGAATATGGCGCTGTTTGAGAACAAGCTGCCAGGTCAGTGGCTCTAAAAGAGGTCCTGTCGTATGTCTTGAATCTGGTTAGATACGGTGTCTCCTCTGTTACTTCAACACCTCCTTTTCGTGCCATGAACGCCCCTACCCCCCCCCTCCCTCCCCGCCAAAAGGAGTCGAACTGCGAGCGATGGAGTTGGAGCTGAAGACCTTTTGCCACATCATGAAGACTCATCGCAAGGACGACGACTTCGCCCAGGGTTTGGCCAATATGATGAAGACGAAGGACTGGTCCAAGTCGTACCCGAACCTGATGCGGATGTGGCAGGCGCTGGCGGTGTTGCCCTTGAGCACCGTCGAGTGCGAGCGCGGATTCTCACGGCAGAATGTCATCAAAGGATGGCATCGCACCAGCCTGTGCGATGCCACCCTTGGTGAGTTGATGACCATTAGCATGCTGGACTACGACATGGACTACCCCCAGATCGTGGAGAAGTGGAGGCGCATTAGGCACCGTAGGCAAGCTAGGAATGTTGAATTTGAGCAGGAAATTCCCCTCTTCCCACAGCAGAAGGATGTTGTAGAGAGCTCAGACGATGAGAGTGTCGGAGGTGGGAGTGAGGATGACAACGTGGATGATGATTATTAGTTATGTAATATTGTGCTATGCTTTATTACTAAAACAACTGTTGCTGTCACTATTTTACTCTGCAACAAGCATTCACCAGAGCCGGAAAAAATACCCCCCTGTTTAGCCAGAGTAAAAATATTGAAATTGTGGGGTTACCCTGATGCCTCAGGGAAAATGTTGAGGACCACTCTAGTTTTCAGAGTAATGGTGAAAGAAGCTTTCAGATTTCAGAGTAGTGAAAAAACAAAGATCAGCACTGGTGCGGAGGTGAGTTGCCAAGGTAGTTCGTCGGCATGAAACTCAGCATGGCAATGAATATACTTATTGTGACACGACCTCAGAGGAGTGTGCAGTGCAGTCGTCATAGCATATCATAGCTCCATAATACAGCACACTAGATAGGGCAAATACATGGCAAGGGAACAAGGCTGAGCGGCCATGCTAGTTATCAAAGCGAGGGAGGGAAGGGTGGGCAAGTTGGAACAGAAAAATGCAAATGAGACTAGGTGGCAGGTCTGAAAGACCTGCCGATAGATGAAGGAGTTTGTCTCCTTTACAGCAAACTCCTCGTCTAGTCGAATCACAATCTGTAAATTTTTCATTACAAAAAATTTCTCATATTGTGACACGACCTCAGAGGAGTGTGCAGTGCAGTCGTCATAGGTCGAACGAGACATCAAGTATGAGGGCGTCGACGGTGGCGCTCAAGGGTGGCCTGGTACCGATCGGTCGCGCTCGAGCGAGTAGGATCTTGTAGCATGCGAGAAGCGGCCACTAGCTCGCGGTCAAGCTGAGTAATGTAAAGCTCCATGGCTGTATCACTTCGCCAACGGCCGAGGGCCTTGAAAAGCCGGTCGGGGACTCCAACATCAACGGCGACCGTCGCAGCTGCCTTGCGGAAAGAATGGGTGCCCAGGAGGGCTGGGTTGAGGCCGACACGGGAGAAAGCATCTCGACACCAACCCTGAATGGCGGCGTACGAGGGAGGGAGATCTGAGGGGGAAGCTCGGGCACCTGGCTGAAATATACGAATAAGGGGGCCAAGGGTCTGCGGAGAATAGCCAGCCAGGAAGAGGAACTGCTGGACACGCGACACCGGACAGTGGCGGGCAGAAGAAGCCGCCACTGGGACCCAAACACCGGTGCCCGCTTGGTCGGTCTTCGAACGGGGGATGAACAACCACATGCAGTCCCGATCGAACTCGATCTGGTGCCACTGGAGGGAGATGAGATCAGAGAAACGAAGGAAGGCTGCGAACATGAGGAGGGGAATAAGGCCCCGTTGGAAGGTGGCCGGATCATGCGAGGAGAAGTAGAGGTCACAGATATCGTAAATCTTGGCGGGAGGAATGGGCTCTTTCGCTTGAGATGGCTTGCCACAATGACGCATGGCATAATCCTTGACTTGCGAAGAAAAGGGGCCGCGAATCGGGGAGGGGTGGCCGACCAGCCAATGGGCGCATGATATGGCGGAACACGCAGTGCGCACAGCTGAGACGGTAGCGCCGCGACGGACCGAGTGCAGCAGAAAGAGGGCCGATCTCAGGTCGGTGGCGGGAAGGAAGGGAAGTGAGTGCGCCAAACAGAAGGCTCGAAACTGTCGCCAATAGGGTTCATAAGTGCGAAGGGTAGACTTTGCCCGAAGATCGACGGTGAGTGTGAGAAGGTCCGACAATAATCGACCAATATATGAGCCTGCGCAGTGAAATAAAATGCTGCATTAGTTGAATGCAAAACGAAGCGCATACATTGGAGAGTTCGGAAGACCGGCACCGCTAAAGGCATAACGGTCACTGCCAACACGTAAACAACTAGCACCCAGGGTAAGGCGAAGGGCCATAACGACCTCCGGGCCCCAAGTGAAGCCGTCCAGGCTTAGCAAAGGCCACCAAAAAGCACTAGGCCAATATGGGATCACGAGAGTGAGAGAAGTGCGCGAGCGACAGGCATGAGTTAGGACAGCCGGGATGAGGGCGGGTGGAGGAAAGGCGAAGCAATTCTCGTGTCCCCAGTTAATAGAAAAGGCATCTTGCGCAACCGCCGAGTGTGAGAACTCGAGGGAGCAGAAACGAGCGAGCTGCGCATTGGCAGGGGATGCAAACAAGTCGATGGTATGAGGCCCCCAATGCCTCTCCAGCAGCAGAAACCAAGGACGTGTCAAGGAGTAGTCGTCGTGGAGCTCAATCTTGGACAGAGCATCGGCCTCAGTATTCAGCGCACGGGGAATCCATTGGACCGTGAGACGGATCATATGGCGCACGCACAATTGAATAATCGCGCGGCATACGAAGGTAAGCTCGGGACGGCGAGAGCCTCCCTTCTGGAGGATGTAGTAGGCCGCCTGACTGTCGCTGCGGAGCAAGATGTGCGAACGCCGGATTTCGACAGAAAAGGCCGAAAGGGACCAAAAGATTCCGGCCAACTCGCGAAGGGTACTGGACGAGCCCAAGAAGGCTAGAGGCAGCGGGGAGGAGAGCGAGCCGACACGACCATCCGGCGCGGAATAACAAGCCCCCCAGGCATGGTCGCTAGCATCCACGTACATGACAACGTCGTACAAATGCGGGTTGTGGAAGCGGGCGCCGTTGAAAATGTCGAACTGTGTGAGCCAAAAACGCAGCTCTTCAACAGACTCAGGGGTTAGGAGAATGGCCGCCCCCCATGAGTGGCATTCGGCGATCTGAGCGAGAAGGTGGTGGGAGAAGGCGAGCGCGACGGTGCCAAGTGCCAAGGACATGGAGGCTAACATGCCGGTGATGCGGGCAACGCGGCGAACAGGGATGCGACGCCCGTTAGCGCCGAGTGTGCCTAATTCATCCAGCTCGGCAAACAGCCGATCGCGCCGATCCGCATCGACAGAGAATGTGGTGGTGCGCGTGTCCAGCAAGAGGCCCAAGAACTTCAACGATTGTGCCGGCGCGAGTTGTGATTTTTTTAAATTCACTACGAAGCCCGCGGCTGCAAGGTCGGCGATGATTATGGAGCGGTTGTGAAGTGCCTCCGTTCGAGTGGCACTAATGAATAGGATATCATCGACGTATGGAATAAGGCGGATGCCACGGCTACGCCAGCGTTTGGAGAGTTGCTTAATTAACTGGGTAAACACAAATGGCGCTGTAGCCAGCCCGAAAGGCAAGGAGAGGAATTGGTAGTCCTGCCCTTGCAGGGAGAATCCGAGAAACCGCCAAAAGGCGGGGTGGATGTCGACGTGGTGGTACCCAGATTTGAGATCGATGGTGAATAGCCAATCGCCTTCTTGCACCAAATCAGGAACGCGAGTAAGTCCTTCGTATCGAAAACGAGGCACCGAGAGGAATGAGTTGACATGCCGCAAGTCCAATATCAGCCTCTTTTTAGAGGGTTGGACAATCACGTTTAATGGGCTAACGCATGTAAGGGTTGCGGAAGGAGGTACGACCCGAGCTGCGCCAGTGGCGAGAAGCTCGGCCACTGCACCTACAGCGAAAGATGTGAATTGCAAGGCACCGGCATGATTCTTAGTACGAGACGGGGGGGGCTCAGAGGCAACCCATGGTAGGCGATATCCATATGTAATCACCGATAGAATCAAGCGGCTGTCGCACCAGGCGGACCACCATGCAGCGCGGTCACGGAGGCGGCCTTGCATGCGGGTAATCTTGGTTGCATCATCGGCATAGGCCGAAATGGTTCCGAGCTCTGGTGGGAGAGGGAACACAAATAGGGACGGTAGAGAGTCAGGAAGGTGCTTCACCTCATTTAGTTCCGACCTCAACAAGGGAGGTTTTTTTTTTTTTTTTTTTTTTTTTTTTTTTGTCGGGAAGGAAGGCAAATGCTTATTATAGGTGCCCACTCGCTCGCTATTTTCTTCGGCCACGTCATCCCTTAAGTAATAAACCATTGGATTGGGCATGTCAACTTGGCATACTGGGCTGTAGTTGGTGGTCATATATGGTGATGACATAGAATCTTGTCATGAGTCTTATCAACGGCAGTCTTTAGAGGACACACACACATTGTGTAAGCGTCTTGTGGGCACGTTCAGGCCCAACGGGCGAGACCATGTGGTCGTATGACGCGCGTATTAATCTTACTTGAGTGCAATAATCTGTGTGTATGTTGTTGTTGTTGTTGTCTTCCTTTTTTCTTTTCTTTTTTTTAAATATATTAAGAACGCTACAACATCGGAGAGGTTAAGCAATCTTTACACAATCTTAGCCGGCCGATTGGCCCCTTGGCCTCTTTGGGGGCAATTAGCCATCCCATGCCCGGGTTCACGACAATAGAAACAACGGCCGTCGCCGTCCCTACGCCATGTGTTCCAAAGGCGCTCCCCTTGGCCTCGAGGGCGAAGAGGGGGTTCAGGACGGGATGTGGAATGGGTGGGCCGAGTGGGCCTCTTCTTGCTAGCCGCTACAATCTGAGAAGCAGCCTTGACATTCTTATCCTCTACCACTTCCCCGTATTTAATCTTAAGGGCCATATTGGCCACTTCAAAACCGCGTTGATCGGCGGTAAACAAAAAATGAATCTTTTCTTCCGCCTCCTCTACTATCTACTGGAGATAGTCGGCGGCTTGTTCACTACCATCAGGTGGTAAAACCGAAATAGCGTGACGTGCAATAGCTTGAATGCGCTCAAAACTAAAAAGTTGCGTACGAATGCCATCGCTTTTAACTAAGGAAGAGCGCAACTGAGGACGTGCGGGTGGAATAGGAGCAAGGGCGAGCGCTGCAGAAGCGGATTTTGGGCGGGCAGCATTACCTTCGTCGAGCGTGGCATGGGGTGCTTCCTCGTCCATTTCGTCGTCCACGGGCTCGGGGGCGGGCGCCGGGAGGCGAGAGCGTGGGGCTGCCGCCACTGCGACGCGTGCTGGTTCCGGAGGCGGTGCTGGATCGGCGCCATTGCCACGCTGGAGCGCCGCAAGAAGACCAAGAACGTGGTGAATGGCCTCATTGTTGGTTCCGGCGTAAACATTATTGTCGGTGTAGCGAGCAGAATTATTTTCTGCAGAACGAGGCGCTGTGGATGCAGTGGAGCGTGCTGTAACGCGTTCGCCAGCAGCAGCTTCTGTGAAGATTCGCTGAAGATTGCGCTGGGCTGCAGGATCCAGGCGCGCAATCATTTCGGCGATATCTGCTGCTCCAGGGGTCGAGATCTGCGGATTTTCGCGCGGATTCGCTGCAGCAGGGGGAAAATCCGTCCGGCGATCTGCGCGATCCCGGTCCCGATTCTGACGATCCTGGCGAATCTGGGGCGCTGGGGCGTTGAGATCGCGCTCATGATGACGCCCTGCGCGCACAGGATCACGATCATGATTGTGGTCCTCGCGCGCAGGACCGTCATGATTGCGTTCGGTAGGTGGGGGGCGTGACGGGGCATTTTCGGCAGGCGGGTTCGTGTCGACACGGTTCTGCTCGTTACGCCGCTCGCCTTGAAATCCGGGGGGGAAGTCGCGATTGCGTGACGTGTTACGATCCGCGTCCCCCGCCACGTTTTCGACGTGCCGAACAGGGTCTTGACGCGCGCCACTCAGCAAATCCAAAGCGGTAACGGCGTCGTTACCTCCGCCAGGACGAGGAGAACGAGAGCGTTCTTTATGCTGAGAGGAAGAGTTTCGGTCCCCCTCACGTGCAGGGGACCCCCGCCTTCCACCACTCCTAGTATTCACGCGAGGAGCGGGAGGCCTACCACTTGCAGCGGAAATAAGTCCGCTGACCATTGTAGAGAATCTAACAGAAAAAACGTCTTGCAGCAAGAGACTCCTATGCCCAGATCTGGGCATAAGAGAGGTTTAGAGTGTGCTGGTGGTATGCAAGTTGGAACAGAAAAATGCAAATGAGACTAGGTGGCAGGTCTGAAAGACCTGCCGATAGATGAAGGAGTTTGTCTCCTTTACAGCAAACTCCTCGTCTAGTCGAATCACAATCTGTAAATTTTTCATTACAAAAAATTTCTCATGTTTGTTTGTGAAGATGCAGTTATTCTGGCCAGGCTAGTGGGGGTTAGCAAGTAACCACTGACGCTGTTACACACAATCGGAATGCAGTGGGTCAAAAATTAATTATAATTTCCTGGTGACAAAATATATTCAGCATTATCCTGTTAACGTAGAAACGAATGATTACTAGAGGTGGAAACCTAGAACAAATACTAGTTGGTTGTACTCACTAGAAGCATACCTCAGTCTAGCCTATAACTTCTACATAGATAATATGTATAAGTTGACACACCCCCTAGGCTAGACAAGGGGTGAAACTAAACAAGAAGCAAACAGCTCAGGGCGGCACTACTAGTCCAACCACTGAGGCAGGGGTCTGGAGACCAGTCAGCAAGAATACAACCAAAACTGAAGCAAGCCAGGGTGGCACTACTAGTCCAGCCACTGGAGGTAAGGCCACAAGGCCAGTCTGACAAGCATATATAATAGAGAGTACACAATCAGGATCCTAACAGGGGAGCAGCTATAGGAACAAGACCAAGCTGTACACAGTGCCGCTGATGATCTTTAGGCGCAAGCGCCTTAGTAAAGATATCAGCTGTGTTGGCACCTGAGGCCAAGTGAACTACGCGGGCCTGGCGGCGCTGCTGTAGCTCGCGCAGGAGGAAGTACCGCAGCTGGATATGCTTCGCTCTGCCCTCAAGCCGAGGCTCCTGACACAGGAGTATCATGGCCCTGTTGTCAGCGTACAGGACCGGGGCAGAGCTAGGCTGCTCACCTAAGTCTGTGAGCAAGAAGGTCAGCCAGCGGAGCTCCTGTGCCGCCATGGCACCAGCGTAGATCTCAGCCTCACAGCTAGACTGAGCCACAGACGACGAGCGAGTGGATCTCCAAGAGATAGCACCCGAACCAAGGCTGAAACAGTAGCCCTGCGACGACCTGAGCGTCTCAGCGTCGTCTGCCCAAGAAGCGTCTGTGTGCCCAGTAAGGACCACTAGCCTGCGTCCTCCTAGCACTAACCCCATGCCTGATGTACTAGCAAGATAACGCAAAACCCTCTTAGCGGCAGACCAGTGCTGAGGTCGGTGTCTGCCTGTAGCCACAAAGCGAGCCAGGATGCTGAGAGGGTATGCGAGATCTGGGCGAGTGCAAGTCATCAGGTACATGAGGCAACCCATCAGCTCTGCGTAGGGGCCACTGGGCTCTACTGGGTCCTCAGGAACGGGAGCAGAGAGCCCATGGTCTACGGGTAGAGGTGTGGGCTGTGCGGAGGAGAACTGAAGACCGAACCTCTGAAGGACCTGACGCACCAAGTGTGACTGGGTCAGAGTGATGGTGCGTGCTGCTCTGTCCCTAGAGATCTGCAGGCCAAGATAGCGACGCAGCTCTCCAAGGTCAGTGCAGGTGTGTCTCTTCAGCAGCTCAGCCTTCACAGAGGCCAGTGCGTCCCTGTCAGGAGTAGCGAAGACCAGGTCGTCTACGTAGACAAGGATGTAGAACGGAGTCTGGCCGGAACGCACAAACAGTGAAGGGTCAGCAGAGGACGGAAAGAACTGCAGGTCTGCTAACGTGGCACGTAGCGTGTCGTGCCACTCGCGGGGAGCCTGACGCAGGCCGTAGACCGGGCGCCTGAGAAGCCACTGGGTCCCAGGAGGGAAGGTACCAGTGAAGCCCTGTGGTCGGCGCAGGTAGACCTGCTCGTGTAGGCTGCCCTGAAGAAAGGCAGTAGAGAAGTCGAGGGAGTGAAGCTCGTAGTCACGCTGTGCTGCTACGTGTAGCAGCGCCCGAAGAGTGGTCATCTTCGGGGTCGGGGCGAAGGTCTGGAAGAAGTCAACCCCCTCGCGCTGACTGAAACCTCTGGCCACGTAGCGCGCCTTGAAGACAGGCGGCTCTCCAGGGGGGCGCTTCACCTTGAAGAGCCACCGACCATCGACTACGTTCACCCCAGGCGGGGGAACTGCGTCGACGTAAGTGCCGGTGGATCTCCAAGATGCCATCTCCTGCTCCATGGCAGCTATCCACTGAGAGGCCCAAGGTCCCGAGGTGGCCTCAGCGTAGGTGCGAGGGGTCGGGATGTCGAAGGCGTCTGGGTCACCCTCAGGTACTAACAGCATGGAGCAGAGATGGGGAGCAGCCTCGGAAAGGAAAGCCAGCTCGTACTGCCTGTCCTCTAGGACGTCACTGCCAAGGGCAGGAGCACCCCCGACGGACAGAGGACGGGCAGGGTCAGAGACCAGAGCGGTAGCGTAGTCAAGGCGGCGGGTAGAAGCGAAGTCAGCGACAGCAGCGACAAGCGCGTCAAGGTGCGAGACAGGAACAGCAGGGTCGGTAACAAGAGAGGCAAGGACCCGAGGGACAAGGGGACGAGCAGCACGGAGGTAGTCAGAGAACGGAGGAGGTGCAACAGCAAGGGACGAGGGAGGAGGGGACGGGAGGAGGGGAGGACGAGACGAGTGGGAACGGAGCAACATAGGGTGGGTGGGCAGGACAGGAGAGACGGGACGAGCACGGGAGGGACGGCGAGCCCAAACGTGAGACGGAGGGGTAGGGTCAGGGGACAGCGGAGGAGACACAGGAGGGGAACGAGGAGGAAGACGGGCCGGAGACGAGTCTGGCGGCGGAAACACAGGACCGTAGACAGGGAGGTCAGGAGGCGGTGGGGGAGACACCGGCGCGCGGTCCGGGGAGGGAAGGCCGAGCAGGCGGAGAGCGGAAACCGGCGGCGACGGCTGCTGCGGCGGCGACGACGGCTGGGCCGGAACTCTCGGACCAGCAGAGGCAGAACGACCGTCGGCAGAACACTCAACAGCAGCACCCCCAGAACCAACACCCCCAAAGCGAGAACCCCCTCCAACACCAGCGGCACCCCCAGAAGCCGCAGGACGAACACCCTCCTCCACACCAGCACCCCCAGGGGCCGAGAGCAGCGGCGGCAGTGGCGGCAACGGCTTCGGCGGCGGCGACAGCGGCGACGGCTGCGGCAGCGACAGCGGCGGCGGCGGCGACGACAGCGGCGACGGCTGCGGCGGCGACGGCGACGGCGGCGGCAGCGGGGTCGGCGACTGCGACAGTGGGGGCGGAGGCACCGGGGAAGGGGGACGCGGCAAGGACGGACCGGGGGTACCACCAGAGTCAGCAGACTCCTCAACGGGGACAACCGACGGGAGGGGAGTGACGTGGGAGACACCAGACGGGGCAGGACGAGGCGGGAGAGGGGCAGGGGCTACCGGGGGAGAGGGAGCAAGGAAAAGGGGGGGGGCAACTGGGAGACCTCGGTGAGGGAAGCGGCGGTAGAAGGAGACGGACTCGTCAAAGGTGACGTCACGAGAGTGGAGGAAGCGGTGAGACGGCGGGTGGTAGAAAAGCCAGTCAGACGAGTCCAGGGGGAAACCGAGGAAGACACAGGGGACAGTGCGGGCAGTGAGCTTGTCCGTGCCAGAGGCACGAACGTGAGCAAGGCAGCCCCAGACGTGGAACGCAGACGCGTCACCGGGGGACCCGGTCCAAAGGAGGGTCGGCGAAACCTGCGGCCGCTGGGAGCGTGGCCACAGGTTAAGCTGGTGAGCCGCGTAGCGAACAGCGAATGGCCACAGAAAATGGGGGGCATCGGCATGGATCATGGAGGTACGGGCGACCTCCATGACCAAGCCGATGCGGCGCTCAGCAACCCCATTCTGCTGTGGCGAGTCCGGCAACGTGTACGACTGGGTGATGCCCTCCGCACGACAGAACTGTCCAAGCCGACCAGAGGCGAACTCGCCGCCACGGTCGGAGTGGAGACACAACACGGGGAGACCGCGGTGGAGACGCGTAGCCACAACCCACGGGAGAAGAACGTCGGGCACGTCGGCCTTCCGCTCCAGGGGAAACACCGTGGTGTAGCGCGTGTAGTCGTCGACGAGCACAAGGAAGTAGCGCTCACCGCGCGGTCCGGGGACGGGGGCAGGGCCCCAAACGTCCAAGTGCAGGGTCTGAAGGGGGGCAGTAGCAGGACGCAGCGAGGAGGAGTGAGGAGCACGGCGGAGCCGACCCTCGACGCAAGGCGTGCACGGTGGCGCAGTCGAGGGAGGAAGGGCAGGGAGCGACGCGGGGAGACCTAAGACAAGACCGTGCTGGGACATGTGACGCAGACGCGGGAGAGCAGGGTGACCTAAGCGGTGGTGCCAGAGAAGGGAGGGGTGAGTGAGGGACCGACACGAGCAAGCTGCAGCGACTTGGGAGGACGCACCAACCGGGGGGGAAGCGGTGTGTAGGGTAAACAGACCGGACACCGGGTCCCGGGGGAACGTCGCAAGGGGGGAACCTGAGACAGCCTCAGAACAGACAGCGAACCGCTCGTGCCCGGGGAACGTGGTGGTGACGCCGAGGTCCTGAAGACAGCCGACACCAACCAGATTCCTGGAGAACGAGGGAACGTGGAGGCCAGTAAGGGAGCCCGAGGGAACTGCCGGACAGGGAAGGGACGTAGAACTGCGCGCGACGACCGGACCCGCAGAGGGGTCAGCGAGAGAGACAACAGCAGGTGCAGCAAGCGGCGTGAGCGTGGAACGGTCGCGGAAGAAGCAGGCAGAAGCACCAGAGTCGAGAGTGAAGGACAGCGACGCAGTGGCGGAGGCCGGGGACGGAGCCGGTGCAGCGACTAGACTAGGCAACCTAGGCAGTCCTACGCCTGTCGCAGCAGGGGAAGCTAAGCTACACAAGGGTGAAACACCTAAACTAGAGTACACAGGGTAGTAAGATCCATCAACACTAGAAGCGTCAGCATACAAAGCATGCAAAGCAGCACCTATCTGATCCATGTCTAACTCAAAGATCGGCACGCCCTGGCGGAGCAGGCTGTGCCAGTCAGGGAGGTCCGGGGCCGGGCCAAAGCGACGACGAAAAAAATCGTCGATGCGGCGGAAACAGCGGGCGGTCGGGTGCGGGCGGCGGCACAGAGTGCCGCGGAGAGGCCCGGTCTGAAGCTGGTACTGGCAGGTCACAGCACTGGAGCCGCTGGTAGACGCCAAGCTGCGCGGGCCGCCACCACGGCCACCGCCTCTGGAGGTGCCGGGCCAACCAGGCGGGAGAAGAGCCCACGGCTGCGGCGGGTGCTGCTGGGACGGCGGCTGCGGCTGGGGCTGGTCCTGCTGCTGCTGGGGCTGCTGCTCCTGCCCACCGGTGGTAGTCCCCTCAGGCGGACTACCGTCACCACCACCACGACCACTACCACCTGCGTCACCACCCCTACCTCCCTGGCGGCCACGGCCACCGCGACGCGAGCGCTGCTGCGGGTGGACAGCAGCAGCCGTCTCGGTAAGAGGGGTCGCCGTGGCGACCGCAGCCGAAACGTCAGTGAACGTGCACTGGGATGGGGCACAGCCGTGAAAGATAGAGACTGCCAGCGCACCGCTCGACTGAGCGATAGTGCGCTGGCGAGTCTCGATCTCAGTGAGGGTGTCGACAAAGGCGGTCAGGGTGAGGTCACCCGGGTGCTGGCTAAGAAAGTGGTCGCGAGCACTAGCGAGGCGGTCTGGCAGGCGCATAGCGATAAAATAGAGCGTCATGCAGAAAGGAGGGGGGAGCGCAGTGAGATGGGCAGCAGTGCTGGCAGTGCGATAGCGAGTCTCTAGGGCACGCAAATGAGTGGCAAAATCTGCGACAGTAGGGAAGGCAGCCAGGTCTGGGAACAGCATCGGAAAGAGCAAGCGGCCAGCAGAAGCGGAGGCAGGGGTGGAATAGCGAGCAATAACGGCGTCTAAATAAGCTTTGGCCGTTTCAACAGTAGCAAAACGCGAGCGCTCAGACACAGGGAGGGCGTGACTAATAGCAACCTGAGCTACTGCATCCCGTGAGTCCCAGACCGCACAGGCCAGCGCAGCAGTAGAGAAAGCCTCACGGTCATCAGAGGAGGGGTCAACAGGGAGGGGAGTAGGTGCAGGGGGACGGGGGAGCGAGCCATCAGCATGGACAACCAGAGAGTGGCCATCCTGGCGCTGACCTGTAAGCTGGCGGCGAAGATCGGAGAGCCAGGCGGCGAAGTCAACCGCGTGGCCCTCAGCGTCCAGGCGGAGCACAAAGTCAGCCATCGTGCAGGGTCAGCGGCACAGCTCCTCAGCGACACAGCGGCACAGCAGCACAGCTCCTCAGCGGCACAGGAGCACAGCGGCGCGGGGACACGGCGGCAGCACTCTCCAGTAGGGCAGCAGCTAGGCGTCCCAGCGCAGGCAAGCAGAAGACACAGGGCCCGAGAGGACACGGCAGGCCGAGCAGGGGAGGCGGGCAGGTGCTCTGGGGCCGGGCTGGTGCTGGGAGGGGCCAGGCTGGTGCTGCTGGGGCCGGTCGGGCACGAGGAGGGGCCGGGCAGCGCTGAGGAGAGGCCGGGCGGCGCTAGGAAGGGGCCGGGCGGCACTAGGAGGAGGCCGGGCGGCACTAGGAGGAGGCCGAGCGGCACTAGGAGGAGGCCAGGCGGGCGAGCGCTAACAGCAGGCGCGACAGGGGCCAGCGGGCGCGACGGGGCCTAAGGGGCGCGACGGGGCCCAGCGGGCACGACGGGGCCCAGGGGGGGCGCGACGGGGCCGAGGAGGCGCGACGGGGACCAGCGGGCACGACGGGGCCCAGGGGGGCCGCGACGGGGCCTAACGGGCGCGACGGGGCCCAGGGGGGGCCCGACGGGGCCTAGCAGGCGCGACGGGGCCTAGGAAGCGCGAAGGGGCCCAGCGGGCGCGACGGGGCCTAGGAGGGGCGCGACGGGGCCGAACGGGCGCGACGGGGCCCAGAGGGGGGGGACGCGACGGGGCTTAGGAGGCGCGACGATGCCTAGGAGGCACGACGGGGCTCAGCGGGCTCGACGGGGCCCATGGGGGGCGCGACGGGGCCTTGGAGGCGCAACGGGGCCCAGCGGGGGCGCGTTAGGGCCTAGGGGTCGCGACGGGACCCAGCGGGCGCGACGGGGCCCAGGGGGAGCGCGACGGGGCCTAGGAGGCGCGACGGGGCCCAGCGGGCACGACGGGGCCCAGGGGGGGCGCGACGGGGCCAAACGAGCGCGACGGGGCCCAGGGGGGGCGCGACGGGGCCTAGGGGGCGCGACGGGGCCTAGGAGGCGCGACGGGCGGAAGCGGTAGGCGGGGGGATCCTAACCTAAGCGTGATACCATGTTAACGTAGAAACGAATGATTACTAGAGGTGGAAACCTAGAACAAATACTAGTTGGTTGTACTCACTAGAAGCATACCTCAGTCTAGCCTATAACTTCTACATAGATAATATGTATAAGTTGACATATCCAACTACTTGTGCAGGCCGTCCAAGATGTATTGGCCGTACAGATCCCCTCTTCCCACAGCAGAAGGATGTCGTAGAGAGCTCAGACGATGAGAGTGTCGGAGGTGGGAGTGAGGATGACAACGTGGATGATGATTATTAGTTATGTAATATTGTGCTATGCTTTATTACTAAAACAACTGTTGCTGTCACTATTTTACTCTGCAACAAGCATTCACCAGAGCCGGAAAAAATACCCCCCTGTTTAGCCAGAGTAAAAATATTGAAATTGTGGGGTTACCCTGATGCCTCAGGGAAAATGTTGAGGACCACTCTAGTTTTCAGAGTAATGGTGAAAGAAGCTTTCAGATTTCAGAGTAGTGAAAAACCAAAGATCAGCACTGGTGCGGAGGTGAGTTGCCAAGGTAGTTCGTCGGCATGAAACTCAGCATGGCAATGAATATACTTGTTTGTTTGTGAAGATGCAGTTATTCTGGCCAGGCTAGTGGGGGTTAGCAAGTAACCACTGACGCTGTTACACACAATCGGAATGCAGTGGGTCAAAAATTAATTATAATTTCCTGGTGACAAAATATATTCAGCATTATCCAACTACTTGTGCAGGCCGTCCAAGATGTATTGGCCGTACAGATCCCTGCATGAATTGCGACATCAGAGAAAAGGAAACAAGCAAGAAAGGTTGAGGGTCGTGTCGTGAGAGAGAGCGCAACAGAGAGGAAGTGAGGGAGAATGAGCGAGAGAAAGAGATGAAGGGGGAGAGAAGGGGATGGGGAAACGTGGGTGGGTGGGTGGGTGGGTGGGTGGGGAGAAAGGTGTAAGGGGGAACGGAGAGGGAATTGGAGTAAGGAATACGGAAGTGAATGCTTAGCAGCCTGGGATGCTGTCACACAGGTACTGCAGGGTTTTGGGATCAAGCATAGTAAGGAAATACTGCTAATGAGCTCACATGGATTTCTTAACAGCTTCAATGGCTTCTGTGGCACCGAGGAAAGTGTTGACGGCGACTTCCTTATTCTCGTTCTTCTTGTAGTCCTCAAAGAAGCGCTTGATCTCTTGGAGTCTGTGCCTCGGAAGCTCGTCAATAGACTTGAAGTGCTTGTACTCTGGGTCGTCAGCGCACACCGCAATGATCTTGTCGTCCATCTCCCCCTGAAAGCAAGTGGCGGGCCAGCTCGTTGATAGCTAGAATACGGGATCTTACGGTTCCGTCACAATTACAAAGAGGAGGCACCAACCTGATCAATCATAGGCATAAGGCCGATGGCCCTCGCGCGAAGAAAGCATCCGGGAATCACTGGCTCCTGTCAGTGTGAAGGGAAAGGGGATTCAAAAGCCCAGATGAACAAAATCACATCTAGTATTCAAAACACGCCTAATATCCCGCATAACTTCTCTGTTCGTATTCCTTGTTGGATAAACTCTTGTGTGAGAATACCATTTTTCGGTCAGTGTTTCGTGAATAGATCTGGAAACGGGGACTACTCATGGGCCGATGCGTACCTGCATCAAGACGAGGACGTCCATTGGATCGTTGTCGTCGCAGAGAGTCCTTGGGATGAACCCATAGTTGTGCGGATACACCACCGAGGAATAAAGAATGCGGTCGACCTGCCAATCCATCGCAATGGATAACAATATCAGAGACGAATCTAGGTCGAGTGGCTTGGATCTGCAGGAGCAAGGACGATTACCTTGATAAGGCCGGACTTCTTGTCAAGTTCGTACTTCACTTTGCTGCCTTTAGAGATTTCTACGACGACGTTGAAGATAGTAGGAGCTTCCGAGCCTGAAAGATAGCATAGAATCGGGCACTAACTTAGTACGCAAACTTGATGAGCTATGGTCGCAAAGTTGGTTGTGAGAACTAAATCCGTACCGATCTCCAAGTCATGCCAAGGATGCGCAGCGACATGGTATTTGTTCGCCATGCTTCTGTGTGGTCCTGAAGCTGATTCCACGGGAGGTGGTGTAGGGAGACCTTGCGGCGCAGCCGTCGACGATCAGAGACTTGCTCGGAAGGCTCTGGTATTCTTGATGCAGGAAATGGACGCTTGATTAAATGTGCCACAACTATGTTCGTGGACCCATCGGTTGCAAAATGCTTGGTCAGCCTGCCGAGCAGCGATTCCTGGCAACCGTGCTTCCCCTGTCGCTGACAACTTCAAGGTTGAATGCAGGCGCGGCGACTTTGCAGCTGCCTGGGCCGCACATTTGCCCTGATTCCGTTGGGAAGCGACATCGCCAAATCAGTGCGTGCGAGCCACTCGTCCTCCCTGACCAATCTGATCCTTCCAGCACTGTGCAAAAAAATAGATGCGTTACAGGAAACTTCTGCTAAGCTGAAGCATCAACACAATGAACACATTGTCTAAAACTGGGAAACAATCAAGGCAAGTCCTCAAATCCTTCTTCATCACCCCAAGTCTCCGCAATACGCATCTCTTCAGCCAAAAGCTCGACCTGGAAGGTTGCGGGAGGGATGAACCAAATTGAAAATGGAGCACTAGCATTAGAGTCCAACATTACTGAACGTCTCCAATATACCATGTCCCTCAAAACTAATTCCTGTCCCTGCCTCTCTAGGACCGGACCCAGTCACTCCAAGACCGACCCTCTCCAAGACCGCCCCCTGCCACTCCAAGACCGCCCCCTGCCGCTCCAAGACCGCCCCCTGCCGTTCTAAAACCGCCCACTGCCGCTCTAGGACCGCCCCCTGCCGCTCTAGGACCCCCCTTTGCCCTGCTAGGACCGCCCGCTGCCGCTCTAGGGCCGCCCCCTGCCGCCCTAAGGACCGCCTTCTGCCGCTCTAGGATCGCCCCCTGCCGCTCTAGGACCGCCCCCTGCCACTCTAGGACTGCCCCCTGCCGATCTAGGACCGCCCCCTGCCAATAGGGCCGCCCCCTGCCGCCCTAAGGACCGCCCCCTGCCGCTCCAGGACCGGCCCCTGCTGCCCTAAGGACCACCCCCTGCCGCTCTAAGACCGCCCCCTGCTGCTCTAGGACCGCCCCCTGCCGCTCTAGGACCACCCCCTACCGCCCTAAGGACTGCCCCCTGCCGCCCTAAGGACTGCCCCCTGCCGCTCTAGGACTGGCCCTTAACGTCCTAGGACCGCCCCTTAACGTCCTAGGACCGCCCCCTGCCGCCCTAAGGACCACCCCCTGCCGCTTTAGGACCGCCCCCTGCCGCTCTAGGACCGCCCCCTGCTGCTCTAGGACCGCCCCCTGCTGCTCTAGGACCGCCCCCTGCCGCCCTAAGGACCGCCCCCTGCCGCTCTAAGGACCGACCCCTGCCGCTCTAGGACCGCCCCCTGCCGCTCTAGGACTGCCCCCTGCCGCCCTACGGACCGCCCCCTGCCGCTCTAGGACCGCCCCCTGCCGCTCTGGAACCGCCCCTGCTGCCCTAAGGACCGCCCCCTGCCCCTCTAAGACCGCCCCCTGCCGCTCCAGGACCGCCCCCTGCCGGCCTAAGGACCGGCCCCTGCCGCTCTAGGACCGCCCCCTGCCGCCCTAAGGACCGCCCCCTGCCGCTCTAAGACCGCCCCCTGCCGCTCCAGGACCGCCCCCTGCCGCCCTAAGGACCAACCGCTGCCGCTCTAAGACCGCCCCCTGCCACTCCAGGACCGCCCCCTGCCGCCCTTAGGACCGCCCCCTGCTGCTCTAGGACTGCCCCCTGCCGCTCTAGAACCACCCCCTGCCGCTCTAGGACCGCCCCCTGCTGCTCTAGGACCGCCCCGTGCCGCTCTAGGACCGCCCCCAGCCGCCCTAAGGACCGCCCCCTGCCGCTTTAGGACCGCCCCCTGCCGCTCTAGGACCGCCCCCTGGGCCCTTGCGGCTTTGGGACCGCTGCCTGTGGCTCTAAGCTCACCTGCGCATCAGACATTCGCTGCTGTGCTGCTGAAACCAGCACCGCACTCCTAGTCTCCGCCCGTTCTGACCCACCCAGATTATCTGTGAGCCGGCGGGCTGTTGGGAAATTCTCGGCATATCGGGCAGCCACTAAGGGGATGGGATGCACTTCAGCCAGAAGCCCGTGAGAAGCAAAGAGGGAGGAGAGAGCGGCCAGGGCACCCGAAGGGTCGGCTGCGACAGCAGGCGAGTGCGGTGCCAAGGCTTGCAAGGGCAGCTCCCCAATGACTCGGCAGCCTGCCATCAGCAGCCCCTGCAGGTGGCCCAGAATGGCCTTCAGGCCTGAAGGCGACAGGTGGGGCAGACCCTGGGCAACGGAGAAGGGGTGGGGGACGTGTGGTTTAGTGGGGGGAGGGGGCTGGAAGGCACAAGGAAGGGCAGACCGACCATGGGGGGGATGGCCATGTGCGCTGCGGCAGCAGCTTTGGACCGCACCTGCAACACCCACAGGCTCGGCCGGTCTCCTCGGTATCCGTGCCTCTGCAGCTTCTCGCCCCAGCCCTCGTCCCGCCAGTCCTCCCCCGACGCCAGGTCCGCTGACACGTGGCGCACCATCGACCCACCGGCTGGCCGCGCTCCAGCCTCTGGGAGAAAGAATGCAGGGCAATGAGCCATGCATCACGAAGCAAGTTGAGGGGATGGGGATTGCAGTAAGCAGTGAGGGGTTGGATGGGCAAGCAGGTGGAGTGGAGCCCACGCTCACCAAGAAGGCACTGGTGGCAGGCGGTGTAGGGCGCAGCGGGCGACACGTCAAACACCACCATCGGGCGCGGCCATGCCATGCGGTACGGCCGAGTGTCGTACCCATCCGTTAGAAGAACAACCTGCAATGGCGCTGGCGCTTGAATGAGAGGCAGAGGCAAAGCCAACAAGAGTCTGCATGCAACCCGGCAGAAGGTGCTCAAGTGCCAAGACTGTAATCAGCAGGCAGGCATAGCTACCTACCTGGCGGATCTCCTCTGTCCCGTCCACCAGCTGCGCCACGGCCTCGAGAATGGCGTCGTCTATGAACCTCGTCGCCACCAGATACGACGCCGCCTCCGCCGCATCATCCCCCGCCTCCCCTGCGCCGCTTGCTTCTTCCTCCCGCCCTGATCCCTCCGCCGCGGTCAGCAGGCCGGCATAGGGGTCGAGCAGCAGCGCGCCTGGTGGGCGAGAGATGAGAGAGGTAGAAAGCGCGCGATCAATTTAAACGGACGGCGTGAGGGGCAAGGGTAGCTAGGGTAGCTAGGGTAGCTAGGGTAGCTAGGGTAGCTAGGGTAGCTAGGGTAGCTAGGGTAGCTAGGGTAGCTAGGGTAGCTAGGGTAGCTAGGGTAGCTAGGGTAGCTAGGGTAGCTAGGGTAGCTAGGGTAGCTAGGGTAGCTAGGGTAGCTAGGGTAGCTAGGGTAGCTAGGGTAGCTAGGGTAGCTAGGGTAGCTAGGGTAGCTAGGGTAGCTAGGGTAGCTAGGGTAGCTAGGGTAGCTAGGGTAGCTAGGGTAGCTAGGGTAGCTAGGGTAGCTAGGGTAGCTAGGGTAGCTAGGGTAGCTAGGGTAGCTAGGGTAGCTAGGGTAGCTAGGGTAGCTAGGGTAGCTAGGGTAGCTAGGGTAGCTAGGGTAGCTAGGGTAGCTAGGGTAGCTAGGGTAGCTAGGGTAGCTAGGGTAGCTAGGGTAGCTAGGGTAGCTAGGGTAGCTAGGGTAGCTAGGGTAGCTAGGGTAGCTAGGGTAGCTAGGGTAGCTAGGGTAGCTAGGGTAGCTAGGGTAGCTAGGGTAGCTAGGGTAGCTAGGGTAGCTAGGGTAGCTAGGGTAGCTAGGGTAGCTAGGGTAGCTAGGGTAGCTAGGGTAGCTAGGGTAGCTAGGGTAGCTAGGGTAGCTAGGGTAGCTAGGGTAGCTAGGGTAGCTAGGGTAGCTAGGGTAGCTAGGGTAGCTAGGGTAGCTAGGGTAGCTAGGGTAGCTAGGGGTAGCTAGGGTAGCTAGGGTAGCTAGGGTAGCTAGGGTAGCTAGGGTAGCTAGGGTAGCTAGGGTAGCTAGGGTAGCTAGGGTAGCTAGGGTAGCTAGGGTAGCTAGGGTAGCTAGGGTAGCTAGGGTAGCTAGGGTAGCTAGGGTAGCTGGGGCAGCTGGGGCAGCTGGGGCAGCTGGGGTAGCTGGGGTAGCTAGGGTAGCTAGGGTAGCTAGGGTAGCTAGGGTAGCTAGGGTAGCTAGGGTAGCTAGGGTAGCTAGGGTAGCTAGGGTAGCTAGGGTAGCTAGGGTAGCTAGGGTAGCTAGGGTAGCTAGGGCAGCTAGGGCAGCTGGGGCAGCTGGGGCAGCTGGGGCAGCTGGGGTAGCTAGGGTAGCTAGGGTAGCTAGGGTAGCTAGGGTAGCTAGGGTAGCTGGGGCAGCTGGGGCAGCTGGGGCAGCTGGGGTAGCTAGGGTAGCTAGGGTAGCTAGGGTAGCTAGGGTAGCTAGGGTAGCTAGGGTAGCTAGGGTAGCTAGGGTAGCTAGGGTAGCTAGGGTAGCTAGGGTAGCTAGGGTAGCTAGGGTAGCTAGGGTAGCTAGGGTAGCTAGGGTAGCTAGGGTAGCTAGGGTAGCTAGGGTAGCTAGGGTAGCTAGGGTAGCTAGGGTAGCTAGGGTAGCTAGGGTAGCTAGGGTAGCTAGGGTAGCTAGGGTAGCTAGGGTAGCTAGGGTAGCTAGGGTAGCTAGGGTAGCTAGGGTAGCTAGGGTAGCTAGGGTAGCTAGGGTAGCTAGGGTAGCTAGGGTAGCTAGGGTAGCTAGGGTAGCTAGGGTAGCTAGGGTAGCTAGGGTAGCTAGGGTAGCTAGGGTAGCTAGGGTAGCTAGGGGTAGCTGGGGCAGCTGGGGCAGCTGGGGCAGCTGGGGCAGCTGGGGCAGCTGGGGCAGCTGGGGCATGGCGAGCAAGAGCTGAGGAAAAGGGCGGCTACCGAGCGCCCCACCATCTCGAGCGCTCTCTGTGCTCCGCCAAGACGCCGCGCGCTCTTCCGCGCAACCCCAGGCGGAAAATAAACCCCCGTTACTTGCTGACGGCACAGTGTGGGTCCGCAATCGCGCTAGGCTGGGGGGCGGTGTCTGGTTGCATCGGCTGGAATGGTTGACGCGACGACGCCGTGCGCGTGTGTCAGCCAGGGATCTGCTGCATCGCGACAACGCACACAGCCCCAAGTGCTCGGCTGCTATGCCTTTGCGCCGCAGCAGCCATGGGTGTGGTTGAAGTGTGGTGCTAGCTATGGTCAGCATGGGGGGCAGGATGAAGCGCGAGGGGCGAAACCCCCGAGTTGGAAGATTGCTGTGTGCTAGAATTGTCCTCGTTTCAAGGCTACTTCTAACAAAGTTAGAAGTCCCCGATATGCAAACATCGCAACAGGATATGTTATCCAGAATACTTGCACCAGAACAACTACACTCCCAGTTTCCCCACCTATTGGTGCTCCACCCTGACTAAGCAACAATTCAGGGTCTCCATCGCTGTTAGAGTCTATGGTGGTTCTTCGTCCCGTGTAAACGGTGAAATCTACTAAGCTTTTCTCTTAGTGAGCGGGCCAGTAACTTCCCCCACCTCACCTGAGAAACCCCTCCAATCTGCAGATGGCGCCAGACCCGTTTCCGCATCCCGCGCAGATTGCAGCAAGGTTTCGCGATCATTTTCTCTGCCGGCCATTCGCCACCTGCCACCTGCACCCACACCGAGGCTGCCGCCACCACCGCTGCCGCGACCAACCGAAACCCGAGCCTACCTGACCTGGTCCCCATGTTTCGCCAAGCCCCGCAACGAACAAACCTCGAGGCGCACTGAAGGGGGGAGTGCCAGGCCAGCCCCCCCGCCGGAGCGCAGCTGCGCCCTGCGTGTCGTGGCGTGCAGCGGCGAGGCGAAATGCGAATCACGCGCCAAGCGAAAGCCCGAGGGCCGTTTGTGGGGCAAAACTCTCTGCCTGCCTCCTGGTCGTGTGACTCAACGCTAGGCAGGGGCTGATGGAGCCGACAAACACACACACACGCACCGAATCACCCTTCCCCTGACATACATAATTTGGGATTCGCTCCGTGTTCCCACCACATGCTCCTCCATACGAAACTCGAATTGATTCACCCAACACCCAGACCACCTCAACGAGTCAGCTTCGTATTCCGAGATCGATCGCACGAAACTAATCAAGTCTACGTTGTCTCCGGCGATGGCGCATGGCGAGTCATGGGGGTGGGCCACGACGCTCAAGCAGGCGGCCACCATCAACTCGCTCCCTCCCGAGTGGCTGCCCTTCGTCGACCGCGACGCCCACTGGCCCGCCGCCCTGCGCCAAAGCGCGTCCGCCATCGAGCTGCAGCTCAACTCCGCCCGCGCGTGTGTCCCAACGACTTCCGCGAAGCACCGCGACGCTGGTAACCAGCTCGGCAGCGCGTCGGTGGACTGTTATTCGCAGTCGTCGGGTCTGTCGGACGACGAGATCGCGGTGGCGGCGCACATGGCGCGGATGGTGCAGGCGGACGCCTCGTCCGCACCCAACCACGCTCACGCCCCTGCCTCTCAATCCGGGCCGTTCTTCCATTTCCTCGATTGCCACGCCCAAACCGGATCCCAGCCGTCCGTTGGAGCACCGCAGCCGCCACGGCTGGAGTCCGTCGACTCCTTCAAGAGCCTAGCGGACTTGGCGGCGCGCTCCGCATTCTCCCCCAACGGTGCCGCGTCCCCCGCTCTCTCCCAGTGCGCAGCTGCGGCGTTTGCGCTTTCGCGATCGTCCTCCGAATTGGACGGCTGTGATCTGAGCTTGTCGCTGGGCAGCCCGTCGAGCAATGGCGGGGCGGCGGAGGCGGACATGGCATGGGCGGCGGGCGATGCGGAGGCGTGGGGCGCGGAGATGTCGATGGAGCAGTCGGGGGAGAGCGGGCAGGGAGGGTGCACGCGGGGTGGCGGGCAGCAAGCCGACAGCGCCTGCGCCGACGGCTGGCTGCTCCTCGCGTCCGTTGCGGGCGGGCAGTCGCACACTCGCTGACGTGGCTTGGCGTGGAAATATCTGATACGCGATACTGCTAGGCTGCTAGGGTAGGCTAGGCGGCAGGATAGATAAAGTAGACTGTATCATATCGACGTACTGTACAAAAAGGATTGTTTTGACCATTCCTTGCCTCCGATTCCTAGAGGCGGCCTAAAACTGTAGGAATGGGCAATAATGAAGAGTCTTGGGTTGGTTCTGTAGCTCTCTGGAGTATGAGGTACCATCGTTCATCAAGGTTTATCAGCCCCCCAAGAATGCTATTGAGACGTGCAGACACCCAGTAGGATATTCACCCTCTCGCACCATCCATCCATCCATCCATCCATCCATCCAGAGCATTGCCGCTGCCGTATTGTTGACTTGTATCATGTGGGAATGTGGGTCACCCACCACGCCCTGTTCCTTTCCATCTGCTGCTACCACACAGCAGCGGCCATACTCATTGCAAGAAACCGTTCCTCATAACAAGCAATGCAACCACCAGTGCCTGCCACTGTACACTGCATGCACTGCCATCCACACCTGCCTTCAGCCCTGTACCACATTCCCTGACCTGCCCACATCTGTAGAAGCCTCTCTAGATCACTTTCTGCTGCTATAAATCTGCTGCGCCAACCCCAGCCCACTGCTGTATGCTCCCCCCCCTCCCCCCCCGTCACTTCTGCACGTACAGCTCCTGCTTGGCCACCAGGTACGACCCCGACGCCTCCCCCGGCTCGATGACAAAGAGCTCGATGAAGCTGCCCAGCTTCTTCCCGTGCCCCTTGTACCCCGTCGCCCCGCCGCTCGTGATCCCCTCCACCTGCGTGCCGGGCGGCGGGATGAACTGCCGCCCCACCACCAGCGCGCCCGACACGCGCACCATCACACCGCGGCGGCCGTACGCGCAGCACTCGAGGTTCTCGACGGTGTGCACAAGGCGCTCCGACTTCTGCTCGCCCAGCATCATGGTGCGGATCGACGTCAGCGTTGCAAAGATCTGCTCCCCGCCCGTGTACACGCGGTGCCCAAACCTGGGGGAGGGGGGGAATGGGATGGGGGGGTTGTTGAGGGGTCAAAGGGAAGGGGTAGGGGAGGGTTGTGTGGGGTAATGCAACGTGGAATGGAGGTGAACGGTGGCGAATAGGAAGGCAAGTCAGGGATTTGAGAGAGCTGTGCTTTGAACGCTGTGAGGGTGGCAGGGTGGGCAAGCCCAGCCGGTACATGAGCGTGGCGTCGGGCTTGTAGAAGCTCTCGATGTGCGGCCACATGGTGTCGGGGCCGTCGAACAGCATGTAGTAGTGCACCATCAGCATCTGCCAGGCGCGGCGCACACACATGGGGGGGCGCGGCGAGAGGGAGAGGGGAGGGAGAGGGGAGGGACACAGGATGAAGGAAGGGGTGAGGGAGGGGTGGGGTGGACTGGGGAGAGAGAGTGAGAAGGATAAAGAAAGGGGAAGAGAGCAAGACAGGTGCTAGTCATGCAGAGCTTGAGGCGATTTGAGTGTTGGAGCGTGTGAGAGCGGGAGCGCGGACATTGGAGAGGTCCTTGAGTCGGTCGGTGGGGTTGACGACGTTCTGGATGTACCCCGCCAGGTCCACGTCCTCCTCCGTGTGCTTCGTGATGAACGGGTGCTGCAGCAGCTGCTCGTAGCGGGCCCGCGTGGGGTTAGGGGGGGAGGGAAACAATGGTTGAGTGCTTGGATGGTGGGGAGAGAGAGAGAGGTGGGGAGGTGGGCTGACAGCAGGAAGGAGAGAGGGTGCTTTGATACAAGGGAACGACACAGCTAGCAAGCTGCTTCGATCCCGCACACAGCACTGCATCCTGCACCTGCTATCAATCACGGCACCCCTGAGCACCGCACTGCACCACTCACAACGTCGGCGGTGGGGCGCTGGAAGGGGTCCTTCTCGAGGCTGTCGTTGACGAACGACTGGAACTCCGCCGAGTACCCCGGCGGCAGCGTGGGCGCTGGGTCCTCCATCACCTGCCGGCGCAGGGGGGGCGCAGGGAGGGGGCGGGGGGAGGGGTTGTAGGGGGGGCAGGGAAGGGAGGTTGGTGAGGGATGGAAGAGGAGGGGGGGGGGGGAGAACAAGGGCCTTTTTAGTGGTGTAGGGGGACGTGGTACCTGCAGCATGAGGTTGATGGGGCCTTTTTAGCGGTGTAGGGGGAGGTGGTACCTGCAGCACGAGGTTGATGGGGCCTATATCAGCGGTGTAGGGGGAGGTGACACCTGCAGCAAGAGGTTGATGGGGCCTATATCAGCGGTGTAGGGGGAGGTGGCACCTGCAGCATGAGGTTGATGGGCCCTTTATCAGCGGTGTAGGGGGAGGTGGCACCTGCAGCATGAGGTTGATGGGCCCTTTATCAGCGGTGTAAGGGAAGGTCCCCGTGCCGCACTCGAGCAGGGCGAGGCCCAGGCTCCAGATGTCGGCGGGGAAGGAGTAGTTCTGGTTGGCGATGCGCTCGGGCGACATGTACGTCACCGTGCCCACAAAGGTCGCGCACTGGGGGGGGGAGGGGGGGGGATTGGTGGGTGGTGATGTGAAAGGGATGTAGAGGGAGGAGCAGAGGGCGCGGAGGGTTGGAGAAAGCAGGTGGAAAGACGAGAGGGCGACGGGGGAGGAGGTGGAATACAATGGGGCAGCATTGCTTGCACAAGAGCACAGAACCACACAAGCGGTGCATAAGTGCACGGCACCCACCATGGCGAGGGAGTGGTCCAGCCCGGTGCTGATGCCGAAGTCGGTGATCTTGGGGTCGCCATTGAGGTTCAAAAGCAGGTTCGCGGGCTTGATGTCGCGGTGCACCATGCGCCGCTCGCCGTGCAAGAACTGCATGCCCTGCCAGACAAAGGGGGAGGGGGGGGAGGAGAAGGGGGGAGGGGGCGTGTAAGGAGCATAGGAGATGTCTGGTGCACCATGCGCCGCTCGCCATGCAGTAACTGCATGCCCTGCCAGAGGGCGGTGGGGGGAGGTGGATGGGGGGGAGGGTGTAAGCGGCATGGGAGATGTCGCGGTGCGCCACGTGCCGCTCTTTCCGCAGGAGTCGCACGCCTTGTGGGAGGGCGGTGGGGGGGGAAGGGGGACACGGTATGGCGTGGTGCCTGTCTTGCTCAAGGGTGTTGGAGGATGGGGGGGAGAAGGGGGTAGGAGATGCCCCGGTGCCCCGGTGCATACCCTGCTTGCAGGGGGAAGGGGGATGGGGGAGAGGCTGTGCACCATGGCCAGTCAGTGCTCGTGCGCATGCCGCGGACGGGTGGGAGGGAAACGGGCCATGGGGAGGGCGATGGGGAGGGACGAGAGAGGGCGATGGGGAGGGACGAGAGAGGGCGATGGGGAGGGACGAGAGACGGCGATGGGGAGGGACGAGAGAGGGCGATGGGGAGGGACGAGAGAGAGAGATTGCAGATGAGCATGGAGGGTGCGAGGGATGAGCGCGCAGCAGAGTTGACGGGTTCATGGCGCAGTCGTGATGGCAGCATAAACTGCAACACGATGGCAGCCACACCAGCCACCTCGCCCCGCCATCATCAGTGAACGCCCTCTCCGCCTATACACCTTGGCACAATTGCCAGGCTGCCAGCAGCAGTCACTGTAGAACGTGGTCAGCAGCAGCAGCAGCAGCATCACCAGCAGCAGAAGCAGCATCACCAGCAGCAGAAGCAGCAGCAGCAGCAGCAGCAGCAGGGCGCACCTGCAGCACCCGCCTGGTGATGGCGGAGAGGATGTTTTCGGGGATGGTCTTGGTGACCTGCACCACATCCGCCAGCGACCCGCCGTCCATGTACTCCAGCGCGATGTTGATCTGCCCGCTGTCGGGCTGGTAGAACGCGCCGTAGAACTCCACCAGCCCCGGCGCCGCCGGCGCCTCGCACAGCGTGCGAATCTCGTTCAGCAGCTGGTGCCGCTTGTCCTGCCCAAGAGGGGGGGGAGTGTGGGGGAGTGGGTTGTTGAAGGAAGGTTAAGGGAAGGAAGGGAAGGGAACGAAAGGAAGAGGAGGACGAGGGGGGGGGAGGAGGGGGAGGGGGAGGAGGGAGCAAGAGCGGACCTTTTCGAAGACGTTGACTTTCTTGAGCGCGAGCAGGCGGTGCGTGGGTATGTGGATGGCCTTGCACACCACGCTGCTCGCGCCCGACCCGATCGCGCCGAACACGAGCATCTCGTTGGACGCGCAGCGGTACGTCTTCTCGCCGCCCGACCCGCTGTCCTCCGAGTGCTGGCCGTCCTTGTTCACCTGCAGGCCCTGCTCGCTGATCGCGTACTCGTTAAACGACTGGCTCATTAGGTTGATGTGCCCCTCCTCGCTGACCTGCCGATGGGAAAGATGGTTAAAAGCGGAATTCAGTCTTAGGTTTGGATTAGTAAGAAAGTGGCGCGTGACGCGGAATGCGTAACACTGAAGCATAAAATTGCAGGGAGAAAGAAAAGGAGCACTTTGCGCGGCATGGCTCCTGACACGAGGCAACTCGGATCGCCATCGCACACCGCAATGCGTTTCGCGACCACCCGTGCCGTGTAACGAGCAACGAGTTGACCTTATACGAGGCGTAGGGGTCGTTGGCCATGGCGGGCATGGCCCCGACGCCTCCCGAGTCGGGCGCTCTGACGCCGCCGTCCGTCTGCAGCGGCAGCAGCTTCTTCTTCATCTTCGCCAGCCCCGCCATCGCGCCCCTCTCCTGCCCAATGCGCAATCCGCAATGCTCAATGCTCTATGCGCCTCTCTACCACCGCCCAGCACTGCGATCGCCCGCCCGCCCGTCCACGCCTAGATTCTGACGACGCGCTACTCGCCGAAACGCGCTACTGGCAGGTCGACCCACGAGCTCGCGGCAGGCCGGTCCCCGCCTCGATGTTGGGTCGACGATCCCTAGGTCAGAGTCGGCAATCCCTAGGTCAGAGTCGGCAATCCCTAGGTCAGAGTCGGCAGCGCCTCGAGAAGCCTCGGTCGGGCAGCTCTACGGGCTCGCGGGGAGACGGCATTCTCTAGAATGACGTCAGCATCGCCTCGTCCGTCGCAATGGACGCCGCCTACTTTCGACTGGACTGCCTCCGATATAAGCAGGAAGAGACTATTAAAAGCACTATCGCAAAAGTTCGAGAGGTATAACGACAATCAGGAGGAAACGACCGGTTGCGTGGTGTGCGCAGTGACTGCTCGGCTGCCAGCAAGTGACAGCGCTAACATCCAGGGTGGGGTAGACCGTAGAAGCGGAGCAGCAGAGCACTAAGAATCTGAAGGTAGCGTGCTGCACCGTGTACTGTCTGCTGCGTTGGCGGCGGGCTCTACCTGCCTACCCCTCTCCCAGCGCTGCTGGGTGGTTGAGTTGAGCATGTTGCTGCCGCTGCTGCTGCTGGCGAGGTGGAGGTGAGGCGGGGGGTGACAAGACAGCAACGCGGATGGCGGAGCATGACGCGCGCGTGTGGTGGTGGTGCGCCCATGGATGGATGGCTCAACCCCGCCACGAATGTTCCACGGGCCCCCGTTTTAGGCACGTAAAGCAGCAAATAATAACAAACTTCTGGAGTATAGCTGTACAAACAATTTACCACCTTATGGAGTTACTTAGTACGTTATACGTTAAATTTCATGAAATCAAGGTCGATATTCAAACAGGGAATTGGTTTCTGTGGCTTTATTAATGTTTGGTCTCCTATACCTTAATGCTTCTAACTCCATCCAAGCCTTGTTAGCAACCTCAAGCAGAACCTACCAAGGAGATTGACTTGCCATCCCTCACCATTGTTGCGCAACAACTATTCCTGTGGTCTGAAGACCAGCACGGCCCATTTGGGCAGGTTGATGAACAGCTTGCCGTGGCTGGGAGCTACCTGCCTGCCCGCGTTGCCTGATGTGGCCCACCCCCCATACTCCGCTTCCTGCGAGTTGAACACCTCCACATATGGCCGAGTGTCGCCACCAGTGCGTACGCCATAGTCGGCCTTCTCCCACTGGGCATCACTGGCATTCACCACCACCAGCATAGTCTCGCTCTCAGTCTGCATCAACCAGGTGAGAGGGTGAAGAGACAGGGGGAGCTTTTCGCATGGTCACAGTGCATGCGGGCTGAAAGACTGCGTGCATGCCCAGCATGCATGCACGCAGATTCACACAATATACAGCCTCAAAGTCAGAGCAGAAGCATGACTTCACGAGAAGATAGCGCATGCACAGCGCGTCAGCACACCCCACTCTGAACATAAGAACTGCCAGCTCTACATAATCCGCGCGTGGCCACCTGCCTGTTGCACTGACCTGGCGCTTGAAGGCCAGCACGCAGTTGGCCTCGTCGTAGTGCACCGTCTCAAAGCCCCCTCGCTGCAGCGCCGCACTCCCCGCCCTCACCCCGTTCGCCGCCCGCACCAGTGCCTGCATTTGCTGCCCAACCGCGTCCTCTGCGCCGCGCAGCATGGGGGGCCAGGTGGAAGGGGTGAGAGATGCGTGTGCAAGATACAGGAGAGGGGTGCGAAATGGGCATGGCAGATGGGTGACGGGCGGTGGGTGACGGGCGGTGGGTGACGGGCGGTGGGTGGTGGGCGATGGCTGCGGTGCAATGGCGAGAGGAGTGTGCGCTATGAGATGGGTGCAATGGCGAGAGGAGTGTGCGCTATGAGATGGGTGCAATGGCGAGAGGAGTGTGCGCTATGAGATGGGTGCAATGGCGAGAGGAGTGTGCGCTATGAGATGGGTGCAATGGCGAGAGGAGTGTGCGCTGTGAGATGGGTGCAATGGCGAGAGGAGTGTGCGCTGTGAGATGGGTGCAATGGCGAGAGGAGTGTGCGCTATGAGATGGGTGCAATGGCGAGAGGAGTGTGCGCTGTGAGATGGGTGCAATGGCGAGAGGAGTGTGCGCTGTGAGATGGGTGCAATGGCGAGAGGAGTGTGCGCTGTGAGATGGGTGCAATGGCGAGAGGAGTGTGCGCTGTGAGATGGGCGTGATTCAGTGACAACCAGACTGACGCCGGCAACAGCTTGCTCCCTCAAGGTTGGCCTACCAGTGTACTGCCAATCGAGCATGTCCTTGGCGTTGATCCCCCACCAGTTGGGGTGCGCGCACTCTGACCCCATGAACGTCATTGGTATGCCCTGCGCACACACCTGCTGCCCACCACCACACGCATGCAGCACACACATGGCATGTAGCAAGCACAGGACAGGAGGTACAGGAGTCATGCATGCTGAAAGCACAGAAGTTTGGCATGTACTGGAGACATGCAAACCCCGTGCCACTCTCCCCCGTGCCACTACCCCCGGTGCCACTACCCCCCCTGCCACTACCCCCCGTGACACTAGCCCCCCGTGCCACTACCCCCCCGTGCCACTACCCCCCCGTGCCACTACCCCCCTTGCCACTAACCCCTGTGCCACTAACCCCTGTGCCACTAACCCCTGTGCCACTACACAGCCCTATGCCACTACCACCCGTGCCACTACCCTCCGAGCCACTACCCCCCATGCCGCTACCCCCCCTGCCACTACCCCCCGTGCCACTTGCCCAACACGCCACTTGCCCACCGTGCCACTTGTCCCCGTGCCACTAGCCCCACGTGCCACTAGCCCCACGCGCCACTAGCCCCCCGTGCCAAGGTGTGTGGGGAGATGGGGGGGTTGGGACGCAAGTCGGGGGTGGGGAGACGCAATTCTGTGGTAGCCCGCAGCAACGCACCTGGCAGGCGAACCACATGCGCACTTTGGCCCGTGCATTCCAATCCTCGCGGCCGCCAAACAGCTCCACCGCATACCTGACGCGAGGGGGGGAGAGGAGGGCACGAGGGGAGATGAGGGGGCGTGCGGAGGGAAGGCGGGCTTAGCGAGAGAGTTGTGATGCAAGACCCATGACCATGCCATGTCACGCCAGCCATACTCGACACATGGGCCCTCATACCGTATTTTAGCCCTGTGTGCCGCCGCATTTCTGTTCGGTCATCCATCCCCCCGCTCTGTGTCAGTTTGGCAAGGGCGTGTACTTTGCTGGCCTGGTGAGCAAGAGCGTGCAGCACTGCTTCGCCTGTGCTGACAGCAGTGTGGGCCTGCTGCTGCTCTACCGAGTGGCGCTGGGTGCCCTGCATGAACTCACCGCCGCCCAGGTCAGACCTGCATGCTCCCGCTCCCACTGCTGCCTTCATCAGCACTGCCCTTCTGACTAGCGGTCCATTCAAACAAGAACTAGCATCTTACAGTCGCCAAAACCTTTCCCCAAAACTTTTCGCCGAAACCATTCGCCAAAACCTTCCATTTGCCAAAACCTTACGCCAAAATATTTTTTTCAAAACCTTCTGCCAAGATCATTCCCCAAAAGCTTTCGCCAAACCGTTCGCCAAAAGAATTCGGCAAAACCTTCTGTCAAATCCTTTCGCCAAACCCAAAACCATGCGACAGTACCATTCGTCAAAACCATTCGCCAAAACCATTTGCCAAAACCATTCACCAAAGTCAAAACCATTGGCCAAAACCCTTCGCAAAAATCATTCGTCAAAGCCATTCCCCAAAACCATTCGCCATAAGCATTTGCCAAAAACATTCGCCAAAACCATTCGCCAAAACCTCTCGTCAAAACCATTCGCCAAAACCATTCGCCAAAACCTTTCGTCAAAACCATTAGCCAAAACCATTTGCCAAAACAATTCGCCGAAACCTTTCGCCAAAACCATTCACCAAAACCGTTTGCCAAAACAATTCGCCAAAACCATTCGCCAAAACTTTCACCAAAACCATTCGCCAAAACCTTTCGCCAAAACCATTTCTCAAAACCATTCGCAAAAACCATTCGACAAAACCATTTGCAAAAACCATTCGCCAAAACCATTCGCAAAACCATTCACCAAAACCTTTCGTCAAATCCATTCGCCAACACCATTTGCCAAAACCATTCGCCAAAACCTAACGCCGAAACCATTTGCCGAAACCTTTCGCCAAAACCATTCGCCAAAACTTTCGCCAAAACCGTTCGCCGAATCCATTCGCCAAAGCTTTTTTCCAAATCCAGTCACCGAATCCATTGGCAAAATCCATTTGCCACATCCATTCGCCAAAACCATTCCCCAAAACCATTCCCCAAAACCATTTGTCAAAACCCTTCGCCTAAACCATTCGCCAAAAGCATTCACCAAAAGCATTCGCCATAACCATTCGCCAAAAGCATTCGCCAAAAGCATTCGCCAAAACAATTCGCCATAACCATTCGCCAAAACCATTTCGCCATAACCATTCACCAAAACCATTCGCCAAAACCTTTCGCCAAAACCATTCGCCAAAACTTTCGCCAAAAACATTCGCCAAAACCTTTCGTCAAAACCATTTGCCAAACTATTCACAAAGAAAAACCGGCAAAACCTTTTGCCAAAACCTTTCGCCAAAACCATTCGCCAAACCCAAAACCATTCGCCAAAACCATTTGCCAAAACCTTTCGCCAAAACCTTTTGCCAAAACCATTCGCCAAAACCATTCACCAAAACCATTCCCCAAAAGCATTCGCCAAAACCATTTACCAAAACCATTCGCCAAATCCATTCGCCATAACCTTTCGTCAAAACCATTCGCCAAACCATTCGGTAAAACATTTTGCCAAAACTTTTCGCCAAACCATTCGCCAAACCCAAACCCATTCGCCAAAACCATTTGTCAAAACCTTTCGCCAAAACCATTTGCCAAAACCCTTTGCCAAAACCATTCTTCAAAAGCATTCGCCAAAAACCAAAACCATTCGCCAAATCCTTTCGCCAAAAGCTTTCGCCAAAACCATTTACCAAAACCATTCGCCAAATCCTTTCGCCAAAAACATTCGCCAGAACCATTCGCCAAAACCATTCGTCAAAACCATTCGCCAAAACTATTCGCCAAAACCTTTCGCCAAAAACATTCGTCAAAACCTTTCGCCAAAAACATTCGCCGAAACCTTTCGCCAAAACCTTTCGTCAAAACCATTCGCCAAACTATTCACACAAAAAAACCGGCAAAAACTTTTGCCAAAACCTTTCGCCAAAACCATTCGCCAAACCCAAAACCATTCGCCAAAACCATTTGCCAAAACCTGTCGCCAAAACCTTTCGCCAAAACCAAAAACCAAAACCTTTCGCCAAAACCATTCGCCAAAACCATTCCCCAAAAGCATTCGCCAAAACCATTTACCAAAACCATTCGCCAAATCCATTCGCCAGAACCTTTCGTCAAAACCATTCGCCAAACCATTCGGCAAAACCTTTTGCCAAAACCTTTCGCCAAACCCGAACCCATTCGCCAAAACCATTTGTCAAAACCTTTCGCCAAAACCTTTCGCCAAAACCCTTTGCCAAAACCATTCGTCAAATGCATTCGCCAAAAACCAAAACCATTCGCCAAATCCTTTCGCCAAAAGCATTCGCCAAAACCATTTACCAAAACCATTCGCCAAATCCTTTCTCCAAAAACATTCGCCAGAACCATTCGTCAAAACCATTCGCCAAAACCTTTCGCCAAAAACATTCGCGAAACCTTTCGCCAAAAGAATTCGCCAAAAGCATTTGCCAACACCATTCGCCAAAACCATTCGCCAAAACCTTTCGCCAAAACCATTCGCCAAAACCTTTCGCCAAACCATTCGCCAAAACCTTTCGTAAAAACCGTTTGCCAAAACCTTATGCCAAATCCATTGGCCAAAACCATTCGCCAAAACCTTTCGTCGAAACCATTCACCGAAACCATTCGCCAAAACCTTTCGCAAAAACCATTCGCCAAAACCATTCACCAAAACCTTTCGCCAAAAACATTCGCCAAAACCATTCGCCAAAACCATTTGCCAAAACCGTCCGCCAAAACCTATTGCCACAACCTTTCACCCATCACCCTCCATCACCCATCACCCTCCATCACCCTCCATCACCCTCCATCACACTCCATCACCCTCCATCACCCTCCATCACCCTCCATCACACTCCATCACCCTCCATCACCCATCACCCTCCATCACCCTCCATCATCCTCCATCATCCTCCATCACCCTCCATCACACTCCATCACCCTCCATCACCCATCACCCTCCATCACCCTCCATCATCCTCCATCATCCTCCATCACCCTCCATCACCCTCCATCACCCATCACCCTCCATCATCCTCCATCACCCTCCATCACCCTCCATCACCCTCCATCACCCATCACCCTCCATCACCCTCCATCGTCCTCCATCACCCTCCATCACACTCCATCACACTCCATCACCCTCCATCATCCTCCATCACCCTCCATCACCCTCCATCACACTCCATCACCCTCCATCACCCATCACCCTCCATCATCCTCCATCACCCTCCATCATCCTCCATCATCCTCCATCACCCTGCATCACCCTCCATCACCATCCATCACCCTGCATCACCCTCCATCACCATCCATCACCCTCCATCACCCTCCATCACCATCCATCACCCTCCATCACCCTCCATCACCCTCCATCACCATCCATCACCATCCATCACCCTCCATCACCATCCATCACCCTCCATCACCCTCCATCACCATCCATCACCCTCCATCACCATCCATCACCCTCCATCACCCTCCATCACCATCCATCACCCTCCATCACCCTCCATCACCATCCATCACCATCCATCACCCTCCATCACCATCCATCACCCTCCATCACCCTCCATCACCATCCATCACCCTCCATCACCATCCATCACCCTCCATCACCCTCCATCACCATCCATCACCCTCCATCACCCTCCATCACCATCCATCACCCTCCATCACCCTCCATCACCATCCATCACCCTCCATCACCATCCATCACCCTCCATCACCATCCATCACCCTCCATCACCCTCCATCACCATCCATCACCCTCCATCACCCTCCATCACCATCCATCACCCTCCATCACCCTCCATCACCATCCATCACCATCCATCACCATCCATCACCCTCCATCACCATACATCACCCTCCATCACCCTCCATCACCATCCATCACCCTCCATCACCATCCATCACCCTCCATCACCCTCCATCACCATCCATCACCCTCCATCACCCTCCATCACCCTCCATCACCCTCCATACCTGTGGTAGCCCTGTATTTCGTCATCATAGCTGCCGTTTCTGCGGCACCCGATCTGGTCATGGGACCCCAGGAAGTACTTCACACACTGCCATCATCGGGGGTTCAGAATTCACAGGCTTGGGGGTTTGTTTTTAGGGATATGAATGAAATCGTACCCTAGAAAAACTCCCCCCCCACTGGCTGAAGCAGTGGGATGGCACGTCATGGTGGCGTGGAATGGCATGGAAGAGGAAGGACGAGAACGCTGCATCAATAAGGCAAGAACGTGCAGAGATGGAAGAGGAGGCGCCGGTTGGATCAGCAAGTGTGGACATGTGCGCATGCATGTGTGTGTGTCCGAGCGCACACGTGTTTTTGCTTGCAGGTCCGTGGGCTCTCCATCTTGACTTGCCCAGAGGGGACATAGAAACGCAGCATGCAGGGAGGAGTGAAGCAAGGAGGGTCGTTGACCTGCGTTGACTTGGAGTAGCCGGGCAGCAGCGTGAGCAGGGCCTGTAGGCGGCCGAGGGGTCTGGGCCCGTCGGTGCAGAGCATGAAGGAGCGCATCTTGTAGAACGACGTGTGCATCCACGTCGCGTCGTACCCCGCGTCCGACAGCACCTCGGGCACCTCGGGGGTGATCTCTGCACACACAGGCACGGACAAAAGGAATGGGGAGGGGGGTGTGCAGGCAGCACAGCAGAATCGACCTGCGTGTGGTGGAAGGTGCGGCGTGCGGGCGAAGTGTGCATGGCAGCAGAGCCCATACCGGAGATGAGGATGTGGTTGGGGAATTCCCGGTGCAGGTGCCACGTGAGGCTCTGCGACACATTCCAAGGCATGGCGTGCACACAGTCAAACCGCAGCCCGTCGCCTGTGGGCGGGGAGAAAGGGGGGACGGGGAAGGGGGAGGGGGGAGGGGGGTAAGGGCGGGCTATGGAAAGGAGGAGGGGCAGAGAGGTGGGGAGCTGTGTTTGCCTCAGCGCGCTGTACAGTGCATGGCAAGGCGTGGCAGCAAGGAGAATCAAAAGGGACGCCTCGAGTGCAGACGAACTACAGGCTGTGGTGAAGCACGTGTGTCAGAAAGCGAACCGTTGTACTCGTTGAGGAAGAGGCGGGCGGCGTCCAGCACCATGTCCTTCACCTCCTGCTGCCACCACGCAAACGTCTTGCCCCACGACGAGTCGCCGCCGCCGTCAAAGTAGAGGCCTGGGGGGCGCAGGCGCGAGGACATGCGGATGAGATTCAGCAGCCAGTGCTAAGCTGAAGACGGCGGGAGAGAGGTGGTTCGGCTCTAGGGAAAACTGGTGTGGGATGGGGGAAGCAATCCTGGCAGGCGGGTGGTCATGAGCGCTTCAGAGAGAGAAGCTTACACGGTAGAGACTGAGGCTTCGGGTGGGCCCCTCGCACTCACCTCCTTTCTTGGTGGGACCGTCATACTCCCACAGGCTGAGTGAAGAAAGGGGCAGGGAAAGTGGCAGAAATACACGCAAGGGTAAGATATGGGAGTGCAATAGAGGAGAAGGGAGAAGAGAGGAGCACAGGGATGTGCGGATGCAGACGTTAGGACGATAGGCTTGAGAGCCATCACCATTGGGAAACAGGAGTAATGTGACTATGAATAAACAGCACTCTTTCAACACCAAGCATCGGAGGAAACTCTAGCTGAAGGCTGCATCAATACTGGCACACGTGGCCATCCTGTCCTCATCCCGCATGCCACCCCCTGCGTCCCACCTGTTGAGGTTGGGCGCCAGATGGTGCAGCACCACGTCGAATATCACCGCCAGGCCTGGAAGATGGGGTGCACCATCACATGGGCAGGCGTGTCATCATGCAGTGAGAGGACGGAATGCAATGGCATGTCATGGCTCGACTTGACATGGGCATGGCATGTGTTGGAAGTTAAAAGGACTAGTTGAGAGGGACGATGGTCCTGCTACCCAACTGCAGCCGTCTGGCCTCACTATGCCAGTCAGTCAGCAGCAATCAGCATGAATCACCCTCACCCCCACCCCACCCTCGCCCCCCCCCCTCACCATGGGAGTGAGCGGCATCCACCAGCTCCCTGAGCTCCTGAGGCGAGCCGTAGAAGGGGTGGGGCGCGAAGAGCAGGCGCGGGTTGTAGCCCCACTGCCCGCAGTACTCGTGCACCGGCAGCATCTGGGAGCGGCAAAGGGCAGAGGGGCACAGTGGTTAAGAATATTATGCTTTGAGGCACAGCCTTGGAACTCCTTGCCATTGCCTCAGACCCACGATCCCAGCATCACCACCTGCCTCGCATCACCACCTGCCTCGCATCACCACCTGCCTCGCATCACCACCTGCCTCGCATCACCACCTGCCTCGCATCACCACCTGCCTCGCATCACCACCTGCCTCGCATCACCACCTGCCTCGCATCACCACCTGCCTCGCATCACCACCTGCCTCGCATCACCACCTGCCTCGCATCACCACGTCGCTCCCATCACCACGTCGCTCCCATCACATGAATCGCGGCTCACCTGCACGGCGTTGAAGCCAAGGCTCTTGATGTACGGCAGCTTGTCCTTGAGGGCCGCAAAGGTGCCGCCTCCAGGCAGCCGCCTGCACATGCCAGGCACGAAGCACACGGCGTGGAGCATACAGTATCACAGACGATTGGTAGGGTGGATAGTATGCATGGCTAGGCTCGGCGCACAGATAGGCCAGACATTGCTCTGCAACATGAACAGGCCTCTCTCCCATGTCGTCCCACCACATCCCATCCCATATGTTTGGCCAATTAGACATCCATCCATCCATCCATCCATCCATCCATCCATCCATCCATCCATCCATCCATCCATCCATCCATCCATCCATCCATCCATCCATCCATCCATCCATCCATCCATCCATCCATCCATCCATCCATCCCTCCCTCCCTCCCTCCCTCCCTCCCTCCTCTCATCCATCCATCATCCGTCCGTCCACCATGCGCTCACCCAGTGAAAGCTCCAACATGCAGCTGATAAATATTGAGAGCCTCAAACGGGGGGGCTTCAAACGGGGTCCAGTTGTAGCGCGGGTCCACCACGATGCAATCATTGCTGTCGTAGTCTGTAGCGCGCGCCCTCGCGTCCCGCCGCTCCAGCGTCTTGCCCTCCCACTCGAACACAAAGTGGTACCTGTCTCCCTGCAACACACGGGATCACGCACGGGCAAGGCGCACGGGGCGGGAAAGGTGAAGTCAAGTGGAGGAGACACCATGCTCCGCAGGTGCCGAATGATCGCCATCATTCACATTCCCCAGGGCGCCACGTCCACGCCATGCATGGGGCACTCACAGCAACGACATCCGCAACCCGCGCGAGCCACACGTTGCCATCCCGCGCCATCTCCACCCTCTCGACTTCTCCCGCCTCGGATTCAACCCAACCGGTAGCAGCGGCAGCGCGGGACGGCGAGAGGCGCTTGACCACGAGGGTGGCGCGCTGAGGGTGCGGCGCCCACACGCGGAACACACAGCCGCCGCGGTCGTCCAGCGTCGCGCCGAGAGCGGGGATGGACGCCTGCACGTGGGAGGGAGAGATTCTGAACTCAGACGCGCTGCTCACGCGGTCGTCCAGCGTCGCTCTAACAGCAGCGGCGCTGCCTGCACGCACAGGCGATAGGGCGGGTGCGGAATGGTTGCTCCCTCAAGGGGGAAACACACAGACGAGAGGGTCATGGCGGCGTTGTGCAGCACGACGGGGAATTGCGTGAGCTGTTGAGTCATCTGGACGAAGGACGAGAGGCACTACGCAGGAAAAAGCAGGAGGGTCCTGTAAACGGTAACGTCTGGAGGTGCTGGTTACCAGGATCTCTTCGTCTGTAACTCCTGCTGTGCCGTTGCTGCTCGCCCGCGCCAGTCCATCCCCCACCACCCCTTCCGCCAGCTGCTGCTCCACCGCCGACCCTTGCGCAGCCGCACGAATCATCTGCATCCACCGGCCCTTCCCTCTGCTTCTATCCCAAGCCACGCCTCTAGAGTTCTTCCCGCCATCGCTGACAGGAAGACTACGCGACGTCGCCGCGAAGCCGTTTCGACAGCTTGCGACGCTTGTGTGGGTCGGCGTGGTCGACCCTATTGTGCGCCTGAAACCATGGCTAAATGTGGGGCTCGAACGCGAGTCGCGACCGGAAGCAACTCGAGCGATAGGGACTTGGGTTTCTAGGCGGGATCGTGCTGCTCTACTGGGAGAGGATGGAGGGAGTATCAGTGAAGGGCTCGCACCGACTACGTGGCTCGGCGACATCAAGGATTCCATTCAGCAATGTCAAAGATGGTGTGGAGGAAAAGACACAGGGGGGAATCGAGGTGACAGTGTCGACGCCCGAGAAAAACAAGTATTTCCTCGTCAGGACTGCTGGCTTCAAAACAACCTCTTAGGATCTCTGACACCGGCGAACAGCGTGGCTGAGCTGTTCCCGCCTTTCAGGAGATTCCCAAGAGCCTGGGAATATCGAACCTGAAATTCCCTCCATTACAAGGAGGCAGGTGAAAGTTATACTGGTACACGTAGTGCATCATGGGCCATTGCAAGTCCTGCAATATTAAGATAAATTGCTGTCTATTCGGATAAATTATTCTAATGTGCCTCGCTGTCACTTATTATGCTACACATGAATCACCAGCATCGCTGAAAGCCGTTGAATGTGACGCCAGCATGCATTACCATTACCAACACTTGTCTTTGAATAGTAGCTTGCCGCCTTGGCCAAATCATGCGATCTGACTAGTACCTCCCTCCGAATTATGCTAGAAATGTCCTGCTACCAGATCACTACTAGGGGTACTCCTCCAGCTATCACACAGGCAGTGGAGATCTTGGAAGCCCAATAAGGAATGTGGAGGCAGGGGCCATGGAGAGTGGCAAGAGAGAGGATCATGCACGAGGCTCAGCCTATGCACAGTTAGCTGACTAGCAGCAACTCTGGGGAAATTATTTGGGCCACGGCCTGGCGTCCAGCAACCTGGCAGCTGCTGGATGCAGAGCTCTGAAGGCTTGAAGTCCCTCGTCCTAGGAAAACCACCTCTTTGAGTCCAATAGAATGAACGCCAAGGAGATTACGGAGCAGATAAATAGCGAGGGAGAGCCACTCAATGGCATCCCACTCAATGGCATTCCATTCAATCGCATCCCACTCAATGGCATTCCATTCAATCGCATCCCACTCAATGGCATCCCACTCAATGGCATCCCACTCAATGGCATCCCACTCACTGGCATCCCACTCAATGCCATCCCACTCAATGCCATCCCACTCAATGGCATCCCACTCAATGGCATCCCACTCAATGGCATTCCATTCAATCGCATCCCACTCTAATCGCATTCTACACAATCGCATCACGTGGCACGGCATCACAGGTCGATGATCTTAGCGCCATTGCTGTACTTCACCGTAGGGCCGCTGATCCTCTTCTGTCCGCCCCTCCCCTGCACTGCCTCCAGCCACCCCTTCGCCCGGCTCCACGCCACGTCGAACCGCCCCTTCTCCCGTTCCTCCGCCAGCCGCTGCCTCGTCTTCGCCACCAGCACGTCCCAGCTGCCGCGCGCCTTCTCGCCCGCCATCGCCTCCGTCGCCTTGGCCCACGCCACGCTCAGCCGCCCTTTGGCCCGCTCCTGCTCGATGCGCTCCTTCGCCTTGGCCCACGCCACCTTCACCCGCCCGCGCATCTTCTCCTTCACCAGCTGTCGGTTCGCCCGCGCGCTCGCCAGCATCACGCGCCCCTTGGCGCGCTCCTCCGCCATCCGAGCCCGCGCGCGCGCGGACTCCACCTGGTACCGCTCCCGCGCCTTCTCCTCCGCTAGGCGCGCGTTCACCTCCGCCTGAGCTACAGGGTTGCGCCCCTTGAACTTGTCTTCCGCCTGCGCGAGTCTCTTCTGCGCGTTGGCCCACGCCACCTGCCAGCGCCCCTGCTCCTTCACCTGAGTGAGCCGCTCGTTCGCGCGGGCCCACGCAACGTCGTACATCCCGCGCACCCGTTCCGCCGCGATCCGTTGCTCGCCCTTCGCCTTCACCACCGCCCACCGCCGCTGCGCCTTCTCCTCCTCCACCTTCTCCTTCTCGTGCGCGCGCGCCACTTTCACGCGCCCCCGCGCTTTCTCCTTGGCCAGCCACTCGCGCGTCCGTTCCCACATGACCTGCCAGCGTCCGCGCGCGCGCTCTTCCGCCAGCTCCTTCTGCGTCTCCGCCGCCACAACCTGCCGCCGCCCGCGCGAATCTACGTCCACCAGCTTCTGGGTTGCCCTCGAGAATGCCGCGCGCCACTTGTCGCTCACCGGGGGAAGCGCGCGGGTCGGGGAAACAACGAGCGCTGCTGGCGGTCGGTGCGGACGAGAAATGGCACGTGAAGCGGGGAGCGAGGAGGAACGATGGTGAGGTGTTGTGTAACCAGTGAGAGCAGTCTAGGTATTCAGTGACAATAACAAGGCAATAGTGAGCACAACTGACCTTTCCTCATTTTGGCGTCGGCATCTGGCTCGATCGCACCACGAGTGAAAATGCGACCTGCGAGAAACAAGAACGAATTAGTTGTCGATTTTCTTGGTGGGTCCTTTTAGAATCCAGGCATGGCTGCATCGCTGGTTCAGCTCCCTACGACAGCAGTTCTGTTTCCCCTGACTATCGACCAGAGAACCCGGCGAAAGCCTGAATTATCGCAAGTACCTCGAAGTATTGGGACCCGGTTGAAGGAAACGTTCGCGACTCGCCAGGACGGAAGTGCCGCTAGTTGAACTGGCGTCGACATGCCTGTAGCCGGCAAGCGCACTGGATGCGCCGCCATTGCTGCCGACCGAACCACAGGAAAAAGCGGATGCCTTACAGAAACTACAAGATGGTTTAGAATGGACGAATAGAAGCTATAGTACACGCCTATCCTTGTCTAGCTCTAGGTGGGAAAATACCCACTGCGAGCAGTAGAAGTGGTTTCTGCCTCTGAAATGGTTGGCAACGAAAGAACACGGAGAACGAGTTAGCATTTGAGATTCAAGGTTGGGATGGCAAAGGATGTGAATGGAGGGTAGGGGAGACTGTCAGTTGTCCCGGTCCATCCCGATCCGACCGAGGACGAGGAGGAGGGGCTCACGCACACGTGTAGGTCAGCAAGATCGCGTCGCGCATTGGCCATTCGCAAGCATCCTTCTCTGCTGTTCGCGCGATTCTTTTGGGCTTGCTGATGTGGTGCGTGCTGAGTCGCAAGGAGCTGAATCCTTCTGCTGTGCTTGCAGCTTGACTCATCGGAATTGGCGGAAAGCGCAGCATGTGAGATCTGGAGCGCTATGATGGACGTTGACGTCACAGCGATCTTGACCAATCGCAACACGTTGCACGCTTCGTCATTCCAGTTTCGCGGGGATAATGATCGAGCTGTTTCCTTGGCACTTGGACAGTGAACACCAAAAACACCCATTATAATGTCTTTCCCGCACAACCGTCTAGGTAAGTGTAGCATTTACAAATATCTTTTGTACATGAAGTGTGTTTGATTTTAAACGATTGAACATTACTTCAACTCACCCTATAACAGTGTGGAAGAGGACATGCTACTAAATGCTTAATAATGGACACCCATAGCCATCAAAATCCCTCTAGTGGTTTCTCATTATCAAAACATCCAACCAAACTTGCAAGAAACTCCGCATCCACCAACGTCTCTACTTCCCTCCCCACTACAGCAGCTGCCACTGAGGCTGCAGCAGGGTGACAGCCTGCCATCAGTGCTGCACCCATAGACTGCCATGCCGCCCTGCCCACACCAGAGGGCACTGCGGCGTTGCCATATTGCCCGGCATGCGAGGGCATGTCCATGTACGCAGGGTTCAGTGAGCCCACAGGAGTGCCGGTGACACCGCTGGGCGACGTGGGACTGTCATTCAATGCCGTCATCACCAGAGGCACCAGTCTCCCTCTGCCCATCTGCATCAGCCCCTCACCTGCCACCACGTCCTCTGAATCGTTCCGTGCCGGCACCTCGTCACCTTCTGCTCCCGCCTCCTCCTCTTCATCCCCTTCCTCGCCTCCATCACCGCCCCCCTCCTCCTCCTCCTCCTCCTCCTCCTCCTCCTCCTCCGCCTCCTCCTCAGCCCCATGGTGCAAGCCAGGCCCATCTTCGTCGCTGAACTTCCTCTTCTGCCCACCCCCCGGTCCACTATCCACGTCACTGGAGCTCTGCTCGCGCCCCAGCACCAGGTGCTTCTCGTCTATATGCTCATCCCCCTCTCGTCCCTCATCCAACTCTTCCCCCTCCACTTTTGCCAGCAGAAACGGCTTTCCCAGGTCTGCGCTCCCCCCTCCGCCAACCCCTTCCCCCTCCAGCCCAAGCCCCCCAGTTGGGTCCGCCACCCCTGCAGCCGCCAGCTCTTGGCGGATTTTCCCCAGCTCCGCCTGCAGCGCGGCGTTGCAGCGCTGCATGCGGCGCATGTGATCCGTGGCGGCGTGTAGGCGGCGCGTGATGGCGGCGTTTTCGACGTGCAGCTTGGCGCTCGCCAGCTCCAGCTCCTCCAGCCGCGACTGCTTCCGCTGCCGCGACCGCTTCGCCGACGCCCGGTTCGACATCATCCTGGGGGGGTGGGGGGGGGGGATAGGTGGGCGGGGAAGACGTGGGGAGGGGGGTGCGCAGCGCGGGGAAGAGATAAGACGCGTGCAACGAGGAAGAACAAGAGAGAAGAGGCTGTGTCGTCAGCGGAATCGGAAGAGCGAGCCTGCACCAGTGGAGTGGTGGAGCACTCGGGAGCAAGGCGCACCGTTTATACTTCTTGTTGTCCAGACCAGCGAAAGCTTCCGCAGTGCGCGTATGCGCGTCCCCCTCGCACGACAAATCTCGAGCTGCGCTTTGCTGCGGCATCATGCCCTGGGGCGGCAATCCCAAGGCTGGCTTCAACGGCAGTGGCTGCACCGCCGCCACGGCTGCGTGCGGCGAGGACTGCGGCTTTTGCGGCGTGATGAGCGGCGGCATGGCAGGTGGGGTACCAGCCGCGGGAGGCGGCGTCCACGGGAAGTGCGAGGGCGGCCAGTGCGCGTGCTGCTGCTGCATGGTGGGGTCCGCCGCCAGCGACGCGTAGAAGGGCGCGGCGGGGGAGTGATAGAAACTGCGCGCAGGGAGGGGGACGCGCGGGGACGAGTGGAAGGGAAACGGCGTCAGTGGGAGAGAGCAAGGAAGGGGACTGCCACGCACAGCGTAACAGAGCCTCTGGCGGACCCTTACCGGATACTAGGCGGCTCCTGCATAATCGTCGGCGGAGATGGTTCGTTCCAATGCCAGGGCTGCGTGAAGACAGCGCCTGCCGTCGGGTGCGGCGCATTTAGCGGCTGTGGGCGCCATTGCGTGGGGTCCTCGCAATTCTCCTCCGCTGAACGTGGCGAGCCCGACGCGCCGAAAGTGCTGGGTACTATATCTGGTGCACGACACATGTTGCTGGTCCCGTTTATCTGACGCCGAAGCTCGGCTTTCTTCAGTTCTAGGCAGTCTTCACTTGCTCGCTTCGCGAGGATGGACAAAGGGCGAAGGGCGGTTCGACTGAACAAGAGATCTTTCACACGGCAGCACGACAGAATGCGCTGGTCAGACGGGGAGGAGGGATCTATATCTGGACACACTTGGGGTTGAAGAATCTGGTGGGAGTCGCAGCTGGGGAATTCTTGGAAGATACGGAATACAGGCTGGCAGGAAAAAGCGGCGCGGAACTGTCGAAGCAAGGCTGGTTGTGTCTGGAAGGCACTGGGTGTGAGGGTTCGGCAAAAATAAGCGTTTCTTCCCTGTGCGAGCAAGGTCCTTCAAATGCCTGCTTGGGCTCTTCACACTTTTCCCCATTGCCCTGCCCTCCTCGTCCAATTCGCCCCTTCGCATCTTTGCCGTGTCAGCAGCCAGCAAACGCAAGTGTGGCTCGTTGCAACAGAGGATACGATCAACTGGTAGCGATTTCTATTCCAGCCTTGGTCGGCATTCTTCGCAAAGAACATAACGACTTTCTCAAAATATGCAGCATCCATCGCGAAGTCTTCGTCAGAGTCAATTCAAACTGCCACGTTACTGGTACAGTTGAAGCTTGTTACAGAAGCGGGGTTGAGCATGCGTACTTGGAACGAGGCGCAGCGTGCGGCGCGTGATTGGTTGGGTGAAAAATCTTGCTCGGGGCATCATCAGGGCCCTGATCGGTAAGCCGGCATTCCGGAATGAAGAATGCGGAATGCGGAATCCGCTGCGAGCTTTCCGCATTCCGCGCGTTGACTCGCCAGGCTAGGTGACGGCGAGAAGCTGGGCTGTTTTATGTGCGAAATTGCATGATGTAAGTGACGCGTCTGAGCTGGCAAATTTCCAAACTTGCCCGCCACGATCTTGGTCACGAAAAACAAAAGGGAGAGGGGAAACAGGGCTTCAAATTGTGCATCTGGGGCCTGCATCTGGCTTGATATCGAAATGTGACCCTGGATTTGTTTTCTTGGCGGTCAGACACAGGCTGGTATTGGGTATTCAACGTTTCCCGTTTCTGAAATAAGGGCATTAGTTATTGCGTCTGGATTGCCCCACTCTTCACTATTCCTGAAAAAAAACTGGAATGCACATCGACCAGCTGTTGGCATGATTTCGCCTGAGTCTGCAGCCAGGTGCCCTTTCCTTATTCCGTATTCCAGCCATCCTTATTCTGGTGATCGGTACACACCTCTATTCCAGGAGGTTTGGTGTGATTAAAATGATTGATTGGCTTTAAGCCTATTCCGAGCCAGCCCTGAGAAATTGCTCGACACCATCCTCATTCCAGAATACGGCCAACCGATCAGGGCCCAGGGCGTGTGGAGGTGGAGGCTCCGCCCCAACGAAGAAAAGAGGTCGAAGTTACCAGCGAAGGCGCACAGTCGGGCGAGCTGTACCCAGATAACACTGCATACAAAAAGAGGTCAAGGGCTGAGAACAGCCAACGGCAGCTGGCTTGTATACAATTCAGATAATGCATTATAATCTACATAGACCATGCTTGATTATGATCTTTTTGGTCAGTCCGAAATTCAAAGACTCCACAAGACTCACATAACCCAGCCACCATGACGAGTGCCTGGGCCCTGAGATATATCATCCATGTACCCTAAGCCATGCCCGTGACCATGCTCATGATCGTGACCATGCGAATGGCCATGCTGACATCCGCCTCCCCCCTTCACCTTCCCACCAGCAGTAGCAGCACTGTGTTCGCTCACGTGCTTTTTCCCCCCATCTCTACCAGCACCCGCTGCAGCAGGCAGCGGTGGCTGGGCGAGCACAAACCTGGCAATGGCCTCCGCTATGTCCCGTGGATGGTCCTCCTGGTTGGGGTGGGAGGAAGGAGAATGGAGGGATGTGAGATGCTGCGCAGGGCTCAGTGCTGTCAATGTGCAATCAGAAAGCAAGATCCAAGGAGGTCACATGTTGTGCTGAGCAGGTGCTCAGCACGACTGCAGCCAAGGGGCAAGGAGGGGCAGAGAGAAAGGCGAGGTGTGTGAGAGGGATGAGGATGACTGACAGCGAGGGTTGCGGTGCCATATGCGCGTGCACATACCTGGGGCCAGCGCTTGCCCTTGTGCAGATGGAAGTCTGCCAGAGGCCAGTGCGATCGCACCTCCTCGCCCTGCTCCTCCGCCTCCTCGGACCAAAGCAGCTGCCTCGGCACCCGTCCCAGCGCTCGCTCTGCATGCCGCTGCACCGTCCGAGCCACGTCATGCGTCAGATTGCCATGCTGGCGTGCCAGAATGGCAGCATGAATGCCCCCATGCGCCTGCAACAGGTACGCGTGGGCCCGTGCCACGTCGTCCGGCACAGTGTTGATGCAGCAGGAGGCAAGGAGGGCCGCCACAGGGAACACAGCGCGCGCAGCCAGCGTGGCGAGATGCGGGTAGCGGAGGAGCCAGGCGGGGGGGAAGGCGGGCGCAAAGGGGTCCTCCATGGGCGTGTCGACGAGTGTGATGCTGCGCACCCGAGGCACGTTGTCCGCCGCCCACAGCGTGCCCACCACCCCGCCCGTGTCGTGCAGCACCAGGTGCACCGGCTCTGTGATCCCAAGGGCGCTCAGCACCCTGTCTATGGTCCGGGCCAGTTGGTGAACGGGGTAAACTGCTGCTGCACCCTCTTCCACCGAGGTTAACTTGGTGGATAACCCCGACCCCGGGAGGTCAAAGGCAACTGCTCTGAGGCCCTTGTCAGCCAGGAGAGTGATGACGTCACGATACAGAAACGAGCTGCCGCCCAAGCCATGCAGCAGCACCACCACCTCCTTACTCTGCCCGTCCCCCGCCCGCCCCCCACCGCTCTCCCCCGCCCTGCCCTCCGCTCCCCATCTCCTCCCCCGACCTGTCCCCCACCCCTCCGCGCGCACGAACACCTCCACCTGCTCCTGCTGCCCGTGCCCGCTCTTCCCCCCAACCATGGCGCCCGGCGCGGCGACCTTGAGGGTCTGGCCGCGGTCGAGGTGCGCGCGCACGAGGGGCGGGATGGAGATGAAGTCACTGTGGCCCGCGTCCTGCAGGAACAGGAACTGCGCTAAAAGAAATATCCCCGCTATAAGGCCTGTGAGGGTGATGAAAACGAGCCAGAAGACGAACACCCCCAGCGGCTGCTGGCGCGGCTTCGTCTGCGGCGCTTTGGCGGGTTGCGCTGCCTTTGGCGTGGCCTCATCAGCAGTAGCAACTTCCGGCTTGCCTTGCGCTTTTGATTCGCCAGCGCCCACGCCGGTATTTGCTGCTGCGCCGCTCGTTTCTTCTGCTGCCCCTGCTGCCCCTGCTGCAACTCCCCCTTCCGCTGCGTGATCCGGCCTTTCTCCCACCACCTCCCCCACACTCGTCTCGTCCTCCGCCCCCTCCGCCGCATCTTCCGTCGCTTGCCCGTCTCCGCATTCGCCCGCATTAGTCCCCTCGCCGCAAGCATCTGCTCCAGCTGCCTCCACCTGCGCCGCCCGGGATTCCTCTGCAGATGCAGCGTCGTCGTCAGTCGCGCCATTCGCGACGCCATTCGCCGCACTGCGCTCCGCAGGCCCGCGCTCGTCCCGCGTCGAGTCAGCTTCTGCTGCTCGCCCTGCGCCCTCCCCTGCCCGCCCGCCCGCCTCACTTCCGCCTTCCCCTTTTCCTCGCCTCCTCCGCAGCGTCGACCCCTCGCCGCCTGCCGTTTCACTGGCGCCGTCACTTGAAGGAGCGTCGTGCCGGTCGCCGTCAGTTTCGGCGACAGCTGACGGCGACGGCGAATCCGGTGACGGCTTGTCGTCAGTGTCGGCTGAGAGGGCGGGATTGGCAGCATCGGACGGCTCGCCAGCTCTCCTCCTGGCTCGGCGCAACAGCGACATCGCGATGGAGCCGGCGCCAACCGCGGCCCACGCGATCGGCAGAGCCATGGTCGCGGGCTGCTCTACGATGCGCGAAAAGCCGGGTGACGTGCCTCAGCACGCGCAAGGCGGTGATCTGAAGTTATGGCAACGCAGCATCTAGAATGTGAAATCAAGGGCGAATGCGAGCGGAAAGGGGTGTGGCTCGGTGGGCGAAAGTGAGGTGGCGAGGAGGTGCGGCTGACGCAGATCCCAAGGAGATGGGAGGCCAGGGTACACAGCTTTGTAACACTGGATAATAGTTTTGACACATGTATAGCTCAACTTCCCTAAAAGTAAGAACATGCCGCATTTCATATTTACGTGGTGTGTCATCACAGCACACCTAGTGGGGGCAGCAACACAGGCTACACCATAAAATCGGGGCGAGCGCCGCACCCAAGACTGCACAGCTAGGAACTAGAGGAAATTAAAAGCCAAGCAACCGAGTGGCGAATTCAACATCTTAGTCGACGGAACGTGTCTGTGCGTTGCGGATGATTTGAAAGAGAGCTGGCAGGGGCACGGGCAGTAGGGGCAAGGAGGGAGGTTGATGACGACGGGCGTAGGACGAGCTCAGAGAGGAATGGTGGCATGGAGGGCAGGGCAGGGGAGGGGGAGGGAAGTGCAGGGGAGAGACTGATTATATGGGAGAGACGAGAGGTGGGTCGAGAGGGAGGGGAGTAAGCAACATGGAGGCCCGAGAAACAGACTAGGAAAGAGAGAGAGAAAGAGGGGGAGGGATGAGGGGAGGGATGGGGGGAGGGGAGCCCAGAAACTGTGCGCCCAAGACGCGGACGGAAGCAGTGACCGATTCCAGGCGACGGCAATGGATACAATAACAAGTAGCAGGAGTATTCAAGCATTCTGATGACGAGCTTTCTGAGAATCAAATTCTCGACACGCCAAAAGCAAGAAGCACCCCGTCCGCGCAGCGCGTACCGGAGCCGACGACAACGAAGACGAAGAAGATGATGACGATGGTGCTGACGGGTAACCGCTCGCCCTTCTTCGCCACCGTCTCCGGCACGCTCCCCCGCCGCGCGATGTTGCCCTGAAACCGCGCGCTCTTCCGCTCCACCACGCGCTTTGAAGTCGTCTGGCACACGGCGGGAGGACGAGAGGGGAGGGACGAGAGGCGGGAGGCGAGAGGCGAGAGGAGAAATGAGAAAGGGGAGAGGAGAGATGAGGGAGGAGTGAGAGAATGAGCGGCAAGGAGAAAAGACGGACGAACGAACTGCGGAGAGGCGAGAGCGGTCATTCGAAAGACAGTCGGGTCAGAGGACGAATAGGACGACTGACGCGGCCGAAGACATCTCGAGAGCGACCTGCGACTACGAGCGACCTACGACTAGCGTAACCACAAGCAAACAAGAAGGCTTACGAACCATGGCTGCGTCGCTAGCAAGTTCCTTCAAAGGGTAAACTGAGCAGAGAGCGAGTTGGCCGAGCAAGACGGAAATGCACGAGCGTCTGGCGACAGCAAAGCAAGAAACTCGAACTGAGAAAATGGCGGCACTAGCGTGGATTTTTTCTCGCCTTCCGCCTCCCTCCCTTCCCTTTCCTTGCCCTGCTGGCAGCAGGAGGTTGGATGCAAGAGGGCTGCCTAAGGAATCCCGCGTCATTAGTCTTCAATCGTCAAATTAGGTTCCAACTTCAAATGATAGAACTGCTACCGCCTATCCAGATCCGATTGTCATACATACACAATCTTTTCATTGCAACGTTGCAACCTACACCACGTCTCCAATTATTCCATATGCATTCAAAGAAGAAAGCAGCATGTATATCAACCATAGCAGCATGAATGCAAAGCACGACAGCCAGGCAAGAGGCTTGGGCCCTCCAAGCTCTCCTCCGAGCAATTTCCTCCGAGCAAAAAGGATTGCCATGCAAACAAAAGTCGTTAGGAAAAACACAATGATGGAAAACCCAAGGCCTGTTGTGCTGACGCTGTATGATGATCCCAAAACAAATTTGTTGTAGAGAGTGGTGATGAGCCATGGAACACCCATGCCCGAGAAAACAATGATGCAATTGCTGCCAGGGACAGAGGGAAGACTGAGTGGAGTGATGCTAGCAGCTGAGATACATCAGTGCGACAAGCCTGCCACAGATATTAAAGGTGCATCGCACAGAGCGCTCACCTGGCATTGATGTTGGCGATGGCCGAGTCTGCAGTGGGCATGTGGTCCGCAGCCACGACACTGGCTATGAGGTCCGGGATGGATGTGCCCGACGCCAGCAGCGTTATGGCCACCACAAACGAGTTCACCGCTGCACGTGGGAGCAAGGTCCGGAGGACCAAGAGAGTGGCATGAGGAATATACGTAGCCGTGGCCAGCCCGGTTATGCCAACAACAAGGAAAGCGCGTACGAGGAGGAAGGAGGGGGCACATGAGCGAGACATCAGATGGCTCTCTGTCTGCAGTGCGCTAGTCAGCCATCACACCTGTTACACAGCCGAACAGCGACGCCAGCTCCACCACGAGAGCGGCGATGGCGGTGATGACGAGGATGCTGGCGGTGAAGGCGGGGTAGCCGTGCAGCGCATCGGGCGGGGGGATGAGCAGCGCGCAGAGCGCCTTCCAGAGGAAACACACCGCGTGCAGCACCACCCGCCACACCCGTGCTGCCACTGGGCGGGCCTTATGTGCTGCTGGTCGCATATGGGAGGGGTGCGTGCTGGCATGTGCTGTGCGAGATAGGTAATCTGAGGGGTACAGCTGGTGTACAGGCGGAAGGGTGGGGAACAAGCGTAGAACGTGAGAATTTCAGACTATGCACATTGTGATCAGTGGGGGTTACCATGGTACAGCGGAAGAAGTTGAAGAGCAAAAGCATTAATATCACGCACGGGGACAAAGGTGAGGACACTGATGCAGGTATTCACAGTGACATCACACACACAAACATTCACTCTGAGTAGCAACCATATTGTCATGTCACACAGATCCATCACGTGGCAACACACCATCATGGAGAGGACGATCTGTTGCCTCCATCGCATGGCGAATGACTCCTTCCTCCTGCCACTGCTGCCATCTCTCTCGTGCACAGCACTGTCGCTGCCATCACTCCCATCAGAGCGCTCATGAGAGTTGGAATGAGAACGCTCATCCACAATACAGCCTTGCAGAGGCACGGCGTCCACAGCTTTCTGCTGACGCCCCTGCACCGCGCTCTGCCCTCCCCTTCCGTCCTCCTCACCCTCCTCCACATACCCCCACTCTCTATCCTCCGCCTGGGATGATAAGCTATGCCTGCGGCTACCCCTCCCCATCCCCCCTTCTCCACCACTGCTGCGTCTGCTGCTGCGCTCGTACTCACTGCTCCTCCGCCTCCTGCTGCTGCTGCTAGAAGGAGTAGAGAACTCGCCCAGTGCTGCATGGCCATTCATGGCAGCGCCACCGGTACCCCCTGGAGGCGACTCAATCTGCGCCCCAGATGTTGCTGCACGGCCACCTGCACCCACATCGCCCCCTACATCACCCGCTGTAAATGAAGCACGCTGTACAGTCACACTTCGAAAATCCTCCTGGATTGCTGAGCTAGCCGCGCCTACTGTGGCGCCACCAACAGCAACTTCAAAGGGAGGTGGGCTGGTAGATGGTGTGAGTGGCAGGGCTATGAAGGGCCAGCGCTGCTCCTGGGCGTATGCATGCAGCATGAGCAGCGGCAGCTGCAGCACTGTCATCACGGCCTCCGTTATTGTCACCTCACCCGGCGTCCAAACCTGCACAAGACGAATGCCAGGTGAAGATGTTGAGCAAAAAAACCATAGGAGACCAGCACAACTGTTGCAGCTATAGCACAGCGACCAGAGGAACCCCACCAGAAACATTGACGCACAGCAAGACTCAGCGGCATCACCTGCAGCACGACGTAGAGCCACACATAGGCCCAGAGCGACCAGACGAACTCCACCAGAAACACGCCCACGTCCGAGATGCGCTTGACGGCGCCGGGCGGTGGCACGAGCACACAGACAGCCAGGATGGGGAAGAGGTTGAACGCTGCCCCGCCTATGATGGTGCCTGCCCCCAGATCTGGGTCCAAAACGGGCGAGGGGACGGGAGGCGCGTGTGCTACTGAGTTATCGAAGAGCGAGTGATGTTGAGACGATGCAAGCTCATGGGCGTGGAGGACATGGGAAACGCACGAGAGAGCGAGATTGAAAGTTGCACCCAGAATGATGGTGACTGTCTCTAAAACTGGAGAGAGAGGTGGACATTGGACTAAGACAAGAGACGAGAGTGGGGTAGATGTTCAGGACGTTTAAAAGACGGGGATCATGCAGGCTTCAGTGCTTTCCTTCGCTGCAGCCCGTCTGAGCTCATCAGCATATGCACCTGGAACCACACTTACCCTGTCCGCCACTCTTGCCCAGGCGTCTGACGGCGTCAATGACTGCGAGGGAGATCTGAGGCGCGCACGTGCCCAGCGCCAGCAGCGTGATGTCAGCGATGGCTGGATTCCAGATGCGCTGCTGTGACTCCACCCACCGCCTGGCCGCTGGGTCCCTGGGGGAGAAACGGAGGAGAAATACATTCACACATGTGCACGAAACCAAGAGAAGACGCCAAACCCTCTCTGACGAATCGAATAGTGTTTCGCTGAACGCACCAGATTCTCACTTTACGGGTCTGCTGAACGATGTTCTCCATGGCCTCCATGTATTTGCCTGTGATTGTAGCGAGGCCTATGAACAGGTACACCAACGCCAGTGTGTACATCGCCGTTCGTACAATCACATCCCACACGTTCTCCGCAGGAATGAGAAGATAGCTGCTGCAAGCTGGCTCGTTGGATAGGTAGATCGCATCGGACGGCCACAGATCCACGACGACGACGCTTGATTGCCTTGAAGCTGAGCATGTCCATATCGAGGATGGAGACAGATTCGATATGAGAGCGGTGCAGACGTTCGTCAGGGGAGGTCGGAAGGAATAAGCGGTGGCCGACAGATCGAAGCCAGGAAGGGACGGGGAAGAGGGGTAGCTCGACATGGCATGCAGAAGGAAGTCGCAGCACGTGCTAGCGACTAGACGAAAGAGGAGCTCACAGTAAGCCAAGATTAGAACACTAATACTATTACGGGAGGCTCCTAGTAAGGAGTGCGAGGAGCTCTAAGATCTTCTGGCCTCAATCACGGTTCTCGTATTTGCGGGAAGCTAATCATACTAGTCGTCCGTGTTCACAAAAAAGCTGACCAGACTACAAGTCTGTGTTGCAAGAAAGCCTCCGAAAGTCAATAAATGCGTGAAGGCCTCCGGACTGGCATCCTGGCATTTCCGGACTTCCTCAGATTACTCCAGCGCCAGTGACGTCGAGAACTGGACATTCCTGACAGTTTCTGCTTCACACCATGGGAGGAGATCCGTGATGCCCGAGATGCTCGAAGATCTGATCTGACTCCATCCATGCATGACATGCTCAAGGGTCTCCGAAGCGCGGGATTCCCTGAGCGAATTCATGAAGCTGTCATGCGAGGATGAGCATCACGCGAACGACTTACACGCGGCTTCACGTAGACAGATAACCTCTACAAATGCGAAGACTCGGTTGATGGAGATAAAAATCGCGTTCAGCAGGATTCGAACCTGCGCGGGCAGAGCCCAACAGATTTCGAGTCTGTCCCGTTAACCACTCCGGCATGAACGCTTGTGAACAGGGAGAAAACATAAATTTCGTCCTTAAATCACTCTTCACCAAGTTGGCTCTCATTGACGTCAGTTTAGGCAACCATGGCGGACGCATCAGCAACTTTGGCGGCTAATGGCGAAGCCACGCCGGCCGCATCTCCCGCTGCTTCCATCCTCGCACCTTACTCGAAGAGGGTTGTGATAAAGACGATTCTCGGAGCACCAGATGGCGGCTTGTCATTGGTTGGACAGACAGTAGTGGTGGGAGGGTGGGTGAAGACAGGGCGGGAGCAGGGCAAGGGCACCTTCGCCTTCCTAGAGCTCAACGACGGATCGTGCCCCGCCAACCTTCAGGTACCGTCGCAAACTGTCGCAGACCGTCGTACACTGTCGATCGGGGTGTGGTCGTCAGGGACCGTGCGATCAGCAAGCACTGATCCTCGCTGGCTTGCGTGCTGCGTGATTCGCGCGATCGGGTGAACCGTGACGAGCATTCGCGAGCCGGCTCGGTGACCGTTTGATCTGCCCGTCTGCTCCAGTCGTGCCGCGCGAGGGGTCTTGCGCGTGGTGGTTTAAGCTTTATGTTTCTAGTCATTCCCCGATCCTTCCTTTCCGTGCCTCCCGTCTCTCTTCTGACACGTGGTCGTGAATGCTGACGTGGAAACGACTACTCTTTAAAGCATCGAGCCTTCCCCTCCCTGACCGACATTGTCTCTCCTTAGGTGATTGTGAAGGCTGAAGTGGCGACGCTCGGCGACCTGGTGGCGACGGGCACGTGCGTGCGCGTGGAGGGCGAGCTGAAGCGCACGCCGGAGGGGACGAAGCAGTTGGTGGAGGTCCACGTCAGCAAGGTGCTCCACGTGGGCCCGTGCGACGCTGGCGTGTACCCGATCGCGAAGACGAAGCTGTCGCTCGAGTACCTGCGATCGGTCATGCACCTTCGTCCGCGCACCAACACGGTATGACGCAATGGCGGCATGGCGGCATGGCGGCATGGAGAAATGCGCAAACGGAGAGTTGGAGAAACGGAGACCGTTTCTCACGTTTCTCACCTCTTTCGCCTCTCACCTTTCAACTTTCCCCACTCACCACTGCCTTTTCACCTCTCGTTTTGAGGCGCCTCAAAACTCACCACTGCCTTTTCACCTCTCGTTTTGAGGCGCCTCAAAACTCACCACTGCCTTTTCACCTCTCGTTTTGAGGCGCCTCAAAACTCACCACTGCCTTTTCACCTCTCTCCTCCCCACCTCCACTCCCCCCTTCCCGTTCGCCGCCCCTCCCTCCGCAGATCGCGGCGGTGGCGCGCATCCGCAACGCGCTGGCGTTCGCGACGCACACGTTCTTCCAGCAGCACGGCTTCCTCTACGTGCACACGCCCATCGTCACCACCAACGACTGCGAAGGCGCCGGCGAAATGTTCCATGTTACCACTCTCATCGCCGAAACGGAGCGGCGGGAAAAGGCCCTTCTGGAGAACCCCCCTCCGTCTGACGCTGACGTGGCAGCTGCCAAGGACGCCGTGACAGCCGCAGGCGGCGCAGTGAAGGCTCTTAAAGAGGCCAAGGCGAGCAAGGAGGAGATTAAAGCCGGCGTGGCGGAGCTGACTAAAGCCAAGGAGGCCCTGGCGGCTCTAGAAGCCCGGTCGAAGATGCGGCCGGGGCTGCCGAGGAAGGGGGAGGACGGCAAGGGGCCGGTGGACTTTGCGGCAGACTTCTTCGCGCGGCAGGCGTTCCTGACGGTGTCGGGGCAGCTGCAGGTGGAGACGTACGCGTGTGCACTTAGCAGCGTGTACACCTTCGGCCCCACGTTCCGCGCGGAGAACTCGCACACGACCCGCCACCTTGCGGAGTTCTGGATGGTTGAGCCGGAGATTGCCTTCGCTGACCTCGAGGTAGGCTGCTGCTGCTGCTGCTGCTGCCGCCTGTCATCTGCTCCGGAGCAACTCCTGTGGCTATGCATTCCTCGTTTGCATGGCAAGCCTCGTGACTTGCTTGCAGGGACGTACACTCGTCGTTTGGTTATCTCATTGCTTTAAGTTCCCCATCCCAACGCGTGCAGGATGACATGAAGTGTGCGGAGGACTATGTGCGGTTCCTCTGCCAATGGCTGCTGGACAACTGTCGCGACGACATGCAGTTCATGACCAAGATGTTTGACAAGACCGCCCTGGACCGCCTGGCGCATGTGGCCACGTCGCCCTTCGCCCGGGTGACGTACACCGAGGCGATCGAGCTGCTGCAGCAGGCGATCAAGGGGGGGAAGAAGTTTGAGAATGCGGTTGAGTGGGGCATCGACCTTGCCAGTGAACACGAGAGGTGAGAGAGGAGGGGAGTACGGGGGTATGCTAGGAGTGGGGGGAAGGAGGCAGGTGGATGTTACGCTTGTCAGCAGTGCTCTGTTGATGTTGCCAATCACTCTCTTTGAATTTTGTGTATACTTGCATGGCACGGCATGGCATGGTATGGCACGTGGTGGTAGGTACCTTGCGGAGACACATTTCAAGACGCCAGTGATAGTGTACAACTACCCCAAGGAGATCAAGGCGTTCTACATGCGGCTCAACGACGATGACAAGACCGTGGCAGCCATGGATGTGCTGGTGCCTGGGGTAAGCTTGGATAGGAATGCTGACCTGCATTAACACATAGATTGTCCAGATTCTTGGCTGTATGCCTTGCATTGTTCTCTGGTGTGACCCATTTCATGACTTACACCACTGTGTCCCTCACGTCAGGTGGGGGAGCTGATAGGAGGGAGTCAGCGAGAGGAGCGTTACGACGTCTTGGTCAAGAGGTACGTGCCGGCTTCCCTACATTTGCTTTCAACATGTGCATGTTGTGTTCCCGGCAGTGCATATCACAAGCTGATCGGATGGACTATCATCTGCACCCATTACTCTCACTTGTACTGTCCAGGTTGGAGGAGATGGACTTGCCGCGAGAGCTCTACGAGTGGTACCTGGATCTGCGCAAGTACGGTACAGTGCCTCATGCAGGCTTCGGACTGGGCTTTGAGAGAATGATTCTCTTTGCCACTGGCATTGACAACATCCGAGATGCCATCCCTTTTCCGCGCTATCCTGGTCATGCTGACTTGTAACCTATGGGCTTGGCTCTTAGTGGTTTGCAGGACCTGCATAGCACCAGAGTGGCTGTAACTGATCACCTGCATGGGTCTACTGAAACTGCTCATCACTGTACTGTCCATGTGCTACTTTACAAGAGAATACTACTGCTGGTTTCGAACTTCTATTTCATTTCAGTTTCAGTGCACAATCTAAAAAGATTCACATTTCAGCAATTGCTTGACACTGCTAATGCTCCCTACAAGGAAGACAACGAGCAGGCTTATTCAAAATTGCAGCTCGCACAGGGAAGGTTGAGCTGCACAGCTCAACATGACTACCACCAGTACCTGCCAAATGTACAATTAGGCTGCCATTCACAAAAATGGGTTAGGCTGCTGTTGCATAAACCAAAAATATGCTGGCCTCGTCAGCATTATATCATGTTGCCAAAAATTATGGGATATATCTGCACAGCCGAGAAAATCGAAGTCAGATCAATTGCCAAGAGCAGACAGCCAAGCGAGTCCACACAGCTGAACTCACCAAAAGAAGGTTTGCAGGCTCAAAGCAATAAAATATGCGGCCATGGGCATCACTAAGATGACTGGAGCTCGTTGGCAGAAAAGCTCCTTCTGAGACGCGAATTTCTGAACTCTTGATGCTGCAATGGTGGTGGTGGCCGTGCCGAAAAGCACACGGTTAGTACTGTCACGTTGTCACATGAATCTCTCCGGATAGCCTCCTCCACCAGCTCCTGTACAAAACCATAGTGGTGAGATGTAACGAGAAGACAGTCAGTAAAAAAAAAAAACTGTGGGACGGGAGTCAAAATCTCGTTACAAGCACAAGCGAATAGTGGACAGATGCGGACCTGTGAGCACTGCCGAGGGTTGTTGTGAACACGCAATCGTCTACGAGCAAAGGAGACCACCTCATGGCTGTGGCGAAACGCATCCCAAAGGCCATCACACCCAATAACAAGAAACTCATCCTCCTCTGTCAACTCTGCCTCACGCAGCTCTGGCTCAGCTATAAGCGGCCCCACCACTGTTTCCCCATCCGCAGCCCTGTTCTTCATGCCCTGAGACGGGAACAGCAAGACACGCATGGCAACGTGGAAGAACGAGCATACGTTAGGAAAACGGCAGAAAATTCTGTACTCCACGAAAGCGGCAGAAAAGAGCGTACAAACACGTACCTGCAAATGCCAGTCGCCAAGGGCCCTCGTTACAGCAAGTTGATCGTTGAGATAGTCTTCGACAATGAAGCCACCTGCTAGCTGAACCCTTTCCCTCTCTATCTGACAGGAAGGTCGGTGGTCCCTGCTTAGCTCCACCACTTTGCCGCGTCGACACAACACCGCACGGCAGTCACCAGCATTAGCCACGTAAAGGGCCCTGAAACCAGACAGTTCGTGAAACCGTCAGCAACCGTGGAAATGAAACTAGATGGCGGACAGGAAACGAAGAAACGCGAGGGAAATAGACTGACGGGATGATGCCATACTTTCCAAGAAGCAGCACCGCCAGTGCAGTTGTTCCTGCTTCCATCGGCTCGCTGGCCACAGCATGCGCCGTCTCTAGCTCTCGGTCGGTACGCATGAATGCATTGCGGATGGCTTCTCCTACTCGATCTGGAAAGGAAGGATCGCTAAGAATGTTCCCCAGCAGCTGGTTGCTCACGAATTTCGCAGCAGCGTCACCACCATGGCCATCAAACACCTGAAACAGGAAAAGCCAGGTTAGCTATCAATCCTCCGGAAAACCTTATGCAGTCTCAGGGGAAGTGCAGCAAGGAGGTAAGTAAAACTCACTCCATAAAAGGATCCTTGACGCGAAAATGACAAGTCGCCGAACAACTTGGTCAGGTCGTCAACCATCACATGCGCATCTTCCATGTGCTTCCTCGGACCCTTGTCAGAACCATGCCCCGAGCGCACAACAGGCCAGTCTGAATTCGACTTCATATGCGGCAGCAGCTCGTTGGAAATCAACTTCACGCCAAAAGCGCTTTCTGCAGAATCGGACTCGGTGGCTTCCTGCAAAAGTAGAAAGCATGCTACGTTTCTCAGTATGTGCCAAACCATATGACAGGTTCTGATCAAATATGTGCCGGGGGGGGGGGGGGAGGGGGGGGGGAGTGGTGGGAGAGGGGGGGGGGGGGGGGGGAATAAAACCAAGCAGCAGCTTACATGTCTGGCCGATATAATCACTTCTTCGTCGGTCGGAAGCAGGTTGCAGGTGAAGCTACGTCTCATCAATCCCAATGAATTGCTGGCGGATGTTGCCTTAACGCTCATAACGGCGCAGCGTGGCTGTACGGCAAAGCACGTCTCTGGTAAGGCGCAACCACCATCGAATGGTGTCAACGGACTCTCATGAGAGCTTTCGTCCTCAGCTTCAGGGATCATGGTGTTGCTAAGCCACGAAAAAGGCGTTAACCCCTGTCCTAGTGCTGACACGTCTGCATCCTGGAAACGTCTACCGTCTTCCATACTTAAAGCACCCCCTGGGGCGATTGCTGCCATAATCCCGATGGGCGATAAACCTGGCATACGTCGTGTCTGAAGCAACTAACAACTCCAGAGCTTTAGATGGAAAAGCCTCAGAACTGTACTGACTAGTGGAGCCTACGCTAAGATGCACTAGTCGTCACCTGCATAAGCTTTCCCTTGTCGCAATCGTACTGCAAAGATAATCGCCAGAATCTGATTTCTTCAGACTGGTCGAAGCTGGACAAGTTCGGGACATAAACTAGGACTGTTGCTGGTCTTAGGAGAAACTTATTTTGTGGATGCCACTGGAAGGCGTTGAGGTGAGAGCAAGCAGGGGAGGCAAAAAGCGGCTGGCTGTTGCTGCGATGTACTTTCTGTGTGGTGGCTGGTGCAGCCGTGCCACATCAGCCGCCAAAAAGCTCCGTTGTCTGCCGAGCGACAGTTGCCACTGCGATGGCGTGAGAAGTGTTCGGATCAGCCAGGAACTCATGGTTGCAACTGCAGCTGGCGTACGCTTCACTTTTGGTGTCGTCTGCGGGGACCTGGAGGAGTTCATCTTGCAACGTACATGTGATGGGACCCCAGGAATGGTCACAGTTTGCAAGGACCCTGGGGAACTCGTCGTCACATTTCGATTCACCCATCATCCACCACCACGAGATGCCATTTCGCCTGTTTCTCATCCACTCATCCGCACCGTCCGTTCAGAAGCAAACCGTTCTTTGTCAGCAATGGTGGGGGGCAGAAAAGGGGCAGGATCGTGACGTGGCGGCAGATTTTGTTGGGGAATGAGCAACGCAGGAGCCATTTGTTTTGGCGAAGATTGCCCGAATGCCTCGCGGCCAATCACAAGGGCAAGGCTAGCGCATTTGGCCGCTCATCATGATAGGGCTGGCAACTTCCCCTCCACCAGAGGATTCCCCCGAGAATCGAGGAAGCCCCAAAAAGGACAACCGAATAATTCCCACTTTCGATTTTGAATTCCTGTTTGTGGGGTCTCTGAGATAAATCCCTACAGATCCAAATCCTCATATTTGTTTGATAAAAAAACATTTTGAGCTCTTCTTACATCCAAACCAATGCTCAATGGCGGCAACACACGCCTCTACCACTCGGCGTGATTGAGTGCAAGATAACCCGATCGGTATCGTCCATTTGTAAGCCTCAGCTCGTTGATGAGCCTATTCCAATTGGAAGCTAGAGCTCCAATGAAAAAATCACATTGTGATGCTACAAGGAGGTTCACAAAGCTGGCAGCTGTAACTGCACCAGGGCCAGCTGACTGCTCGTATGAATAGAAGAACTTGTTTCCTGTTTGCCTCTGCACCTTGGTGAAGAGGAAAATCCAGTCTTGGAAGCGCGACACTGCTTCATCGACCACAGTCTGCAAGCATGCGAGCAGCAGTGGGGAGGTGAGATGAAGTATGGAGAATGCAATACTCGAAATTTGAATTAAATCGCCCACATGCAAGAGGAGGGATGGGAACAGATGAATAAAATCCAAGCCAAGCACACACCTGCATCTCTGTGCTGAGCCAGACATGCTTGAGGTTTGGCACGTGCAGCCGAAGGCGATGCCCCAGATACACGTAGGAGGCAAGCGAGAAGAGCAGCATCTCATGGCCCTTGTCTCCCTGCCGCACATGCATGCTCACTATCGGCCGGAAGATGAACGGTTCTCTTTCCGCTCCACCATCCAGCAGCCCCACTGCATCACCACCACCTGCACCAGCTGCAGCACCATCCGAGGCAGTCAAGAGAGCAGTCTGAGTGGCAGCCACTCGGAGAGCAACACGGTAACCGTAGGTGTCGTGGCGCGCACGGTTGAGGAGGTGGCAGAGGTAGAGCGAGGGCCAGCGCAGCATGAAGCGCAGCGACTGCGAGCGCCACCACGACACCTGCAGGTAGCGCTCCTCCCCATCAAAGCGGCGCCCCAACAGCTCCGTGGACACCTGGCGCTGCAGCCATGGCGTGCCCCAGTGGCTGGTGCGAAATGCCATGCCATGATGTCATGTCATGTCAGCCCATGCCATACCAGATGATGCAATGCCAGGAACAACAAGTGAAGAGAGATACCTGCATTGTCAACAACAAACGCCAGTGCCACAAACCCACTGCAGATAGTGCACAGGCGAAGGCACACACAGTATACAAGCACCGGCTGGAGACGTACAAGGCACTGGAGGCCTCCTTGGCCATCTTGGCCTGGAAGCGCGTGACCCCAGGGAAGAACACCACCGGCAGGTCCGACTGCAGCAGCTCGCTCAGGGCGGGCCCGGGGTCAGGAGGCGGCACGGGGTGCGATGGGCCGTGCTGCTGCTGCTGCTGCCACAGGGAGAGAGCGAGCTGCTGGCACGCGGAGGAGGTGAGCGGGAAGAAGTAGCAGGCGAGGGACCCATAGGCCGGGCCTGGAAAGAGCAAGGGGTTGGTGCTGTGGGGTCAACGCCAATTGTTTTCCATGTGGGAATGCACATGGCAAAAGGGAGCGTGCAAGGCAGAAACCACACCATGCAAAGCAACCTGCTACGAGATTGATTCTAACGTGACGTCACCCGCACCTGAGCAGTCCCTGTGCGTGGCGTGGGAGAAGGTGCCGGGCGCGGGCACGAGCACGCGGCCATGGAAGAAGGCGAGGCTGAGCACGGCGCTCATGATGTGCAGCTGCGACCCCAGCCCGTGGCCGCGCGGGTGCTTCCACTCCACCACCAGAAAGCGCACGGGGGAGGAAGGGGGGGAGGAGGAGGAGGAGGGGGGAGGAGAGGAGGAGCAGTTGGGGTGGAACTGGTGCAGCCAGAGGTCGGTCTGCGCGATGCGAGTGAGGGCCAGGTTGTCCTCGTCCGCTCCGCGGATCTGATGGGGGTTGGTAGGGATTTAGAGGGGTGGGTGCGGGACAAATGGGAGGGGATGTGATGGGGGCCGGTGTGCATGAGGGGATGTGATGGGGGGCGGTGTGCATGAGGGGATGTGATGGGGGCCGGTGTGCATGAGGGGATGTGATGGGGGCCGGTGTGCATGAGGGGATGGGAACACCGTCGCACAGACAGACCTAAGCCACTCACATTCGCACTCCCCTCCCTCCCTCGCGCTCACCCATGGCGGAAGCGGCCCCTGCTCCCCCCCTTCCTTCACTTGCGCCCATGCAGGCGCGCCCAGCGCCCCCCCTGCTCCTGGCCCACTCCCCCCTCTTTGCTCCGCCTGCATGCGCCGCCGCGTCACCCGCGCGCAGTCCTCCAGATGCGGTGCTGCTGGCACGCTCACCCGCCCCGCCGCACCCACTGCCACGTCAGCATCGCCGGGTGCAGCGGTGATGGCGGCGGCCGCTGCAGCGAGGGAGATGGGGAGGCGGACGGCAGGGGGAGGAGCGGTGACGTTGGCGGAAAGTCCATACGCCGAGTCCCACGCCTGGGGAAGGGGGCGGGACGGGGGGACGGGGAGGGGGGAAGGGTGGGGGGGGAAGGGGATGGTGGGATGGTGGGCAGCAGAGATTGAGTACAACGCAGGATGGATTGGCGACTTTGGCACTGCTGAACAGTGAAGCGGAAAGTAAACTCTGTTGCAAAACACATTCGCGTTTCACACACGTCGGTGCAAAATCTCCTTATCATTCCGCATGCTTCGCCCTCCCCGTTCCACAACCCCCCCCTCCCTATCTCCCCGTCACGGCGCACGTCGAACAGCAGTTGCGCGTGCTGGTGACGCCCGCTCACGCCCGCTGCCCGCGCAAGCCGGCCAATGCGGTGCTGACAAGTCAGCGCCAGCAGGAATATTGCAAGGCCGCGGAAAGCGTATAGGTTCGACCCATGACGACGATGCGAGAAGCAACGCGCGACAGACATTCTTTGCCAGCGTAACTCGGTTAGAGTGGCAGGCGGACTCAAGAGGGGCCAAGACGTCATGCGAGAAGACATCTCATGGCAACATCAGCGAGTGTGACCATGGGAGGCAGCTCGGAGCAGACTAATGGACATGCCGCTCAGTGGGACGGCGAACGACAGCAATAACGAGAGACCAGACACGCCTGAAACGTCAGTGGGACACGGGAGACGGAGGCAGCGAGTAGTAAGATCATGGCGGCTGGCATTGCATGGTGTAGGGAGACGTGGAAACTGACGGAATAGGCGTGGCCATAAATCCTTAGGGCGTGTTGGAAGCAGAAGTCAAAACGATGGGATCGGACGGGAGGTCAGGTAAAACACGCTACAGTGCGATTTCGTTTGTTTCAAAACAATTATTGAGATGTACAGAGGTAAACGACCAGACGATGGGAGTGGAGCGTCCCTCTGATCGTACTGTACTTGCCACACGCCCTTCGTTCCTAGGTTGTGCCAAGCAGCGCCTGTCTTTGCACACTCTATTGTCAGTCTCAGGTTCTCGGAAATACCTATGTCCAGAAATTTCCCACAATATCACTAGTCATAAACAAATCACGGGCACCACATTGCCCCCTCATGATGTGTCTTAGTTGAAATATTATTTCCTGTACCCGTAAATCTCTCTTCAAATATAAGGTGCAATTTTACTGGAATGTGGAGAGGAATCGTCAGAATGTCTATGGATGAAGCAGTGTGCAATTTTCAAGGTATGAAATGGTACTGATGAAAGTGAGAATCAACGAGAAAAAATGCTCAAAATTATATTTAATGAAATTATAGTTCCAAAACATGAAATCAAATCAGGAAAGGAGTACTTGTTATTGCTTCTACGAACATGGCTACTGCATATTTTACGGTATGATATATATGAGTTTGTCTAAGTGTAACACCTGAGGCTAGGTTCTGTTTGAGCGACAGGGGGGAAAGTCATGCTCGTCATTGTCCCGCCATCGTGGTCCCCAAGGACATGGCGGTTCGTCAGGCTCGCACGATAATAGGGCCCCTACGAGGAGAAACGTGCAGAACGTGGTAGAGCTGTAACTCGTAAGCTATTTCGTATAGATATTCGGCAACGTCGCAGCTTCTCGTAGCGAGGTTGACCAACATGTGCCGCCATTTGCGATAGCCACACCCCCATCGCCGACGCGCGAGCGGCTCCGCGGATTTCACCGAAGCGAACAATTTGAGTGTCTCGAACATTTCGGGAGCGGAGGCTCTGGCAGTTGCGAGCCATGTGCCGTGAACCGTGGGAGATTCGCCTTGGGTGGCTGTGAGGCATTCGCCCGTTGCTCCCTCGCTGCGCTCCTTGTATTGCCTCCTCCGCTCGTCTCTGCTCTTCCCATCTTCTGCCGCACTTATCTCGAGGCCCGGGCGGATTCACGCAGTGGCTATGTGCGATAATCATGGAGCAGCATACTCCACGTAACAGCAAGCGCTGGTAGGCTATGCGGAACTGCAAGTTGTGCTGGGAGGCAGGTAGTGGATTTTAGAAGGTGAACTGTGACGAGCACTATCAGCAGGCATATTCCATCCGCTGTTCGTGGTAGATCGTGAAACGTAGGGTCCATGGCTCTAGGTCCGACAAGTCAGCCGCGCAGTAGCTGCTTCACCCTCCGCCTCTTGGGCAAGCAGAAATCGAGCAAAAGCAAGCGACGATCCACCGTGCACCCCGTGGGGGAGCTTCCCGCACAACCCGCGCCTGCAGCGGAGCAGCCACGAGGCGATGGCCGGGATGCCGCGGCTAGAGCTAGACAGGCGCAGGCCGCAGCGGTAGCCAGCCATGCTAGCGCGGTCGCAGCAGTCGTTGTTCCGCGTAGCGATCACGTGCAGAGTAGACGGCCGGAATACGACGTTGCTGACGGCCGGCAAGTGCAGTACGCGCAGGACTTAGCAGCAGCGCCGTTGGAGCGATCGCCAGAGCGCGCCGAGCACAGTCATGTGGGAGCAGCTACAGCTGCTGCAGCGGCTGCGGCAGGAACCGCCGGACCGCAGGTAGAGGGTGGAATCCGTCTTAAATTGCATCGCGTGGACGAAGAGCCGGCCAGCTTAGAAGCGCCCGATGCCATCTCTGCTGAGGCTTCCAAGCAGCTCGTCGTGCGATCGGCGAGCGTCGATCCCTGTGACGATACGCGATTCGCGCAATCCTCGCGACGGCCGTCGCTCACTGGCGGGCGGAGCTACGAGAAGGCGCGGCGGGAGGGGCAGGAGCTGTACCGGCGGAAGGAGTACGGCGCGGCGGCGGAGTGCTACGGGGAGGCGATGCTGGCGCTGCTGCGCGAGGCGGGGCGCGATGACGCCACAAAGCGGTCTCTGCAGGCCGTGCTGCTCGCCAATCGCGCCATGTGCTTCCGCTACCTCGGCAGGTGCGCGCCCTGCTACCGCTACCGGGACAGAGCATAGATCCGCTTGTTCGGCAGAAAGGATAAAACGTGTCAGAGTAAAGATCCGCTAGTACTTCTCGCTAGCCCTTCCTTCACGGTCTGGCTGGTCCTGAGGTGAATAAGGGTGCCATTAGCGCTCACAGGACCGTCCAAATCTCGAAGCTCGAAGGACATGGGCGCGATTTTCGCGCCTCACCTCTCTGCTGCACTCACTCTAAGCTGCTCTGACGCGTCGCTTCCGTTCCCCTTCTCCCTGACACCCCACGCTTGTTGCAGGAGCGAGGACGCGATTCGCGACTGCCACGCGGCGCTGGCGTCCGACTTCTGCGCGGGGCAGACGCTGCTGCACATCGAGGAGGTGCTCGAGGAATGCGGCGACCTTCGCGGGGCGCTCGCGTGCCACGTGGCGTCCGTGCAGCGCGCGCTGGAGGAGCGGCCGAGCGGCGAGATTCCCAAGGAGGAGGCGACGGAGGTGGAGCGCGTGCGACGGCAGCTGATTGGCGAGCGAGAGCTGGTGATCCAGTGGAAGAAGGTCCCCGCGAAGGGGAAGCCGCCGCTCGGCGCGCAGATGTCGGCGGTGGAGTGGCGCGGGCAGGTGATTCTTTTCGGCGGCACTGACCGCAGCCACAACCTGCTGCCCAACGACCTCCACATCTTCGACACCTACAAGTCCGAGTGGCTCCTCGTGCACATCCCCGGCCTGCGCCCCGCCGCGCGTGCCGGCCATCGCGCCGTCGTTCACGGCGACTGCATGTACGTCTGCGGCGGCGGCCACTCCACGGAATTCGACATGTGGCGCCTCGACCTGGTTACTATGGATTGGGAGCCCGTGCCGGCCGGCTCGACCGACGACGATTCGGAGCAGCAGCGGTCTGACGCGCATCCGGGGAGCGCGGCGGCCCAGGAGTTGGCGACGCGGGGCCAGTCGCCGCCGGGATTGGTGCAGCACAGCGTGTGCGTGGTTGACGGCCGGCTGCTCGTGTGGGGCGGCTTCGTCGTCGGCCGGCCGCCGCTCGAACGGCACGCTAACCGGCAGCACCTGTACGAGTTCGACTTCGAGACGGGCGAATGGCGGCGCGACACGTGGCAGGGGGATTACCTCCCCAGGGCGTACCAGGACCGCGGCGTGGGCACGTGCGCCGGCGTGGCGAGTTGTCGCGAGGGCGGCAGGAGCGAGTCGGTGGAGATCATGTCGTTCTTCGGCAGCCGCAAGACGCTCGTGCCGCGATCCGGGCTCATCATGGACGAGTCAATCGCGTCCGTCGATCGGCTGCTGCTGGGCGAGCGGCGATGGCAGCCCGTGCCGCTGCTCGGGCCGCGCGTGCCCTCGGCGAGGTCCGAGTCGGCGTTCCTGTCGCTGCCGGACTACGCGGCGACGCTGTGCGTGGGCGGGTACTACGAAGGTAAGGAGCCGTGGAGGTGGGGGCAAGACAGAATCCGCGTGCTCGTGATCCGCGTGCTTCCTGCGTTTCCCCCGCTCAATCGGCGGGATTCCTGCGGGATTCGTTTGCGATATGTATTCCCCCCCGACTCCCCCATCTCCCCGCATCAGGCGCGATTCACCGCGACGGGTGCCGGTACTACGGCGACGCGTGGCTGTGGCACCACGACCTGGGCATCTGGTCGCCGCTCGCCGCCAAGGGCGACGACTTCCGCCCCGGCGCTCACTTCTGGCTCGTGCAGCGCCAAGACGGCGCGGTCTTTGCGGGGGGCGGCTTCTGCGGCACGCCCATGTGAGTAAAACGCGGGGACGCAAGCGCGACTGCGTGTGGCTTGTGGCGTGTGGCGTGTGGTGTGGTGGTTTATTTCCTCGCTCTCGCTCCCCCTCGTCTCTCATCTCCCCGCACTCCTCCCCCCCCTCTCCCCCCCTCCTTTTCCCCCCGTCCCCCGGCAGAACCACCATGTTCGGAACCGTCTACGAGGCCACCATCGTCGCGCCCAAAGTGCGCCGTCCGCCCACTCCCCGCGCCCCTGCGCGCTCCCTTCCCCTCGCCCACCCCATCGCGCCCGGCTCCCCTCTCCTAGCCCTCCCCGCGCCCCCCTCCGCCGCGCCCATCCTTGCGCTCCCCTGGGGCTCTTCCCCTTCCCCTGGCCGCGGTTCCGCCTCCTCCACCCCGTCGCCCCCGCCTCACTGCTCCCCGCGTCCGCTCTCCGCGTGCTCCTCCTCCTCGTCTCTCCGCACGCCCGGCACGCCCCTCATGCCCCTCGTGCGCTCCGCTTCCGCCGCCGCCTTCCGCCAAGGTGCGAGGGCGGGTTCGCACGGGGAGGGGGAGATTCTGGGCGCGGCGGGGGGAATGGTGGTGATGAGCCGCTGCAACACGCTCCCCGCACAGTACTCTCCGCCAGGCGCGGGGATGGCGGGGGGGATGCTCGGTGAAAGTGGCGCCGGGGGAGGCGGGGCAGGCTTTAGCGCGTGGGAGGAGCGACAATTGGCGCTTGGTTCCGCTGACGTCAGCACGGAGCATTACGATGCGAACGTGCGGTTTAAAGCGAAGGAGGAGGCGCCGTACGAGCCGCCCTTGGGACCAATCAACGTGAAGATCCTTAAGCTTGAGTTCGAGCGACGGGTGAGATGAACTGTGGGTGGGGCACATGCGTGTAGTGCGTATTACATGCAGCCATCTCGTCCCCTTCTTCCCATCTCGTCCCCTTCTTCCCATCTCGTCCCCTTCTTCCCATCTCGTCCCCTTCTTCCCATCTCGTCCCCTTCTTCCCATCTCGTCCCCTTCTTCCCATCTCGTCCCCTTCTTCCCATCTCGTCCCCTTCTTCCCATCTCGTCCCCTTCTTCCCATCTCGTCCCCTTCTTCCCATCTCGTCCCCTTCTTCCCATCTCGTCCCCTTCTTCCCATCTCGTCCCCTTCTTCCCATCTCGTCCCCTTCTTCCCATCTCGTCCCCTTCTTCCCATCTCGTCCCCTTCTTCCCATCTCGTCCCCTTCTTCCCATCTCGTCCCCTTCTTCCCATCTCGTCCCCTTCTTCCCATCTCGTCCCCTTCTTCCCATCTCGTCCCCTTCTTCCCATCTCGTCCCCTTCTTCCCATCTCGTCCCCTTCTTCCCTTCCTCAAACCGTTTTCCCTCCCCCCCTCGTCCCCTTCGCCTTTCCTCTTCCTCCCCCCCTTCGTCCCCCTGGCAGCGCGAGAACCGGCTGAAGACGAGCGCTGAGATGGCGGCGGCGGGCGCAATGGCGGCGATGCGGCGGGTGCGCGCGCAGCAGGGGGAGCAGATGGGCGCAGGGGTCGCGCAGTCGCTGCTGCTGCACGTGCGGATGAGGCAAATCGACCCGCCCATCTGGAGGTAAGTGTGGGGAGGCATGGGAAGGGCAAGGGATGAGCTGGCGCTCGAAATACCATGTCTGTCCATGTCTAACATTCGACATACGCTGCTCACCGGGCGACTGATCCGCATGACCACGCCTTTATCATGCATCACCATGATGAACTACCACTGCACGCGTCCGTTGTGACTTTGAACCGTTGTCTCCCTCCCCCTTCCCATGCACACATCCCAACCCCATGCATCCCATGGCATGGCATGGCATGGCATCAGGCGCGTGGAGGTGTCGGGCCACATGACTCTACGCCAGTTCCACAAGCACGTCATCCGACTCGTCATGGGCTGGGCCAGGTGAGCCTCAGGTGCCCAGTTGAGCCTCAGGTGCTCAGGTGCATGCTCAGGTGCCACTTCAGGTTGACCAGCGGCTAGTTAGGGGTTCAGGCATTCAATGTAGCACCCAAGAACATGCTTTCATGTGCCTATGGCGCTTTGCAGAATGAGCACAGGATACATCTATCAGCACGAGCTCATTCATGCTCCATCCCATCCCCATCCCCCCCCAGGGACCATCACGCCTACAAGTTCCAAACCTCATCAGGCCCGTGCCCCGGGGTCTGGTTCGGCCCGACCCTGTCTGCCGCACCTGACTTCGCCCTGGCCCGCATGCTGGGGCAGGGATTAGCGGACGACAGCTGTGTGATGCTGGGGGAGGTGCTGGCCAAGGTGCGAGGGCGGGGTGGAGAAGGGGGGGGAGGAAAGGGAGTGATGGCAAGGGAGGATTCGCCTTTGCGGTTGAATATTGTGCCTATTGTTTCGGAGTGTCCTCTCTCTCTTCCATGCCTGTGCTCATCCACTGTCTCCTCTCTGCGTGTTTCACCCCACCCCTGGCAGGAGGGCGACCGCCTGTCGTACGTGTACGACTTGACAGATCGCTGGGAGCACGAGATAGTGCTGCTGCACGCCACACACGGCCCGCCGCACCGACCCGTGAGTGCACCCTCCAGTTTCCTTTCCGCCTGTTACTCCAATGGCTCTGTCCGCTCAAAGTTGAGGCATGTTGCTCGTGGTTGCTTGCTTGCGCTCACCCCTGCTTGGCACTGCGCCGTTCCTTGGCCCGCCCTCCTTGTCTCATCCCCCTTACAGCTCCGCGCAGAGGTGGTGGACGGGTGGGGCGCATGTCCCCCCGAGGACGTGGGCGGCATGGGGGAGTATCTGAGGGTGCTGGAGACGGTGCGCAGCAGCCATGGCAGCAAGCGGGAGAGTGCGTGCCGACGCGTGCTCAGGGCTGCTAACAAGAGCCACCTGGACTCGTTTGACCCCACGTGAGTGCTTGGAGTTGTTTAGCCCCCAAGAGAATGATACTATACGTAACACGATTACATATATGTCCCCACAATATCCTTGTACTATCTATCCATTACCTTCCGTCACCCTCGTCCCCCCCCTGATTACATTCTACTGCTTTCTCCTCTTCTCACTCCCCCTTCTTCCTGTCTTCCTCCCCCTGATGACACGGTGCAGGAATTTCCCTCTAAACGCCTGCAGGACAGCGCTACAGAAGAACCTATCAGCAGCAGCACTCGCCCCCCCATTGAACCACCTCGACCCCATCCCCATACCCACCCACCCTGCGCCCTCCCTCACCTCCTCCCCCCTTGCTTCCCTCAAGCGCTCCAAATCCTTCTCCCTCGCCCCGCGCACTGCTACCAGCAGCCCGCACCAAGGGCATGCGCCACATCAGCAGCACAGCCGCCACCAGGGCGCCAGGTCACCGCTCCGCAGCAGCCACGGCAGCCCCCACCGCAGCAACCTGGGCAGCCCTCGGCCAATCACAAGCAGCTCCAGCTTCGGGAGCAGCGTGAGCAGCAGCAGCAGGGCAGGATCGAGAACGGGAGGAGGGGGAGGAGGGGGAGGACGAGGAGTGGCAATACTGACCCAGGCAGTGCCGCCCCTGGATCTACCTCCCCCGGACATGAACGCTCGCAGGGCATGCCAGGCGTGTGGGTCGAGCAAGGCGGCGGTGGCGTGTGAGCGGTGCCAGCGGGCCTTCTACTGCTGCGTGGAGCACCAACACATGGACTGGAAGCTCGGCCACAGGCTCGTGTGCGTGGCTGTGGAGGAGGTGCGGTGAGGTGCGGTGAGGTGCGGTGAGGTGCTGTGAGGTGCTGTGATGAATAAACAGTTCCATCATCGCCTGTGGTGTGTGCCTGTGGCATGGGATCCTGGCGCGGTGTAGCCTTGGAACATAAGCTTGCATAAGGGATATGACAATGAGGGAATGGGAGGTATCACATTGCATAGGGATTTGGGAAGGAGACGCATGCTCTCTTGGGGCTTGGTAGTCTGTAGTGAAGAATGAAGTGGTGGGGGATAGGAATGTGGGATCTGGATGACCAGGTGCTAAGGCATTCACCGGAACGTGAAGTTCGGGTGGCTGCTTGGCATGGTGATGCACGGCATGTTTCTGATCCCCTTCATTGAGGTAGCAATATAGCAAGGTTGCATGGGTAAACTTTACCATATAGAGGCAAATGGCTTTCATGGGTTTGTGGAGTTAGGTTGGGGAGAATTAGAGATGCAGATGCATCTCAGCTTCCTGTACTCGTGGAAATGAAATAAACTCTGCTCCATTTACTTTCAGATTAATGGATAATGGTGTGCTCGATGTGGTGGAAGTGGTAAAGCATGATGGAAAACCAAATGTATGAAGAACAAGTTTGAAATGAATTGTGTCGTGCGCGGCAGTGTATGACTGGAAACAATAGTCACTCGTCGCGCTATATCGGACCACCACCCTCCACCACCACCCGAGCACTCGCCCCCACTATTTTCTAGGGTTTCGTTTGTCGCCTCTGGGGACCTGACTGAATTGCTAGTTACGTTCGTACCCTTCCCGCGCTACCCAGCGGCTCTTTCGCCGTTTCGTTCAAGATTCGCGTGTTTCGGTTTCTTCCTTTATACGCGAACCGGGCCAGCGTCGTTAGAGTCGCGAACGTGTTACAGGTCGTCAGCGTCCTTAGATTCGCGGACATCATATAAGTCGCCAGCGTCTCCTAAGCCGCGATGACGACGGCAGCGCGGCCGACATGGGCGCCGGCGAAGGGAGGCGAGGAGCAGGGGGGGTCGCGCATGTTCGGGCCGAGCCAGAAGTACTCCGCGAGAGATGTCGCCAGCCACACCAGCCTCAAACCCAGGTGCGAGTCTTAGAGGCGATTGGCGAACCCACGTGCGGGCCTTAGAAACGTTCCTACGTCAGGCTCAAGCGTATTCGGGCCGAGCCAGGTTTTATTCCCCTAGAGACGTCGCCGCCCGTGTGCTTTCTCGCGGTGAGCACATGCGTGACGTGTGCTTGTGTGCGGTGCGTTCGCGTGATATGGCGTGTGCATGGCGTGTGCATGGCGTGTGCATGGCGTGTTCGTGAGTGCAGGAGGGAGGGTCAGGTGACGAAGGAGGAGGTGAAGCGACGGGACTTGAGGCAGGAGCTGGAGGAGCGGGAGAGGCGCCACTTCGCCGCCAAGGACAAGGAGCACCAGCTGCAGACAGACGACCGCAAACGAGGCAGCACCTTGCTGTTACAAGGTAACGCATTGTCTCGTGCAGGTGCCGCCTGCTGGTGCAGGTGACGCCTGCTGGTGCAGGAGACGCCTGCTTGTGCAGGAGACGCTATTAGCGGCCATGCCATCCCTCCGCTCGCCTTTTTGCGTGCCCTCTTTTCTTGATTCTCACTGGGCTGCTTGCGTGGTGGATCCCTGGTGCATGGGTGCATGGGCGCATGGGCGCATGGGTGCATGGGTGCATGGGTGCTGCATGGATGCAGGAGGGGCGTTGGGGGGGCGAAGAGAGGTGGAGGAGCGGTTGATCCCGAGAGCAGCAGACGCGGACGATTCCGATGGGGAGGAGAGGAGAGGCGCGGGGGATGGTGACGAGGATGAGGACGATGATGACGAGGACGATGACGAGGATGACACCATGGAGCTGCTGGCTGAGCTGGAGCGGATCAAGAAGGAAAGAGCGGAGGAGAAATTGCGCAAGGTGTGGAGTCTCCAATGTCGCCGTGCCGTGCAGTGCCATTGTATGCCATGAATCCTTTTCAGTTTCTTGCAGAGGTCACTCGTGAGTGTTCCCTCATCTTGCCGTGCCATTCCATGCTGGCCCCATTGCTGCTCCCCACTCCTCCCTGCTACTCCCCCTCTGTGTTCTGTGCCGTGCATGGGAGCAGGAGAAGGAGCAGGCGGAGCAGGACGCCAAGGCGAGGGAGACAGAGATGGCGCGAGGCAACCCGATCTTGGGCGCCGGGGGGTCAGCCTTTGCTGTCAAGCGCAGGTGAGGGAGGCGGCAGACAGGCATGTAGGGCCAGCAAAGAGGACATCCCGGGAAGCAGTGCTGTAGGCTTATGCTGTATGCTCTGGGAGTCCCCATCCTCCTTCCTATCGACCTGTCTATTGATCTGCCCCTTCTCCCCGTTTCTCGTTCTCATTCCTACGCATGGCAGCATACCATCCCCTCATACCCTCATCCGTTGCCCATACTGCACTACCAACCATCTCCCTGTGCCCTGGCCATGCATGCGCCCCTCCCTGCAGGTGGGATGACGACGTGGTGTTCCGCAACCAGGCCAAGGACGAGCAGAAGGTGACCAAGCGCTTTATCAACGACACCATCCGCAGCGACTTCCACCGCCGCTTCCTCAACAAGTACATGAAGTAGCGTGCCTGGCGGTACGGCACATGGAAATACCTCAAGAAGCAGTCGAGCCTCCGTCTTTCCAAAGCTAGCCCGGTACACCCCAGTGTAAATTTGTTCCATTTATGCAATGAAAATCCCTTGCGATGACAACATGCTGTTGCTCATTCTTGATGGAAGAAGGGTCATGTTCTGTGACTCTTGCTCGCATACGTCGGTGAGAGTTTCAATCAGTAATCTTGAAGACAAGTGCATCACGTACTCTATGCACAAGCTCCTGTACCACTACATAATGCTGGATACACAACAAAAAGAGTAGCCTATATGTTGCCAAGTACACACCAAACTTCTCAACCAACCTGCAGAAGCCAACTTCTCTTACTCGCATGCACTGGAAAACGCTACGACCAGTAATGCTGAAAACATGTGCATAAAATACTCTTTATGCACAACCTACTGTACCACTACACAATGTTGAATAATAACCTACACGACAAAAAGAATTGCCTAGATGTTGCCAAGCACACGCCAACTGCTCAACCAACCACCTACAGAAGCCTTGTGAGCAGGCGCAACACAACTGGCCCTACACTGGTACCATGATGCCTGCTCACGACGAGCCTTCAGGAGCCTCTGCATCACAGCCTCCCCTCAGCTGCTCACAACAGCTATTCCCAAACAACGCAGGGGCCTTTGCCCCACTCTCAGCTGCTCACAACAGCGTTCCCAACCCCAGCAGGCTTTTTAGCAGCCGCTTTTAAAACGCCTCTTCCTCGGCTGCCCACGAGTGACAGCCATAGTTTTACAGCAGCATGTGAAACAACACGTGGAACACCGCCACCGCCAGCCGCTCTAGCTGGCTGCAGCACCCCCTGCGGCCTTCTCTGCGGCCTCCTTGGCCTTGGCGTCCCTCTGCTGCTGCGCCACCTCCGACACCTTGTGTGCCATGGCCTGGTGGGAGAAGTCCAGCGACTCCATCAGACTGCTGAAGCGCGCTGGGTCCGACGCTTGCACTCCTGCCGTGGATTTAGGGGGTAGGAGGGGATCAGAGAGGAGAAGGGGGAAAGGTGAGAAGGTTCAGTGAAGGGATTCCCAGCCGTGGGATGCCATCACCTGGTTGAATAGCATGCAGCCTCACCCGCCATGGTGTCGGAGAAGAGGATGAAGGGGTCGACGGCGTCGATGGGTGTCAGCATCTCGTCCTCATCGGACCAGAAGCCCTCGTCGTCCTCGTCCTCCTCGTCATCCCCGTCCAACATCTTGTGCGCCTGCCATACCACATGCACATGCCATGCCACATGCACATGCGATACACATGCCATGCCATGCCACATGCACATGCACATGCCATGCCAGGGAACAAGAGCAGGGCACAAAACGATGAATACACAGCATGGAATGACAAGGGACAAGGCAGGCGATAAAGAACGGAACGTGTGGCACGGAGGCAAGAAAATACCACAAGGACTCTGCTGCATGACAGCGGTCAGCAGCTCACCCTTTTGATGGCCTTCTTCAGGTCAGATGACGACTCGTCTCCCTCCTCCTCCTCGTCCTCCTCCTCATCCTCATCCTCTCCTCCCTCACCCATCCCATCCTCTCCCTCCTCGTCGTCCTCATCCTCGTCCTCTGACTCCAGCTCTGCCGCTGCTCATACACAAGGTAAAGTTTGTGCAAAACAAGGGGTGAAAAGGTGAGGGGGGAATGGGGAGGAGCAACAGGAGGGTGGTCAGTCTTTGTTACCCCCCACCTAGTGCTGTTATTGCCACCCGCCCTCCTGCTGCTCCTTGCACAGCACTAGCAGCTGCAGTGCGGCCTAGGCCAGCTCGCCCTGCCTTTCCGCAATTCACCCATACATACCTGAAGATGTACTCACACTCCCTACAATCACCCACCCTCAGAATTATCCCTCACCATCTTGCTGCTCCTTGTATGCCACCAGCAGCTGCAGAACAGCTTTGGCCAGCTCACCTAGACTTGCTGCCTCCCATACCCCATGCACCATCTCTCTAGCATCACCCACCCTAGTATCACATCCCCTTAAATCACTCACCGTCCTGCTGCTCCTTGTACGCCACGAGCAGCTGCAGCACGGCCTTGGCCAGTTCGCCCTGCAGGGGCGCCACTGAAGCAGGCAGCGCGGCAGAGGGCAGCGAGAGCAGCGACACGAGGCCCAGAACGCACACCTTCTTGTCGTGCTGCCTGGGGGGGGAGGAGGCAAAGGAGAGCCATTTGAGCATGCTTCAAAGGTCAAGCGGAGCAGTGGGCAAAGGGGAGGGAGGAGCGAGACAAGGCACGATGGAGAACCCAAAACCCTGACTGAATAGCTTCACCTCTTGAAGGGCAGCGGCTTGCTGGTGGTCTGGCTCTTGGCGTGCAGCATGGTGAGCAACGTCGAACACACACCAAGCACCCTCACCCACTACTAGGCGAGTTTCAGATAAACCCCCCCATCTCGCTCGGCCCCCCCCCCACCTCTTGAAGTGCAGCGGCTTGCTGGTGGTCTGGCTCTTGGCGTGCAGCATGGTGAGCCACGTCCAACACACACCAAGCACCCTCACCCACTACTAGGCGAGTTTCAGATCAACCCCCCCATCTCGCTCGGCCCCCCCCCCCCCATCTCTTGAAGTGCAGCGGCTTGCTGGTGGTCTGGCTCTTGGCGTGCAGCATGGTGAGCCACGTCCAACACACACCAAGCACCCTCACCCACTACTAGGCGAGTTTCAGATCAACCCCCCCATCTTGCTCGCCCCCCCCCCCCCCACCTCTTGAAGTGCAGCGGCTTGCTGGTGGTCTGGCTCTTGGCGTGCAGCATGGTCAGCCACGTCTGGAACACCCCCGCTGTGGCCCCCATGCCCTCCAGCGCTTGCAGGGTGAGCTGCGGGTTGTAGTAGAGCCCGTTGGCCACCACCTGCGAGAGAGTGGAGAGCGAATCATCGGCAAATGAATGCAAGATGAATGAGATCGCACATACCCTGCTGCGTGTTGGAGTAGGGCTTGCTGGACACCACTGCAAGAGAGTGAAAGGATTTCTGGATATAGATCCAGGCACATAGAAACTGGTGCCTTAGTAACACCAGCAACAACAAAACAAAGCCAGCAGCAGCAGCACCCACCTGCATGAGGAGGTCCTTCATGTGCCTCAGGGACGCCTTCTGCATGCGAGCTAGTGCGAGCTGCAGGTACAGCGGCAGCCAGTGGTCCACGCGCCCGCGGCAGTTGAGCAGCACCACCTCCATGAGCTTGGGCGCTGGCACCAGGTCACGGTCCTTGATGTCGCCGTCGCTCATCAGCTGGCGAGGGAGGAGTGGTGCGGGTGGGTTAGGAAACGCAACAAGGGAGGGGTGACAACAAGGGTTGGTACTGGTGAGCAACAAGGGAGGGGTTACATGAGCGGGCAGTTGAGTTGAGCAGCACCACCTCCATGAGCTTGGGCGCCGGCACCAGGTCACGGTCCTTGATGGCCTCATCGCTCATGAGCTGGTGGGGGATGAATCACAAAGGGGAGACCCATGACAACAAGCCGAGGGCCATGAGCCTCGGCTCTGGCACCAAACCCGCTGTGTCTGATGCACGCATCTCGGCCATGTGCCAGTGGCCACGTGGGTGTGCCTAACGCTGCAGTACCTTGGAGAGCAGCTTCCAGAGCGAGTCAGGGTAGTTGGGGTCCTGGCAGCCCAGGAAGTGCTCTGTGCCGCGCGAGATCAGGTTGTCTAGCGGGTCCAAGGCGTCTGGAGGGTGAGTCAGGGAGAGCGGGGGAGAAAGGGGGGGGATTCGTGACCATCAATGGCTATGTTGAGATGCCCAGAAGCGCATCTAGGGAAGAGGGGCTGAAGGGGATCAGGGACGGTGACTTCGGGGGGGGGAGGGATTTCAAGGGATCGATGGCGGATCCAGTGAAGGGCACAGAGGATGAGGGTGTGAAGGAGTGAGTGTGTGAAGAGGCGTGAGGGTGGAAGTGAGATAGAGGTCAAGAGGGTGGAAGCAGGGCGGCGTACATTCGAAGAAGTCGATGGCGAACTCGTCGAGCGAGGAGAGGATGAGCGGCCAGATGGACCACATGGCGGGCGAGATGGTAGGGCTGTAGTACGTCATGTAGGTCGCGATCTCCAACACCTCCTCGTACAGATCTGAGCATGCCATGCCATGCCATGCCATGCCATGCCATGCCATGCCATGCCAAGCCAGGATGGAAGAGAGGGAGGAGGACAGCGAGTAAAGATCCCCATCTCGCCTCTGCTCTGCGAGAAGCACACCCTAGCCCCTAAAAGATCACTACGGGGCAATTGTCACCCTACCATACCTCCCTCGCCCTCACCCCTCACCTTGCCCATCAGACGAGAGCATCTTCTGCAGGATGGGCAGCAGCGTGGGCTCCAGTTGGGGGAAGAGGTGCGGCAGGGACGAGATGGACTCGAGCACGGTGCCGATGGCTCTGAGGCACCCCGCGGCCGCCAGCGCACTCATGTCGTCCACCGCCTCGCTCTCCTCCTCGCCCTCCGCTGCCTCCGACGACCGCACACACTTCCAGAAGGCGGCCGCCTGAACAGACAGAGCACACAGGATGGTGGGCGGATGGGCCATGGAGAAAGCTTCAGCACACGCCATCATTGCCCTTTGCTAGGCAAGAGAGAAAGGATGATAGGCAGGTGAGGGAAACCCGCAAGGGGGGAGCTTGTGGAAAGCCCGCGACGGAGCCACGGGGAAAGCCTATGATGGGGACCGCGGGAAAAGCCCCGGGGGGTGGAGCCGCTGGGAAGGGCTGGGGGGGGGGCGCCGAGGGAGGGGGGGCCGGGGGGAGAAGAGCTGGGGCTGGGAAAGCCTACCAGGTTGCGCGGGAAAAGCATACCAGGTTGTGGATGAGGCCGACCGCAAAGGGTGACATCTCCTCGCCAAATTTGTCGACAATGACCTCCAGGGTGAACACCAGGTCCTCGTTCTCCACCTCGTGCATCAGCTTGAAGAAGTCTGCAGGGGGGGGTTACACGGGAGCAATGACACGCGGTGCTATTGCGATGGACTGGATGTGGGCGGCAGCATGAATGGTAGGCAAAGGCGATTAGGGAGCAGCAGCAGGGGTGAAGCAGCATCGAGCAGGGCAGGTCGGCATGAATGGCAGAGCTTACCGTCAAGGAGGTGAGGAATGATGGGCCGCAGCTGGTCCAGGTCTGCAGGAGAGTGCGGGCAGTGGCGGAATGGGAGACAGAGAGAGGTGTTAGAGAGGACGAGTCAGGATGCATGCATGCAAACGAGGCGAGTGCAAGCTATGAGGTGTAACAGCTGGCAGTTGCCTTCCATATTCCCCGTTCTTACGTCACCTTCACACAAGCCTCACCTTCACACGCGTCCACACCCACCTTCACATGCGTCCACACTCACCTTCACACGCGTCCACGAAGGACCGGAGCGCCACAACAGCGTCGACGCGCACGGGCAGCTCGGGGTCTCTGAGGAGCGACACCACAGCCTGCAGCGCCCCCCCGAAGTGAGCGGGGTTGCTGAAGGGGATGTCCGCGTACTGCCCTGCCACCCACGCCGCCTGGAGCGGACGGGATGGGATGGGATGGGATGGGATGGGATGGGATGGGATGGGATGGGATGGGATGCATCATGCATGGCAACAAGAGGAGAGGACGGGATGAAACGCACTGCCACCAGACACTCTTCCGTTTTCATCTCCCCACTTTTTCCTGCCCTCCTGTTCTCGTCCTTCACCTCAATCCTCCCCCTTCTCTCTCCGTCCCCTCACCTTTCCCATCCCCCCTCACCTTTCCCATCCCCCCTCACCTTGGCGCGCAGGAAGCCGCAGGGGCTGCTGAACTCGGGGAACACATGCGTGACGAGCATGTGCTCCAGCTGCGCCTTGTACCGCGCCGTGCCCTGCAGCTTCTCGTGCAGCGCGCCGATCGCCAGCAGCGCCCCGTCCTTCTGCCGCGCCTGCGCCGCCCGCTGCTCCACCGGCGCCTCATTGTACCTGATGCCAGGGTTCGAGGTTTGGATTTGGGGTTCGGGGTTTATGAGGCTGCTGCTGACCTTACGAGCATTCACGCTACCTGCTACTATGTGACTCTACACTGAGAAACCCACGAGTTGAGGACGAGCACGGGGGGCAAGACGCACCGGTTGAGGATGAGCACGGGGGGCAAGACGCACCGGTTGAGGACGAGCACGGGGGGCAAGACGCACCGGTTGAGGATGAGCACGAGTGCGGCGATGAAGGGGTCGAGGGTGTCCTTGCTCCTCTTGGTCACCAGCTCCGCCAGGAAGTTGATGGCTGCTGTGCGTGCACTGTACATGTCCTCGATGATGTCTGGGGGAGGAGGGGGGGGAGGGGAGGAGGGGGGGGAGGGGGGAAGGGGGGGGAGGAGGGAGCAACAAGTTGAGGACCAAACATCTTCATTCCCTTCGTCTCATAAATATGTATTTTTTTCTTCCTCCCCCTCTTCTGGCGGTACCACTCCCTTCCCTCCCCCTCTACTGGCAGTACCCCTCCCTTCCCTTCTCCCCCCCCCACGCACCGTAGCCCTTGCGCACGTATTCGAGGGGGTTGTCGGCCCACAGCAGGGCATCCTGGTCGTTGAAGCACAGCAGAGGGAAGGCGATCTCGAACTGCAGCACCTGCAGGTGCGGCTTCAGCGTCTCGTACAGCGCCTTCTTCGACAGGCTGGCAGCACACACACGTGGAGGAATGGGACGAGAACAGGGTTAAGAGAGATGGGAGGAGAGCAGGGGTAAGAGAGATGGGAGGAGAACAGGAGAGACAAGAAGCTGGATTAACAATGCATAACACACCTGTCGGTGACAGAATCATGGCAGCATGCAGCACCTTTTAACATGCGCATCGTGCATATGTTGCATGACGCACACACCTGTACGTGACGTATTGCATGGCGAGGTTGGTGATGCGGTCGGGCAGGCATGAGGGGTCGGTGCGCACGGGCGCCAGCAGGTGCAGGTACGAGTTGAGCAGGCGGGCAGCACACTTGTCTGCAAACATGGTCGCGAACGCCTTGTCCTCGCCCTTGGCGTACTTGGGGTTGCCAAACCTGCGAGGGGTACAGTGTACGGTGTATGGTGTATGGGTGTGTTAGCAAGAGAGAGGGCACAAGAGTTCTCCATGTGAACAAAGAAATGAGACATGCACCCATGAGAGTGACCACAGATGACACATGATGTCAGCACCTGTGGAACATGCGGTTGATGATGTCAGCACCTGTGGAACATGCGGTTGATGATGTGGAGCAGCCACTTCTTCACCTTCCACCACGTCCACTGCTTGCGCTGCTCGGGGTCCGTGGGCTGCCCATCCGACGGCACGGGGCGCTCCAGCAGCGCGTGGAAGCACTCCATCCACTGCAGGAACACCGCCTCCTGCTGCACTATCTCCGGCACCTTCAGCTGCCATGGGGGGACGCGGAGATGGGGGATGGGGAGAAGGGGGAGGTGGAGATGGGGGATGGGGATATGAGAAGACGGGGGAGGAAAGGAGGGTGGAAGCTCTCCATCCGATGCTGGAACACATAGCGCCCAGCACCTCACGCCCAGCACCTCACGCAGCGCTGTTGACAATCACATGGCTACTCAAACAGCAGGCGCACTCACGTCCCCAATAACATGGTGACTCACATAGCAGGCGGACCAGAAGATCTTGAGCACGAGCTTGATGTACTCGGCGATGTCGAGGGAGGGGTTGGGCACGGCGAGCAGCTGCTGCAGAATGACCAGCAGCTGGGGGAACGTGCTGTTGACCACCTCGTGCACCGGCACGCGGTCCTCGTCGTCCTTAAACCTGGGAGGAGACAGGGGGAAAGGGGGAGATTGGGCGGGTAGGGGGGGGGTGGGGGGGGAGGAGGGCGGGTGGTGGAAGGCGGGTGAGGAAGCAAGAAGACATGTTCCAGCTGCACCTTACTCATATTCGGCTCCGACCGGCACCTACTCGTATTCACAAGTCATCCAACCCAAGCATGCACTCGTAATGGCCTGACATCCAGCACTGGCTGGCACCTACTCTGATTCGACTGACTCGCACCCAGAACTCAGCACCTACTCATAATCACAGGTGATCCAACACAGGCACGTACTCATATTTGCGCGCGAGCACGCGCACGACGACGAGCGCGCCATAGACGCGCGGCTGCTCGGCGCTGTGGAGGTTGGCGAGCGCCTGCTGCAGCAGCGACGGCATCTTGTGTGGGTAGTCCACCTGCACCACCGCCTTGAGCACCTCGATCAGCTGCGACCTGCAGGGACGCAGGGAAGAGGGGAGGGGGGGGGGGGGGGGGGTGGGGGTGACGAACAAGGCTCAAGGCCATGAGAGCGGCAGCGACGGCACCTTGAGCGGATAGTCGACCTGGTGAACGGCCGGGCGCACGTATTAGAGCAGGGCAGGAACGCACGTATTAGAGCAGGCCAGGAACGCACCTATTAGAGCAGGACAGGAACGCACCTATTAGAGCAGGACAGGAACGCACCTATTAGAGCAGGACAGGAACGCACCTATTAGAGCAGGACAGGAACGCACCTGATGAGCGGCGGGCAGCAGATGACGGCCTCCACCAGGTTGTCCCTCACGGCCGCCACGTCACCGTCCGAGAACAGCGGCGAGCCTGCCGGTAATGCGGTGGGCATAAGGCGTTTACGCAAGAAGAACCGAGAACATTGCACGTGTCCAGATTAGCGTTCGACTGATCCGTTATAGTACACTCTTCCCTTCCACTGAACTATCGGATCGTCTGTTTCTCAGACTGCCGCATCGTCGAATTCGTCTCTGAACCAGGACCAATCCGGCTTGCGAGTAGCGAATCACCTCACCTGCGGCAGCGGCCTCGGCGGCGTCGGATTTGGTCCGCCAGTTGCGCGAGACGGTGTTCTTGAAATGAATGGCGGCCACCTGGCGGATGGCGAGGTCCACATCGGCCCGCACCACCACCTGCAGCAGCGCCACCAGATGACCCGGCACGAACTGGTTCTGCACGGAGGAGGGTGGGAAATGAACGCAAAGAAACGCGCTTTCACTAACGACTTAAAGTTGTGTGTTGTGAAGGTTCACCTGGACGAGGTGTATCCCTTCCTCCTGATAATCGGTTCAGGCAATGCTCCTATGACTCAGATGAGGCTTGCAAATCAACCAGGCAACTATGAACGAAGCATCCGACTTGGAGAATCGAGCGACTTCGAAAGCATATCGCTAGCGAAGCAGTAAGAATGAACGGAGCACTAGAAAGAAATTATCTCCGGACAGACTAAGGACGGGTTGATCGACTGGATGATATACGGACAGGATGGGATGATCTACGGACGGAGTGATCTACTGACGGACCTGCACGAGGTGAGCCTCGCCGGCTTTGCGCTCCTCGGGATTCGCGCTGAGGGCCTGCTGCAGCACGGCGGACAGCTGCGCCAAATCCATGGCGGACACGGGGAGGGGAACCAAGAAAAGCAGCAGCAAGCCGCGGATCCGCGCACGAAGATTTGACACTAGAGCGGGCTCGGGCGATGGGGCAGCAGGGGCAGGGATGCAACACGTGCTGTCGTCGAGACTGCCTGACAAAGAGAGCTACGAAATGGGATTCTCGAGGAATTTATGGCATGAGGCTGCAGGTGTGGTCAGATGGGATGGGGTGGTGCATGGTGTGGTGATGTGTGTGGGTATCCCCAGGCGTGGATGTATGGGTGAAAGAATGGCGAAGGCAAGGGGCACAAAGGTGATGAGCTCTCGAGGTCTTGACGGGTTGAGGGTTCAGGGGTTCTCACGCAACATGAGTGGCCCAGAAGTGTCGCACGCCGGCCATGCGACGATGCTGAGGGTGCCGCCAAGGCGACATCGCTGGAATGGTAACTGCGAGGGGAGCAGCGCCAATGGTTGGGCATTCATTCCCATACTTCAGGACCCGGAAGCGACCAATGGGCCTTGCTGACAACAAGTGCATTAGTTCACGGCAGCTACACTCGTATGCTGAGGAATAACAGTTCCAGCATAAGTGGTGCTCCATCACCCATACACAAGCAACTTACACACCCAATTTAAACTGGGGTATTGCATTACTTGCTTTTGGGCGTTGACAGCAATAGGTAAACTACAACCAATTCATAGAGATTGGAGGCGCATTGTCAGGCAAGGCCTAGCAGCCCTCGCACCTAAAGAATACCATCTGGACATGCCTTTCCTGGACGGTCTGGTTGTTACTGGAGTGCGCTAACTTCTTAGAACCATCACTCCGGCCAGTGAACCATTTCACATTGCAAGAGCCGCACAAAGAACCAGCTTGATAAGTTGCTCATGCAGCCAGGGCAGCCACAGGCTCCTCTTCAGCAGCAGGCGCCTTGGCCTCTGGCGAGTTGGCTTCGCTGGGCGGCACGAGCTGCCAGAAGAGCGGCAGGTACTTGTCCCACTCTGCCAGGATGGTGGCGGCCTTGGCACTGCCGGTCAGCTCCTGCACAGAGAGGTTTGTTGGACGACACAAACAAATACGGGTGAGAAATCATAAAAACCACCGACTGCACCAGTTAGAAAAAAACATGGATTTGATTTGAAGCGAAGAGGGCTACAGCCATGGACAGTCTGAACAAGCATGGTGCGAGACGATAGAGCATACCGCGTGCTGCTGGATGAGAGACTTGAGCTGCTCCTGCCCCCCTGGTGACACCACTCTCTGCATCGCCACGATCTCCCGATTCACCTGAGAAGAGCCACACGGAGGGAAGCAGATGCATGCGGCGAGATTTGCATGCGTTTCAAAGGTAGAGGGAGATGATGAGGACAGTCAAAATGGGGATGTCACCCACCTTGACACAGGATGAGAAGAAGTGAGGGGAGGTGAAATGACAAATCATGAGGAGGGAGAGAGTGGAACGCACCTTGGGGGAGAAGGTGTCGTCCTCGTCCAGGAAGTAGCCAATGCCTCCCGTCATGCCCGCTGCCACGTTGCGCCCCACCCTGGGGAGGAGAGAGAGGAGGGCCAAAGAGAAAGACGAGTAGAGAGGGTCAATTGACCTCAATTGAGCAGTGCAAAGGAACATGGCGAGGATGACCTAATCGTGCAAACGTGGGGGTAAGGAAAATGAGTAATGTAGGTACAATATAGAGCAAATTTCACCAGGGAAGCCACGCAGACTGCAAGACAAATGCTGCCTCGGAATGGCATGTGCACCCAGAACGAAACCCATCCCCATGGTTCCCACTCACTTGCCCAGCGCCACCACGGTGCCGCCCGTCATGTACTCGCAGCAGTGGTCCCCTGCGCCCTCCAGCACAGCCTGCGCATTGGAGTTGCGCACCGCGAACCGCTCGCCCGCACACCCGCGCACAAACAGCCGCCCGCCCGTGGCGCCATAAAGACACGTGTTGCCGATGATGGTGGCGGTCTCCGCCTCAAAGGTGGCGGCCTTGGATGGCACCACCACAATCTGCCCGCCTGCCATGCCCTGTGAACCGTAGAGGGGGGAGGGCAGGGGGGCAAAAGGACGTAAAGACAGGAAACAGGCTGCCTCCAGCAGCGCCGTACAGACATGCCTTGCCAATGATGGTCGCTGCCTACGCCTCAAATATGACAGCATGCGCACTGCGCAAGCACCATGCCCACACAGCACCTTCACCAGCCGTACCTTGCCCACATAGTCGTTGGCCTCCCCAATGAGGCGGATGTTCATCCCGCCTGCCAGGAAGCACCCAAACGACTGGCCTGCACTGCCCTTGAACCTGTGGCCACAGCAAGCAACAGGGAGCACACGGGAGGCGAGCGTTGAGTTGAGTTAGGACGCATACATGGCACATGGGAGAGCAGGTTTGAGTGAGCTCAGGATGCAGATGAGAACATCGCATAGACTATGCAAACAACAATTTCGGGCATGGGCAGACAAAATACGCAAGGAAAGGGATGGTGGGCGTGAGTGAGAGCAGCAGTGGCAGGCAGGGAAGCAAGGAGCTCACGTGATGCCGATGGCGCCTGTGAAGCCCGAGTCCCCGTGGCGCTTGGCGATGGCGCCCGACACCCGGCCACACGTGGAGCGGTCCGTGTTAACGATGGGCGTCGCCAGCTGCACCACCTTGCCCTGCTCTATGGCCGCTATCACCTGCGCGGCGCAACAAGGGTCCGTCCAGGGCGCAGAGGGAAGCAGGAGAGAGCCATCCGTGAAAGCTCTGGACGCATAGGAAAGCTCACTATGGGCGCTGCCAGCTGCACGATCTCGCTCTGCGCTATGGCTGCCACCACCTGCTTGCACCACAGCGCATGTCACGCCGGGGAGCACACACAGATATGTGCGCAAATGTGTTGCTGCCATGTGCACAATGGATGGGTGCAGATAGACATGCAAATCACGGCGGATGGATGTGAATAGGCATGCGAAGCAATGTAGTGGGATGTGAACGCGTGTACAGGAATGACTTTTGAGTCGACTCAAAACGTGAGTAGGCATGTGAAGCAGTGAGGAAGGATGTGAGCACGTGAACAGAAATGAATGGATGAGGCCATGTGTGGCACGCACTGAGGGGTTGCGCAGGAGGGCGTCGTCCAGCATGGGCCCGTTGGAGTGCACCTCCTGTGCAATGCGCGCCGAGCTGCTCAGCTCCGACAGGCCAGGGTACTGGCGGGGCGTGGTGGCATGGAGGGGGAGGTGGGGGAGGAGGGGAGAAAGGGGGGGGGGAAGATGAGGATGGAGGGATGCCTGGATGGATGGATGATGTTTTGAGAAGCCACAGGCATTTGGAATAGTGTAAGAATGGGTGGAATGTACAGATCCAAGAGAGGCGCATGCAGCGAGGAGGGATGAGGAGCAAGCAAGCAGGTGGTGGTGGGCGTACAGTGAGCAGGTAGGAGAGACGAATGGCATCAGTCATACAGTGAGCTGGTAAGAGAGACGAGTGGCATTAGTCATACAGCGAGCAGGTAGGAGAGACGAGTGGCATTAGTCATACAGTGAGCAGGTAGGAGAGGTCGATGGAGCTGGTCTTGGCGAGCGCCACGTCCCTGGCTTTAAGCACGTCCACGTGCCCCACCAGCTCGTCCAAGCTGCTCATGCCCAGCGACGCCAGCCCCACACGCACCTGCAGGGGGGAGGGAGAAGGAACAGCAGCAGCGGAAAGGAGAAAGGGAGGAAAATGAGGAAATCAGGGGGAAGAAAAGGGTGCAGAAGAAAAGGGTGCAGAAGACAAGGGTGCAGAAGACAAGGGTGCAGAAGACATGGCAGGAAGAGACAAGGGGGGACTGGGAGGTTGATTGGAGTAGAAAAAAACGTTTTAAGATCGGGGCAAGAGGGAAAGAGGGGAAGGGGCAAGGGAGAGCAGCAGGGGTGCCTGACCTCCTCGGCCACGAAGACAAAGAAGTTGACCAGGTCCGCTGGCACTCCTGGGAAGCGCGCCCTCAGCTCCTCCCTCTGCGGTTGGTGGCAGGGCGGAGAGGCAACACGGAAGGGAAAGGGGAGGCAGAGCAAAGGAAAGGAGGGAGGCGAGAGGATGGGATAGGGCAGAAGTGTGCTAGAGGGAGACATGGACCCACAGGGCATGTGATGAGGGTGGCAGAAGAGATCCACGGACACGACCAGGCGCTTCTAGTGACGGCAGTGGATTGGATGACAGCACCTTCCATAAGACAGTGGTTACCTCAGACACCACCCCAACAAGGCAGTTGTTACCAAGAAAACCCCTACCTGTGATGCCACCCCGACAGGGCAGTTGCTGGTGTGGCAGATGCGCGCCATGATGCAGCCTGTGGGGATCATGGCCAGCAGCAGGTCCCACAAGGAACGGTTGTTACCAGGTACAGCTGTAAGGAGCCACACCTGCTACCAATGACAACCCTTACCTGAGACGCCACCCCCACGGGGTAGTTGTTGGTGTGGCAAATGGGCGCCATGATGCACCTCGTGGCGATCATGGCCAGCGACAGCTGCTACACGGGACAGGTGTTCCCAGCTACAAGTAATCACATTCACATCTGTTACCAAAGTAAGCCCTTACCTGAGACGCCACCCCGACAGGGCAGTTGTTGGTGTGGCAAATACGAGCCATGATGCAGCCCGTGGCGATCATCGCCAGCGACCCGAACCCAAACTCGTCGGCGCCCATGGCGGCCGCCACCAGCACGTCATTGCCGCACTTGATGCCCCCGTCCACACGCAGCACCACGCGGTCCCTCAGGCCGTTGGCCAGGAGCGTCTGGAGGGGGAGGGGAGAAAGGCGGAGCATCAGCATCAGCATGTGCTGCGCTGTACTTTATGTCCCCGGCCATGCGCAGTGCCGCCCAGTCCCTCAGGCCGTTGGCCCTCGGTCCTTCAGTGTCGGGGGGGGAGGGAGACGAATGGGGAATGGAGACCCCTGAGGACGGCGGAATCATGAGCACAACAGGATGTGCTTGTGGCTGCACCTGTTAGCTGCTTTGGGGGGGGTCCCGTGCCTTCTTGTTAACACAGACGCCATCTCGTATGAAAAATTCACGAACAAGCCGGCACTTCTAACAGTCCAACAAAAAAAAACCCACGTGATGTGTTTCAGTCAGCCCCATCTCACCTGGTGCGCCTCAGAGAGCCCCATCTCCCAGATCCCGCCCACGTGCTTGATGGAGCTGATGGGGCTGGCGCCCGTGGTGCCACCAGTGTGCCCTGAGTAACTCATGCATTCGTTCACAGTGCTGCCTCTCACCTGGTGCGTCTCACTGAGCCCCATCTCCCACGGCCCGCCCGCATGCTTGATGGAGCTGATGGGGCTGGCGCCCGTGCCGCCATCATGGCCCGAGATCTGGATGATGTCGGCATTGGCCTTCGCCACGCCGCTCGCCACTGTGCCGATGCCCGCCTCCGCCACCAGCTTCACCGACACCTTGGCTGCTGGATTCACCTGTACAGCAGAAATGGAGCACGGCGAGGGAACAGGCAGGGAGGTGGCGCAAGGAGGTGGGTGGTGTGTGTGTGGGGTGCGGTCGAGGACCACTTGAGCCATGCTGCACACATGCAGCACACTGACGCATTCCAACTGAAAGAACATGACCATGTGATCCAAGCCGTGCCCTCACCTGGTGCAGATCAAAGATGAGTTGCGCCAGATCCTCAATGGAGTAGATGTCGTGGTGCGGGGGCGGCGAGATCAGCGGCACGCCGGGCTTGGAGTTCCTGAGCTGAGCGATGTATGGTGACACCTTCTTGCCGGGCAGCTGCCCGCCCTCCCCGGGCTTCGCCCCCTGCGCCACCTTGATCTCCACCTGATCCGCGTTCGCCAGGAACGTCGGGGTCACTCCAAACCGCCCCGACGCCACCTGCTTGATCGCGCTTGTGGCCTTGTCCCCGGTCCTCAGCCCCTTGAGATGCGGGAACGTGGGCGACCGCCCCTCCGCGTCCACATCCTCCAGCTCCACCCACCGCATGGGGTCCTCCCCGCCCTCGCCCGAGTTGCTCTTCCCGCCCAGGCGGTTCATGGCAATGGCGATCACCTCGTGGCATTCGCGCGAGATGGCTCCCAGCGACATGCCCCCCGTGCAGAACCGCTTGGCGATCGATGCTGCGGATTCCACCTGGTCTAGGGGGATCGGGGCACGGGTGCCGCTGCTCAGCTCGAGCAAGTCGCGGAGGACGTTGACGGGGCGTGTGGCGATGTGGGTCTGGTAGGCGGTGTAGGCGGTCTGCTCGCCCTGGCGCACGGCCTTGTGCAGCAGCTTGCTCATCTCGGGGTTGTTGCTGTGGTACTCGCCGCCCTGCCGCACCTGCAGGAACCCTGCGTTCTCCAGCTTGCCCTTGCCCTCCGTCCCGAAACCCTTGGCCCAGAACGTCAGAGCCTCACTCGCAAGCTGTGGCACAGATGGGGGCAGGAAAGAAAAAAGGTTGTAATGGAGCTTGTTGGGGGGCATGGAGGAGCCTGTGCTCACGGCATGGCACGGCAGTGTTATCCGCTGTGCGAATGCTGGAAGCAGAAAGGGATCAAGCAGCACTGTGCATCGATGCTCACCTCGTCCAGTGTGAGCCCTCCTATGCGCGAGACGGAGCCCTTGAAGGCGCGGTCCACGACCTGGGCGCCGAGCCCGTAGATCTCAAAGATCTGCGCGCCGCAGTAGCTGGACAGCAACGAGATGCCCATCTTGGACAGGATCTTCATCAGCCCCTTCTCTATGGCCTGCCACAAGAAGATGGAACGATGAGTGGCAACGGAGGGGAAAATGGGAAATGAGTAGGAAGAAACGCACATATTGGACAGAAACTTCATCAGCTTCTGCCAGTAGTTGGGCAATGAGCAATACGCAATTAGCAGTGGACAATGCACTCACCTGGCGGTTTGCTGAGCACTGGGATATGAGGCATAACCCACCTTCCTGTAGTTGAGCTGCGCCTGCTCCATAGACACGGACGGCAGCTTGCCAAACGTCATCAGCTTCTGGGTCTTCTCGCTCGCGCGCCACTGCCGGCATGTCTCCAGCGCGCCGTACGCGCACACCGCGCTCGCCCCGTACCCCACGAGGCAAGCAAAGTGGTGCGTGCTGAAGCACTGCGCCGTCTCCACCACGATTGATGCCTGCAGCCGCTTGCCACTGCGAATGAGATGGTGATGCACCGCGCCCACTGCCAACAGCGCCGGGATCGCCGGCCGAGTGGCATCAAGCTGATCGGCATTGTCCGACAGCACTAGGAGCTGCGCGCCGGCGTCAACAGCGGCATCAGCGGCAGCGCAGAGCGCGTCGAGGCCGCGGGAGAGAGCGCCGTCCACGCCCTGGGAGACGTCGAAGAAGGTGGGCAGGCGGGCCGCTGCAAGCTGCTGGTCGTCCATCAGCTCCTGGAGCTCCGCCTCGTTGAGCACCGGAGAGGCCAGGCGAACCACGTTGGCGTGCTCCGCGCCCACGTCCAGGATGTTGTCCCGCCGCCCCAGCGCTATCTCCAGCGACATCACCAGGCCCTCCCTCAGTGGGTCGATGGCGGGGTTCGTCACCTGTTGGGGGTTGGTTGAAATGAAGGGTTTTTATATTGGAGCGTCAATCAGGGGGGTGAGCAAGGGGGGGGGAAGGAATGAGGCGAATATGGGTGGGGAGGGGAAGAAATTGTTGAAATCTGTTTATCTAAACAACATACATAGGCTACAATAGGGGGTGTAGTCATTACACTTATTGGGGGGTTGTCGGTTAGGTTCACCAACCAAAATCTGGGTTGGTCAAGATTGGATTTGCTCTTGGTCCTTTGGTTGGCATTTTCCAGCCGAATGGTCCCAAGGCTCAACCAATCAGCAATCACCACACTATGAGGTTGCTTCCCCTCCAAGCAACCCCTCCCATTGGCTACAATAGCTTCTTTTCCAGCCATTCCTTTGCTCCTTGCTTGAACTATAGAGCCTCTTGGCTCCCTCTCTAATTCATTATTTTCTCTCCAAAGTTAGATTCTTTCAGGAATGGGAAGTCGTAAACAGAAGGCATGTGAGTGCAAGGCACGTGAATTGGGGGGGGGGAGCGGGGAATGGGGGGCGGATGAATTGTGGATGGAGGGGATAGAAACTGACCTGGGCGAAGCGCTGCTTGAAGTAGTTGAAGAGGAGGTGTGGGCGCGCTGAGAGCGCGGGGAGGGGCGTGTCTTAGTTTTGGGGGGGGTGTGAATAGGGAATATGTGCATGGGGCCTCAACACTGACCTGGGCGAAGCGCTGCTTGAAGTAGTTGAAGAGGAGGTGGGGGCGCGCTGAGAGCACGGGGAGGGGCGTGTCGTCGCCCATGCAGAACGTGGGCTCAATGGCCTGCGCTGCCATGCTCTCTATCACCATCACCACGTCCTCGCTGGAGTACCCGTACGCACTGTTGGCGGGGGGAGGGGGGGGCGGGGGGAGGGTTTAGGGTAGAGGGGGGGATGGGAGGGAGAAGGCGGATAAAAGACACCTCAATGGCATGCACTGCCATGCTCTCGATCACCATCACCACGTCCTCACTCGAGCACCCGTATGCACTGTTGGCGGAGAGTAGAGGGAGGAGAGGGGGGAAGGGATCTTAGAGACACACTTGTATGGGCTGCGCTGCTATTCTCTCCATCACCATCACCACGTCCTTGGCTTCAACACCCGTACGCACTGTGGAGGGGGGTAGGGAAGGGGGGGGAGGAGGGGGGTGGGGAAGGGGGGGTTGGAGGGAAGACAATTGAAGTGTGAGGAAAACGGAAGGGTAAGGGATTGGGGAGGACCTCGAGCAAGGAGCCAAGGTTGATTGATGATGAGGGGAAGGCGCAGGGAAGTTGCGCAAGGCACAGTAAGAGGGCAGTGGGCGGCTCACTTTTGTCTGCGGAGCACTTCATCGGGGGAGAGGGCTGGCTCAGGGGCGAACGCCATGGGGGTGATCTGGCGAGACTGGCGGCACACAAGGGGGGGGTAGCGCATGCAGAGAGGAGAGGGACGAGAGGGACAAAAGGGACGAGGGAGGACGAGTGGAACGAGGAAGAGTGGCAAGCAGAGGAACCATTCACATAACTGAGCTCACCCACTCGTACACTCTTGCACTTGCACCCGCTATCGTAGTGTGTGCGCACAACCACAACCGGTACCAGAACAACCACCCACCTACCCACCCAGCACACTCACCTCCTTATCGAGCCACTCCTTGAAGGGGTGCGCGCTGGCCACCTGCCTCTTGATGGCCGTGTTGGATAGCACCTGGGGTTGGGGGGGACAAGAGCAACAAGAAGAGGTCAGGCTGGGAGGAGGTAGCCATGGTGGGCGATAGAGCTGAAATAGGAAAGCAAGCCTCTATGCAATGCGACGGGTAAGACCCAGGTCCTACCTCCCCTGTCATCCCTCCCTACTCTCCGGTGTGCAGGTCGACGGAGATCATCATGCCGGGCCCCAGACGGCCCTTGCTCATGCTTGCTTTAGCGAAGCGCAGCACAGCCTCTTCAGCCATACCTCCGTGGAGCCAGCGCGCCACACCTGCTCTGCCCGCCAGCGGTTCTCACCTCGCCCGTGTGCAGGTCCACTGAGATCATCATGCCCGGCCCCAGACGCCCCTTGCTCACGATGGTCGCCTCGTCCATGTTCAGCACGCCCACCTGCTCGCCCCCATGGGAGTGACGCCGATGGCAGGGGGGGAAGGGGGGAAGGGGGGAAGGGAGCACAGTGAAAACACATGTTCAATGAGCGCCCATAAGACATCTCGAGGCCCACGCTTGAGATTCAGCAGGCCTTGCCCTGATGTAGGTAGCTAGCAATTATGGTGGTAGCTTAAAGACGGGCTCATTGCAAGGGGCAGGCAGATGAAGGTAGGTACGACGTGCGGGTGGGGCTGCAAGGGATCAAGAAGCGCAAGAGCGCACCTCAGAGGCGACGTAGAGCATGTCGTCGTTGGTCCTCCAGTAGCGTGCCGGGCGCAGCCCGTTGCGATCCAGAGACGCACCCACTGTCCTCCCGTTGCTGCCAGTCGCCGGGCGTGAGTAGCAGGGATAGGAGAGCGAGGACGTTATATTTTAGGCATCGGCGTTGTTCTCAAGCTAAAAGAGTCAGAATTGGACACTGAGGAGTGATCTGAGCAAGTATGGGGGATATCCCATGTACAGCCCATGCAGCAGCAGGAATGGGCGGAGGCATGCAACGTGAGGCGGGCTCACCTGAAGACGAGCAGGGCAGGTCCGTCCCACGCTTCCATCTGGGACTTGTAGTACTCGTAGAAGCTGACCACCTGGTTGGCGCAAGCACCGTGCGGAGGTGGAAAAGGGTGGGGGGCGTGGGTGCGGTTACGAAACATTCTGAAGAGTAAGCGGTCTACAGTGGGTTAAGACTAGGGTTAGGAATTTATACTTATAAGAAATTAAGGCGCGTACCTCGGGGTACTTGGCTGAGAGCGTGGGGTGGTTCTGGTAGGCCTCAGGCACGAGCATCATCAGCACCTCCTCTGGCCGCCTGCCGCTGTTCAGCAGCAGCTGCGGGGTGGAGGAAGAAGAGGAAAAGGCAGAGAGACGGGTAAGGGGGAGTTTAAGGCATAAACAGATTGCCACCAGTGTTCTTCAGACATCTTTTCTCCCAGCACCACCCATCCATCCCATCCATCAGCCCCCCTCACCTCAGCAACGCCGTCCAGGTTAGCAGAGTCAGAAGCAGCGAGGTTCACCACGGGGAAGATATCCGCCTCCCTGCCGCGCCACACGGGCGACGTGAGCGTAGGCTCGCGCGACACCATCCAGTTGAGGTTGCCCTGCAGCGTGTTGATCTCGCCGTTGTGCCCCAGGAACCGCATCGGCTGTGCCAGCAGCCACTTGGGCGTCGTGTTGGTGCTAAACCGCCTATGATAGATCGCAAACGGACTCCGGAACAGCTCGTTCTTCAGGTCAGCGTAGAACGTGCCCACCACAGCGGCCCGGAGCATGCCCTTGTACACGATGGTCTTGCTGGACAGCGAGCAGAAGTACAGGTCGTTCAGCGCGTGCTCCGCCGCCGGAGTCCCCCCCGCCGCCGCCTCGGCTGCGATCGCCCGTGCTACTGCCTTCTCGATGAGCTTCCTGAGCACGTAGAGCTCGCGCTCGGTGTCGTCGGGGGCGAGGCCGGGCACGGAGAGCACGAGCTGCTGGATGGAAGGGAGGGTCACGCGCGCGAAGGGCCCCACCACCGACTCGTTCACCGGCACCTGGCGCCATCCCACCACCTGCAGCCCGTGGCCCTCCGCCTTGATCACGCTCTCCACCACTGCCCGGGCGAGCAGGTTCAGGGGCGCGAAGGTGGGGGGATGGGAAAGGGCGAGAGTAGTATGAGACGCTATTATGTTAAACGAGGCCCTTACGAACTCCTTGACGGAACCTAGGGGTACCGCACCACCTGCAGCCCCATCAGCCTGGGTTATATGCTATGCTCCACCAGTGAGCGAGGACAAAGGGGTGAGGGACGCAACAGGCGAGATGGGAGGGAGCGACAAGATTGAGACGCTATGTGGTGCTTTATGAGTGTGAGAAGTGTGAGTGAGTCTCACACGGCAGTTTGACTAAACCCTGAATCCTCGCGTGACTGTTCTTCTCGGTGCTCACTTCAGCCACGTGTGGTCGCTTCTACTTCAAATGGGTTGAAAATTATGCATTTTAGTCGCTTACTTCCCCGCGCGAAGGCTGCGCCCTGCGCCTGTTTTCTCCCTTTCGTAGGCACACAATCGCCAAAATCCTACTCTCCTGCTCCCCTCAAAACACTCAGTCATAACGAGGCGTCGAACCCTACGCCTTTCCTAGTAGAAGGCTTCGCGACAACTGTTTCCTTCAACCCACTCAATCCATTCACGCATACACCTGGCCCACGCATGCACACTGTTTTTCTGCCCCTTTCGCGTCGACTGACGCGACGATCGTGCACTGTGCCCACGCCAGCCCATGTCTTCCTCTCCACAGCTTTAAACACGGCGTTTCCTTCCGAATAAGGCTCAATTTCTGAACCTCAGTTCCCCTTCTTGTCAGACTTATAGACTCAAGCTGCTCGGCGGGAATCACGTTGCTTGGCGGGACTCACGTTGCTTGGCGGCCTCGGCGTCGCTCTCCTGCTTCGGCAGGAACACCATCCCCACGCCCGTGGCGGACCGGTCGAGCGGGCCGCGGCCGTTCTCCTGCTGCCAGCTGTCGAGGAGATCCCAAGGCACGGCCGTCATGAGCCCCGCGCCGTCGCCCGAGTCGTTGTCGGCGCTGCACCCGCCGCGATGCTCCATGCACCCCAGCGCTGTCAGGCCCTGGGGGAGGGAGGAAAGGGGAGGGGGGGGGGAGGCGGGGAGGGGAATGCGGAGAGAGAAACGAGATGAGAAAAGAAACGCGGGCAGGAGGACACGACCGTTGGGCGAATCAATGTCAGCGACGCATGCAAACAAATACGAGGTGGCGACGGCTAAGTGGTTCTGGCGAAGGAGGTCGACGGAAAATTCGGCAAAAATCTTGGGTCGATGCACAAGCGGATGGATCCGGCATGATGGGCAAATGCAGAAAGTGTTACCTGCTCGATAATCTTATGCGTGGACTCGTTTTTAAGTGACGCGATAAGACCCACTCCGCACGCACCGTGCTCCTTTAGAAGCTCCTCTGCGTCCGCTACCTGCACAACCCAAGGGATGGAGGGATGCACCGATCAGCAAACGCAAGAACTGGCACGTTTACAGTACAATTGGAGGTATAAAGGCATCACCTTGATGAGTACTAGGGCGTCCGGGACGTCGTTCGAGATCGGTCGTTCTAGGCTCCGCGCTACAAAAGCCGTGTTTTGAGACGTATCAAAACACGTCGTTCTAGGATCCACGCTACAGTACTAAGTAAATCGGTACAATGGTAATCACGGAGCCTATAACTTGGATGCGGGCGAAATCGACTCAATCCTGTCGAAGATAGCCAAAGGTATTTAGTGCCTTTTTATTATTCATGAATCTCACGTGAGTGATGTTGTTCTCACCCTAAACATACTCGTACCTCGTAAGCCTTCTCGCCATCATCCGTCGCAACCTGTGTCGATGAGCACTCCGCAGTCGCACGCGACAATCCAAAGCGACGGCTTGCGACATTAGCATTGTCGCGGACCGCCACGCGTCTGCAGACAGCAGCGCCGGAGAGAAACCTAGACCTGGCGTGCACTGCTACAGATGCTCCGAAAAACGACGACGCCTTGCCGCCCTTCTTCCCGCTAGTGCTCTGAAGGTCGCCTAAGGTTTGAGTACCTCGGGCGAGCAACACAGACTGCTTCAATAGCGCTGTCGTCATGGCTGCTGATCAGAGATAACCCAGTCAGGTGTAGGTACGCGTTGTGTTCGTGCTGCAAATTACCCTACCGTCGTCAGGGTAGGAGCAGCCCTGCGAGAATTGCAGGGCAGAGGTTGCGTGCAACGGAACAAACTGCTTCAGACGGAAGCAAGCAGGCTAGAAAATGAGAGAGGAAGGCATCATTAGGGATTAAATTCCTGCAATGGTGTTGGAAGGGAGAAGGGAGGCTGGAGAGGGAGGGAGAGAAACCTTCGGGATTCGGGCAAGGCTGGGGCCCGTGAGGCCTTGGGATTGGTTGTGGATGAGGTCGAGGCACTTGTGGCCCAGAGTCATTCCTACAGTACTTCGCGCTGAAAGCTTCAAGAATTCTGGTCAGTTCCGTTTCGTTACGTTCTGGTAGCAAGATTTCAGGCCAAGATGACACGGCGCGTGCATGAACCCTGGTGAACCAGCAAAGGGGACTAGGATTTGCGCTCCCACCCTCGCATTGGTTGGTTTTATGCAACCGTGGCGAAATTTAAGTGGTCTGACGGGCCACGAGGAACTCATACCACCGGAGTGTCCAGTAAGCTTCCAAGCAAGGGGGGCGCTATGACTGGGTGAAGGCAGATGATGCAGACGACACGTTACGGTTAGCACATCTCCAGCCGAAAGGTCATCGCATGAGGATAATCCGAGCTGGGAGGCTCCCATCCACGCACCCATTCGCCAGCGCATTCTTTCTGTTCGAAGTCCGAAACGCTTCGGTAAAATCACTCCGCTAAGCGTCGAGTGCCCTCCTAGGGGTGCTCACTCTGACTTACATGAGGTGTAAACGCTGGGTTGCACTCAGCACAGTGAGCCACAATAATCTTTATGGTTAGTGCAAGGCGAGGGTATATCTCATTCATGATTTCCAGCACTATTTCGCAGATGAAAAAACCATTTGAGTCTTGTGTGTGAAATTGCAAACATAAATAATCAGTCAACGCAGCACCTTGCAATCGTCTCGTGTGCATACATTTTTATCAGGGCGTACACAGAGCTCAATTCTGTTACGACGTTTATTAAGAGCACGAAAACATTATTGAACATCGCGTGGGGTGCCACACGTTGGGAAGAGTCCACCACCACACTCTCCTTGAGAGAGGAGATGAGAGACCCAAATTGGAGGTTATAGCTCAATTGAAAGTGCCTTTTTTAGCATCGTACAGCATCATACTATACATTTTTGGGTTGCGGAGCAACCTATTGCAATCGATAGGACGGATTTTTTTTTGATTTTTTTTTAATAAAAAAAATTCCAGCATTTCTTAGTAAAAAAAAGAAATAAATGGGGTTAAGAAAGTTACACTAATCTCTACTCTTAGATGTTGAAGTATGCTAGAATCTGATGTCTAGATGTTATCTCACGAATGTAGATCTACAATAGTGTAATAATTATCATTACACTATTTCCACAAATGAGTGCAGGCAAAAGAAAATCGGCATGTATTTGTCTCCCATTTATTCGTGGCTTTTTTCTTTTTTCTATGACAAAAATAGGCTATCGCTTCCCCAGCTCTAGCCGGGGGGGGGGGGGAAGCTTCAAGCCCAATGCTAAAATAATACATAGAATAATAAATTTTGTGAAAACCAAAACCTGATTTACTATATCGATTCCAAGTCAATTGACCGCACTCACAGAGAGAGTCAAAGGACCTTCATGAAACGATAAAAGCAATCCAGATTTTGAGACACACAAAACGTATTACCACGAGTGCCCATGCACAACACACAACAGGACTGCATGCACCTAGCAAAGGCGAAAACAATTCAAGACAATAAAGTATGCATTATGCAATAAAAAGATAGCAGATGCACAATAAGAGTGGTTCAAAGTTTCGAACCTGCAGCCAGATCACAAGGGTTAGCAGAATAAGAGACATGTGAAACCTAGATAAGAGGACGTAGAAATGAAGAGAACGACAACGAACAAAGAAAACATGGAGAATTAGGAAGTGCGACGTAAGGAACGATTTCCCGTAATGGTGTGAGAAAGGAAGAATTAAGACAAGGTATGGACGAGAGCAGAGGAGAAGGGCATGGCGGGAGGGTAGAATCCGTACCTTGAAATAAAGTTGAAAGGTGATTACCCGTGGTTCCTTAACAAGCTAGAGCACCTAGAGAGATAAGAGATATGAAAAAAGTGAGAGGATGCTTATTTGTTGGAGGAAAACAGCAAGGAATATAAGAAGAAAGAGGCATAGGGAAAGTAAGGAGGAAAAGGCTAGCATGACTATCAAGCTAGGAGGTTGACGACAAGCTGAGAGAGAAACGAGGACTTAACCCAACTATGGGATGGCCTTGGCTGGAACGCTAGAACGCTAACTGCTGGAGGTGACGAGAAAGCTGTGAGATTGAGGAATGGAGGAAGAATTGTGTGAGAGGGAGAAAGAAAAGTAGGAGAACGTGGGTGGAACGGCCAGGCTCTCGCAGCTCTGAAGGAAGTTCAATCTATTTTCTCGTTTCCATCAGGAACTGCCCAGCTAGATTGCAATTTGTGAACTAGTTTTCGAACTTGTCAGGGCGTGTTTTATCTGTTTGACCAATTGTACGTGTTGCATTCAATACTACGGAACTACGAGTTCGAAATTTATTGTTTCTCGTATTGCCAGTTCCATAACCAACTAATCGGTAAAAAACAATGAAATTCAAAATATAAAATACGCCCTCGTAATTCGCGTCGTTGAAAAAGCCGGATCGCTTTGACAAAAAAAAAGTCCGAACGGGTGGCAGAACAAATTTGTCGTCACTGGACGGCTACAGTATTTTCCGTCAGAAATCTTGCGCGTGACGAGCCTCACCACTAGGCGCAAAAAAAAAAATCTGCCAGGTGGCAACTTTCGCCACCGGGCAGGGAAATCATATCGCACAGTATCGAGAAAGACGACACTAAAACGAAAACGAAAACGAGATAAAGTAAGAATTGAAGCGTAATAATAAACAATACATAAAAGTAACATAAGAATCTAAAACATGGAAATAGAAGAACCAGCTCTAGGTGGCGGTTTTCACGTTTGGCAGTCGTGACATGTTCATAATTTGACTGATATAAAAACACAGAATATGTTTCATTTACATACACTTCTAAATGTTGTATACTTCGGGTTTGGGTTATTTCTGAGTAGTATACTACCTAGCTAAAGTATTTTTTTCGTCATTTTTATACAATAGAGCTCCGCAACCCTAAGACGATTTCGTCGCCTCTTGTTTTTTTTCGCGCCACAGATAGGAAGGCTCGTCGCAATCCCCCCTTTTCTCAGCGGGTACATCAGCGTTTTTACATGACCTGACGTTTGAGCCATTGTTTTTCTTCTGCTCGCGTACATGCGCTTCGTGAGATTTCCCGCGCCGGAACTCTCTCAGGCGGATCGGCGATGCGCCAGCCACGGCGGCTCGTTAATTTCCGGCACCTGCGCCTCTCGGTAGGGCTTGTTGAGGGCTTCGCAACAGTCCAACTCTCTAGACCGCAATGTGTGGCGCCGGATGAGGGAAACTCGCAACCGCCAGCCCAGACTTTGATGGGCATGCATTGGCTCGACCTGATTTCCCTACAGTACACGCACCACTGCTCTGTAGTCAAATGATGCTGGCGTGGCGTGGCTTTGTTATGCGACATTCTGATCGTCCAATCTAGAGCAAAGGACCATCACTAGTCAATGTCGTAGCCATTCCTCTGTCACGCAACAGCATGAAACGACCGACCGACCGACCACAAAAAGATCGCACAGGGGTCGTCGGAAATGACGGCTACTGTACCGCGACGCAAGTCAAGTCAAGGCGAGCACATCAATCCCTAGGGCATTTCAATCTGTGAATTCCCCTGGCCCACACATTCCAGGTCTTTCATCATGTCGTTTTCCCGGGACCTCCATTCCTTCGGTCCCCACCCCTCCACCTCCTTTCTGCTCTCCTCTCCGCCCCATCTTTGCTTCCGCTTTCAACTCTGTGTCGTCTACGTACTTCGTGAGGTATCTTCAGAGCTGCGAGTCCAGGAGAGACGAGTAGGCGTTGTTATTGAATCCAATACTCCTAGAGGTGCCACCGATATACGGTAGACTGGGTGCGTTTTAGGGTTCCGTGGAGTGGAGGTGGGGGAAAGCAGGCTCGAACGAGTCAGGATGAGGGTGTCACGGGCGAGAATCGCCGTCCGCCGTCGATTTAATACCTGGGGAATTGTCCCCGTTTTTGTTTGCCTCGTTGCATCGGAAGCGCTGCTCCTGGCCTCAGCCCACAGCGGTACGGTCCCAAGCGGTAGAAGCTGCTGTTAATGAGATCCAGAAAGGTCTGAATCCTGTTTGCCGTCGGACGCGGAGCAGAGGTCGGCACATCCATGCGCGTAGCATCAGGTGTTCTGAGTGGACAATCGACGATTTATGATCTCCGGAGCCACCGCCGATTGTCTCCGAAGTTAATCCACGTGGCAGTCGTGCCTTCACTAGCATTGTCCGACGATTAGCTTTTCCCCTGGACACCTAATACAAGAGAGCTATGTCGATAGATCGTCTTTTGCGTGATTGATTTTGAGCTAGCTCGCTCAATTTTGCAAGCAACGGAGTTCGAGGCGAGTCGCAGAATCGTTTCTTTGACTTGTATCGCAGAGCCTGCCCGATTGGCACTCGGTCCTGGTTCCATCGTGACTCTATCGCGTGTCGCGAAAGAGCAGTCGCACATCGTTAACACACGTCGCAGGGAAACAGTCGCACCACGGCGTCGTCACACGTCGCACGCGAGGGATCTCATCGCGACTCCATCCCCGATCCTTCCCCCCGTCCGTTCCCGGCTCCCGCAGGCGGCGCTGTTGCCGACGACGGCGCGTATGGATCGCTATTCGCCACGGCCAACATCCCACGGCGCTTCCTAGGTTCGTTCCGAGTCGCCCGTCTTACTTTTTTAGGCGCCTCAAAACTAGGTTCGTTCCGAGTCACCCGTCTTACCTATGTAGAGTAACGCTGCAGGCTGACTGGCTAGCAGCTGATTCTGCCCGTGCTTTCGCCCTCCGTGCTTTCGCCCGCCGTGCTTTCGCCCTCCGTGCCACGCCCCTCTCGTTCGTCTCGCCTCCAGGCAGCATCAGCGACGGCGGGCTGCTCGCGAGCGCGCCCGTACTAGCGGCGCTTGTCGGGGCCGCGGCGGTTCTGGTTCTTGCCATGAGCATCATCATGCGGAGTCTGTGCCTGTTCCCCCTTTCCCCCTTCCCCCTTTCCCCCTTTTCCCCTTTCCCCCTTCCCCCATTTCCCCTTTCCCCTTTCCCCTTTCCCCCTTTCCCCTTTCCCCCTTTTCCCCTTTCCCCCTCTCCTCCAGGTAGCACCGGCGATGGCGGCCCGCTGGCGAGCGTGCCGGTGCTGGCGGCGCTAGTCGCGGTCGCGGTGTTCCTGGTGATCGCGGCGCTCATCATCGCGCGGAGCGTGTGCGCGCCGCGGAAGGCGGAGAGCGCGGAGAAGCGAAAGGCGCAGAAGCTCGTGCTGCTGCCGGTGCTGCAAGCCACGTCCGACTTCAACGCCGCGCTCAAGGTACCAACTCTCCTTGTCAAGCTATGTCTCGCGCTTACGAATCGCGCTCGAGGTACCCCTTTTCGAGCTCGACTATGTCATGCGCGCTAGCACACCCGCCTGCTCCCCTCCCCCACACCCTCCCCTCTTTCCGCTCCTCTCTGCGCGCTCTTCCGTCGTCAGGTGGGGTCGGGCGACTTCGGCGAGGCGTACGCGTGCGTGGGGCCGAGCGGCGAGGACTGGCTGGTGGTGCGGGGCACGTCGTCCGCTGAGAACGGCCGCGCGTTCAGACGCGAGGTACGCGTGGGGCGTGGGAGCATGGGGGGGTCAGCCATGAGACTGGGGGGGGTAGAAGACTTCCCGTTGGTGCGCGGCACGTCGTCCGCTGAGAACGGCCGCGCGTTCAGACGCGGGGTACCGAGTGGGGTGATTGGGGTGGTGGAGGGTTTGACTGGCTTGAGTGGGGGGGTTATGGTGGGAGGGCGAATGGGAGGACATGGCTGCTGGTTAGGGGCGTGGCGTCCGCTGAGAACGAGAGGGCGCTCACAATCCCCCTCTCCACCTCGCTACTAAATGCTTTTTGCCACCAGGTGGAGCGACTGAGCGACTGAGCGACTGAGCGACTGAGCGACTGAGCGACTGAGCGACTGAGCGACGGCTCCCACGCGGCCATATCCCGCCTGCTGGGCTGGTGCGACGACAGGCTCGAGCGACTGCTGGTGCTCCGCTGCCTCACACCCCCCTTCCCCGCTTCCCCCTTCCCCCGTGATGCGCTCTTCCCCCAGTTGGAGCGCCTGAGCGACGTCGCCCACCCGGCCATCTCCCAACTACTAGGCTGGTGCGACGACCGGCGCGAGCGGCTGCTCATCTACGGCATGCGCGAGGGCGTCACTCTGGCGGAGCGGCTGCGCCTGCAGCGCGAGGAGAGCGCGGAGGAGGGCGCGGAGTTCGGGCGCGCGCTGACGTTCCTGGAGCGCCTGGACGCGGCGATTGCCGTGGCGGGCGCGCTGGCGTTCATGCACCACGAGTGCCAGCCGCCGCTGCTGCACCGCGAAGTCTGCTCCTCCAACGTGCTGCTCCTGCCAGGGTCCCCTGCGGTGAGTGCTGCTGATTGCTGGTCTGTCTGCTCTGCACTCTTGCGTTCATGCACCACGACTGCCAGCCGCCCCTGCTGCACCGGGAGGTCTGCTCCTCCAATGTGCTCGTGCTCTCGGGGTCACCTGCGGTAACTGGTCCCGGACTACTTCCACAGCCTCACATGCCCCTCCTTCTCTCCTTCTCGCCCCTGATCACAGGCCATGCTCACCAGCCCCGGGCTCATCAAGGGCCTCCCTTCTGCCCCCACACTGCGCCGCGTGCGCAGCAGTGCGGGGTATCTGGACCCAGACTACTTCCACAACCTCACATGCCCCTCCTTCTCTCCTTCTCGCCCCTGGTCACAGGCCATGCTCACCAGCGTCGGGCTCATCAAGGGCCTCCCCTTGGCCCCCACGGCGCGGCGTGTGCGCAACAGCGCGGGGTACCTGGACCCCGACTACTTCCACAACCTGCGTGCCACGGCCGCCACCGACGTCTACTCCTTCGGCGTGGTGCTGCTGGAGCTGCTCACCGGGCAGCTCGCCGAGTCCGAAGACTCCAAAAAGAAGACCCGCAAGTCGTACATCAACATCCAGTGGGCGGTGCGCCATATCAACGCCGCGGACGTAACGGCGGTGGTGGACCCCCGGATGGACCACGGAGTTCCCGAGGCCGCCCTCAAGCGGTTTGCGTCAGTGGCGGTGCTGTGCGTGGCGCGGCACTCGCGCAAGCGCCCGGACTCGGCGTCCGTGCTCCGGTTCCTCAGCGAGATCCGCGCAGACCTGTCCCCGTCCTTCCTCTCCTCCGCTGCTGCCGCCGCTGCGTCTTCCATCTCCCGCTCCGCCTCGACCTCTCCCTCCCCTTCTGCTCCTGGCATCTTGGGCGTCTCTGCGCTCTCTGCTGCTTCTGGTGCTGCCTCCATGTCAGGGCCCGTCCGCGGAAAGCCGGTCTCGATAGTGGATATAGGCGGGGATGACTACGCGGACGAGTCTCGCCTAGAAGTGGCACCTCTATACGAGTCCCAGTTTACATACTATGACTTGGTGGCGGCGACCAAGGGGTTCAGCAAGGGGAGGTGGATGCGGAGTAGCTACCTGGGGGAGGTGTATCAGGGGACGCTGGGGGCGGGCGTGGACGTGATGGTGGTGCGGCAGACAGGGGGCGGCGAGGCGTGGGTGAACCAGACGGTGGCTGGCGCCAAGGCTCTGGCGAAGGTGCACCACCCGGACCTGGTGACGATGCTGGGGAGCAGCATCGGGCCCGACTACTGCTTGCTCGTGTTCAACTACATCCCCTTCCCCTCGCTCTCGCACCTCCTGCACACCGACGGTGAGGGCCCATGCTGCTGCAGGGTCTGCTGCACCTGCACTCTTCTGAAATGCTTGGCTTACACGTGTCCCCCCTGTCCGCCCTCCCTGCTCTGCAGACAAGGCGGAGCCCGTGCTGCCCTGGGAGTAGGGCATGAGGGTATTAGGGTCTGCTGCACTTGCACTCCACTGGGCTGCTTGCCTTACACGTGTCCCCCCTGTCCGCTCTCCGCTCTCCCCGCTCTGCAGACGAGGCGGTGCCCGTGCTGCCCTGGGAGGTGCGAGTGCGCGTGGTGGAGGGCGTGGCGGAGGGGCTGCTGCACCTGCACTCGTTCTGCCACCCGCCCATCGTGCACGGCCGCGTGTGCACGCGCACTGTGCTAATGGACCGCCACGTGTCGCCCAAGCTCTGTGACTTTGGCATGCCGCACTTCAGCCTGCAGAATGCTGCTGCTGCTGCTGCTGCTGTTGCTGGGAGGAATGGGAGCGGGGGCAGCCCGCCATCAGACGGGAGCAAGTCAGCAGATGACAAGTACCTTAATGCGTAAGTGCTCTTGGATACCCACATGTTTCTCAGTCTTCCCCAACCACTCTGTCTCCCGGTCACTCACTCACTCACACACACACATGCCACAGTTCACCATTAATCTGCCCTTGCGTGCTGCCACCTTGTCCCCCTCCCCTCTTCCCCTGTCCTCCCTCTCGCCCACCAGCTACACTGCCCCTGAGCTCCTCTCCTCCTCCCCCACCAAGCAACGCAGCCCCTTCGCCTCCTCCTCCCCTGCCGCCTCCGCTACATCTGCCGCTACAGCCGCCGCTGCTGCAGACGGCAAGGGCAGTTGGAGCACGGAGGCTGCAGACGTGTTTGCGTACGGTGTGGTGCTGTTTGAGGTGATCTCGGGGCAGCAGGCTCACGACCCTCGGCGCCTGCCAGCCTCACTTGTCGACTGGGTGAGTGGCCACATGCTGAGCAGCCTCCGCCCCGCCTTCCCCTCTTGCCCATGCCCCTCTTCCCCACCCTCTCCTCCCCTCGGCTCCTTCGTCCCCCCTGCCTCGTCCTTCGCACTAACACCTCCTCCCCTCTGCCCCATGCCCCTCTGCCCCGTGCCCCTCTGCCCCATGCCCCTCTGCCCCATGCCCCTCTGCCCCATGCCCCTCTGCCCCATGCCCCTCTGCCCCATGCCCCTCTGCCCCATGCCCCTCTGCCCCATGCCCCTCTGCTCCATACTCATCCTCTCTTCCCCACCTTCTCTCCGCTGTCTCCCCTCCGCCCCGCCCTCTCTGGCCCTCTCTCCCATACCTCTCCCCTGTGCCTCTCCTCCAGGCGCGGCAGAAGCTGTGGGTGGGGCGGGACAACCTGGCAGCACTGGTGGACCCGCGACTCGCAGACGAGTTCGACCCACAAGAGGTAGGCAGCCGCTGCCCCGCATGTCTGAGCATTTGGATACATGGCCTTGAGAAGGCCTCTCCAGTCCCTCTTCTCACTGGGGCACTAGGACCTAACGTACCAATGTTCATTCGCTGTCTTCTTTGGTTTGCCTCGCGCCCTCCTTCCAGGTGGAGGGGCTGGCAGAGCTGGCTCTACGGTGCACACAGTCAAACCCGGCCAAGAGACCCACCATGGAGCAGGTAGGGGGGGGGGGGGGGGGGGTTGGGTGGGGGGAAGTGAAGCTATGAGTGAAGCTGCCACGCCGATGTACAAAATATTTGTCATTAGTCTGTGCTTCTAGAATCCACACCCTCAGTCTATCTAATGGCAATGTGCTTTCCGCTGCCTGTGCGTGCAGGTGGTGGAGACGCTAGGTTCCCTCATGCCATAGCATGTACCAGTATGTATTGTATGTGGTGGGTGCACATTGTTGTATTGTGTCGTGGCGATGGTGACATATTACGGTATCTATATGGGGCCTTGGGAGTCCCCTCAATAAAACCCGCAATCGAGTTGAGTTGTGCATGTTATTGTATTCTTATTCAATAATGGGGATGTTGGATGCTTGTGAGTGTTTGATTTTGGCACTTCATAATGCTGCAAGCTGTACACAAGTTTGTATCGATAAAATCGAGGGAATCTGAGGGCCTGGGCGGTTGGCCTGGTTTGGGTGGTTCGGCAGCTTTGGCTCGGCGGTTGGGGGATGCCCGCAGCTGGCACAGAGCCTCCACCTACCGCCTCACTGGTTCAAAAGTTCGGCAAAATCGATGTTTGTGGTCAGACGAGCCATGGATTGGTCCTCGATTTGTGGCTGGGGAGGGGAAGGAAGCAATTTCTCCCATGGAGTACGCAGCCAGCCACACGGAAAAGAATAAAGGAGCACCTGGGCGTGCAGTGTCGTGGCGTGGTGTGCCGTGTGGATTTCATGAAAGGATGCCACAGCTCTTTTGATGCAATCGCAGCTCAAGAAACAGGAAATCCCGAGGTGCTAGCTGGTCGGAATGGGTAAAGGCAGCAACATCCTCACCTCACACGTCAACCTTTCATTACGTCGATATTTCGTTTTCTAGGTTATCCAGGTCCGCCATGCCACCAAACGTATATATTTGAACTAGATTTCTCCTGTAAGATACCCTCATTTCGCATCTAGTGTCACCCGCTTCGCACGTCGTAGCTTGTTCGTAGTTTCTAGAGCGCTCTACGTTGTTCGCAGCACGTCGTGACTTGAAAACGACCCAGCCTTGCGTTTCTGTCCAGGAAAGCGCTGGCGACATGTCAGGACTACCGTCCTCTTCTAACGACGCCTCTAGAGCAGCAGCATTGGCAAGCGATGCCGTTTCCGCTACTGATGCCAGTAATCTTCCTCCGGAGCCTCAATTTATAATCCAAGATGCTCCTCTTAACGAAGCCACTCGCGCCTCTGACGGACCCGTAGCTAACCCCCCACAGCCTCATGTGCATTCGCCGCCTGCGGACGAGCATCACCCCAGGACCACAGGGCGCTCGGTCTCGGACTGGGAACAAGGCCCTCGGGGGAGCATCCACTCCGATCAAGCGCCGTCTTACACGGAAGCTGTTCGAGTGTACTCGTTGCCCATTATGGCGAAACATGTCCATAACGAGGATGACGACGGCACGTCTTCTAGGGTTAGCGACGGAATGATTCAGAGCGGGCGGGACGAGCACATGGACGGCGAGAAAGGCGTGGATGGGGAGGATGCGAGAGACGGCGCGTCCAACATGCGACGAGCCGCCACGGACCTCCCGCGGTCCAAGTCCCCCTACACGCGGCGATCCGCGTACCTGACGGGCCGGCAACGCGCGGCCGTGGCGTCGAGATTCTACAACGAGCTGAAGCGGAACACGCAAGTGGGGGACGACTACAAGGTGCAGATTCACACGGACAACTTCCCCAGGGAGCTCCAGGAGGAGTTTCTGCAGATGTTCTCGCAGCCGCAGGACCAGGCCGGCATGGAGGGCGCCGTCATTGCGCCGCGCGCCGCGGAGAGCGTGGGGAAGCTGAATATCTGCATCCTGATTGTGGGCACGCGCGGGGACGTGCAGCCATTCATTGCTATTGGCCAGAAGTTGAAGGTGAGGGGGAAGGGGATGGTTAGGGGCGGAGAGCGTGGGGAAGCTGAATATCTGCATCCTGATCTGTTGGTGGGGCACTGGGATCGTACTACAGTTGAGTGTGGGAGGGCTACAGGTCCGTCCTGGGGGGCTGGGCCAACATGATCGTCGGCACGCGCGGGGACGTGCAGCCGTTCATCGCCATCGGGCAGAAACTGAAGGTGCGGGGGAAGGGGTGAAAGAGGGGAAGTAGGGCAAGGGAGCGAGGAAGGGTTGCGATGAGGTGAGCGAGGGTTAAGAGTTGGCGAGACAGGGAGGGGGAGAGAGACTGGGAGAGTGTTTCGGGGGTTCAGAACACTTTCCCGCTGCTTGCCTGTCTTTCCTCCCTGCATCTCCACGCGTGCCCTCCCATCCCGTCCATGCACCCCCCATGCACCCCCATGCACCCCCATGCACCACCCATGCACCCCCATGCACCCCCCATGCACCCCCATGCACCCGTCATGCACCCCCCATGCACCCCCCATGCACCCCCATGCACCCCCATGCATCCCCCATGCATCCCCCCATGCACCCCCATGCATCCCCCGTGCACCCCCCCATGCATCCCCCCATGCACCCCCATGCAACCCCCCATGCAACCCCCCATGCACCCCCATGCACCCCCCCATGCACCCCCCATGCACCCCCATGCACCCCCATGCACCCCCATGCATCCCCCATGCACCCCCATGCATCCCCCGTGCATCCCCCCATGCACCCCCATGCATCCCCCATGCATCCCCCCATGCACCCCCCATGCACCACAATGCACCCCCATGCATCCCCCATGCATCCCCCCATGCACCCCCATGCATCCCCCCATGCACCCCCATGCATCCCCCATGCACCCCCCATGCAACCCCCCATGCACCCCCATGCAACCCCCCATGCACCCCCATGCAACCCCCATGCAACCCCCCATGCACCCCCATGCATCCCCCATGCACCCCCCATGCAACCCCCCATGCACCCCCATGCAACCCCCCATGCACCCCCATGCATCCCCCCATGCACCCTCGTGCACCCCCCCATGCATCCCCCCATGCCCCCCCCATGCACTCCCCATGCACACCCATGCACCCCCCCATGCACCCCCCATGCACCCCCCATGCAACCCCCCATGCACCCCCCATGCATCCCCCTATGCACCCCCATGCACCCTCACATGCACCCCCATGCATCCCCCACCCAACCCCCCATGCACCCCCCCTGCACCCCCCATGCAACCCCCCATGCACCCTCGTGCACCCCCCCATGCACCTCCCATGCACCCCCCATGCACTCCCCATGCACCCCCATGCACCTCCCATGCACCCCCCATGCACCCCCCATGCACCCCCCCATGCATCCCCCTATGCACCCCCATGCACCCCCACATGCACCCCCCATGCATCCCCCACCCAACCCCCCATGTACCCCCCCTGCACCCCCGCATGCACCCCCCCATGCACCCCCCACGCACCCTCCCCCCCCATACAACCCCCCATGCACTTCCCCGTCCCTCCGCCCCCCCATGGCATCCGCGCTCATTTCCCACGGCACCAGAGCTACGGGCACCGCGTGCGGCTGGCGTCGCACAGCAACTACCGCGAGTTCGTCATCATGGGCGGCCTCGAGTTCTACCCCCTGGGCGGCGACCCCAAGGTGCTCGCGGAATGTGAGTCAAGGGGAGGGGGAAGAGGATGTGAGTTCGGAGAGGGGGGAATGTGAGTGCAAAGGGGGGGGGGGAGATGTGAGGGGGGGCGGAATGCGAGTGCAGGGGGGGGGGGGATGTGAGTGCAAGGGGAGGTAATGTGAATGCAGGGGGGGGGAAGATGTGAGTGCAGGGGGGGGGGTAATGCGAGTGCAAGGGGCGGGTAATTTGAATGCAGGGGGGGGGAGATGTGAGTGCAGAGGGGGGGGGGAGATGTGAGTGCAAGGGGCGGGTAATTTGAATGCAGGGGGGGGGGAGATGTGAGTGCAGAGGGGGGGGGGGAGATGTGAGTGCAAGGGGCGGGTAATTTGAATGCAGGGGGGGGGAGATGTGAGTGCAGAGGGGGGGGGGGAGATGTGAGTGCAAGGGGCGGGTAATTTGAATGCAGGGGGGGGGGAGATGTGAGTGCAGAGGGGGGGGGGGAGATGTGAGTGCAAGGGGCGGGTAATTTGAATGCAGGGGGGGGGGAGATGTGAGTGCAGAGGGGGGGGGGAGATGTGAGTGCAAGGGGCGGGTAATTTGAATGCAGGGGGGGGGGAGATGTGAGTGCAGAGGGGGGGGGGGAGATGTGAGTGCAAGGGGCGGGTAATTTGAATGCAGGGGGGGGGAGATGTGAGTGCAGAGGGGGGGGGGGAGATGTGAGTGCAAGGGGCGGGTAATTTGAATGCAGGGGGGGGGGAGATGTGAGTGCAGAGGGGGGGGGGAGATGTGAGTGCAAGGGGCGGGTAATTTGAATGCAGGGGGGGGGAGATGTGAGTGCAGAGGGGGGGGGGGAGATGTGAGTGCAAGGGGCGGGTAATTTGAATGCAGGGGGGGGGGAGATGTGAGTGCAGAGAGGGGGGGGAGATGTGAGTGCAAGGGGGGGGTAATGTCACATGTGAATGCATGGGGGGGGAAGATGTGAGTGCAGGGGAGGGGGAATGTGAGTGCAAGGGGGGGGGTATTGTGAATGCAGAAGGGGGGGGAGATGTGAGTGCAGGGGGGGGGGATGTGAGTGCAAGGGGGGAGAGAATGTGAGTGCAGGGGGGGGGGAGTCATCCAGTACACACCCTTCCACCGCCTTGCCCCTCCCACCCGCCTTCCCTCTTCCTCCCGCCCACCCCCCCCCCGGCCCCCAAGCCAGACATGGTGAAGAACAAGGGCTTTCTGCCGTCCAGTCGGCAGGAGGTATTGGTGCAGCGCAAGCAGCTCAAGTCCATCATCTTCTCCACGTGGCCCGCCTGCACCGAGCCCGACCTCGCCAGCAACGGCGCGCCCTTCAGAGCCGACGCCATTATCGCCAACCCACCTGCCTATGGTATGTGCTGTGTGTGGGGGATGGGGGGGAGGGGGAAATGGGGATGTCCACATGGAGAGGTGGGGGGTTCGAGGCCATTGGCTGGCACTGACTGGAAGGGAAGCAGGGAAGGGTGGTGGTGGCTTTTTCTCATGGACCTGTGTGACCCGTTACCCTTTTTAAAGGTTCTAACCTCCCTATCATTTGCAGCCTGTTGTCTCAGTCTCTCCACCCATGTATCCATGTGTTAACCCATCCACCCTATGGTACGTGCTGAGGGGCATTTTCTCCTCTAATCTCTGTGCCTGTTGTCTCAGTCTCTCCACCCATGTATCCATGTGTTAACCCATCCACCCTTGCCACCCACATACATGCACATGCACTCATGTGTGCGTGCACGCACTCCCTAATTGTCTGTACTCCCATGCATACGTACCCCCATGCGGCCATGCGCCCATGAGTGCAGGTCACACCACGGTGGCAGAGGCTCTGCAGGTGCCCCTCCACATGTTCTTCACCATGCCATGGAGGTGCGTGCTGCTCATGGTGCTGTTGATACCATCATGGCACTGTTCATGCAATCATGGCACTGTTCATGTCATCATAGTACTGTTCATGCCATCATGGTAGATTGGAATGGTGCCGTGTTGGTAGTGCGAAGTTCACGTGCATGCCCCCACCCACACGCGTATGCCCCCTCTCACTCTCACGCACCCACTATTCCATTCCGTTGCGCTGCGCGTTCCGCATTGTCCCACTGGGCAGCTTTTTGAGTCGACTCAAAAATCACCCACTAGTCCATTGCATTGCATTGCATTGCATTGCGCTGCGCGTCCCGCATTGTCCCACTGGGCAGCATGACAACGGAATACCCCCATCCCTTGGCTGGCGAGATGCCCGCCTACACAGGCTATGAAAACCAGGTGAGACTGCCGGGCCTACACAGTCCTACACCGAGTGTTTTGACACCACCCTAATTGGTTTCCGAGTGGGTTGCCAGCACTCTGAGAGATTTTTGAGTGGTTTACCACCACACTGGCTGGTTTACTGGCAGTTTGCCACCAGCCTGAATGATTTCCAAGTGGTTTGCCACAACCCTGATTGGTTTCTGAGTGGTTTGCCACCATTCGGAGTGGTTTCTGAGTGGTTTGACTCCACCTTAATTGTTTCCGAGTGGCTTGCCGCCAACCCGAGTGGTTTCTGAGTGGGTTGCCGCCATGCTGCTGAGTTGTGTCCGAGTTGTTTGCCACCAGGCTGACTGGTTTCCGAGTTGTTTGCCACCACGCTGAGGGAGTTGATGCGCCTTAGACAGCCTCCCATCGCCCTCCCCTGTGCCTCTCCATGCTCACCAGTCTCTCAGCTCCCCTCTCTTCATCCCCCCCCCCTCAGCTGTCGTACGTGGTGGTGGAGGGGCTGCTGTGGCTGGGCGTGAGGGACTTCATCAACAGTTTCCGCAAGAAGCTCAAGCTGCCGCCCATCCCCCTGCGCAACCGCCCCAAGCTGCGCATCCCCTTTGGGTACATCTGGAGCCCCACGCTCGCGCCCAAGCCCCATGGTGAGCTGAGCTGTCCCCTTCCTTCAAGCCCCATGGCGAGCTGTATGTCCAGGAGGCAAATGAGAGGCTACAGCCACATGACAGGCTGTAGCCAGCCCCAAGCTGCACATCCCCTTCGGCTACATCTATGGGCACGCCTGCGCCCAAGTCCCATGGTACGGCGTAAGATGGTGGGCTATAACTCGCCCCAAGATGCTGCACCTTATGGTCGCCTGTAGGCTGTAGCCCAACCCAAGCTGCACATCCCCTTTGGCTACATCTGTAGCCGCGCCCAAGACCCATGGTACGGAGCTCTATTTTTCTCAGCCTCCCTCGTCTTCGCACCTCCATCACCACCCCTTTCTTAGGAATTGAAAAGCGCCTCCCCACCCTGAACCCCCAACCCAGACTGGGGCAACCTGATCGACGTGGTGGGCTTCTGCTTCCTGAACCTCGCGGAACACTACTCGCCCCCGGACCACATCCAGCAGTGGCTCGACTCCGGCCCGCCGCCCATCTTCATCGGCTTCGGCAGCCTGGTCAGTGCGCCTTCTCTCCCACAATCCTCAATAAACCGTGGCCTGGGCAGCCCTTCCCCCACACATCTGCCTTCCCTCCTCCCCAGTTCCAACCTGCCCTCTCTCCCCCTCACCCGCGTCTTATTTCTCTCTTCCGCTGGATGGCATTCTGCTTGCCCCTCACCAGGGAATACTGCGTGTCCCACTCACTATTTCCCCCTGCTCTTCTCTCCTTTCCCCTGCTCTTCTCTCCTTTCCCTCCGCTCTTCTCTTCTTTTCCGCTGCTCCGCATCTCACTCCCACCCTCCTTCCCCGCGCCTACCCTCAGCCGGTGTCACTGTGTCAGTCCCCAAAGGCATCACGAAGTAGGGATTGAGTTGGTTTCTGAAAAATCTCAAATACCAACATCAAGTGTTGTTGCTCATGCCATTTATGTTTCCCCCCTGTCGCCACTCCCTTTCTCTCACCCCCCCCCCCCCCCCCCCCCCCCCCCCCTCTTATCCCCTTCCTGCAGCCGGTGTCGGACCCCAAGGGCCTGACAAAGCAGTTTGTGGAGGCACTAGAGCGCACGGGGCAGCGCGGAATACTGCAGGAGGGATGGGGCGGGCTGGGCAAGAGTGAGTGGGACTGGTTGGAACTTGGAAGGGGTGGGAAAGAGCGTGTGGTGCAAGGTTCGTGATCACTGAAGGAGACCTACTTATGCGGCTATATCTTTGAGATTGGCACATTGGCTATAATTGGGTGGGCTCGGACACCTGATTGTGGCGGCCAATCCTTGGTATCCTCTCTCCTGTAACCCCCCTTCCTCCTGTCTCCTCTCTCCCGTCTCCCACTGCAGTGGAGACGCCCAACGACAACATGCTGGTGATCGGCAACTGCCCGCACAACTGGTTCCTCCCCCCTGTGCCTTCCAGCCCTCCTTGTATTCTTTCTGAATCCTCTCCCCTTTGAATTCTCCCCCCTTTCTTGCCCCCACTGCAGTGGAAACGTCCAACGACAACGTGCTGGTGATCGGCAACTGCCCGCACGACTGGCTCTTCCCGCGCTGTAGGGCCGTGCTGCACCACGGGGGCGCCGGCACCACTGCTGCCGGGCTCAAGGCAGGGGTGAGTGGGTCAAGGCAGGGGCGAGTGGTTCAGTCACAGGAGGGGTAAGGCAGGCGTGAGTGCCAGCATTCCATTTCACCCCAACCACCTGCCCCATGGCCAGCCGTGTTTCCCCACCATTGCTGGCTCATGCTCCCTTTCCCCACCGCTAAACATGCACATCAAATCCAAATCCACAAACCTGGATTCGGATTCGACTCGAAATAGGCCTCAAAGCCGAGCCAAGTATGGGGCTGCTATTCGACCGATATTCGACTCGAAAGATTCGACTCGTAAGAATCGACTTCGCAAACAGATCAACTTCATAAGGACTCGGGGCAGATTCGTGAGGTGAGGGTGGGAAGAGGGTGGGGGATGAAGATTACCATCTCGCTACCGCCAGTGCCATTATTATCATGCAGCCAGTAAGAAACTGATTCCCATCGTTCCTTTTACCCTCTCCTCCCCCCCACCCCCCCCAACTTCCCCCACAGTGCCCCACCACCATCATCCCCTTCTTTGGCGACCAGCCCTTCTGGGGGGCTCGTGTGCATGCAGCAGGCGTGGGGCCGGAGCCCATCCCCATCCGGCATCTCTCGCTCGAGAAGATAGTGGCGGCCATCGAGTTCATGGTCCAAGACGAGGTGAGAGGAGAGGGGTGAGAAGAGGGGGCGTGGTGCAGCCTGCAGGTGCGGTGGTTCTTTTACATGTTTCAACAGCTGGGCTGGAGCCCATCCCCATTCGGCATCTGACGCTTGAGAAGATAGTGGCAGCCATTGAGTTCATGGTCCGAGACGAGGTGAGAGGAGAGGGGCGATGCAGGTGCAAGGGTTCTGTAGCATGCCTTTCAATGGCAGAGCGCATCCCCATTGGCAGCTGACGCGTGAGAAGATAGTGGCAGGCAGCCATCAAGTTCATGGTCATCACCATCATATGAGGTGAGGAAGGAGGGGATTGATGCGGGTGTGATGGTTCTTTTACTTTTACATGTCTCTCAATGTTTTTCCTGCTGCATCGCACTCTCCTGGTTCGTTGTACTTTCCTGGTCCGATGTTTGGGCGTTCGTATGTTTGGGCGTTCGTATGTTTGGGCGTTCGTATGTTTGGGCGTTCGTATGTTTGGGCATTCGTATGTTTGGGCATTCGTATGTTTGGGCACTCTTGGTGCTGCTGGGCACTCTTGCTGCTGGGCACTCTTGGTGCTGGGCGTTCTTGGATAGGGGCTGTTTGAAGGTTGTTCCTCCCACATTTCTGTTCCTGCTCTGGGTGATTTTTTCGAATTCTCATAAATCATCTCCAAACACTTCCTCGTGCATCCAAGCATTCAAGCAAGCACTCGTGCATCCAAGCATTCAAGCAAGCACTCGTGCATCCAAGCATTCAAGCAAGCACTCGTGCATCCAAGCATTCAAGCAAGCACTCGTGCATCCAAGCATTCAAGCAAGCACTCGTGCATCCAAGCATTCAAGCAAGCACTCGTGCATCCAAGCATTCAAGCAAGCACTCGTGCATCCAAGCATTCAAGCAAGCACTCGTGCATCCAAGCATTCAAGCAAGCACTCGTGCATCCAAGCATTCAAGCAAGCACTCGTGCATCCAAGCATTCAAGCAAGCACTCGTGCATCCAAGCATTCAAGCAAGCACTCGTGCATCCAAGCATTCCCTCTGTAAGAACCATCCTTGCATCCAAACGTTTGAGGGTCCCTCCTACCTGGACCCTCTCAGCGACCCTCTCAGCGTCAGGTGGTGGCAGCCAAGGTATCCAGGGAGGACGGGGTGGGCGGTTTTCCAGTGAGGCGTGCCGCAGCTGTCTGCATGTGTGCTTTGAGTCGACTCAGAACACTCCATCTCCCTCTTAAACCCCACCTTTGCCAAACGCCCCCTCGTCTACACCCACCACTCCAGGTAGTGCCAGCAAGATAGCCAGGGAAAAGGGGGTCGGCACTGTAGAAGCCCTTCACAAGCACCTGCCCCTTCCACGTTCCGTCTCCTCCTTTTTTAAACGCCCCCTCTTTTTTTCCCCTCATAGCAGGTGGTGGCACCAGCCAAGGCAATGGCTGTGAAGATATCTAACGAGGATCCGTCGGATCGGGCAGTAGAAGCCTTTCACAACCCTGTGAATGCTCCTTCTCGTCCAAACGCCCTCTCTCTTCCAAACGCCCTCTCTCTTCCAAACGCCCTCTCTCTTCCAAACGCCCCTCTCACACCCAACCGTTCCAATCCCAGGTGGTGGCAGCGGCCAGGGCAATGGCAGTTCAGATCTCCAGGGAGGACGGGGTGAACGGCGCAGTGGAGGCCTTCCACAAGCACCTGCCGACGGGGTATCGATCCGAAGAGCACTGCACGCCGTGGCTGGAGGCCACTCCCAGTGGGCACCTGGACTACAGTGGGGAGTGTGCGTGCTGGCCCTGGAGCTGCTGGGATGGCGGCGAGAAGGAGCAGGCGGAGGAGGCGACGGAGAAGGGAAAGAGCTGACGCTGGGGTGGAAGTCCATAAAGGTCACTAGGCGCACTACATGCCGTGGCTGGAGGCTACCCCCAGCGAGCCCCTGGACCAGCGAGTGCTGTGGCGGGGAGTGCGGGTGCTGGCCCTGAAGCTGTGGGGAGGCTAGTGTAAAGGAGGACGAGGCTAGGGAGACGGGGTAGCCGGGTTGAGATGTTGGAATGGATGCACGCCCCGGGCCGTGGAACTGTTGGGGTGCAGCTGTTACCGTATGTAACCGAATAACTAAGCATACTACTACATATGTTATTGAGGGCTTGTTTTGTTTCCTGGCTAACCAGTTTCTCTGCCACAGCCGCAAGCCTGCCTGTGCTGCTCTCCCAAGAGATGCGGTATCCCAATGCTGGGAGAAGCCTCTATTGCATGAACAAGCCCCCCTGGATCATCAACACCATGGATATGCAAGCAAGCCCTTTAGATGTACAACCGGGGCTTGGTTGCATACTAGAGGGGATCAGTGATCACCCACCCACCCCACCCAGCCTGCCCCATCTTGAAGATCACCTTAGCGCCTCACAGCAAGTCAACTTGGTGAATCCCTGGAAAGGATCACTGTGCGCAAAATATATTGCAGCGCATACAGTACGATATTTACAATAGAGGCGCATAGACAACATGCTTCGCCTACATGCCATTTCTGAAGTTTATTCGATCAACGAGTCAGAAAGACACCAGTCCGAACCACTGGGACAAGAAGGGATGTCATCAGGAGGGTTAGGCTCCATATATCCACCTTCCCCGAGGAAAGCCTCCCCAGTACCCTCCCTAGAGATAGAGAGAGGATCGATAGGGTTATCCCAGTGCCACGACACAATGTGCATTCACGAAATTAGTGTTATAGCTCACCGTATCCAGCATGCGTTATAAGACATAGCCACAAAACATGTACCATGCTTGGCCGTGCACAGCAGGCAGGATGGCAGGCCGCCTGCAACAGCCCCAGCATCTCCAGCAGCACTCTAAGTTGAAAAGTCCTTCCCTTCCCTGGTCAGCAGCAGAGGCACAGCAGCCATACCCTGCAAAAAAATCCTCGTGGCTGTTGGTGGGGAAAGGTGTCGGGCCCAAGGCACCCACCCCAAAGCACACCGACAACACCTTCAATCCAAGTCACTCCTACCACCCTGGCCCGAGGCTTCTACCTCCCTCCCCCGCCCTGTCCCTGCCTGCCTTGTCGTGGGGGTTTCGCACCCCCTATTCCCCCCCCCCCCCTTGCCGCTCATGCACACCATCTTGAGACAACCAACCCTGCTCTGCCTTTCCCTTCCCTCGCCCTGGAGGTTTCGCACCATCCACTAGCCCTTCACTCAACTGAACCTCGAGTAGAGCTTCAAGCCCCAACCTTCGCTCTTCACTCAACTTACCTGGGTAGGGGGATTCAGTTCCAAACCTTCTCCCTTGCCTCACCTTGGGAATTTGGGGTCAGCACCACCCCAGTGAGTGCCATGTGCTGCCAGTCAGTGCCATGTGCTGTCAGTCAGTGCCATGTGCTGCCAGTCAGTGCCATGTGCTGCCAGTCAGTGCCATGTGCTGCCAGTGAGTGCCATGTGCTGTCAGTCAGTGCCATGTGCTGCCAGTGAGTGCCATGTGCTGCCAGTGAGTGCCATGTGCTGCCAGTCAGGTGCCATGTGCTGTCAGTCAGTGCCATGTGCTGCCAGTCAGTGCCATGTGCTGTCAGTCAGTGCCATGTGCTGTCAGTCAGTGCCATGTGCTGCCAGTGAGTGCCATGTGCTGCCAGTCAGTGCCATGTGCTGCCAGTCAGTGCCATGTGCTGCCAGTAAGTGCCATGTGCTGCCAGTGAGTGCCATGTGCTGCCAGTCAGTGCCATGTGCTGCCAGTCAGTGCCATGTGCTGCCAGTCAGTGCCATGTGCTGCCGTGCTGCCAGCGAGGGAAGCGATGGTGGAAAACGAATGTGGTGGTGGGTGAAGCGGGAGGTAGCGGCGGTGGCGCAGGGTGTTTGGCGGTGGCTGGTTTCGGCTGGAGGTAGCGACGGAAGTGGCGAGGTTGCGGGGGGTGGCTGAGGGTGGTTGGGGGTGGCGCGGGCCAGTGGGAAGCGGGAAGCAGTGGGAAGCGGGAAGGGAAGAGCGCCAAGCACCAGGAACCAGGAAGCGGGAAGCAGCGGGAAGCAAGGGAAGGGGCGGGACGCCGGAAACGGGAAGCGGGAAGCCGGCAGCGGGCAGCGGACAGCGGGCAGCGGGCAGCGGTCAGCGGGCAGCGGGCAGGCAGCGGGCAGCGGGAAGCGGGAAGCGGGCAGCGGGCAGCGGGCAGCGGCAGGCAGCGGGCAGGCGGCAGCGGGCAGCGGGCAGCGGGCAGCGGGCAGCGGGCAGCGGGCAGCGGGCAGCGGGCAGCGGGGAGCGGTCAGCGGGCGGCGGGCAACGGACAGCGGTCAGCGGTCAGCGGGCAGCGGTCAGCGGTCAGCGATCAGCGGGCAGCGGTCAGCGTTCAGCGGTCAGCGGGCAGGGGTCAGGGGTCAGCGGGCAGCGGTCAGCGGTCAGCGGTCAGCGGTCAGCAGGCAGCGGGCAGCGGGCAGTGGGATGTAGCGGGGAAGCGGGATGTAGCGGGAAGTCGGACGTAGCGGGAGGAAGCGGGAAGCGGGGAGCAAAGAGAGGGGATGGGGGCGGGAAGAAGGGGGGGGAAGGACGAGAGGTGCAGCGATGACGGAGCAACGAGTCCGCTGCACCCGTGAGACCCACCTGAAGTCGATCTGTGCCGCACCATCCGGCCAACCCGCGACGCACGGCGATTGGATAATGCGCCACTTGCGCCTAGTCCGCAACTCACAAGAGACTTTTCTTACGATCGACCATTCAAGACGCGATCTGAGGCGGACTGTTCGTGCCGGCGGAAAATACCTGGAGATTCCTGTGCCAGTAACAGTATCTGCAGCTCGTAAAGCTAGATCCGACGGAGATACGCGGTGCGGCTTGCAGCAATATCTACAGCTACGATCTACCAGCTTAGAAACCAAATCTGCGACCTACGAGCTGCGGTAAACGACCTGAGAGCTACGATGAAGGACCTACGAGCTACGGTAAACGAACCACGATTTACAGTATACGACCTACAAGCTAGGCGAAGAAAAATGCTGACACAGGCTCGCTAGCACAACATCGCCAACCCTAGCATGGCATTGCAGCTACAGTTTGAGGTGTTGGGTTGGGTGGCAGCGACCAAAGTCGCCATGGATGTGGGGTTTGGTTGGAGGAGAGGCAAGGTGGGGTTGGCGGGTGATATCGAGGGCCTGCGCCAGCGGACCTGGGAGCGTTCGGCGCAAGAGCGGGATTACGAGTGAGAGGTGGCGCGATTACAGAGGCGCAGGTGGTTTAGGCGCAGGTGTTCCCCCAAACCAGCGCGCAAGTCGAAGCTCCTGGGGTGTTCGCGCTGGAGATTTCCCCGAGGCTCCGACTTTCTGCACGCGGATACCCGCTTCTCTGTGTCTGTAACCATAATAAAATATTTATTCCACTTCCTGCATCACCCCAATGGTATTGCACTCGTGCATGTTTATCGGTTTGGGAGGAACCCCTAATGCCTAAGGTGAAGCTCTGTTTTCTGAAAAGCAGAGGAGTTAGTCATCTCATCTTACAGAGATGTTATAGAGATGATGGTTCCCCTTTGCTTCACGTGCCATCCCCCTAGTCCCATATGTGCCAATTGTTAGATGAGTAAACATGAAACCAATTTCCTAGTATTACTCGAAGCTACCTGTCACCAGCATGACAGTATGGCATTTACACACATCAAGCAGCAACACTGCAGCCAGCAGCATGAGCATGTGTGCTTCCCCTGCTTTCCTCTATGATCCATTCAACTGGCCAGTTCCCTCCTCTCATTCACCATCACATCACATAGCAGAACATCGTCTCACGCAACAACACTTGTAGTGGCAGCAGCAGCAGCAGCAGCAGCATCAGAGACCAGTTCGCCAGTGAGGCTGACTGCCCTCACATCCGTGATTCTGACCGGCACTATCTGTCCGATGAGGTCCGGGCTTCCCCGAAAAAAAGTGAGGCGGTTGGTGTCTGTTCGCCCCATGACCTGTTATGTGAGACCATACCATACCATACCATGCCATGCCATGCGCCATCCCATGGACATGCCACACATAGAAGAATAATCAGCAAAATTTCCGACTGACAGCACTTCTGAAACATCCCTCTGCTCTCCGGCTCCTCCCTCCTCCCACCACCCTTCACTCCCTTCTCGCGTCCTCCTACCTGCACTGCCCATCTGTCTCCTGATTCCCCCCTTAACCGCGCGTTAGCGCCTCAAAACCGCTCCTGCTTGCCCACCTCTCCCCTCTGCGCCCTCTCACCTCGCCCTGTCTCCTCACCTCACCCTGTCTCCTCACCTCGCCCTGTCTCCTCACCTCGCCCTGTCTCCTCACCTCGCCCTGTCTGCTCACCTCGCCCTGTCTCCTCACCTCACCCTGTCTGCTCATCTCGCCCTGTCTCCTCACCTCGCCCTGTCTGCCCGGCCGCTCGTTCACCCCCTCCACCAGCAGATTCTCAACTCGCCCCAGGTACCGCTGGTTGCGCTCCAAGCAGTGCTGCAGCACCAGCCTGTGGTGGAGGAAAGCCCAAGGGAGGTGGGGAAGGGTGCGGAAGAGTGGGGGGGAGGGTGGGAAGAGTGGGGGGAAGGGTGGGAAGAAGGGGTGAGGATTATTCCCCAAGTACCGCTGGTTGCACTCCAAGCAGTGCTGCAGCACCAGCCTGAGACACGCCGGAGGGTCGAGAGGGGAATGGAGGAGAGAGGGGAATGGAGGAGAGAGGGGAATGGAGGAGAGAACAAGTGTGGCGATCAGGCTGGCTGTGCCCCAAGACGTGCATCGATGGCAGACTTCGGGGAAGGAAGGTGGAAGGGGAGAGTACGGGCCCACAACTGAAGCTCTGATGCATGGCAAACTGGCACAGCGACTTGCTCAACGAAGCAAAGGTGGCACATGTGACAGCGTGCATGTGACAGCGTGCATGTGACAGCGTGCATGTGACAGCGTGCATGTGACAGCGTGCATGTGACAGCGTGCATGTGACAGTGTGCATGTGACAGCGTGCATGTGCCAGCGTGCATGTGCCAGCGTGCATGTGACAGCGTGCATGTGACAGCGTGCATGTGACAGCGTGCATGTGACAGCGTGCATGTGACAGCGTGCATGTGACAGCGTGCATGTGACAGCGTGCATGTGACAGCGTGCATGTGACAGCGTGCATGTGACAGCGTGCATGTGACAGCGTGCATGTGACAGCGTGCATGTGACAGCATGCACGTGACAGCGTGCATGTGACAGCATGCATGTGACAGCGTGCATGTGACAGCGTGCATGTGACAGCGTGCATGTGACAGCGTGCATGTGACAGCGTGCATGTGACAGCGTGCATGTGACAGCGTGCATGTGACAGCGTGCATGTGACAGCATGCATGTGACAGCGTGCATGTGACAGCATGCATGTGACAGCATGCATGTGACAGCGTCTCACTCGTTGATACGCTGCAGGCGGTCGATCTTCACCAGCTCAGCCACCTGCAGGCATGAGAGGGCGAGAGGGAGGACGAGAGAACCACGAACGCTGAGGCACGACCTACAGGATGTGGGAGTGAGAGAGTGATAAACGGAGAATGAAAGTGACAAACGGAGAGCGATAGAGTGACAATCGGAGCGTGAGAGAGTGGCGAAAAGAGAGAGAGTGTGACAAACGGAGAGTGAGAGAGTGACAAACAGAAAGTGAATGCGAGGGGCCGGATGAGCCAGAGGGGGGAGTGTGAGTCGTCCCTACCTGGTTGGGCCAATCGGCTGCAGGTGTGTTGGGGCGGGGCGAGTAGGCCGCTGTGTTGACCTGGTCAAACCGAACCTCTGATCGGGGAGACGGGAGGGGAGAGGGGAGGGGAGAGGGGAGGGGAGAGGGGAGGGGAGAGGGGAGGGGAGAGGGGAGGGGAGAGGGGGAGCGGAGGGAGCAGGGGGAGAGGAGGGTTAAGAAGGGGGGAGAGCTGAAGGTTACATCATCCATGGTGTGTTAGACTTGGAACCACATCTAGGGAGCAGGGAAAGCGGCGACGGGGAAAGCAGCGACAGGGAGCAACAATTACCTTCCATGCCCCAAAACGAACCTTCCATGGGCCCAGAACGCACCTTCCATGACTCGCAGAGTGTTCTGGAATTGCTCCTCCGTCTCCCCTGCAGACCCACATGCATAGAGACATAAAATAATGGAAACGAACAGCAAAGAGAAGAGAAGAAAAGAACAGAAAATAAGAGAAGAAACGGAGTGAAGAACAACTGGAAGAAGCTAATACCCCTTGCCCTCACATCCCATGCCCTCACATCCCATGCCCTCACATCCCATGCCCTCACATCCCATGCCCTCATATCCCTTGCCCTCACATCCCTTGCCCACATATCCCTTGCCCACATATCCCTTGCCCACATATCCCATGCCTGCATATCCCTTGCCAGCATATCCCTTGCCCACATATCCATGCCCACAGATCCCGTGTCCTGATAAAGAAAACGCTGGTTGTGGTAATGCTAGATCGGAGCAGCAAGAACACCGTGGCACAAACACGATGATGCCAGAAGAAAGAGGGCGATGACGCACCAGGGAAACCGACGATGACATCAGCGCTGATGGCAGCATCCGGCATGTAGCGGCGAATGGTGGCCAGGATGTCGAGATAGCGCTCCCTTGTGTAGCCCCGGGCCATGGCCTGGCGGGCGGGATGGTATGGGCGACAGAGGGGATGGTATGGGCGACAGAGGGGATGGTATGGGCGACAGAGGGGATGGTATGGGCGACAGAGGGAGGAGTGACAGGGAAGGGGAAAGTATCCTCATCTCATGGCCAGGATGTCAAGATAGCACTCCCTCGTGTAGCCCAGGCCATAGCCTTTAGGGAGAAACGATCAAGGGTAGTCTTGTCAAGGAATGATAAAACACGAAATTCAAGAAAAAGTGTGCTCGCAAACAATTGTGCTAGATGAATGATTCTTCCTGCCTAGGCTCAAAGAAAGCCCAGTCGTGAGGCCAGGGCCTGAGTAGTATCTAATTTGGTTATGCTTTTGGTGTGACCTGTTCGTCGTAGCACACCCCTCACCTTGATAATGCAGTTGTCTCCGAATTGCAGGAACTTGCACACTTTGAACATTCTGCATCACGCCCCTCATCACCACATTGCACACCCCTCATCACCACATTGCACACCCCTCATCACCGCAGTGCACCCCTTTCCTGTGATAACCTTGAGGATGGCGTTGTCTCCAGATTGGAAGGGGATGTGGAAGAACTTGCACACTTTGAACATTCCGCATCCCACCCATCATCGCCACATTGCACCCTTCATCACCGCAGTGCACCCCTTTCACTCACCTTGAGAATGTCGTTGTCTCCGGATTGCAAGGGGATGTGAAAGAAGTTGCACACTAAAAGCAATCCCAAACACACCCCTCATCACCGCAGTGCACCCCTTTCAGTCACCTTGAGGATGTCGTTGTCCCCGGATTGGAAGGGGATGTGGAAGAACTTGCACACTTTGGGCAGCTCAGCGCACCCCCTGATCAGGCGCTCCGTGAAGTAGCGCGGCTGGTTGGGCAGAGGCACAGGGGGGAATTGGGACGGTGGTGTGGAGGTGACTTTTGAGTCGACTCAAAAGGGCAGAGGCACAGGGGGGAATTGGGACGGTGGTGTGTGGGGGGAAAGACCAGAGGTGAGCGTCAAAAGGGCTCTGGGCAGCTCCGCACATGCCCTCATCAGCCGCTCCGTGAAGTAGCGCAGCTGGCAGGCCGAGAGACAGGCGGGGAAAAAGGGGGGTCAGAGGAAACCGGGGGGGGGGGGGGGGAGGGGGGGGATAAGAAGGAAGTTGCGCCTAAGGCTTTAAGCAGTTGAGCGCTCGCCAGGATCAGGCGCTCTGTGAAGTAGCGCAGCAGGCAGGCAGGGGGACGGGGACCTAAGGGTGGAAAGAGGGGGGGGGGGGGGGAAGGGAGGTGAGGACGTGGCTATTCGGATCCTCTGGATGCCCTCCTCGTCGTGCGTGCACTGCACTGAGCGAGCGTCCACCTCCTGTTTCAAGGCGCCTCACAGCACCGCTCAGTGCATAAAGAACCACGTCATGCCACATCACTCACGTGGGAAGTGGCAAAGCGGATCCGCTCAATCCCCTCCACGTCGTGCACGTAGTGCAGCAGGTCCGTGAGCGTCCACCTCCGCCTGCAAGTTGCTTCACGGCATAGTCATCACTTCACTCTAAACCCAGCACATCACTCACGTGGGACGTGGCAAAGCGGATCCGCTCAATCCCCTCCACGTCGTGCACGTAGTGCAGCAGGTCCGTGAGCGTCCACCTCCGCCTGCAAGTTGCTTCACGGCATAGTCATCACTTCACTCTAAACCCAGCCTATGTTGGAAAATACGCGTACTGCGTTTTATACGCTAGCGTATATACGCTTGCGTATATACGCTATACGCTTGGATTTGGGGTCCAATACGGCAGGAATACGCATGCCCGGGCAGGAAAAAAGGTTTGCCCGGGCAGGGTAACAAAACCAGGGGGCAGCAAGGAAGCCATGATGGTAGCGGCTAGGCTAGGGTTTCTGAAAACGTGACTCTCAAATGAGAGGCATTTTCTGAGGGGTCGAATTTTGACCTGCCAATTCCCTCCCTTTCACCGCACTCAACCCCCCCGTCTACAAAGTCAAATTGGCTTCCAGCCAACCAACTCCCTCCCTTTCACCGCACTGAACTCCCACCCATCTACAAACTCCAACCTTTCCTCACAAATGCTCGACTCTCCCCCCCATCATCTCCCCCATCACTTTGGTAGAAGACTAACAAGCACCGTAACTCGCGCAATCGCCGCCACCTAGCTAAGCACACCACCGTTTCGCTTCAGAGCTGAGATTTGGACGGAAATGGGGAACGGCAAACACGGGATGGCTTTCAATCACGTACAGAGCAGGCTGGGCTATGGGCAAAAAAGAATGGGCGAAAAAACCGCGACGTCGCGAAGTCGCGGAAAAAAAAAATATAAGTTTTTTTTTTCGCCGGGCAGCCCGGGTATCGCGTATCGCGTATTCCAAGCGTATCAGCGTATTGCGTATATTCGCAAGCGTATATACGCAATACGCAAAGCCTTCTGTGCGTATATTCCAACATAGAACCCAGCACATCACTCACGTGGGACGTGGCAAAGCGGATCCGCTCAATCCCCTCCACGTCGTGCACGTAGTGCAGCAGGTCCGTGAGCGTCCACCTCCGCCTGCAAGTTGCTTCACGGCATAGTCATCACTTCACTCTAAACCCAGCACATCACTCACGTGGGACGTGGCAAAGCGGATCCGCTCAATCCCCTCCACGTCGTGCACGTAGTGCAGCAGGTCCGTGAGCGTCCACCTCCGCCTGCAAGTTGCTTCACGGCATAGTCATCACTTCACTCTAAACCCAGCACATCACTCACGTGGGACGTGGCAAAGCGGATCCGCTCAATCCCCTCCACGTCGTGCACGTAGTGCAGCAGGTCCGTGAGCGTCCACCTCCGCCTGCAAGTTGCTTCACGGCATAGTCATCACTTCACTCTAAACCCAGCACATCACTCACGTGGGACGTGGCAAAGCGGATCCGCTCAATCCCCTCCACGTCGTGCACGTAGTGCAGCAGGTCCGTGAGCGTCCACCTCCGCCGGCCCGACCCATCCTCCGCTGAGCCGCCCAGGTCCCGCCCGTACGCGTCTATGTTCTGCCCCAGCAGCGTCACCTCCTTGTAGCTGGGGGGTCAACGGGACAGGAGCGTTGTCACATAAGGAGTGAAGGGATTTGGAACAGGTCCCGCCTGCACGCGTCTATGTTCTGCCCCGGCAGCGTCACCTCCTTGTACCTGCAGTGGCGAAAAACGACACGGAGGCTCGGGAGTCGCGAACGGCGTCCATGTTTGCACGTCAAGAAGATGGTTGGATACTTCCTCATTCCCGTCCCACCACCCGCTCATTCTCTACCACTCATATTTCGCCCAAAGGGGCCGGAAAGTGGAGATCTCAAGGCCTCACCCTGCCTGTGCCAGTCGCTGCATCTCCTGCTTGATTGCCTCCGGCTCTCTCGATTGCTCCGTGCCTCGCACGCCGGGTACCACACAGTACGTGCACCGCTCGTTGCACCCTGCATGGCGGGAGTGGGGAGGGGGGGGGGGGGGTGGTTGAGACAGAAGTAGACTCAGAGAGCTTCCCTGGGCACCACACAGTACCTCAGCGCTCACTGCAGGCTGCAACGAACGGTAGCATAACAAAGCCATTATAATTGGTATACTGCATTATAAAGCCATTACACCCGAGCAATCATCTTGTACCGTTATGCAGGTAGAATGTCGAAAACAGTAAATTGGTGACTTTTGAGTCGACTCAAAAGTTACCTCGTTACAATGTAAATTGTAAAACAACACTCACCGTATATCACGTTGACCCAAGCTGTCACCTTCGATTCCCTGTGAGCACAGCAGCAGAAAGAAGAAAGGAGAGCCAATGTTCAACACATTACTGAAATAAACCACTGCCAATACATCAACGCACTAAAATGGCAAAAGAACAAGGCCTTAACACAGCAACAAAGCAAGGGAGCTCCAAGCAAGGGAGGTCAAAGCAAGGGAGGTCAAAGCAAGGGAGGTCAAAGCAAGGGAGGTCAAAGCAAGGGAGGTCAAAGCAAGGGAGGTCAAAGCAAGGGAGGTCAAAGCAAGGGAGCTCCAAGCAAGGGAGGTCAAAGCAAGGGAGGTCAAAGCAAGGGAGGTCAAAGCAAGGGAGGTCAAAGCAAGGGAGGTCAAAGCAAGGGAGGTCAAAGCAAGGGAGGTCAAAGCAAGGGAGGTCAAAGCAAGGGAGGTCAAAGCAAGGGAGGTCAAAGCAACGTGCCCCCACTGACCTCCTGGGCGTGGCGATGTCTTCTACTATGTGGATCGGCTCGGTTGCCACCACCTGAGCCCCTAGATCCACCTGACGCAGGGGACAATCAAGGGACAACAGAGGGGGGGAAGGCCAAGTGAGCATTTGCGGTCATCTCATCTCACTCTGTGCATGCAAGGCAGCCCGCGGAAGCCCCTTAATCACCATGCACTATCCCATGCGATGCTCCTACCCGCCCCAACTTGGCTTGAATCCACCCACCTGCTCGAGCAGCTCGTGCAGTCTGTTGGCGTGCTGCGGCCCCATCACAATGTCCACCTCCGGCATGCGCCGCAGCAGCATACGCCACTCCTGCTGCAGTAAAGACTTCCCCTGAGCACCCTAGCCAGACCCACCTGCTCGAGCAGCTCGTGCAGTCTGTTGGCGTGCTGCGGCCCCATCACAATGTCCACCTCCGGCACGCGCCGCAGCAGCGCCTGCCCCTCCTGCTGCGCCACGCACCCCGCCACCACCACGCGCATGCCCGGGTCCCGCCGCCGCCGCTCGCGCTGCCGGCCCAGCGCGGAGTACACCTTCTGCTCGGACTTGTCGCGGATGCTGCACGTGTTGTACACCAGCACAGAAGCCTCGTCCGGGTCGTCCGTGGCCTCGTACCCCATGGCCTCCAGGACGCCTGCCATGCGCTCACTATCGGCCATGTTCATCTGGATACAGGGTGAGAGGGAAGGGGCGGGGACGGGGACGGGGACGGGGATAGGACTGTTGTAGCACACTTGGCAGGCACCCCAGCGCGGCGTACACCTTCTGCTCCTACTTGTCGCGGATGCTGCACGTGTTGTACACCAGGACGGCCGCCTCGTCCGGGTCCTCTGTCGCCTTGTACCCCATGGCCTCTAAGACCCCCCGCATGCGCTCGCTGTCCGCCATGTTCATCTGACGGGGGGAAGAGGAAGGGAGAGCCGGACGAGGCAACGGAGAGATGCCAGGGGTTGAGGGGTGAGGCGATGGGAGGTTGAGGGTTCTAGCAAGGCTGGCGGACTGTAAGTGGGGAAGGGCTAGACATTCCGAGAAGGAATACGCATCAAAGCAGGTAGCAGGGAAGCACGTAGCATGCATCCCACCAGTGCCAGCCAATTCCGCGACCCCACCTGGCATCCGAAGGTGTGCACGTGGAACTTCTTCCCCTCCCTGTCGCCGCCTTGGATGTCCGCCAGTGGTCGCACGAGCACTGTTCCGTCCTCGCCGCAGAAATCGGGCGACGTCGGATCCACTGTCGTAGTCGTTCCCATCGCAGGGGTCGTCGCAATGTTCGCATGCGCGACGACTGTCAGATTGCGAGATGAACCGACGGTGGCGGACGGCCTCTCTCCAAGGCTTCGCGATGCTCGCTGAGTAACATTTCTGGCGGAAAGCTTCGCCGGGTCGGTAACGAAGGATGAATCGCCGGGCCTGCTTCTAGAGCTGCTGATCCGATTCTCGGCGAAGTCTCCGCAAATCGGACCAGTAGCGGCGAGGCAATTCGCGAGACGCAAGGCGGACATGGCTTCGGAATACGAATACGGCGATTTGTGTACGGCGGCTCCAGCTGAGGAATCGATCGTCTGAGAAAGACAGCAGGAGGTAATTCTCAAGGTGATGATGGCTAAGGTGGTAGACTTCTAACGCAAATATGTTATTCCTCGTTAAAAACATTTTCAGTACTGCCGCGAAACAACCGAACCTGAAATAGAGAGGGTAAACACTGCATGTAAATACCTGAAACAAAGTAACCTTTTTCGCGTGGATCTGCTTGGCCCTTGATCTGACGATCGTGACGCAGCGTCGACTCAGATGTCGTCAGAAACTTGCCTGCCATCCGTCAGCTGTAAAAAAGGCAGCTCACCTCAGCGATGCACCACCGTGAGTAAGCGCCACGCATGAAAAGTGGAGCTGGGTCGGATGCCTCCGGATGGCTCAGCAACGGCCACGAATGGCGCAGTGTTACACGTCATGCTTGCGTGGTCACCGTTCGTGCCATGTATGGTGGGGCCTTCTAGGCCCCTCAGAACTTTCTCAAGCTGTAAAAAGCAAGCTCGGGCAGGTATGAAGTTTTCACCAAAAGGCGAGTGGTGTTACATTCGTGTTATGCTCGTGATTGTCCACCAGGCTTTTATCTACAGTGCGTGGAACTTTTGCTGATGATATGCACTCGCCGGGCAGCTCCTTCCAGCTTCGACTGGGTTTCTTCCGCCATCAAGCACGGAACATCGACAATTTCCAAGGGCCCTCCCATCAGCATCGCTGGGCCTCTCCCAAACCAACTTGACCCCAGATTCCCAATGCATCAACTGAGAGCATCCCGCAGCCCGCCCTTGTCAACAACCCCAAACCCCAATCCAGCTTCTCCTGAGACTCACAGACCCAGCTTTCAGGCAGTCCATTTGCGAACGACGGAGTGATGACTGATCTGAGCACAGTGCCTTGCCGTTATTGTCAGCTTGAATTAAGCGTCTATTTTTAGTGTCCAGAGAAGAGATTTCGAGTTAGTGCCGTTATTTACATTTCGAGAGTTTGTACTTCATCAACATTAAAGTGTAGTTTTGCCGCCATTGTCTCCCTTCACCATCATACCTTCTCACCCGCACTTTTCTTTCTCTCCTCCCTAGTTTCTTTTTAGCAGAAGATCGTTTCTTGATTCATCAGCAAAGCGTAGTTCACGGAAATCCGCACGAAGGAAGGGAATTACCGCATCAACAAAGTTCCAGCTGCGGTTATCTGTTTCATTTAGAATGCCAAACTCGGAAGGCTGCGACAGTCAGAGCTGCCACTCAGACGAGCTCGGAAAAGGCCATGGCCGCGTAGCAAACTCCCCTGACGTCTCCGCGGGAAGAAGCCATGAAGCGGACCATAGAGGCGACCATCATCCAGGGGAGACCGGTCAGGCTAGAGATCACAATGGCGACGATTCTCACGGTGGCGACGGCAAACAGAATCACAGGAACCAGCAGCAGCAAAATCAGCATCAACAGCAGCATCGGCAGCAGGACCACGGAGGGTCGCGAATGTCGCATCCGTTGTCGGACGAGGATCCGGGGGTGGTGGACGAGCGGAAGCAGAAGCGCATGCTGAGCAACCGGGAGTCGGCGCGGCGGTCGCGGCTGAAGAAGCAGCACCACTTAGACGAGATGCGGCAGCAGGTCAGTGGGGTGCAATCGCCGGGTGTATCCACGCGTTTAGATGCCGCAGCAAGTCAGTGACATCCATCCACGGGTTTATCCTCGTCTAGACAGGCTCTGCGATTGTCCTTGTTCACCGAGTGAATGCCTTTGTTCTTGCTTCTTCCAATCACCTCCAACTCACCCCCTCCCGCGCAACCAGCATCATTTTCCCCGTTCGCACTTACCCGTCGTGCCATCGTCTCACCGCCCCCATTTTCTGTTCTAACGGCTTATTGTTTTGCGTTCCCGATTCTCCCCTCCCGTCCGCAGGTGGCACAGCTGCGCGCGGAGAACAGCGAGATGTCGACGCGCTACAACATGGCGTCGCGGCACTACACCCAGCTCACGGAGGAGAACCGCGTCCTGCGATCGCACGCCATGGAGCTTAGTCGACAGCTGCAGCGCCTGCACCACGCCGCTGCCGCGCACGGCCACCCCATGAACGCACAACTCGGCCTCGGATCCAGCCTCGGATCGAGCCTGGGGTCCAGCCTCGGTGGGGGTCTAGGCTCTTCGCACATTGACCCTCTCGCGTTTTCGCTTGCGCCGCCGCTGGGACCGCCGTTTTCGTCGCACCACATGGCGGGCCGGTCAGCCATGTCCATGTACCCCTATGCCATGCCCCCGTCGCCTGCCCCGGAGGTCTCGAGGTGATGAAGAGAAGAGATGCCACATCATGTGGCTCCTAGCCCCGATTTTGCTGAAGTAGTGCATAACGGTAGAGGGTTAGGTTAGGTTAGCCCGTTCCGAATTCCAACTGAAGCTCACACCTGCACATGTTCTGGGGCTTGTGCCTGGAACTGGCCAATATTTTCCACTTGCCTGCAGTCTGTCCTTGCTATGGTAGGTACCATACATACCTCTGCGTTTGGAACGCCCATTTGGAGGAATGCATTTTCTGCAGAACCTTGGGCCCTACCAGAGGCTGGGTGTGTGACCTCAGCACAATGTCGCTTCACCTGAACCTGAGGTGGAAAGAGGCTGGCTGGAAAATTGATTTCAGCTAAACAAACCAATACAGGGTAGGTAGGCAGGTAGTCTAGGTAGGCGGGCTGCTGCTGACGATTTCAATAAATAAATACACTACAAAGGCATCTTGGACCATTCAGTGTCCAGAAAGATGAGAAGCCGCCATGTTCCACAGGCGTGCATTCCCCCCCACACCTAAAAAGGAGTATCGGCAACAGGCAGCAGGGAGGTGCAGCTGTGAGCAGGTGGCGCCAAAATATCAGGGGTCCATGGAGTGCCATTGGTGAGAGGGGTTCCATTCCATGAGCTACAGGTGAGAGGGGCCTAGCGCTACAGAAGGAGGGCCACGAGTCGAGACAGCATGTGCGAGGCTTAGAGCACGGCAGCAGCGGCATCAGAGCGTGGCGGCAGCGGCATCATAGGGTAGCAGCAGCGACGTCCATGGCCTGGCGGATGCGCTGCACGGTGCAGCAGATGAGGCTGTTCACCGTTGCCATGCTCTCTGTGGTCAGCTTCGCCTGGTGTGCCGAAAAGGGCGATGCGAGGCGGGAACACACTCATGAGAGAGGGACTCACACAAGTTGAGCAAGGAGCCATGGTGGGGTACGGACGTGAATATATGCATTACGGGGAAGGTTGCACCAGGGACGGATGGGGAATGGGGATGGGGATGGGGATGGCGATGGGGATGGGGATGGCGATGGGGATGGGGATGGGGATGGCGATGGGGATGGGGATGGGGATGGCGATGGGGATGGGGGATGGGGGATTGGGGCACACGGCCGTCCATACCTGGGGGTTAGGGCTGACGAGAATCTGAAACGCCACCGTCAGAATGGAGCCCTCCGGCACGTGCCCCAGCGCGCGCTTCCTCGCTGCACTGCGCATGGCCTGGGCAGCCAGGCTATCCACCTCGCCGCCCTGCTGCCACCCGTCTTCCGCCCCAAACCCGCCGTTCCCCGCCGCCCCTGCGAATGCTGCCAAGGCAGCCCCCCCCGAGGTGGGCTGGACAGGGGCGGCGTTAAAAAGAGCAACGCGCTGTTCGGAGGACAGAGCGCAGTCGGGGAGGAGAGAGAAGCCCGAGGGGAGGAGAGCTACAGACTCGGAGGAGCCTCCAGATATGACTTCTTTCATTGCTGGGATGTCGACTGGTGCATACACTATGAGGGCACCTGCGAGGGGGGAGAGAGGAGGGGGCAATGGAGCATAAGGAAGAGGGTTCGGCGTTGGTCACAGGAGAGAGAAGCCCAAGGGGAGCAGAACCACGGACACGGAAGAGCCGCCAGAGATTACTTCCTCCACTGCAGGGATATCGACAGGCGCATACACTATGAGGGCACCTGAGAGTGGGGAGAGGGGACGAGGGGAAAGACACTTGAGGGGGGGGAGAGATGGGAGCAGAGTGAGACGGAGATACCTTTCAGGAGAGCCATAGAATGCGGTCCAGTACAGGGCAGTTGAGACATGCCGTGAGACATACAGAGGCACATAGCATGCAAGAGACATAGCATACTACACTCCACTGGCAAATGGTATCTGGGAACTTCACCTGCTGATCACCTGCGATTTCTTGAAGGATCACCTGAAGATCCACCCTGGGCCCGCCTGAGCCCTACCTGAGGGATCGAAGGTGGTTTCCTGCAGAATGAGCATGTTGGTCTGCGCTGCTGCTGCTGCTGGCGCCTGCTGCTGACGGGCAGCGGGGCGAAGGGCACAGGGACGATGGAACAGGGTTGAGCGGTGGAGGGAAGAAGCGATGACAACTGCAGGAGAACAAGGAAAGCGTCAACAAGAAATCGCTCGACTCGTATGTGTCACACAGGCGCGCTGCCAAGGCATCGCAGGGAAGCATAGTGTCCCGGGGAAGGGTAGCGTCCCAGGGAAGGGTAGTGTCCCGGGGAAGGGTAGTGTCCCGGGGAAGGGTAGTACCTGGGGAAGGGTAGTACCCCGGGAAGGGTAGTGTCCCGGAGAAGGGTGGTGTCCCGGGGAAGGGTGGTGTCCCGGGGACGGGTAGTACCCAGGGAAGAGTAGTACCCGGGGAAGGGTAGTGTCCTGGGGAAGCCTAGTGCCCTGAGCCCCTCACATCATTCCACATCACGTCTTTAGTTGGCATGAATCCTGACCTGCGACCTGCACTTTGAGCAGCGACACACAGTTGCCGTGCTCCATGCCTTTGCTGTGAGGCACCTCAATGCACATGAGTGCGTCTAAGGGCGTCAAAAGAGAAAATGACCTGCTGACCGCACTGCACGGACCTGCACTTTGAGCAGCGACACGCAGTTGCCGTGGTCCATGCCGATGGGTATCCGCCCCATCTCCGATACCGTTGATCCGCTCGTCAGGATGTCCCACTGGCAGGGTGGGGGGGAAGGGCATGCAGCGTCTATTTTTGAGGCGCCTCAACGATGGACTCGTCAGGATGTCCCACTCGAGGGTGGGGGGGGAGGGCACGCGGCGACGGACGAGGAGGGAGAGGGAGGAGGGGAATGGAAATGACTAAGTCCTCGACCCATCTCACATACTGTTGATCCCCTCGTCAAAATGCTCCACAGGGAGCGACAAGGGGATCACACGGACGTGCAACGTACAGCTGGCAGTAGCCCGGACATGGAGTCAGAGAAAAAGCATGAGCACGCACAGGAGTAGAGCCAGGGACTCACACATGGGGAGCCAGGGACTCACACATGGGGAGCCAGGGACTCACACATGGGGAGCCAGGGACTCACACATGGGGAGCCAGGGACTCACACATGGGGAGCCAGGGACTCACACATGGGGAGCCAGGGACTCACACATGGGGAGCCAGGGACTCACACATGGGGAGCCAGGGACTCACACATGGGGAGCCAGGGACTCACACATGGGGAGCCAGGGACTCACACATGGGGAGCCAGGGACTCACACATGGGGAGCCAGGGACTCACACATGGGGAGCCAGGGACTCACACATGGGGAGCCAGGGACTCACACATGGGGAGCCAGGGACTCACACATGGGGAGCCAGGGACTCACACATGGGGAGCCAGGGACTCACACATGGGGAGCCAGGGACTCACACATGGGGAGCCAGGGACTCACACATGGGGAGCCAGGGACTCACACATGGGGAGCCAGGGACTCACACATGGGGAGCCAGGGACTCACACATGGGGAGCCAGGGACTCACACATGGGGAGCCAGGGACTCACACATGGGGAGCCAGGGACTCACACATGGGGAGCCAGGGACTCACACATGGGGAGCCAGGGACTCACACATGGGGAGCCAGGGACTCACACATGGGGAGCCAGGGACTCACACATGGGGAGCCAGGGACTCACACATGGGGAGCCAGGGACTCACACATGGGGAGCCAGGGACTCACACATGGGGAGCCAGGGACTCACACATGGGGAGCCAGGGACTCACACATGGGGAGCCAGGGACTCACACATGGGGAGCCAGGGACTCACACATGGGGAGCCAGGGACTCACACATGGGGAGCCAGGGACTCACACATGGGGAGCCAGGGACTCACACATGGGGAGCCAGGGACTCACACATGGGGAGCCAGGGACTCACACATGGGGAGCCAGGGACTCACACATGGGGAGCCAGGGACTCACACATGGGGAGCCAGGGACTCACACATGGGGAGCCAGGGACTCACACATGGGGAGCCAGGGACTCACACATGGGGAGCCAGGGACTCACACATGGGGAGCCAGGGACTCACACATGGGGAGCCAGGGACTCACACATGGGGAGCCAGGGACTCACACATGGGGAGCCAGGGACTCACACATGGGGAGCCAGGGACTCACACATGGGGAGCCAGGGACTCACACATGGGGAGCCAGGGACTCACACATGGGGAGCCAGGGACTCACACATGGGGAGCCAGGGACTCACACATGGGGAGCCAGGGACTCACACATGGGGAGCCAGGGACTCCCACATGGGGAGCCAGGGACTCCCACATGGGGAGCCAGGGACTCACACATGAGGAGCCAGGGACTCACACATGGGGAGCCAGGGGCTCACACATGGGGAGCCAGGGACTCACACATGGGGAGCCAGGGACTCCCACATGGGGAGCCAGGGACTCACACATGGGGAGCCAGGGACTCACACATGGGGAGCCAGGGACTCACACATGGGGAGCCAGGGACTCACACATGGGGAGCCAGGGACTCACACATGGGGAGCCAGGGACTCACACATGGGGAGCCAGGGACTCACACATGGGGAGCCAGGGACTCACACATGGGGAGCCAGGGACTCACACATTGAGTCAACTCATAAGTCCAGCCACCCCCCCTGTCCCTGTCTCCCGTCTCCTTTCCCCTCACCTCTCTCCTCGTCTGCTCGTTCCTCAGGAATTCAAACGCCAGCGGCATCGGCACAGGCAGCCACACCGAGGCAGCCGCGTTCAGAATCACCCCCAGGGGCTCCCCGGCACCGCTCACACTGCGCCGCATGGCCACCCACACCTCCACCGCCCCCATTGCTGCCGCTGATAGGCCGTTCGCCCCATCTCCCTCTCCCCCCATCGCTCCCTCCCCGCCAGCACCAGCAGCGCCAGCAGCAGAGCCAGCGGCAGACGCGCGGTCGGCGTTGTCGATTACCTTCCAGGAGTGCCTGTTGGGGGGGGGGGGGGGCGGAGGAGGAGGAGGAGGGGAGAGGGGAGGCGCACACAGGAATGGACACGGTGCTTTGAGACTCACGCTGCACCGCATAACCGCCCACACCTCCACCGCCCCCCTGAAGACATCCCCCTCTCCCCCCATCGCTCCCCCCCCCCCAGTGACAGCGGCTTCAGCACCAGCGGCATCGGCAGTAAAACATGGTCAGAATTATTGATGACCTTCCAGGAGTGTCGAACGGGGGAGGAGGGGAGAGAGAGGAACGCACAACAGGTGACGTGGTAAGTTGCTTTGTGTTTAAAGGTGGCTCAACATAGACCAGCAGATGCACGAACGGAGTTCTCTGGTGCAGCAAATGATCAATATTGTGGCAATTGTACCACACGTAGAAGTGGCCTAACCTACCGGGCGAGAGAGGAGGATTACCGAGTGAGAGAGGAGGCCTACAGGGCGAGAGAGGAGGCCTACCAGGCGAGAGAGGAGGCCTACCGGGCGAGAGAGGAGGCCTACCGAGTGAGAGAGGAGGCCTACCGGGCGAGAGAGGAGGCCTACCGAGCGAGAGAGGAGGCCTACCGGGCGAGAGAGGAGGCCTACCGAGCGAGAGAGGAGGCCTACCGGGTGAGAGAGGAGGCCTACCGGGCGAGTGGGGAGGCCTACAGGGCGAGAGAGGAGGCCCACCGGGCGAGAGAGGAGGCCTACCGGGCGAGAGAGGAGGCCTACCGGGCGAGAGAAGTGGCCTACTGGGCAAGAGAGGAGGCCTACCGGGCGAGAGAGCAGGCCGACCGGGCCAGAGAGGAGGCCTACAGGGCGAGAGAGGAGGCCTACCGAGCGAGGGAAGAGGCCTATCGGGGGAGAGAGGAGGCCTACCGGTTAACCTGTAAAGGAGGCGTTACCTGGTGGAGGAGGAGAGCCCCACACAGAAGTTGGAGAGCATGCGGCCTGCCAGTCTGAGCATGGCCCTCCTCCCTTGCTGGGACACGATGCCGCTGTCCCGAGACGTGGGGTTCCCCAGCAGCTCGCCGAACCGCACGCACTGGTGGTGCAGGGAGGCAAACCACCGCGCTGCTCCGAAGCCCAGCGCTACTGCCACTATGGGCCTGAAGGGGGAAGGGGGGGAGAGGGGGGGGGTTTGAGCGTTAGCTTGACAGTTAGTTGAGGTTCCCCAGCAGCTCGCCGAACCGCACACACTGGTGGTGCAGGGAGGCAAACCACCGCGCTGCTCCGAAGCCCAGCGCTACTGCCACTATGGGCCTGAAGGGGGAAGGGGGGGGAGGGGGGGGGTTTGAGCGTTAGCTTGACAGTTAGCAGAGGTTCCCCAGCAGCTCGCCGAACCGCACACACTGGTGGTGCAGGGAGGCAAACCACCGCGCTGCTCCGAAGCCCAGCGCTACTGCCACTATGGGCCTGAAGGGGGAAGGGGGGAGAGGGGGGGGGTTTGAGCGTTAGCTTGACAGTTAGCTGAGGTTCCCCAGCAGCCGAACAGCACGCACTGGTGGTGCAGGGACGTGAACCACCGCGCTGCTCCGAAGCCCAGCGCTGCTGCCATGATTGGTCTGTGTTAGGGAAGAGGGTGGGTGGATGGAGGAAGGCAAACCACCGCACTGCACCAAAGCCCAGCGCTGCTGCCACTATGGGCCTGAAGGGGGAAGGGGAGGGGAGGGGGGGAGGGTTGAGCACTGGCTTAACAGTTAGCAGAGGTTGCCCAACAGCTCGACAAACTGCACGCACTGGGGGTGACGACAGGCGAACCACCAGGCAGCGCCGAACACAAGCGCTGCTGCACTAATTGATCTGTGGCAGGGGGGTGTTGGGAGGAGGTGAGGTTGAATGTCACTGTCTCCCCAGCAGCTCTCCAAACAGCATGCACTGATGGTGATGACAGGCGAACCACCAAGCAGTGCTGAAGCAAGTGCTGCTGCCGCAATGCTGGCAAGGAAAAGGGGGGAGGGAGAAATGGGGAGAGAAAGATCGTAGTAACGATGACAACCAGGAAGACGAGCGCCTGTACGGGAAAAAAAAAAAAAAAAAAAAAAAAAAAAAAAAAAAAATCAAGATCAGAGCACCTGACTTCCGAAAAAACGCCCCCGGCCCCTGAAGACGTCCCCGACTTCCGAAGACACCCCTGACTTCCAGCATCACTGCAGGTCGCAGGGATATTCGTTCCCACGGAGACTTCTGCGCAAGCAATCACCTGAAGAATGGCGGCTCTACCAGGACCCACCTGAAGAGTGGCGGCACTCCCAAGACCCACCTGAAGAGGGGCGGCACTCCCAAGACTCACCTGAAGAGCGGCGGCACTCCCAAGGGGTCGGCCTCCACATGCTCTACAAGGGTGACCTGGCTGCTGCCGTTGGGCGCCTCCTGGGGATGGGGGATGGGTGGGAGGGAGCAGGGCAGAGGGGGAACGCTGAGGAGCAGAGCGGAGCATTCTTATCCTCGTATGATCATTCTTCACATTCTGCGCCAGAGTGACCTGGCGGCTGGTGATGGGGATGGGCGGGAGGAGGGCGGCAGAGGAGAGCAGAAGAGGGGCGCAGCAAGGGGCGGCGGGGAGGGGGACACAAAGGCCAAGAGGTGGGTCCCATGCAAGCCCAACCCAACCCACTTCTTACAGTAGCACGCTAGAGATTCCGTGCCTTTCAAACATGCAAGGCAATTCCAATTTCCAACCCACGTGTATGGGAATTCCTGACGGGCGCCGTCTGCATTTGAGCATGACATGGGGGGGCTCGCTCCTGAGCCAGTCAACGGAGACGTCCACGACGGCCCAGCAGGTGGGGGAGAGCTGCCTGCCTGCAGTGGCACGCTTGGGAACTCCCCAAGCCAAGGCATCCAACCCCAACCGACCTCAATGAAAGTGAAAACGTCTGACGCTCCCAATTCACCTGAATGAGAATCCCCGACGGGCGCCGTCTGCATTTGAGCATGACCGGGGGGGGCTCGCTCCTTAGCCTGTCAACGGATACGTCCACCACGGCCCAGCAGGTGGGGGAGAGCTGCTTGCAGTAGCGCAGGAAGAAGGCCTCCCGCGTGGGCACCTGCGGAGTCAGCATCTGAGTCTCCAGGTACATCTGCGAGAAGGTGGGGTGAAGAGAGGGATAAGTTGTAAGGTGATCGATTTCTACGACTCATTTCCCCCAGTTGACTTGCTGCAGGCCAGCTATAGAGGGCGGCCAGCTGTAGAGTGCGGCCAGCTATCCCCTGCAAGTCAGGAAGCCTACTAGCTGCAGTGTCCTATTCCGCTGCTGAGGCTCGTTGCCCACAAATACCACATCCACCCACCACCACACTGCCAGTTGATGCCTGAACCCTAGCAGGCACAACCTATACTGCCAAATTTACACTGACATAACAGCAACCCACCAGCTGTAGTGTGCCATTGCGCTGCTGGGGCTCGTTGCCCACACATATCACATCCACGACCACTGCCCGTGATACCAACGACGGCAGCATCTCAGCCCACTTCACCTGGCGGGAAGGAAAGCGGAGGGGAGGGGAGGGGAGGAGGGGAAAGGAGAGGCCGGGTCGAAGGCAAGAGACGTCACAACAGACCACTCACTCACTACACCACTCACCACTCACCAGACAGATTGGAGAATTGTGAAATGTGACTCCAATCTCACAGCTCACAGCATGCCACACGAAGATCTCCAAGCCAATTTCCAATCCATGGACCACATGAGGGTAAACAAGATCAAACAAACAAGACGTGCCTCACCACTCACTGGGTCCAAATAGAGCTCCACTTGAGCAAGAGCATTCAGCGCAATCACCCCTCGCTCCCTCGACGCCTCTATCAACAGCCCTGTCATTCCTTGCACACACGCCCCACACCACAGGTCAAACGAACAAGGCACGCCCCACACCACAGGTCAAACAAACAAGGCACGCCCCACACCACAGGTCAAACAAACAAGGCACGCCCCACACCACAGGTCAAACAAACAAGGCACGCCCCACACCACAGGTCAAACAAACAAGGCACGCCCCACACCACAGGTCAAACAAACAAGGCACGCCCCACACCACAGGTCAAACAAACAAGGCACGCCGCACACCACAGGTCAAACAAACAAGGCACGCCCCACACCACAGGTCAAACAAACAAGGCACGCCCCACACCACAGGTCAAACAAACAAGGCACGCCCCACACCACAGGTCAAACAAACAAGGCACGCCCCACACCACAGGTCGAACAAACAAGGCACGCCCCACACCACAGGTCAAACAAACAAGGCACGCCGCGCACACCACTGACCGGGTCCATATAGAGCTCCACCAAGGCAAGAGCGTTGAGCGCCACCACCCCTCGCGCCCTGGACGCCTCTATGGACAGCCCTTGCGGCCCATCCCCCACGCAGTTGGGGAAGCGCAGGCGGTACTCCGTGCGGTTCAGCTGCTCCCCCCCGTTCCCCGCCATCCCCCCTCCCCCTCCCCCTCCCCCCCCCCCGCCCATCTCGCCGTTGCTGCCGCTGGCCCCACTCCCGTGCCGGTCGAAGGCTCGGGAGAGCAGGCCCGGGAGCCAGAGAGGTTCGTTGATCTGCGCCAAGCCTACGAGCTCCTCTAAAGACGAGACTGCCAGGTCCATCACCACGTCTCGCTCCGAGTCTGACAGCCCCCCGCCCTCCCCGGACGCGCCTAGAAGGGCCCCCATGGCCTCCCCCCCCACTGGGTTCATCATGCCCCCTCCCGTGCGCAGAGAGGCTGCGAAACCCGCCCCTAGCCCTCCTGCTCCTGCTGCTGCGCCTGCTGCTGCTGCCAGCCTGCCATCTCCCAGCATCCCCCCTCCTGCCAGCCCCAGCGTACCAGCCAGGCCGAATAGAGAAGAGTTTCCCGCCCCTCCCCCTGCCCTCCCTCCCGTTCCCCCTCCTGCCCTTCTTGCTCCTGCAGCAGCAGCTGCAGCAGCGTCAGCAGCAGCACTACGGCCGGTTCCATCCAACCCCATGTCATACAGCAGCCCGCTATTGCTGCTGCCTGCTACCCCTGCCCCTCCTGTCCCTCCTCCTCCTCCTGCTGCTGCCGCGGCGGCTGCAGCAGCAGCAGCAGCAGCTGTGTGCCCCGAGGCGTTGGAGTAGGTGCTTCGCTCCGTGTTGCTCCTGTGGAGATCCATCAGCCCGCCCATCCCACCCATCCCCGCTCCCCCTCCCCCCACCCCTGCTGCTGCTCCTCCTCCCCCTGCTGCTCTCGCTGCTGCGTCACCAGCTGGGCCCATCATGCCGTGCTCACCCATCCCCCTCCCCGCAGCCGCAGCAGCAGCAGCAGCAGCAGCAGCAGCGCCGGTTATGGGATGTGCATCCATGTTCAACCGGGACGAAGGAACCATATCCCCTAGCAACCCTCCCATAGACTGCTGCTGCTGTTGCTGCTGCTGTTGCTGCAGTCGTTGAATTGCATTGGCACTGGATTCTAGGCCGAACCGTCCAAGAGCGGCAGACGACATGCCTCTGCTGCCCATCGCCATGCCACTGCCGTCCTGCGTCAAGCTCGGACTGCCAAACCCATCCCCGCCCGCACCCCCACCACCACCCCCATTGCCAGCACCATTGGCATTCCCCCCACCCCCTCCCGACCCCCCTGCCTGCATGCCTCCAGCAGCGGCTGCATTGAGTGCCGCCACCGTGGCAGGGCCCATGGGGTCCACCGCCCCCCTTGCTGCCAGCTGCCGCGCTGCCAGCATCGACACCCGCTCGATCTGCAAGACGGGCGGAGAGCGGACAGAGAAGCGGGAGACGTGAGGGTGGCGAAAGGAGGCCTAAGCAGCAGCAGAGGCATCATGAACGGCATCCCCATTCCCCGGCACCAGGTGCGTGTGGCACGCACGAGGGGCAGGTGGCGGATGCCAACACGGACCAAAACCATTCCTCGTTCTTGAGACGAGAACCATGAGATAAAACGCGTTTTCCTCCGTGAGCTGCGCCGCCATGGCAGACACGCACGGCATCCCCGTTCCCCGGCATGAGGTGCGTGTGGCAGGAAGGGGGACACTTGAAAGCACCAATGCGTCAGGACGGGAGGGGCTATCGCCATACCTCGTTCTTGAGGTGCGCGTTTTCCTCCATCAATTGGGCTGCCACAGCCGAGGCATCGTGCGCGCCGTCGCCATTCCCCGGCACCAATCGCGTGTGGCAGGAGGGGCAGGTGGCAGACGCCAGCACGGAGCGCAGCCGCATGACCTCGCTGCGCAGCCGGTCGTTCTCCTGCCGCAGCATCGCGTTCTCTGCTCGCTCCGTTTGTGCCTGGGATGTGGTGAACAGCAAGGGGAGACAGAGGGAAGGGAAGGGGGTGAGCGGAAGGGGGAGTGCGCCAAGCTGGCAGCCGCATGACCATGCTGCGCAGCCGGTCCTTCTCCTGCTGCAGCATCACGTTCTCCGCCCGCTCCGTTTGTGCCTCGAGTGTGGCAAAAGCCCAGAAAAGAAGCGGTTAGTGGGGGTTGGGCGGGAGCGGAAGGGGGAGGGAGGAAGGGGAGAGGAGGGGCGGGAGTGGGGAGGGGGTGGGGGGGGTTGGGGGGGAGGATGCGGAGGGTAGGGGTGTTCTGTTGAGATTTTGGGAGAAGAAGTGTCAAGTTTGATCGGAAGCAATGCAGGTGGACCGTGGAACCCACCTTCATCTGCGTGCGGCGGTTCTGGAACCAGAACTTGACTTGCCGGGGGGCCAACGACAGCCGCTGGCTCAGCTGCTGCCGCTGCCGCTCGTCAGGATGCGGGCACTCGCGAAACAACCTGGCGAGCAGCCGGAGGGGCGGAGGGAGGGAGGGACAGCAGAGATAGCATTCACACCAGCACGCACTGACGCTGTCCCTCGCTTGCCGAGTTACATATACACGCTTGCCCACGCCGGCACGCACAACGGCACAGAGTCGGTTCCAAGTCACAGCGTGATCCACAGCAGGTGGAGAAAGCAAGCAAGGCTTGCAGTCTTGAAGCAAGCAAGCCACTACTTGAGAGAATGGTGGGTACTCAGAAGACGCATACCCCTAAATCCATCCACGTCCTTATCAACCAACCCCTTGACTAAATCCCTGCCTTCACCCTTCCCTCACCCTTCCCTCATCCTTCCTTCACCCTGCCCTAACCCTGCCCTCACCCTGCCCTAACCCTGCCCTCACCCTGCCCTAACCCTGCCCTAACCCTGCCCTAACCCTGCCCTAACCCTGCCCTCACCCTGCCCTCACCCTGCCCCCACCTCTCCATCTCCTGGATCTGCTGCGCCGTGTGGCGGTGGTACCGCTTGCCCTTCTTCTTATCCCTTCCCCCCACCAACTCCCCGTCCGACATCCCATCCTCCTCGCTCCCCGACCGGCTGTCATCTCCCCCCAACCCCCCCACTCCCCCCACTCCTTCCAACCCCCCATGCCCTCCGCCGCCCGCGCCAGCTCCTTCCAGCGCTCCCCCTCTGCTCCCCCCAACCCCTGCTTGCACTCCGCCGTTCTGTTCCCCGCCTGCGGCGCCTCCGCTCCCGCCGCCTCTTCCCGCGGCGGCTTGCGCGTCTCGCGCACTCACCCCGCCGCTTCCCCCGCTGCCCCAGCTGCTGCCCCTTTCCCGCCCGCCGCCGTCTCTATCCGCGCCAACCTGCGTATCAGGCGCGCTGATTTGCCCCACAGGGAGGAACGCCGCCGGGTTGGCGGAGATTTCGTGCGCGCTGGGGAGATTGTTGAGGAGATCGCCGAGCACCTGACGCACGCGCGGAGGGAGAAGGCGGACGGAGGATAGAGACGACGGCGACGAAAGGTGAAAGGAGGACGAAACGACGACACGTGCGAGACATGATGCTGTCGGCCGCAAGAGACAACGCCATTTGACAGGGGATTGGAGCATGCATTTTTTTAATACACAGGAGCGTCAGAATGTGCGACGTGCATGGCTAAACAAGCATGAGGGAATTCTTGTGCGTACAACGGGCTAATAACGTCCGTAAGAGCATTCAGCGCTAGTAGCCTTATTAGCAAGGCGTATCTGACCTGATCGCTGTCGCCTGTCTGTTCCATGATTATTGTCGAGTATCGACGACCCCCCGAATCGCCGCAGGAAACGGTTGGCGATGAGACGACGACAATGGCGGAAGTCTACAACACAATGAAGAAGTGCAGCGAATGTGAGTATTTTAGGACTCGTTTCCAATAATAGTGTGTTAATCGCCCTGGCACGGAAATAGAACGTGTGTCTAAAAGGGGATGCTAGACAGACTGCAATACACGCCGCCTCGCCATTACTACGGCTGACGTGGACATCTTACTAAGATACGAGTGATAAGGGAAACGTCCAGGACTAAAGCCTGAATCATCACCAGAACTAACAGCCTAGATTCCCCACAGCAAGCAGGGGATTGAGTGGAATGGGGTCAGTCTGCGGGAGTGAGAAGCATTTACTACCCCAAGCAGACTCCGCCAACGCCAAGCATTAACTCCTGCCAGTCACCTAGCTCGTCTGAACACGAAACCAGCAACCCTTGCTCTGGGGGAAAGTGGGTGGGTGGGTGGGTCCCTTGGTGTTAAAGTGGGCACACAGGATGACACAGAACAGGATGACTAGGGTTTCGTTCAGATCTCGCCGTCAGTGAAGGCCGTTGTTGTGGAGATCGACGGTGGAGGGCAACGCTATCATCCGACATTTATTTCGCGAATGGGTAACGTCCATCCGCCATAAAGGCGGGATATATGTACCGCAAGTGGCTAATTTGTTGTTTGCCCTGACCGGGGCAAGATGTACCACAAGTGGCTCGAAACAAACCTCGCTTCTTCTCGAGAAATTTCGCCTGGACCGAACTTTTTGCCCAGACCAAATCCAAGCCCAGAATGATTCTTCTCAAGAGCGACTGCCACTCGTCCACTCAGAAGCCGGGCTGCTGAAACTTCTGTATTTCCTGCTCGACCACTCGTCCAGACGTACACCTAGCTCGCGGTAATTTTACACCCTGAAATTAAGCGGCACTAGAATTTTTGTTTCCATCCTGACTATTTCTGAGTGCGTAGACAGTATTCCCTTGTTCCTACGGCCTAAGCGCGACAGACTCCACGCGGACAAAAACTTTGAGCACTGCCAAAGCTGACGTCGGAATTCTTGACTCGAGAAAAACTAAATCGAGCAGTAAACGTTTCGTATAGAATTCCAAACTAAATTTGTAAAGGTATCCGGATCTGGTCTTCAAGAGCTACTTTCGGGGGGTGAATACCCTCTATGCGGCAAACCCTGTTAAAATACTGGGTGTAAAAATACCGCCGGCTAAGTGTACTACGTACTGGACTCTTGGGACCCGCCTAAGCTTCTTCCCGCCCAGAGTTTTGCGGTGTATTGTACACTTTTTCCACCCTTACGTCGGTAGCTATTCTGTTCCAAATCACCGTAAATGTAGAAACTGCAGTTCCTCAGCGGCACTATCACCTAAGTTACATGTTGTCTCATTGGCCCCACAGAACCTGGCTCCACGCATTAGGCCGCCAAAAAACAAATCTCGAGTGACTGAAAGGTAGAAGAAGTGTAATGTGCATCAGGGGGTGTCAAGAGTTGGTTTATTACGGGGAAAATATACGGGGAATGCTACCCTCTCAACCAAACCACCCCACTTTGTTCGATTTTCAGCGAAACGCTCTCGAGCCTGAAGCACCCCATTCAACCGCAACAAAGTGAAATCATTGCACACCTCACCGACACTAGAAACAAAACAAAACTGCAACAAACCATCCAAAATCTGCCGTATGAGATACAAACAATATGTCACATCCACAGCCCACTGTGCCAATGGCCTCCAGCAAGAAACAACGAGGGAGTTTTCATGTGCCCGAGTAATTTTAGGAAGTGCAATAAATGGCAAACATAGGTGTAATTTTGCAGGGTGTGCTTCCTTCTTCCCGTTTTGTACAGTTCACGCCATGGGGGAACAATCGTAGATTGCATCACTTTGCACGAGTGTGCCAAGAACGACAACGCGAAGTGGGTTTCACTCCAACGCTGTCTGTCCTTTTGGCGTACAGTGGCGACGGAAAGAACGCGTCAAATGACACGAACCAAACCAGGGCTTATCTTTTAAGGGTAACTACACCTAGCCCGCGTTAATTTTACACACTAAAACTCAGCGGCAGAAAAACTTTTGTTTCCACCCTGACCATTTCTGAGTGCGTAGATAGTACCCCCTTGTTCCTACGGCCTAGGCTTGGCAGACTCCATGTGGGAAAAGACTTTGAGCACTGCCTAAGCTGACGTCAGGTTTCCTGGCTCGAGAAACACTAAATCGAATAGTAAATGTTTTGTATAGAAACCCAAGTTCTAGTTGTTATTCAAGGGTATCCAGATCTGGTCTTCAGGAGCAGCTTTCGGAAGGTGAATTCCCTCTCAGCGGCACCCCCTATGAAAATACTGGGTATGAAAATACTGCGGGCTAGGTGTACCCTGAATGTGTATTGATCAAGAGAAAACTTTCAGACAGCCCAGAACACTTAGAGTCTGTGTTTCAAAAGAATAGCACTACTCGGATGCAGTCTTAGGACTCTAGATGATGCAATATGCTACGGTGAATGCACGTTGTAGTAGCGCTATGGAATTCAACATTAAGAAGTACCTCGGCAGCGGTCGGTGCTCTTATGTAGGTTGAGACCAATAAAGGGGCTTTTTAACATGTGTCCAAATTGTATTGTTTAAAACCATGCTGCCGTCGACAATGTGAATTCAACTAAACAGTAGCTGCCAATAATAAAAGGCAGGGTCGAATACTAGAAATTGGATGTAGATATTAGATCTACAACGCTCACGGTATATGCATCACATAGATGACATGTTTATGAATGTTACATACGCCTAGACAGAGGAATTATTCATTATTTGCTGGGAGATGTAGCGTATGGATTTCACCCACGTGCTTATCGTCTCGTTGGTCTCGGAGAAAGAGTAGTGCATGTCCATTAACGTAATGACCCTTCTCGAGCTCTTGCTTTGGGATCCTGGTTGATGTGGATCTGCATTGCTGCTTGCTGATCTAGATCACCTTGCTTCCCGTTGCTGATGTAGGTCGCCTTGCTTCCCGATCGCCAAATGCTTCCAGGTCCCGGCGTGCTAGTTGAACTCCTGTGTCTATCCATCCGTGATATCTCAGCCATGGTGGCTGGTTTTCTCTAGAGTTCTGCATCCTCCACGCACACACCAAACTTGAATGCACGGAGGCCAAAGTCAGCTTTCAAAATCAAAGCCAAGGAAACCGGTATAACCACTTCATAATGTACTTGCTAAGTGCATCCACAGAGATCTCGGCAAGTGTTTTTGGCTTCTTAGAAGCAGAGGGAGACTCTTTAACGGATTCCTCGTCAATGTCATCCACGAGGGGGGTCATGGAGGTTATTGACGACTTGTCGTCGGATTGGCAGGCACTACAACAATCTCGGATACGGAGTCGACAGATCGGGATATGCTTCGCTACTCCTGTCAGCCCTATGCGGGATGCACGTGATACAGTGGCGGAATAAATTGTCCACATGTTCAGCCTTTTTTTGCATTTTGATGAGTGCAGCGGCGTAAATATTAAGCCTTAATGTATGGTGTGCATACACGCGGAGAAGATCAGTTAGAGCACTCACTCGAGTTGCCAAACACCAAAGTAGTACCACACATGGTCCTTAAACACCTAAGCATAGCATAGGATAACATCCGGACAATTTGTACCGAATTCAGGTAGCATACTAGATTCTACGGAAACTAGTACCTAGTCCAGCGTCCCTTTGCCCGAATCACTGCCTTGATCCTCCTCGGCAGGCTGTCGATGAGGTTTGTACACACCTCCGCCGGTATAATGTCCCATTCCTCCCGCACCCTCTCCCACAGCTCCAACATTCCACTTGGCGGCTTTTCGTACTTCCCCAGCTGCCTTTTCACGTGTGCCCACAGGTGCTCAATTGGGTTAAGGTCCGGGGAGCACGACGGCCATTCCAGCACCGCGTACTCCTGCTCCCCAAGCCAGTCTTGGACCAGACGAGACCTATGCTTGGGATCATTGTCGTGCTGGAAAATGACCTCTAAGGGGGAAAGCTTGAAAAAATCGATGGTCTGTTTGAGCTCATCTTGCAAGATGCTGTAATACAGCGGCCCATCCATCCTGCCATCTATCTTGCACATGAACCCCGCCCCCTCATACGTCATGCAACCCCACACCATCACAGAACCGCCCCCATGCTTAACTGTCTGTTGGACTTGATGGCTCCGAAGGCTGGTGCCCTCACGAATCCAGGCATACGCACGTCCGTCAGAGCAGCAGTGGTTTATCTTTGTCTCGTCAGACCAAATCACCCGCTTCCAGTCCTCCAGCGTCCAGCCAGCATGCGACCGCGCGAAGTCGAGACGATCTCTGATGTTTTTCGGTAAGAGCCTGGGTTTCTTGGGCTGATGCACGGCGATCAGCCCCGCGGATCGTAATGAGTTCCTGACCGTCTTCGAGTCTACGGCGAGATCGTGCTTCTCCAACAACATATTTGCTGCGTCTACAGAGCTTTTCGCCTCGCCGCTTGTAATCGCGCGTATTATTCCGCGCTGGAGACGGGTAGTGATTAAGTGGGGGCGGCCGGCCGAAGGCATCATAGGTCGCACCTCCTCGAGACTAGTCTCGGCAGCCACTTTCAAACTGTAATCGTGCCCGGTGCTCTTACCTATGCCAAGAACTTTGCCTATTTTCCTAGTCGAATGCCCCGCACGCAACATGCTTATGATTCGCGCGCGCTTCCGCTCAGTTAACGGCTTCATGGCGATGCGGTCGTAAGCTCGCTTCCGGACTAACTCCTAAGCCAGCAACTGTTGCGCGTGACGATGTACACACTGAGTGACGGGGGAAAATAGATCTACTCTTCCGCTCAGTTGGAAATGTCCGCATCGATAGTCGAGGAGTAAATTTCAACCCCACTTTCAGGTTGTGTCACAATCGCGCCAAGCAAGAAACGGTTGAAGCAGAACTCGAAAACCTTGTAACGGAATGGCAAAAAACGGCTGCTACTATTTTCGAAACATGTGTGGCATAGCGATACATTTCAAAGTGTTCATCATCCGGGCAATTTATTCCGCTACTGTACTTGAGAGCGAAGACATCAAGAGGTCGAGCCCCATGTGCATCTTCGTATGGTGTTTTTCCTCTATTTTGGCATCCAATGTCCCATCATCATGTCCTACCTTGGTGAGAGGGACATGTAAGGCATTGACATATCATAAACGTGTGTAGAAGGCGAATAAAAATGATGGTATTGGCAGAGGGGAATTCAAGGATAAAGCAGGTGGAATGGAGGTGTCTTGCTAGTGCAAAAAAAAAGGGATGAAGGAGATGGGGCTCAGCTGAAGGAGGGGCAAGAGTACAAATCGACAACGTTATCAGCATACAAGGCAAGGGAGTTCATACAGGCGTAAAATTTGGAATCTTCCATCTGCACCGCCACCGTGTCAGTGGCCATGACCGTGCATGGGTGTATGGTGA